CCCATCGGATCATTCGGATTTCCATGCATACCTTTTTCATATTTATAACTGCCTCTTCCCTGTATTTACAAAGAGGACTCCCCCCAACAGAGAGAGGTGCTCCCCAACAGACATGAAGTTTTAGCAGACGTTACCAGTGCCCAGAGCGGCGAATACGAAGCCAAAGAGGCTCAAGACATAGTGCAGGGACAGAGTTCCCATTAGTTTGATTATCAGTGAGATTTACGAGATTTATCATTTTTATCACATCGCACCCGGACCATTCCCCCCCCCCTCCTCTTCATCCGAACCTCCCCTGAGCACTACCAACTCCGTGGCCCCCTCTCTTTCTTGTTAGGGTGGTAGATCCCTTGCCCCCTTACAACGGACATTAGAAGATCATTATAATTATCCACACCCATGTAGCATGAGATTTAAGTTACTTCAAGCATGCCTAGAACCTGGCATAGGTGTAGGAAAATATAATATTCAAAGAATATATCCCTACAATAAGAAAATAGCATATAGACAGCAGAATAAGAGGGAACATTGGGAAAGAAATGTGAATATCTCGGGAACCAGTAAACTTTTGACTGTAATCTTTTTACCATCTAAAAGGACTGTTTCTTGACTTTATCCAAGGTTTTGTTTCATTCTAAAAGCTTCAAAACTGACGGAGATATCGCTCAAACGGCGAAACACCTTATAATTCATATATATTTAATTGCTAATTCTTACAAAAAGTAATGTGACTCGAGGGAAATATATTGACGCCCGGAAGTCTGGCGGACCGAGCACCATATGGCAGAGTATCCCCCGGCGCAGACGGATAGTTTTCGATCGCATCAGAAGAGGAGAAAATGCTAAAAAACCGGATCTTGTATATTTTCCCATGATTCATCAAAACTTTTTGATTTTAAGCTCAAATAAATCGGAACAAAGGAATGATTGATGATCTGGATCTCGGATCATAAGCATAAAGTGATTCAGAAGTCTGCGGATCAGTTAATTAATTGGGAAAGCTCTAGAACATTAGTAATGATGTGGCTTCACAAAAAAGGGGTGAATTAGAGAACAGTCTAGAAAGTTCCTTTATAGCCAAGTCATTTCTAAAGATAACAAAAGACAAAGAACTGAATTACTTATTGCTGAGTCGTGTCCTAAGTCCATTATTAAGCTTACACAGCCCAAGCCCCTATATCATTCTAGAACTATCTATAATACAAATGTAGCACATGTAACTAGTGTGAGGTGTGGGAGTAGAGAGGCCTCTGAAAAGCATAAAAGGCCACCACTTCTGCCCTCTCTCAAACCTCAGGTAGAAATATAAGTTTAATTCTCCTCACCAGTGGTTGGTTCGTTTGCTCCAAAAGATAAAAGCAAATATTAGTAGTTAGCTAATATAAAACTAACACGTCACTCTAAGCGTGAGTTAGGGTCAGTTAGACACAGCTGAACAAAAGTGTCATAGTGAGAATTAGTGAGAATTTGGTGGAGGGACTTCTTAATTGAATAATCTCTCAGTAATATCTGGTTATCACACCACAGGAGAAAAGTGAGCGATCCTGAACCTGCTAGATAACTAGCATGCACTCTAAGCAATAGAAAGAGCAGTTTGGTCACTCCTGTATTGAGTAACATTTATTACGGAATTATTTTATTAGTAGTTTTTCTTCAGTAAATTATCAGGAAAATCATGTCCTACTGAAAAGTGGTATATCTAGGTGTAATATTGACTAGAAATTATAGTAAAGTCAATATAAAATTTTATCCATAGACGATCTATATGTCAGGTGAGATCGTTAGGGGGTGTTTATTGTTGTTTAGGCAGTGAACAATTATATATTTGGCAACCAAAACACAGTCAGTATGCAAATCAGCACAAACTCTAATATCATTATTGGATGTAGGAAACTGGTTACATAAGGTGATCCAGCTCCACTCCTTCAGCGTGTTGTGGGCAGGTCAATAGTACATAGATACAAAGGAAGTTGTCTGTGTAAAATAGAAATAGGAATAGAAATAGAAACAGAATGTCACGACCCGGCGTTCCCCAGGGTCAGACAACCTCCTCCCCGACCTTCTCCCATGCTCGAACACTCCCCGCACACTCCGCTTGCCACCCATCGCCGTCTAACCACTTCCCGCCACCTCTCCACGACCCCTCTCCTAGTTGTCATTGAACAACCTAGTGGCACAGAGCGCTGCGACCTTTTGTCCCATGTTTCGCCGCACCTTGTTATCTCGCGGTGAAGGTCACGCTTGACCTTCACTGTCTTAAACATGTGCTTCTTGTTTGTTTTCCTTCTTCTTTTCTCCACCCGCAATCTCCGCGAGATCTGGCGACTCATTCCCTATTCAGTTCCCTAGCACTTATATACAGCTTGTAACTAATGCTTGTACTGTAGTTCAAAATCAACTAGACATTCACCCCTAAGCTTACTTCTGTTCCCCATAAGACCTCCGACCTTCTGAAGTATCGGGACCGCATCGAGAACGAGGTGCAACGCTCCTCCTCGAGTCGTTGAAGCCGAAATCCCGGCTCACTTGCCTAAGTAGCCTCAGCCTCGAGATCGGTGGGGTTATCCCTCGCTAAAGCTCGGTCATGTGTAGGACGCCTGTACCACTAGCAGGCAAACATTCGGTCACCTACAGCTACCATCGGCGAAGATTCGCATGGTTCTGACACAGAAATAGAAGAGAGGTAGAAAGGAGGAAGTACAGGAAAGAAGGACACAGGATGAGAGAAGGGGAGGTACCGGGTGAGGTGGACCTGGGTGGGCCTGGGTGGAGGTGGGTTGGGCAGGTGTGCCCTGACACACATATGCTATTGCCTTTCACATCACTCCCAACGATTTCGCACAAACCGAGCCAAAGCAGAACCGAAGAAGTAACCTTCTTCTCATTTTCTGCTTCAGGCAAGTACTCTAACTTAGTTTAGCCCTTCATCTTAATAACAATACATTTTCTGCTTCAGCCTAAGAAGCCACAGAGGGATGTGAGCCTGAGAGAGGGCTATTCACTATACCACCCTGCTACTCCGCCGCTGTAGGCGGGATAATCGCCCATGCGCAGAGCCGGCTCGGATACCTGATTTCACGACTATAAAACCACTTCCATTCACACAACAACCCGATACAAATTCGACATCTAAAAATAGTCCTAATTCTTACGATTCCGACGGTACCAAGAACATCCCAAACGGTGGAGAATTGACAGAGTTCTATGTTGGGCAAGTTAGGCACGGGCATGTGTGGGCATGGGAATCTCAAGCGGCAACCCAGAATTCCTGCCTCACTCATTCCCACGGCATCTAATAAATTGGTAAAAATGCTCATTGGCTGCGTAAGAGTTATCTCCGGCTTCATTTCCAATTTTGGCCTTTAATTCCGTAAATCCGTTGAGATACCGCTTATTTTCTTATATTTTCATATTTTTGCATCATTTTAGTTATTGATCAAAATTCTTTTATTGATACTATTACCCTTTTTTATTATTTCGCCTAATAAGGTATGCAGGTGCCATATGGTACCAATATTTCCCATCAATTATTCTAAAAATAATTGTTCCTTATATCCTGTACATACCGGATTCTGGAAGAGAAGTTCTCCCCTCCCCCAATTTTCTCTAAGGTGCTAGGATGCGCTAGAGAGGGTGTGAGTGAGTGGAATTCCAACAGTAGGAATAAGGGCAGTGATCTAGCTCACAACGAGTGAGTAGTGGACACTGAGCCCGGACCTTGCGGAAATCCCGGAGAACCCACCACGGAGTTAAGGATCGAGTTAAGTCAAGAAGTAGGAGTTTTGGAGAGTTTGGCCCCATGAGCTTAGTCGGCATAGAGAGCTGCTAGCCCTCTTGCACTGCCACCCAAGCTGCTAGTGCCAGGCACTACACTGCCACCCCCACCTCTCCTGTGCCATCCCTGACGGCTTGCCCTTGATTCAGTCATCAGCAATTCAATTGAACGAGAGCGCATGATTGCCAAGGATCCATTTGCAGCTGCTAAATTCTTCCATCTCATGATCAACACAATGTTGAAAACATTGTTGGGCATCAATGTGAGGGCAAACAGTATCCACTGGACTTGTGGTATCTTGGGTTGGATTGAGGCCTATGTTGGGTTGGTAGAGGTGCAGAATTGAGGAACCCTTCACCTTCACATGATTTTGTGGCTACAGAATGCACCAAGTGCTGATGAGCTGTGATCAAAATTCTCGTCACCTGAGTTCCGTGAAACAGTGAGGATGTACATTAATGTCAATATCCACACCCATTTACCCAGCCTGGACGAGCAAGGAATCAAAGCGATGGAGCCCAAGAAAGATGCAGGATTCTGCCGGCCACCACACCCTGATGAACCCCACTTCGATGTGAAATTTGGATCCCTAGAACGATGTCTGATGAGGTCTAACCAAATACACTCATGCAAAAAGCATCGGTGTCTTTGTCAGGATTGGACAACTGGGGAGTGGAGATGCAAGCGATGCACACCTTTTCCACTGTGCAATACAGATAAGGTGGAGGAAAATGGTGAATAGTATCCTCAGCGAAGCTATGGATTCGTGAACAATTATAATCCAAATCTCCTTGTGTACCTTCATTGCAACCACGATATCAAGCTACTGATGAACGGCAAGGATACAAAGAATGTCTGTTGGTATATTACCAAGTATGCGATGAAAGCACAATCAAAGATGTCAAATTTGTCTGCATTGCTGGCTCAAAGACTTCAATATCATCTTGGGGATAGCCAGTATATTGAAAGTGTTTGAGAGAGGAATCGTCTCTTGGTGTTTTGTTGTTTCATGACACTCAATCACAATGTTGAGCAGTCTGGGCCACAAGTGATCAGTTATCTAATGGGATGGGGTGATTCATTCAAATCTCGCCACTATGTACCGCTTTACTGGACAACTTTCTTACATCATCTTGAACAAGAATACCCGGCATTAAAAAAATCATCCAGGTATGAGTTGCCAAAGGTTTTGGGAACATACAATAATCTAACACGTACCATCAGAATGATGGGTGACCAGTCAGTGAATAATAATGCAGGATGGAGCATCCCACAGGCAGCACTCCCTGGTGGTGAGGTGGAAGCTAGTGATACAATCACTGAAGCACCACAGAACAAGATAGAGGTAATGCATATATTTGAGAGGGTTCATCTGGTAATGATGGCTCAATTCTCAGGATGAGACAAGTACGGAGCTTTTGAATATTGATACCAGACCAAATGGAACTCTGATTGTGAGATCGCAATTTGAGGGTTATTCCCTCCAAGGGCATGAACTCAAGGATATGTCGCTACTGGCATTCATTACTGACATGTATGAAATGAACACTTGTCAAGATAGAAGGAGGAAAGGACATACAGACAATACTTCTGGAATGGCATCAAAATGTGGTCATCCTGCAAACTTTAGGAGTCAATACTTGGACTCGCACCAAAGCCATGATACAAAAATTAGGGTCATTTGTTCTTCTGGGCATCAAACTATAGTGATCATTATTGGGAAATGGTTCCCTTGGGGCAATGATCTAGATTCCACTGACAGCCATCATGCCTCAATGCTCTGTCTCCTCAAGCCCTGGAGGGGACTGTCAATGTTGAAGTCACAAGGAGAGACATGGACATCAGCATATGAAAATTTCCTGAATTTGGAGGGATCACACCGTCATCTGGCAGTTGTCAGGGTACAACCGGGTCTGGACTGTTTACTCATGACTGATGACACATCAACTCCAGACCAGCACTGCCCCTGGACTGACACGGACATGTAATATATTCCCTCTTGTAAAGCAGCCCCACATTGCCGAGTACCCTGACCTTATCATTTCCTGAGTAGCAAGCAGGGAGGGTAACTTTCTTCTCTCATTTTCCCCCTTGCTGCTCAGCTGGAATCTCCATCACAACCCGCTCTATCGGGTTCCCCCATTGAAACCGACCCTCTCCCTTTCGGTCTCAGCTCCAGTGAGAGCTCCGGATTCCTTGACCTAGAGACCGAGCAGCTTGGTACTCTGACAGCAGCCATAATTGGAAATGCGCAGTTCTATTATGACTGCAAGGATGCCGCAACGCACCAAAAAGCAAACAGTGTCTACTCTGGCTCCCAACTGGATGTGGATCATAGTGATGAGGAAGTGGAGGAAGTGGAGGGTGGAGGGGCTGAGAAAGGGGATTCAGACTGGTCCAAAGCCAGCCTGGAGAAGATCCTGAGAGATAGAAGCAGGATGTGCGAAGTCCTTCATGGTGAACACACTGTCAAATGCATGAAATCAGCACATATTTTCAATTCAGCAAGTACATGGCAAGCAGATGTTCTCCCATCATCGATCACTTGCTGGGACATCGAGAAACTTGCATCATAGAAGGATGCGATGAAATTCGTAAATGTGGACATCATTGAAAACATCAGTGGAGACTCTGGGAAACATTCTGGCAGAGTCAATGCACTCACTTCAAGTGAGGTTGCCAATACTAGTGGTGGAGGGGTTGTAGTGATGGCTATGCTGGATCCATTCCAACCATCCATTGCCGTTGACACATCCCATCTTAACACAGACCAAAAGCACACATTCAATATCATGTCAACCCATGCAGCAAATATTATGCAGGGGGGAGGCAGACAACTGTTGATGCTGTTACTGGGTGAGGGGGGTACAGGGAAATCAGTTGTGATAAGCATGCTCACCTTGTTCTTTGAGACACATGGAAAAGCGAGTATGTTGGCGAAGGGGGCATATACCAGCATCGCAGCCTGTCATATTGGGGGTCACACACTACACACATTGGTTAGCATGCCTCAGAGTGACCAGCTTCCAATGCAGAGCAACTTCGAAATCAATCAAAGTGGTGGTTGACCCGGCAATATCTCATCATTGATGAATGCTCAATGATTTCCCAAAGCTTCCTTGCAAGGCTATCAACTATCCTTGGTCTGATCATGACAGAAGTAAAGTGTAAGGGATGGACAGGGATGGGATGATGCACGCTTTGTGCGCATTTCATTTATTCTTTAATATTCTTCATAATAAACAATGTAAAACAACTGTATATATATAGTGTCCGGGGTCGGGGAAAGGAGCTTTGCTCTTCTCCTCCCCCCCTGTTGAATACTAGCTCCATACAGTCTAAGTTATCGACAGCCTGAGGATTGAGGAGTCACCAAGGCTGGCACCCCAACTGGCCTTACATAAAGGGAGAACAACAGGAACAGCCATTCGGTGCCCTGAATGGGATTCTTTGCAGAGACTTTCATCAGTTCCCTGTCAGGGCACACCTGCCTGACCCAGCTCCACCCAGCCCAACCTGACCCGGTACCCTGCTGTCCACCCCTCCTCACCTCCTCCCCCTTTTCCTTCCTCTCTCCTCATTCATGCTTCCTCACTTTCCCCCTATCTTACTTCTTCTTTATTTTATCTTTATTCTACACAGACGACCTTCTTTGTATCAATGTACCATTGACCCATCTGCAGCGCTGAAGGAGAGAACGAAGGAAGGTCAGTTGGGAGGTTCAAATGAGACCACCACCAAGCTGTTCCCTGGTTCTTTAGTTAGGATGGGGAAGTGTACTAGTATTATTTGTTGTAAATATAGTACCAATCCGAGTGTTTTGGCTAATTCTATTTTTATGGGTTAGTCTAAAGTTTCTGGGAATTGACTTACAGATAAACCGAGCCCTGCGGAGCTGTTATTTTATTGAAATTTCTTAATTTGTCTAGGTGTAATTCTGTGTAGCGTTGTTTAATTTGGAATTTAACTTGAATTAAATCTTCTACTTGGTGAAGTTTCAAAGATTCTACTCAGTTAATGGATTTGGATTGTGTCTGGAGTGTCCCTTGAGTTTGTTTTATTTTTGTCTTATTTTATTGCTTGTTTTAACAGTAGCAAAATAACTGTTTTGTGTTTACACTTTGAAATCTGGAGTGTTAACCAGCTCTCCTGTTGAAATATCTACTTAATATTTCTCTCCTTAATTGCTGCCTTTTACTACAGTGGCAATCTTAACTGTATATCACTTTTTCGCACTGGAGTGACAACCAGAAATGCTTGAGAAAAATAATACTCTATTTTCTTACTTCTCTAAGGGGGGCAAAAAGTCGCAGAAAGGGTCTCCCTTTTATACTTCTTGGGTCGCCTTCCTTTTTCACGCTCTACCTTGTATTTACAGGATTTATTTACAGTGTATTTTTCTCAAACTGAATAAAAAATGAAATTTTCATGCTATAGTTCTACTGTGGTCAGACTGCGCCTAGAATCCTTATTGTCCTTCCTTGCCTAAGCTATTTTAATGGTTAATTAGAACTTGACTGCACTGCATTTGTCGCAGTTTCCTATTTCAAATTCCTCATATTTACCATTAAATTCGCTATGACTCGGTGATTCTGAATTCAAACTTCGCATTACTATGTATACGGCTGCGCTGAGACCTTCAGCTGATTTATTCCATTTTTATTCAGTGACATTTAGTTAAAATGAGACTTGAAATGGTAAATGAGTGAATTATTCAGGTTTAAAACCAAAAGAAAAAGTTGCTAGTAGTCAAGAATTACTCAAACGAATGTATTATAGCTCTCCACTTCATTAGAATATTGTTCCCTAAAATTCCCGCCATGGTCCATCGTAGTTTAGTGGATTTCATGGATTTCGTTCATCTTCCTTGATTCCCCTTTGTATTATCACATCCTAATCCTCCATATGTGTTGTTCGTTGTTATAGTAGGTCATCCTCGAAGATATCATATTTTTATGTATTTTATTTAAGGCTCTGGACCTCTTGAAGCTGTTTTCCCACGCATTTTCAGGTTTCTAACTTCATGTCCTAGTATCTCATTCATTTCTGGATGGTTTCTCACGTTCTTGGTATCATAAATTTTCATTTATTCCCACCTTTCCAATGGTACTAAAGTTGTGTTCTATTTCCTGGTATTCGTCGAGTTAGCAAAAGTTTGCATGTGCATTCGGTAATCACGTGTGTCGTTCGCATAGTCGTTCATATGTGGGCACTGTTTCTGTTTAATTGTTCGGAATTTATGATATGCACGGATGTTTATATCTTTCATATGGGCTTCTGTGATTTATCTCAGATTTTTCCCTCATGATCTAAGGTTGTTTTGCACTTTCCATGCTTTGTTTTGACCGGGCTCTTCCTTATTTGGATGGAAATTGGTCTTCGCGATCTGCCGAAGTGTGGATCTCGGTTCCGACGGCCGGTTCCCTTCGCATTGCCACCCTCACGTGTCATTAAACATGATGCGGATTTCTATATTCCCGTCATGGGTATAACTTCACAACAACTGGACCATTTGGGCTGAAAATTTGCATAACTATATTTCCCTATTTTTCATAATTTCCGTGTAAATTTCATTGTATGTTGTAATTATGGATCCTACGCAAACATCGTCTTTTCCCTGAGCTCAGACTTTGGATGTCGCTATTCCCGTTATTGGATATCTCATTGATGCATGATCCTTTTATTATGAAAATTTGGGTGGATTAAGATTAGATCCCTTCCTTTCTAATGGGCCATCAAGCTCGTCTCGGTCGTTACTGGTTAGTCTTCGCGCTTGCTTTTTAAATGTTGTCCTCATTTTGCAGGAGTTTTAGTCATATCTCCATCGTTTATGGGTAGTTTTCCCTGTAATTACTTTCATTGGGTCCGTTTGGGGGACATCTTCATTTCCTATTATAAACACGACTTTGAATTTTGCATTAGTTCCTGAGGAATCCTTGTTCCGTGGTACTTCCATCCTTGGCTATGTGTGCAGATGTGGGAAAGTAGTTTCCGTGGAGGTTCTCTGATTGTTTCTATAGTCAAATCTTGGTCGATTGTCCTAATTCTTTCTTTAATATTTGGTATAAATTCCCCCGAGAATTCCGTCTTGTTGATGCTAAGCTTGAAGTATTTTTGCTAATTTTCTTTCTTTCAATTTATCGCGTATAGTCATAATAATTTGTAAAAATTCGTAAAAATTCATTAAAATTCAGGTCCTTCTATTTTCTCATATCTACTTGTCGTATGGGGTTTTGTGATTTATCTGGCATATTTCCATAATGGGTTTCCATAGTGTGACCGTTATTTCTCCTACAGCGCACCCACCATACACCTGGCCTGGGCACCTCAGGCGACTTCCTGCTGTGCCCAGTACGTGTGCCTGCACCAGATGCCCTCAGGATCTCCCATGGAGACACCCGGGTGGTTATGGCTGTGTGCGAGGGTGATGCGGCACCTGTCATGTGATCTAAGCCACATGTATATAAACGAACCTGAAGTGGGAACCGAAGAAGTAGCCTTCTTCTCAACTTTCCACTTCAGTCTAAGTGGCCAGGGACCACTGTCCCACATCGGGCCTGTCAGTATGCACGTGTAAGGGATTAACCTTACTTCACTATAATTCCGATTATAGTGATATTTATATTATGTTGCATTGCTATAATTCCCATTATAGTGATGCTGTTCTTTCTTTATTTATTTGTGCCGAGATATGTAAATTACATATATATACCTCAAAGTAGTTGTAAAGGCCTGGTAGCCTTTTACCTCTACCCCATTGAATATACAGCACATTTAAGCTTATATTTAGATGGACTAACTGAGGCCTGAGGCGAATGGGGGAACGGAACATTACCATCCCCAAATAAGTAAGCAACCTTTCAGCACACCTGATCCACCCCCTGCCAGGCTCTTGGCCCCAGACACTACACCTGGGCTCCCTCGGCCCCAGACGAGTCCCTGACATTCCCCCCTGTGATGGGAGGCCCACAGGCAACACTATACTGGCCCTCAGGAGCTGGCGATAATCGCAAAGAGGCACTGGGATCAGTACTATATCAGAAATTTGATACCGTCATCATCCTGAAGGAGCAGATGTGAGTCACTGATGAAAAATGGATCAACTTACTTCGCCATGCATGTCATGGAATGTGTACACAAGAACACATTGACATGTTGAAGGCACTAGTGCTTTCATCGAAGGCATGTCCACATACAGATTTTAACAGTCCTCCATGGAGCCGTGCTAGCCTGGTCACACTGTGCCATGGGGTACAGGTGGAATGGAACAAGGCAGCAATGGAGGAACACTGCCAACAAGTGAAGGTGCCACTTTTCATATGTGGAGCAGAGGATTCAATCAAGGGCAGGCCACTGGGACTCACAGAAAGGTGGGCATATGCCATGCAGCCCAGCAACAAGGGGGAGAAGAAGAACGATGGATCAAAACTTCCAGAGGAAATTGAAATCATGATAGGAGCGAAAGTAATGGTCACCATGAACATTGACACTGACAGGAACATTGTGAATGGCTCATGAGGAGAGGTAGTGGAGATCATGTTGAATGCGAACAAACAAACCCCACCAGACAACATGGTCCGAGTGAAGCTACAGCACTTACCTGCTTGTGTGCTGGTTAAGCTAGACCATAAGAGCAAAAAGCAGGTAGGCAATTTAGATTATGGAGTAGTTCCAATTTTTCCAGAGGAACGAACTTACCAGATCACAATGAAGGATTGCAAAACAAAGTCGGTGAAGTGACAACAGCTACCCATGACAGGGGCATATGGCTTTACAGATTACTGAGCACAAGGTCAGACAATCCGACATGTAGTGATCGATCTTGCACCCCCACCAATAGGAGGATCGATGCCATTTAATGCTTATGTTGCATTATCTCGGAGCTCCGGACGTGATATGAAAGGTTGGAGAAAGTGAGCAAAGCAACACATAGGAGGTGGGATATCAATTGATGATGCTGTTGTTGTTCACAATTTATGACAAATTACATATGTTTATTTCGGAGGATTCGGAGGAGCAGGAGCACAAAGCACACATGGTCCAAAGAAACCAATATCAACATGTGGGAAAGTAAAAGTTCCCACAAATTGTGTATGCAAAAGAGACCTTACAAGCAAGGTAATGTTGTGGAGATATTTTGGCCAAGTTGTGAGCATAGCATCTGAGTGATTCAACCCAAACAAAAGCTGCAACCGGATGCGAGAAGCCTAGTCACAAGCAAGGTCAAGGCTGCACAGCAGCCACTTCTAGTGGGAAATAGCACGGAAATCCGGCTGTCCCCACGATTTCCGCGGCACTTCTGGTTTAAACGCAGTGAATAGTATACCCTAATAGTCAATGGGAAGAGAGAACCACAGGGTGGGAAAAGTAAAGTTCCCATGAATTGTGGACCCGGAAAGTGACCTTGCAAGCAAGGTAACCGTAACAGGACTCTGAAAGATGTCACTATTAGAAGAACAGTGTACGTACATCACATGAGTAACTGCAGACACATTGATGTGAATCGAGTGGTGCATACACATTTAGAGAGCGAGAAAAGAAAGAAATGCAATATTACTTCCCCGAACGCCAGAGGCTCACGTAGAAGATTCTGGTTGTCCAACATTATTTGAAGAAGATCCTCCTCACAAAGTCAGTAACAGATGCGCTGGCCTCGAACACATTACGAAGCTGGTCGGACAAAGTGCCGTCCATCCATCTCCACTTGTGATCTCCTTTAATAAACTCCGAAGCGAACTCTGCGATTGCGTAGATTGGCATCTGAGGATGACCCGCAGGTACATGCGGCTAACAAGACCAGATCCAGCTAAGCGACGACGACGACGAAAAATCATAAAGGGATGCTCACCAAAATACTGGCATCGACAACGCGTAGCTTCCTGATACCCTTCACGGTTAAATCGGGGTTGACAACCCCCTTGGTGCTGCCCCTGGCCGAAATGGAAAGAGTAGCTGATAATTTAATAAGTCACAAAATTAACCCTTCACTATCCTAACAATCAGCACGTACAAGCAGGATGCGCGAAGGCGACTGCGATGTGAAAGCAAGTGTCAGCCGTGCAAGATCACAACCACCTGCCATCGCACACGTACTAGCATTGTTGCGAATATACTTTTCGATTTGTTCGTCTGTTTGTGCCTTGGCTGATTCACCATACTCTCCCAAGACGTAGCCCTTGAAAACGGGTGCAGTCACGAAGTTTCGCGCACGCTTGAGGGCTATAAAACGAATATACGCTCAGTCTCGGGCACGGCCTTCTGCTGAGATTGTTGAGAGGTGAACTTGCCAGTCTTAATAATGTGGATATCAAGGTCCTTTGTAAGGAGTGCAAGATCGATCAAGGGTGCGTCAAAAGGATTGCTTGAGTTCAGTTTCACACTTCCCCTAGCGCTGGGAGTCAAGAGGAGTGTCGAAATAGCCATGAAACTTTTCCCTGGAGGGGTTGGAACGCTTGTGCTGAAAAATCCATCATCCGTGAGAAATTCATATTGTGGTGAGTGTGGACCCGGGGAATCATCAACGACGCCAGGTTTCGACCAGATGGGATCATCAGAAGGCAAACGGAAGAACCCAATGCTTTGGCTGATCGTGTTGGATAGACGACCTAGGATGGAACAGTTCAGCGCCGCAGCACTCGGGGACAGCATGATGCGGATGGTTTACCGGTTTTGTTGATGGCATACAACTCGTATTGCAGTTTAGCAAAGGGGGTGAGAGGGTCACGGAAGAGCTGGTCCCTTGAGATGCTGGAATTTACTTCCCACTTTTTTCCAAAATGAGGAAACATGGCCTTCCACCAAAGCCCCGGTAACTCACATTATACCCAACCTGTACGTGGTCCTGGAGGTTCTTGCCTACTTCGGGGTGGTCTTTAACCACTTTGATCCCCAATGCTTCGAGCTCCGACTTTGGACCAACACCTGACTGCAGCAGGATCTTGGGGGAATTGATGGCGCCAGCTGAAAGAATGGCTTCTTTGACAACTCCGACGACAGTCCTTGGGCCTGGAATCCAAATCGTATCATTAGACAATTACCTCAACATTTTCTGATGCGATCTAGGAGTCATTTACCATCTGGGCTGTTAGCAAACTCGATGCCAGTCACAACTGGTGTGCTGCCAGATTCAGAGAACAGGATTCTGGTAACACGGGTATTCGTCACCAAATGAAAGTTGGGCCGGTCTCTAGCTGCTTTGAGGTAGTTGCTTGAACCACTTCTGACCCCGGTCCCTATGGTTCCAAATATTCTAGCGAGACCGAGAGCCTTCCCAGTGTTAATGTCCCCGGCCCAACTGAAGTTCGGGAGCTCGTGAGCGGCTGTTAGGTACTGGTAAAAACATCCATCCAATACAGATTTGACCTTTGTATGGCGTACCTTGTTTAACCTTGTTGTGGAATGGACTTCCGTCATTTGGAGGGGAGATAAGTGTAGGACCTGTAGTTCCGTACGTCGTGGGATCGTAATCCCCAGGGAAGTCGTTACCACTGGTGGGATGTTTGAGCGTCTCGGCCTGGGAAGAATTAGAATGAGATTAAGCTTAAAACTTCAAACGGACGAATGGAACAAGGTGAACCTTTTTGGCATAGGGGATGATATTTTGCCATGACCAACGATGATCGCCCGTTATGTTGGCAATGCGGTCATACTCTTCATTCGTTCCGCGAGTGTACAGCATGAAGTTGACCTACAACATGTTCAGCCTGGAGGGAACCGGTAAAATCGCGCACTCACATTTGTTGACCCACCGACCACTTTCCCACCCAGCGATGAGACTTTTCTGCCGTTAAGCCCAACCTGAGGCACGGTCGAATAGCGCCACACGTGCTCTGATTGGATCGGTAGAGTAGCGTATAATGGGACAGTCCAATTTTGATTGTTTGGCACCCTGTTTGGAAGACTGAGTGTATAATTCCCGCCAAAAACTAGTCAACCTACTCGGTACCAGCTTCAAGCACGAGGACGTTGAAATGAGGATTCTCCGAGAGACGCGCCCCAAGGACAGCGCCAGCGTTGCCGGCTGCGTGTAGGATGAACACTGAGATTAACTCCAGCAACATCAAGGCATACCTCCGATGATAATGAAATCGTAGAAGGCTTTCAGAACATTGTATGGCGGAGACATTCCGGTTCAGACTGTAGAACGATGGGCATGCTTCTCGAGTGCCTTACTTTAAGTATGAAAGGCACCTACCCCTGTGCGGGGACATTCACACGGTCAACCAACGAGATTGAATGGGAACATGGTCCCTGCAACTGTCAATATTGCGAGGCACGACAGAAGTCAGTGGGGAACTACGCGTCCGATTTTGAGCTGATTGACTGTTTAGGAATGGCCGTGTTCATCATTCATTTGTCGCCATTTTTGGATAATCACGTGGTCATTCATCCATATCGGTCGGTTTCGACACCGCCTAAACGAACAATGATCGGGGCAACGGTTCCAAGAGGTGTGAAGTCCCTGCAGTTGGCCCTTGAGCTTACATGAACAATATTGCCGGCACGACCGTTCCGAGAGGCATGAAAATCCCGCAGTTATTAATCGCAGGAACTCCAGACTCGCAATTAATTGATGACTGTCTTCCGATCACTGCTTCGGGTAGTGCATTTTGATGCTTGGATATTGACATCAAATATTGTTCTGTCAGATACACGAAGGGTCCATGGGGATATTATGTACAGCCGATTCCAATAAAAAATTGTTCTTTGCCGAATCTGGCAGCATTTTGAGCTTTTTCGGCAGACCCAATGGTACCGTGAAACTCCTGAAAATAGAATAAATAAATGTGGCACTCAAACTTGTACCGCCTTCGCAGCAGATAATGCAGATAGATCGCCCCCGAACACAGACGCGAATCGAACACATGGATCAAATATACATCAATCTGTGTCTTCACTGCCATACATGACAGCTGGAGAATCAGACATTACTGTGAGAGAACTAGCGTTACAGACTAGCGCTAGACAATGAAAGATGTTTAGTAAAGGTCTAATGAGACCAAGAAATGAGACCTCACCTCAGTTCACGATAGTGTAACTGAGGAGAGAGAAAAACAGTCGCGACGAGTGGCTTTTAAGCCTACAACGCCGCCTATTAACAAGAAAGATGGATTGGGAATAATGGAAAATCTCCTGCGGCTGGTGAGTCCGTGCGCCATAATGGTGGGACGTCGACCTTGTCTCTTAACGACAGGAGTGAGGCAAATCCGGTCTCTGAAGCGTCATGGATTGAGAGGAAACGCGTGTCAGCGAATGACAGAATCGGAGACCTCATATGATAAGTACTCACAGTGAATCAGCCAGCCGAAGCTGCCCCACATGTAAAGCAATTCAGAGGTTCGAATTAGCCGGTGGGATTTCGGTTGTGATATCTGGTTGACAGTTCTTCAGTGGGAGCATTGGAAGGCAGGAATAGGTATAGACCAATCGGCAGATGTGGATATGAGATTTACCATTTTCCTCATGAAGGATACAAATCCAGCGTCCCTGTTGACGTTCTAAACCGACGTCAGCAGTTGTTTGTCAACAACTTTGATACGAACCGGAACCGTCTTTACTCACTTCTGATTCACATGAACATGAACTCGTGTCCTCAGCCTCAGTCCGTGCTCGCTACAATATAACCTGCATTCACACCATGCCATGGTCCGGCCAAAATATGCCCTGGCATCACCCCATGTGCCTCCAAACGGCAATTTTTTTGGAATCGGCTGTAATGCTTACTTTTAAACACTCTTAGGATATCGAGCTAACATTTATTAATCGCAAACATATCGATATATTATTCGTAGTAAATACATCCAAGTACAACGTCCTCAGCTTTTCCATAGCTCGCGACCAGCTAGAGGGTTTGTACACATTACTAGTGTATGCACTCGAATAGAGCCCCGAGGTAACATGTGAATCCAAGGTCAAGTATCAAAATGGCCACATCCATACCTTCCGGCCTTGCATGGGTCGGTAGACAATCCCCCCGATGCAACCCTCTCGAATATCCAACAGGCGCCTAGAACTCCGAATATCAGCCACATCGTGGGCACCTCTATGGCTGAACAAGGCCAGTTCGGTGCCCCACCCTCAGTAAGCGTAATGGCTACTGCCGGGCTGGAGGTGCATCTTAACTTTCTGCGAGGTACATGGAGGCCATATAGCCACCAACATGCAGCTTGCGCGTTCCCAAACTTTATAAATATTCCTCTATCCCTTTTAATGTTGAGCCACGGTCTCAGCCAACCATGATCCTTCCGGTCCGAGTAGTAGCCAGAGCACTAGTCGGGCACTTTCGTTACCCGAAGACGATATCGCTGCGATGGACAAGGCACTGCTGCCTAAGTTGCGAGTGCTAGTAGAGGCCACCATTAAAGTAATGCTCGGCTGGGCATCAAGGGTTACTTCAATCACTTACGGGAGCAACGAAGTTCGACTGGATCGATCGACAGAGGGAGGGACCAAGTTCATTTGTAATCGTGACCGAGATGCAGAGCACAACAGGGAAACTGTGGTATGAAGTTCCCTTGTATTGTATCTCAGAAGCTTATGACCAGTCCGTGCAGAAAGCCCTATGGTGACGTGAACAGAGAAGCTAAGGATTGAGCCCGATCAACTAAGCTCTCGAATAAATTTGCTAAGGAGAATCCAGGCGGGCATTCTCCGAGTATTTTACCCCAGGGATTTTACCAAAATATCCCATTGTAAAATACTCCGATTTTCACCTGGGTCTCCCGGTGTTTTTATATATACTTCCCACTGTGATTTTCCAAATCCCCCGCAAGGGAGCCTGTCCTCCTACTCATCAACTCATCCCCGTCATAAGCCTGAGGCCACCTCAAAACATAAAACCAGGCTTGAAATTGCGGGAATTTGGGGGGGCTTCTATTTCTGATGTCGAGCAAATAAGACGGGAAAAATAATCAGTCTAAGCTGAAGCCACTGGCTAGAGTGGAGCTCATACTGTCGATACCAAGACCGCAGAACGTCACGCTTGGCGGGTTTCTCACCATTCTGTTTGGCAACAGCACAAATCAAGTACATCGTGGACAGGAACCCCATTTCCGATGCCTTGGGTGTCTGAAACGAGTTAATTTCCCACCAATTACGCATCAGAGGCATTGATCAAGCTGAGCAGTTATTCCATTGTAAAAGAAGGTGTAATATATCGGATCACACAAAGCGAATCCAGACAAAGCGAAAAGTAACTAGGAACTGGTCATGATGCCGGGGACCAACGGGCAGCCACCGGCGGGATTTGGATGGACTTAAGAGTAGTCAGGGTGATAAGGACCCCCTCCCCCCGTGAAGCCCTGTGTCGGGAAACGTGGCTCTTCTAGGCATCAGATATTCGAGATTCCCTGCAGCCTCCGCAGACTACGTGACCGCCCAAAAAACCCAGAAACCGGGATACGACCAGCCGTCCAAAACCACCAGACGCCCGCGAGCCGGGTAAGGAGAGCTTCCACCACACGGCTAGAGTAGCGCATTGCGCATCGAAAACCGAGTACCTAAGGAATTTCTTCCCCTTGTCAGAAACAAGAACTTTCGGTGGCAGCTGAGCCACAAAACCAGCCTGATGTGCGTAAACACTCGACACTTCCGGTTTTACAACTCTCCGAGGAGCCCGGAAACGCACTGGGACATACATTTCGTCCGGACGTTCATCAGACGTTCGGTGAAGATTAGGATCCAAAGAAAACCTGGAAAATCACAACATAGTTGTAAACAGCTGGGCGCCGCCGGAAGCCCCGCGGTGATGGAGCGATCGAGCGTGGGGGTACCTGATCCCAGGCATGCAAGGCAGAATATAAGAAGTCATCTAGCCTTAATGAAATGTCGCACGCGCCCGGGACAGTAGGTATGTGGAACATGGCCCTAAGGCAACGCAACACACTTGAATTTCAAGATCGTCAGCTCGCCGAACATCCTATCAGCTGTCAGTAATGGCCTGGGAGGAGAGGAGGAAATGACCAGTGAAAGGTTTTGCAGAGTCTCCAATTTCGGGCGGTCATTAAAAGCGGGCGCGGTCGTCTGACTGCCGTTTCGGGGACAAAGCACCATCCTGCCTACCCTCCGAAGTGAATAGGCCCCCATGTGATTGCATCACAAATCTACCCAGAGATACCCCCATCATCTGTATCTCAGAGGTTGCAAAGAAACTGCTGGGGAAGGTAATCCTTGCGCAGATTCTAAATTGCATCAAATCGGCCCTGATCTTGCTCCGAGTTTGGAGGGACTGTTTAGACTAAGCGCTCATACTTTCCATGTAAAAGTGCATCGTAAATCGGTTGCCATTACATAATTAATGTTCCGAGGGCATGTATATATCGGCACGCGTAAGCTCGTAGCTTTTAAACCCGCCCTGGGTTGCGAGTGTTATGTAGTGGTTGCGCAACAGTGACCATTACACGGGGGAGCACGCTTAGTTACTGTGATGACGCGAGTTTTCTTCTACGTGTATCTTGTTTCTCATTTCCAGGTTAATGTTCACCTGTGAAGACGCTCATAGGCCTTAGCGTGTACTTTATACGTACTTGAATATAAATCTCCACATACTGTATCCAGTTTGTTGCCGTGAGTTGAGCGCAGCGGCTGATAAAACAACATTGCCGGTGCTGTGCATGTTCTGGTGCACTGGTTCACAATTCATCAAATCATGCATTTTTGGAGTCATTGCATCAGCTCTGATGAGATATCTGAGTGAAAGGCTCAGTGTCCAGTGACTCGCATGGTAACTGGGCACAAGTGTTGACTGGGGGGTTGGTTGGCGCCGGCGTTCGCGCACTATTCGCTACACAGATCAGGCACGCCAATTCAATTGAGACGGGCACGGGGTCGCAATGGCTGCGCATTTCAATCAATTTGTGCTGCGCTGAACAATATTTGTTCGCTTATATTCGGAGCTCAAGTAATATATATATCCCAAAGGTGGTCGGTCGCGGTGGCACTTGGGAGTCCTCGAACACGATTCCTCATATACCCTCCACCCTCCACCCTCTGCCAACTACTTAGGGACTTGCTGGCAATCCTTCCCTCCGCTCCACTTCAACGAGACACATCTCCATCAACCCACGGCGCTTCTCTAGAATTCGGTTTCTGTTCCACCCCTTCCACTAGTTCTCTACGCCGCTTTCACCCTAGCCCCCCTGATGACTTTATCATGGCTAAGCGCGCTGCTAATGACTCTATGTCTCTGCGATGCCGCCACCTCATCCCCAGCGTCTCATTCACCTCGGGAGCCAGTGAACGGTGTTTCAATGCCTTTACAGAGACGAGATAGACCACGGACAGGCCCAAAATCCATCGAGTATGCTAGAGAGGCAGGCATTAGACTGAATATGAAGTATGGGGGATCACCGGTCGACAAGCGCTCAACAGGGATCAATAAACTCATCAATCAGGTGTGTCGGAAACATGGCTCTGTCATCACAACCATTGGCTTCAACCGAGCTCTTGCCGATTTGGATAGGGTTCTGATTCGTCGTATGCTGGTTCAATAGCAGTTGGTACACCAGCCAAATCTTACGACGTGATACTGGATACGTGCGCACATTTTTTCTTTCACTGCCGCCGGTCGGTTTCTTAGCTCTTACTGACATGCTTCTCTGATAGAGGAAGCGCAGACCTTTGGCTCGCTTCTACACTCTGCAACTCGGCATCCTGCACATCTGTTCCCCGTTTCGACCCCACTAATTCATCTTCCAGTAAAAACCTTTCCCAACCATTTTCGATTGTCTATGGGAGTGGCTCCGTGGCTGGTAGCTTGTACCAAGATACCGTGCAGATGGCTGGGTTTAGTGTTCCTAAACAAACATTCGGTTGGTTCCTTCGTTGTTCCTAGTACCGGGTGACTTAGCATTATACACACACAATAGCCCTCGCCACAGCAATATCGAGTGGGATCGTGAATGCGCCTGTATCGGGTATCTTGGGTTTGGCCTATAAGGGTCTTGCTTCATCAGGAGCAACGCCATTTTGGCAAGCGCTCGTCGAAGGTGGCGCGTGGGACCAACCGCTCATGACGTTTACCCTAACTCGGTACGACTATGCTCCCCATCTCTCGTTTTGCGTGCCCTAGTGACTCATCTCATCCAACATGCAGGTTTAACAACGCCTCGAAAATATCAGAACTCGAACCAGGCGGAGTCTTCACCATGGGTTTCGTGAATTCCTCGTTATACACCGGTTCGATCGAGTATACCAATCTAGTCGGTGGCGGGACGCCGGGCTTTTGGCTCATTCCTATGACCGGGATCACCGTCCAGGGAACTCAGACGCTTTCTAGCACTGTGTCTGTTGCGATCGATACAGGCACCACTCTCATTGGCGGACCAGCGGACGAAATTGCGGCCATATATGCGCAAATACCGGGAAGCTCCCAGAGCACGGACCCAAATCTTCAGGGGTTCTGGCAGTACCGTCAGTTTCTCGTCTACCCTTTCTCATCTCGATCTGATGTAGCCCCTTGTTTTTTTTTTTTTCCTTAACAGCTTGTACCACGAAGATTTCGGTATCGATCCAATTTGGTGGAGGGAAACAATGGCCCATTAGCCCAGCTGACTTTCAGTTCGTTCAAAATCAGGGTGTCTGTTACGGTGCCTTCTTCGAGACGGCTAGCACGAACCCATCATGGATCATTGGGGACTCGTTTTTGAAGAACGTCATGAGCGTGTATAGGTATAATCCTTCTTCGGTAGGATTTGCGACCTTGTCCTCGACGGCCCAGGCGCTGGCTAATGGGCCGGTTCCGTCGCCTACCATTGGAAGTAGTCCGGTTACTCCCTCGGGAGCTGGGACATCCAGAGTTGGGAACTCGCCCTTATCATCTGTGGCGGCAGTGGTGGCCTTCACCGTCTTGACCTCTTTCGCTGGCTCCTTGTTTGTATAGGCACGAGCGATGGCATACAACTCGAGAAGCCGTCTTGGGTGGCCATTGTCGCATTGGACACGCCTTTTGTCGTAACTTGCGCGGATCTGTGACCCATGTCAGAAAGATCATTTAGACCTGACAAACATATACCCTGCACCAATTTCTTGGCCCCCCTTCCTCCTGTTCTTTTTGTCTCTCCTTCTGCCTTTTTTTTCCCTTTTCCCCAACCTTCTCAAGGTATCACCAATGGAAATGGACCACAGTGTAATTTTCAGTTTGATCTTTTTTTTTCGGCTTATTGGACTTATTTAGCTTAGTTCCAAAGAGCAGCCTGTTAATCACGAACATGTACTAGCTATTGACAATATGCATGTTAATCGAATTCTGAAGTGTGAATTAAACCGAAGAGACGTGAACATGTCTGGGCGAAATTGGGGAACGAAGGGGACATCAGACTCGTACCCAGTCGTCGTTGCGTGTCGCGGGCGCGGGCGCGTCCACGAGCAACGACGACTGGGTACGAGTCTGAGGGGTAACCAGCGCACGACTTAATACTGTGCCCTCATTACGGGATATTGCTAGTAGTCCAGCAATTACGTGAGCGCTTCAGACTCAGACCCTGCATTGTCGGCGCAGATGCGCAGCATCCCACATCCGTTCCGACATATATAGCCTAGCTAGTCTATGTATCGCTTGATCGATCTCTAGCATAGCCTTGTCATACCATAAGTACCGTGTATGTATATGCAGCTATGTAATGATTTGATCAACGGCCCTATCCCTCATTATCCGGAATATCCTTTTGAGGCTCTCTCTAGTCCCTCGCTATAATGCGAGTGTAGCCGCCGAGCGCTATAGATGCTCATGCATATCGGACTAGTCATAACAACACTCTTTTTGCCTGTAAACTTTCATATGCGTCATCTTAACAAATTCCCGTTGTTGTCGTATGCGCGCTGTGGTGTCCCTGAATGTGATTCAATGTAATTCATCCTTCGACACTCCCAAAGTGTTTGGGTCCTTTAACTCAGTCGGTTAGAGTGCGGTGCTAATATGATTTGTTACGCCGAAGTCACAGGTTCGACCCCTGTAAGGACCATTCTTTTTTCAAATCCTCTGTGTCTGATATTGGCTTCTCACCCGGCTGATTACAGTGTCAAAAATTGATTTTTTGGCCGCTCATCCACACTACTACCGACAATTGTTTGATGCGTTGATCATTAAGGTACAAACGACAATGCAAATCTATACTAGAATCCGAATGGATTACCTCGTCCAGCACGGAAGCCCCCGCTGAATCCCCCAAAGTCTCCGCTACTAAATAAATCCGACATGTCAAATCCATGCGTGCCACCCATGCCACCCGATTCCGTCTGGCCGTCTTCATCATGACCTGCATCATACCTCCGGCGCCGTGCAGAGTCCGATAGCACAGCATGAGCTTCGACAACAAGCTTGAACTTTTCCTCATCACCCCCCTTATCAGGGTGGTGGATGAGAGATTCACGCCGGTACGCTTTCTTTATGTCAGCTGACGAGCATGTTTTCGTCAAACTGAAAACCACCATGAGCCGTTGACACGACGTGATTACATAACCGCCACGAAACTCACTTGAGGATCTTGTAATAATCCTTGGTCTTGCTACGCTTAAGTTGAACTTCGGCCAAACGAATTTCCTTCTCGATGCTTTTCTGTTCGGAGGCTCCTGCCTCTATCATGCTCGACTCATGGGCATCCTTGAAGTCTTGAATCGCATCTTCGTACTCCTCCAGCACAAGCCGGATCCGGGCACGCGTGCGCAATGATTTGTAATAAGCAGGATGCATCTTCAATGAGGCATTAACGTCAATCAACGCCTCTTGATACTTCTCAGCCTAGCATGGTGTGAGTGAAAGTAAGGTGAGATTGGATCTCCGTTGAACGTACCTTGTAGAAGGCTGTCGCTCGGTTACCTAACACTAGCGCACGCAACTGCCCGCCTTCCCCTTCTTCTGGCCGTTCCCCAATCGCCTCGAGAGTATTAGTGTACTTCTCAATTGCCTCAGCCAGCCGACCCGCTTTGAAAGCGACATTGCCTTCCTCCTTTAAGCTCTCGATTTCTCTTGCTCTCCGTAAAAGCAGTCGAGCGCGAGAGTATTCCGGATCATATCGAAGAGCAGATTGGACGTGTTTGATGGCATCAGGTATTCGATTGGTGAGGAAAAGGACGAGAGCGCGGACTGTAAGTACTTCTGGAGAGCTGGGGTCAAATCTCAGTGCATCACTACGGACCATGGGTCATTGAGCTGAAGACGGGCGCGTTCCAGAGCCAAATCGCACCTTGCTGCACTTGTCGCAGCATCCCATCGTCTTCTATGGATCTCAATATCAATCTTCCAGCATCGCCATTCAATTGGGATGCTGCCATCGATGAACTTCTCAGCGTTTTCCAGCGCAAAGCGTGCAATGCTCCATTCACCCCCTTCAACGGCTTGGTGATATCGATCAAGGTGGGATTGTAAGGTGTTGACTTTCTGTCTTAGTGTAATTGCCTCGGTATTATTCGGTTCCAAGGAGAGGACGGAGTTGACTGTGGAAAGGGCTGGGCTGGGTTGGCCGAGGGCGAGTTGGCATCGAGCAAGGCGTAGGAGGGTTTTAGGTTGTGGCGACGCGCCTTGTAACAGTACGGCACTCTGACAATCTTCAAAGGCAGACCGATAGTGTTTGATAGCCATATGACATGCAGCACGATTTGTTAGGTAGCTTGGTTCGTTCGGATTCAGCTCTAGTAGGGTAGTTTGCGTAAGCAACGGGAAATTGACCAGACAGAATAATGTAGCGCTCACGGTGGGCTTTCGTGTAGAGATCGATGGCCTCTCCGTATTTCCCAACTTTGAACTTTGCATTCCCTTCGTCTTTCAGCTGAGCAGCAACTTCCACCGGATCCTCCGGCAGCTCTTCCACAATGGACCCATCTGAGACCGAAAGTTGGGAAAGATTGTCGTCGCTCATAGTATCCTCGGTTTTATCTTCTTGAGCATTCGTAGAACTGTCTGCTGTACCGTTCTGTTTTGAAGCATTTGTCCTAATTTATCGCCGAAGGGTTAGCCACAACACGCAAGGGTTGTGTCAAGCGACGACGCCCACGATTCAGGATCCGCACTTCTCGTGTCTTCCTCGCTCATGGCGTCCTCAGTATAAATGTGTATTCAGATGGGCAGAGTATTCGTAAGACAGGCTGCACGGGCACCCTTTAAGAGTTTAACGCGAGGCGGCCCACGTGATAGATAATCCCAAATCCTTCTCCCACCCTCCGCCGCGTTCTCTAGTTATCTCCAGGATTGTACTATGCTTAGTTCTGAGCAGCGTTCACAGCTCATTAGCGCCGCTTTTGAAGGTCAATTTATACTTCAGCTTTGTTTTACCCATCCCCCCTGAGGGCTTCTGAAACTAAAGCTACGGTGCATCTATCTTGTCGATCCTAGCCCGTGAAAAGTCCTACAGTCCTTACTCCAAATTCCGCGTTGGTGCTTCCCTTCTAGCTGCAACAGGACAGATTATCAAGGGACAAATGTTGAGAATGCTAGCTATGGTAGGAGGTTGACTGATCCTGACCGCTGATTTCGATCTCATGCCGTGGACCCGTACATGCGCAGGTGGTACTATATGCGCTGAGAGAACTGCACTGGTGAAAGCTGTTGTGCGTACCATGGACATTCCTACTTCCTTTCATGGACTTGCTTTTTGATCATATGGTCCTAATCGCAGAGCGACGGTATCAAGGATTTTGTCGCTCTTGCCGTAATCACGTCTGTACTTCCTCCAATTTCGCATTGCGGACACGAGGCATTAAGCTTTTCGTATCTCCAGCGATGTCAATTCTGCTGTCTCGCCCTGTGGAATATGTCGACAATGTCTGTTTAATCCACTGCTACTTCGTGCCTGCTGATTCTACTTTACCATTCTCTCTCACCCCAGTTATCCGGGAGTTTTGCTCTTTAAAGATGCCGGTCCTTCTTGTACCTGGCGACTATAAAGAGAAGAGTCCAAACGGTCCGGAGGACGGAAGCGGGAAAGTTGTTGAGATTGAGTTCGAGAAATTATTGCCCTTGAGCTTTGGGCCAGGGGATTTGGAGCTCCCACGTGGTCCCCCAGAGTAGGATATTGTGTATGGGGCATGTATCACTTTGCAATGTTGTTTATGTAAACCTTAGTAACTTCCTCAACCCAATATCTATGGTATTTGAAACCGCGCCGTCCACCGTCAATGGTTTCCGGTGTAGATATTATCCCCAGATCCGCAGTTGATGCAGTTGATGCAGTTGATGCAGCTCTCCCACGAAAGATATATTGGGTGTGCAAAACTGGTTAGGAGGGCAAGACTTGGTGTCTGCTTTATAATCAGAGGAACTTCTCTACGCAGATGATGCCGTCCCTGTAGTGAATGAAACTCCCACTTCTCAGACATGGGGCCAGACATATCTCCACGCCTCCTTCACTATCGCCCAAGTAGAGGTCAAGTTCGCGGCAATCTACACTACCTTTCCCATGGATCCGTACCCGTAGAGTTGACGTGCCCCCTTCCAGTGGTTTGACACCAGTAGACACCAAGATATCTTCAGTACCACAAGTCAAAATTCCTTGCGGGAAAGCTCCGCCTTTATAAAATACGCTCGGAGCAGCGGGAGACGCTTCTCCAAGCTTGAACACGTCAAAAACCAAGAGCTCCCCTTGCGATGTACTCTTGACTTCCACCAGAGTTGCGGACCGGCAGGAAAGCGGTAGCCACTGTGTAGAGAATATAGGTGCGATGTCGAAGGGGCGCGACTCACGAGATGTATACGACGGAGGGAAAGCCATTAACGGCGAAGAGCGGTAACGCATCTCTAATGACGAGGTTAGGGAAGAATTACGTGGTTCTAACGGGAAGGCCGTAGGTTCTGTGTGCAACGGGTGAATGGGTGGTGGTTTGGACGTTGTGCCGAGCGCTGGAATAGGCACACTGTGTGCCAATCCGTCATAACATGAGAGGCTATAAAGACTCGAAGGACCGATTCCGAATCTTATCCTCTGCCAATTGAGAAACAATTAATCAGTACCTCTCGGAAGTTAAAGTTGGTGAAACAGAAACAAACATTGCCGCGTCCATCTACTGGGAATGTAATGACTGCCCACATATCACTTCTCCAATTCCAAATCAGTAATTGATGAGGGTCCTTGAGAAGACAAGCGAAGTCTCCCTCTAGCAATAAGTCTGATTGCATGTAAGCTCCGGCTATGGGCGGAAGCACTATTTCTCCGACGGATGTAAACACCGGAGGCTCGTCCTTGCTCGGCCACGACAGCTCAATGACGTTGAACACTCGCCTGAAGGGAGAAATGATAATCCGGTCAACTCGCTGAGTAAAAGGAGAGACGTAAAACACCACAAACTTACATGCAAGCAGAGTTCCAGTATAGGGACAAGAACCTAACCGTCTGTCCATTGTCGTCAGCTTGCGGCGGCCCAAAAGTAAAAACGTTCCATGGGTGACACTCATATGGCATAGCCAAGTGAGAAACTGGGTGAAGGGTAGGTGGGTCATAATAACTGGAACAATATTTGTTGGTCGAGTGAAGTTTTGTATGTGCGAGCCTCTCGTGGAGTTCTTGAGTTTCGTTTCGTTTCGTGTGTAAATCCCAGCATAAAATGTATAACCGACCCGCCTTGCTAGCTGTCCCTATCAACCAGCGAGCCCCCGGCACAACGAAGGGTGCGCGACCTGTGAGTGTAAGAGACATTGGAGGGGAGTTCCCAGCTGCCTGGATCTGAGCACCCAGTGTAAATCGTGTTCGTTGGAAGGGTGGATGTTCGAGACATATTCTCCTATTCTTGCCTTCATTCCGGAGTCGGGATGCATTCTTAGCAAAGTGGCAAATCCTCTGAGGGCGAGTACAAGCATCCTCCAGTTGTTTTGCGGACATAAAGTGGATGGGGAAGGTGTGGGGAGGGATGCATTCCCAGCGGATGATCTTCAGCAGAGCTCTCAGCCATACGAGACGGCTGGGACGCAACTCTCGCATATAGTGTCTGCATGTCTAAGTACAATAAGAGCGGTCAATGACGACAAATTGGTTGATGAACATGGAGAACCAGACGCCAACACTGTTGGCGATTCTGAATAGAGAAGCGTTGACAACTTACCGAACATAATCGAACGATGGCATAAGGGTCGAGCCAGCCGACGATCTCGAGAAGAACGTCTGAAGGAACATCGATGATTGAAAGGGGCATCTGGGCGGTGATATATTGTGGTTCAGCCGCGGTCAAGGCTGGTGAAGAGGATGGATGTTGGTTGGGGGGCGTCTAAAAGAGGGAAAGATGGATGTGTTCGGTGATCTGTTCTTCGAGTTTGTGCGAAACCCTTTTTAAAGCTCTGCGGAGGGAGTTAAAAGAGTAATAATGGAAGAAACAAAGGCCTCCGTAGATCCTCCGATCTTTTCCTAGTGCGTAATTCGAAGAAGACAAAGCACGAGTAGACTCGCACTGTCCAGGAGGAATTGCAAGCTCATGTCCAGCAGAAAGTGCAACGTTGCAGCCAAATGCACCCGAGCAATCATATCTCATCCTTCTGTGAATGGCAACCGCCTGCGGGAAATTTGCATAAACCCCCGCGGTCCACGGATTCCCACAGATAGCTGATTGAAACATATTGATCCCATGTTCCACAACCTCTAGGCATGTGCAGCGGAGAGTCATACAAGGTGCCGCTCTACTCCGAATACGAGTTCCAGGTTGTGGACGTGCTCCCCAGTCCATCTAACGTCCTCCGAACAAAATTCCCTCTTCTAAAACTCCGCGGAGATTGACTGGGGAAAGGTTCTGTTGGTGGCTGTGTGAACACCGTGGGATCGGAGTCAATTAATTATCAGGCATATAAATGACCACGCGTCAAGTTCAAGTCGCTGGACCCCTGGGAAACATCCCTGGATAAGCTTCAATCCATGAGCTGATGTATAACAGTGGGAGCAGCATGCCTTCAGGGGCATGATTTGTGGATTTTTTCTGTTCGCAAGGACCCATAATCATCTTCTTAACAACTGCGTCGATGACCTGAAACTACGTGCATCGCATTTTAGGCTCAAAAAGCCTTTATTGTTTACGTTCCAAGTGTCGTAACCCTTTGTCCTTGGGGTCCCAAATCTGACCCTTTGATAAACCGGTTAAGCCTGATCACCTGATATGTAGGAGCGCTGAAATTTGACCGAAATTATGCTTCTACCATCCGCGATGCGCCCCATTCATAGCACATGTTGGAATCTCAGATAATCGATCTAGCCGCGTGTTCTTATTCCCGAAGCATTGGCGATATAATGATATAAGAAGATATGCGCCCCCGTCTGGAATAACCGACACATGAGATCCTGCTGATGGTCATTGACAACGTGCATCAACACAAGTGGGAATGAGAAACAAAATCATATGAATGGATTTGCAAACTAGAACGGGAAAAAGGATGCTGAACAAATTCACTCCGAAATTGGTAGATGCATAGGATTGTGAACATGAGCGTTAACAAACGTAGGAAATGGAAGAAATCTCGGGCGGACAACTGCATGTGACAGGAAGTGGAAGTGATGGCATCCAGAGACATTCCAATCGTGGAATGGCTGGTCTTGTGCAAGTAAAACGTTCAACCACGGGTCTTCGGCGCTGCTGATCTGGTTACGCTGGGAGTTTATTGGGTGAGAACAATCGATGTCCACGGGCTTTTCTCGAATGAAAACGAAAAAGGACTGCGCCTTTCAGGCTGAAACGAGTAAAGAACGGTTCCACGGCCTCCCGGTCATACTTGTCCTTCTAATACCAGTAATCCTTCCCTTTTTCATCTTGGTTCCTCGGCACTCGATCACTCCCAGGGTCAGACTCGCGCCGCTCATAACACGCGTAAAGCCACCTAGCATCCAGCGCATATAATCCTTTGCATACAGCACACTACTTCGTCTGTACGGCGCAGACAAAACCGAGTTAGGTAAGGTAGGAAGCCGCTTGCGAGAGTGGCCCAGGTGGGCGCTTAAAGATGACGATGTTGTCCCGCGGCGATAGGGCTGTGGCCGGGATAACGCAGGCGAATTGGGGATGGAGTGGGAACGCAAACGTGGGGACAATGGGCGTGGGCGCGAATATGGCAAGGAGACGGTGTTTCTTCTACGCTTTGGTGCTTGAATGGGTATGATCGGGTGTAACGACGCACCCGTCTCCAATTGATCAACATCATCTGGCTCTGATGGTATAAGGAAGATCCCTTTGTCAGGGAAACTACCGATGGCCTGGAAAGCATCTACCAACATGTTTGACATTTGAAAAACAAAATGAAGGCCGGGGTCAACCACCTTGTCCGTGGTTGATCGACAGAGACAGGGTTACTTACCTCAGCGTCCATCCTACCCTCGATGTCGTACTTGGCCACGGGGTCCTGACGAATCCAGATGCGCATTCTTTCGAAGACTTCGAACAGCGATGGAACTTCGGGATCGTCAAGCACTCCACCTGGGTCTTTTGCCACCTTCCTCAGAGTATCGGCATCCATATCGATATGGTAGATAATGTCGTAGGACGGCGAAGCAGACATACGTGCCGCTGAAGCGGATGCTCGTGGGATGCGGTGATGTTGAAATCCGTATCGACCAGCGGAAAGATCTCTGAGCATCAGTACGCGGAGATCTGCACGCCAGGTGCAATCAAACAACTCTTTCCAAGGGGCACAGTCAGCGGGGGTGGATTGTAGGACCTCCGCGGAGGGAGACGGATAGTATCGAGTGGGAGTGTAGCCGTCGAAATTAAGGTCAAGTCCCTTTGTTGCAAAAGCGGTCATCATTACTGAAGATGGGAAATTGATCGAGCGGACGCCAGTGAGAAAAGATCCTGAAAGAGGTTGGAGGAAGAGGAGGGATTCGCAGCGTGTTGCTGTTTGGCGGGCCTAATGTGACGAAAGATATATGTTGGGGTACAATTGTGCACCCTGCCTCATACCTACTGAATAACTGATGTTACCACGGCTCAAGCCTTCCAGGGCTTTTGATGAGTCCCTGGTACGTCGGAGAAACCGTGGCGCCAGCAAGTGTACGCCATTAAGGCCTTTGCCCCTCCACTCTGAATGTCCTGAGACTGTCCTTCGTCCTAGTCCTTACAGCGGAGAACACGAGGGGATGCGGGGAGAGACCCTATTTACCAGCATGGAAAGTGCACTCAGTCTTGTGGCCTAACATCCGCAAGATGGAGCAATAGCGCAATACAGTGGAGCCCCCCCCAACGCGCCATTTCCCACTCGGGAACCTCGAACGTTCGACCCCATCTCGGGCGTAGCCGAAACGCAATAACCATAAACAGACCCAAGTGACGCTTTACATTGCCAACATAAAGCTCCTGCTGATCGATCTGTGACAACATTGAGACGTCCTGCAGCGCTCTAACGCTGGGTTGCGTGATGGATGCCTGGCGTACCATCATTCCGATGCTGATGCCACGGGGTCTATCCAATCGGTCGTCTTCAGCATACTTACGACGTTGGCGCTTGTGGACTTGCACACGACATGCGAGTTCTGGCGGTACAGGTCCCAGAGGACACATACCTTTCCCTACACATCCTCGGCCTACTCCTCACCAAATCTTCCACTTACCCCATGGTGCCACCGCCGCTGAGATAAAGTCTCGATGTGAGTTCACTGACTACTTTGGCAACTGCAGAGGAAACGTGCCTCATCCTAATGGCATGCCCTGCGGGAGTTCCGACTTCTTTCCTTCCCCATAATCCACCCGACGCTAATTTCCCTCATTGCTTTGTCGTGACTCGCTGGGGGTGGTTTCACGTTCTGATCTTGATCGATGTTGCGCGTCTTTTGGCTTATGAATGGGGATCATGGATCACAACTGCGGCTTTTTTCGGCACCAAGAAAAGACTACGAACTCATGAAACTCTATCATCCCGATTCCGCCCAATTCCGTACGAACCCTTTTGAGATCCTTACCCCAGAACTCAGGCAAGAACGTTTGAATGCCATTAGGGGCGCTTATGACGCGCTTCGTGGGGCTAAGCAGGCTAGATGGGGTGCTTCTCATAGAGGGCCTTCGATGGGTGAGCGTGCTGGAGCAGAAGGCAGGAGGTGGACAGGAAAGAAAAATGAATGGGGAGGTTTTGCCTACGAGCCCGAGGTGCGGCCTCATCCTGATGGATTGACTGAACCTTTCATTCTGTCCAAGAATGGCGTTATGATGAGCCTTGTAGCTGTTGTTGTGCGTATCGAAGTTCATGCCTTTCGGAGAAGGCTTTCTCATGCTTCGTATGTAGGTGTTGACAGTTTTATCCTTTCGAATCCTATATATATCCCCAGCCACCATTGCTGCGCGAAAGCACGACGAAGCTCGATCCAATCTTGAAGAGGCTCGTCGATTGGGGAGGGAACATGGGGAAGAAAGAAGACGTGAGCTGAGGAAGTGGATAGATGAAGGAGGGATGAAAGGTTTTGGTACCAAAATCGGACACGGCGGACCTCGGCCCCCGGCTGAAGACCATGACAAGATGACGGCGAAGTCCCACAACGGCTCATCAGAAGCAGAACGGTCATCGGCTTCTTCCCAGCCGTGAACTTCTGACACATACATTTATCACTAAAATTCTAACCTATATGATTCGCATGATGACCTGGATAATTCGCGCCTCCTCTATCTTAGAAAACCCTTTGTAACTGCTGCTTTAAATATATAAACACTGGGTAGAATGAGGCTTCGACAACTCCAAATTATTGTAGAGGGCGAGCGGAGTTGCCACCACCGGTGTCTGATTGAGGGGAAGGAGGCAAGGGTGGAATTCTACAAGCCTCGTGCGGGGTTTGGGTGCTAATAGGAAAGGGCTTGTAACCCTGACTGCCAGATTTCGGCTACAACAGTATTCCCACTGTCACTTTGAACTGTGAGAACCGCGGTCAGCAATGATTACTGCCAGAGCCGTCCCAAAACTTCATTCCTGGACTGGGGGTCTGCGCTTTAATCTTGGACGTATATTGCTCATTGTAAGGACATTCACGATCGATCGGTCTTAAACCGAGGATCATGGACACAGAATATTTATGGATTGGACGATGGCTTGATCTGAGGTGTCGTCGAGAAGCGCCATTTCAGAGGCAACTGATTGGAAATATGGGAAGGACCATTGCTTTGCAATTGTCAGGAGTGACACAGAATTGAAATATCCCGGCTCCCTGGGCCAGAACGATAGTCGCACATGAAGTCGATCACGATGGGAATACTACCTACATCCTTGTATCACCGGCGAGTTAAGGAGATCCATATGCCTACCGAAGTAGCACGGCCTATTCTCTAGCTGGTTACTTTTTGGTTCACATGAACCAGCAGGCGTGAAGATATCGTCTCCTGAGCATGGCCGACCAGGTGACAGAAATTGCATCCATTAAAAGAAGCTGGGCGAACAGCGAGAGTAGTCATGCCCGGGATACCAGAACTGATGTGCAACACCGGCAGGTCACTATAATATTAAGGGGAAACGTTGTCGACGCGGGCAATGCGAGAAACTTGTCGTACAATGCTCGAGGCCCACCCGAATCAGCAGCAACGCGGGCGCGGGGTGTGGCGGACAGCGCACGTCACGGCCCGAGTGAGGAAGTTGCAAATTGCGGAGCCATCCCTCATGCTCATGGGTTGTCGGTGTTGGAGTTACAACGACGCGTGACTCACTAACCAAACTCACATGATCTTACTTTTGTTTCCGTTGTATTGATACCGTGACTGCATTGTATATAGTAATTGTTTGTCTACTTTCTTTTCTCTCAGTTCTTCATTAACGGAGACTGAGGTTAGTATCATTGCTTTTAGTTGTTGTTACATTACTTACTCTGTACTCTTCTGTATATAGCTCCGCTTTAGGTTAGTACTAAACGTAGTAATTCAGTTCTTCATTAACGGAGACTGAGCTCCCGCTTTAGCCCTCCTATTAGTCGGACAACGTGGCAGGCACTGCTGGCCTTCTCAGGAACTCCGAGGATCATTGGACTCTGGAAACCCGCGACCAAGCGCACATTTCACATATGAGCTAGCGTGATGGATCAGGAAACAGTCGCGAGCTGCAAAAAGAATCGGCGCGCCTGATTTGGATGAACGACCCAAGTGAATCTGATGACCTAAACATGGCAGCAAATCAGAGGCAGATCATCGCTGTTTTAGCGCCTGTAAGCTTATAGCGTTCATTATTATGTAACCCGTCAACACGCTGTCGAGATGCATGCTCCCGATATATTCAATGCAATTAGATGCGCCGATTTTCCTTTTTGCAACTTGCTGTTTGGTTGCATTGGAAGCAGGGGGGGTTCCTTAGGAATTGGTCAAACCGGTGAATTTCCGTTCCAACAAAGGCGTGTTACATTTTGAGCTGGTTCCGGATCGAACTCCAAACCTGGCTGTCATGACCATGCGCTGATTTGGCGCCTCATCATTGGTACTACCGGTGAGGATACCGACGATTCGGCTATTGGCATCAGTGATGACAGATCCGGAATCCCCGGGGGGTGGAGAAAGCACCGTCCTTGTGGCTGTACGGATGGATGGCTATCTCCATGGACGTCGAGCGAATTGCCGCAGTCGTTGTATTCCCGGACGAAGGACTCGATGCCGGTCGCACGACCGATGGTAACATCGGTGGCGTTTCCGTTCTTGACGACGATGAGACACTCTTCGCCGTTCACGTCGCGCATGGTTGGGTGGCGTAGCTCGTTTTCTTTGACGATGCCTCGAAGCTCAAGCTGCAGGAGGGCGTCGAGTGGCCGGCACTCAAAAATGTAAGCATCTCTTGCTCAGGGTGAGATTCAGCGACGATATGTTGTGTTTCCGAGCACACCGGTTCCATCGAGTTCATTGTCCGTCTCATCGTGCTCCAACGATGCAGGGGTCAAGGTCTATTTCTCTGTTAAGGGGGACTGTGTACTGAGACAAGAAGAGTGGGAGGTTGCGGTCACTAAACTATTCTCAAAAGTTTCATCCGAGTCGGAATCGCTCCCGAGTGTAGGTTCAAAACAATGAAAACTTGAGGTGGTGTCTAATTGTGAATTCTGAGGCCGACTTGAAGCCATGTCACGTAAGTCTCAGGTGTAATTTCACTGTGCCTATGTCGCACAAGTCTGCGACAATAATGAGATGTACTCGAACAAGGCGATGGACAAGTACACTCTCACCCCAGGCTTTATTTTCACTCTGTTATGGCGATCGAGCGACGCTCTGTGGCGAGCCCGTCGTGCAAAGAGGCCGCGCCGGCAAAAGGAACCAAGAATAAGGCTTCACTACTTGTCACCCCTGTCATCACCCGGCCTAATATAATATAATCTCCGTAGCCACTCGCGCGGTAGACGTTATACAAGAGACCCACCTAATCAGGGTCCATAGGTTGCCCAAGGTGGCCTCTGCCCGAAGACCTGGTTCTGCACTAGGACCTCTTTCCATGGTTCAGTTGCCTGCTGGTATAATATATTCTTTCGTGAGCTTGACCCGCGAAGTCGAACGTCCGGCCTATGTCTCGCTATGTACATGTCTACATACATCTACGCCGTTTTGTTCCTTGGCTCAGAATCTCATGTTGTTCTACAGCACCCGAGGATGGCTACGGAGCACGACCGGGCTTTCGCGATGAAGGGCGCGCTTGGAGCCGGTCGACTTTTTGATGATTGAGCCTCCTCTTTATCGATATGCTAGATGGCCGTTGGAGCCTCGATGTTACCATCCGTTTCGCACTTGGAAACATTTTTGTAACAATCTCCAGCTTGTCGAGCGCTGAGGTATGGATTTGAATCATGTACTGATACGTCAGCTGTGGGCAGTTTCGGACAGAACATTCATAGAAGCGCGATTCGACTCAACTCATCGGAAGCTGATCCTCCCTTGAGCATTCATCTCTTTTGCTTCCGATATTTTCTGCAGTAACTTGGGACTGGGTGGCTTGATGGTGGCTGTTGCACTGCTCACACGCAGTTATGTTATGTTCCGATGACTATAGCCATTGCGACAACCATACGGTGTATCGTTCACTTAAGGACTCATCGGATCGGATCACTAGTGCCAGACTTGCAGTGCTCCTACCAGCTCTGGGAAACTAGGCTTGGACTGGTGAAGGCACCACGATTAACGAGCTAATTTCTGGCGATCTCGGTTTCACTGGCATGATAGATTAAGTAGAGGTCAGGTGTCATTTGCCGGGTTCGCTTTGAAGATGGGTATGTCAAGCCCCAGAGCTGTTCTCTTGTTTGCATCCTATCAATATCCATGACAGCTCTACGGCGCACTTAGCTGACACCGAACTCACGAGAAGCAGGAGGTAGGTCTATCTCCGAACGGCCCTAGACAGTGATGGACATAAATGAAGTCATCGTTCCGAATTCCGATGGTCGTCAATTTGTGCCTCGCAGGGTCCATAGATGATCATCTTGGCAAACGAGGGGATAGCAACGTGGGAGCTTCATGACCAAACGTTGCGCTATTTCTGCCACTTCGTACTTATGTAGTCGGAAACAGTTACGGGTTTAACGACCTTGAACGGTACTGGCCAGGCGACAAGTGTATATCTGCGACATGATCGCGCCCGTATGATCGAGATAAAGAGAAGAACCACGCGCGTCGCTAGCTTCTCAACGTCGGCACGTCCATGGAGAGGACAGAAGGAGTATCTGCTGAATTGGTTGATTACGTCATCGGGAACCTCACTCAACGGCGTCAACTCCGTTACTCGGAAGGGGGAACGCTGACAGAGTTGCGCGCTGCTTATCTCAATTGGTGCACATCCCTGGTAGCTTTGCACGGGCGTGGTACACCTATCTTTACAGCTATTTATATCGAAATGATCATTGCGCAATATATTGTCCATTGACAATAAAGATGGAACCGGCGTTAATAGCTCGCCGCACTTGACACACGCATTCTGCCTTCAGATAACAAACAGGCGGGAGAGGAGGAACCGTAATAATCTTGTGTTTGCATCCCTAGATCTGGGTTGCTTCAATTGTGCGTGTTTTTCGCCATTCGACGCGTGAGGGCAACGTTCGTTACGCCGCAACCTATAGTTCTATATTTACTCAGTCATGCGGTGATCCTGTAATTGGGGGCGGGTAGTCCGTCAATGAACGATGAAATCTCTCTTCAGTTGAGCGAATTGCGAAAATTTGCAATGATATCCTACTACAAAACACGCCCTGTTACTGGCCAGTGCATCTCCTTCTTGACCCCCTCTATCTACCCAACATCGCATCCTCCAGCCCGGCCGCCTCGGTCATCGAATAAGGAGTCGAAATTCGAGGATGGCGACGGGACTCATGACGAAAGACGAGACACAATTCGAACGCCGTCCCGTTAAGCTGACGGGCTCTGCACTTGCGATAATGGCCTTCCAGACGCTCGGTGTGATCTACTCAGACATTGGGACATCGCCATTGTAGGCCTATCTCATTTTATCTATGCTTTTGCTCAGCCAACCTAACCATCGGCTTGGTCACAGGTACGTGCTCAACGGCATCTGGCCAAGCTCTGGGCCCGTTCCGTCCACCGAAGACGTTATTGGGGGGGTATCTGCTATCGTTTGGTCGATGACATTGTTGCCGCTCATCAAATATGTGAGTTTCCTGACTTTCTGCTATCATGCCAACGAACCAATGGTCCGGCCTTTAGTCCTTTATCGCTCTTCATTTTGGCACCGGTGAAGGTAGACTATGGTTTTATTAATCTCCGTACAGCAGTTTGTCTAATAGGTCACTTGTGTCTAGGCGAAGGAGGTACTTTCGCGCTGCTCCAAGGCCTTTATCCCCGTTCCCCTTTCGTCGAGTTTGACCGTACCCTCACGAGCGATTCTGCCGTCAGAGCGCGAAGTGACGTGGAAAATCGAAGGGGACTCGAGTTCTTGAAGCAGGGAAAATGGCCTCTCTACTTCTGGAGCTTGTTTGGCACTGCTTTGACGCTTGGTGACGGCGTGCTCACTCCCGGTGAGTAGGCGCCTATCGCCGTCTTTTCTTTCATCTTTTGTTTTGTACTTGGTATCTAGGCTCATCCACGTTTCCCAGCTGTTTCGGTCACCTCTGCTGTTGGCGGTCTCGCCGTCGCGAAGCCAAGCGTGATAAATCACATTATCTCAATTTCCATTGTGAGATAGTGGTGCCCTTATTTATAAAGTTCAGGTTCACAGTAACACCATTTCAAGGCCATACTCGTCGTTCTCTTTCTTGTTCAACGCTTCGGTACCAACAAGATTACCCTCGCTTTCGCTCCTGTCACGTTCATCTGGTTGGCCCTGATTGGAGTATCTGGGATTTACAACATAACTGCCCACCCAGGTATATTTAGGGCTTTGGATCCCTCCAGAGCCGTGATGTGTGAGTATTACTTACTCATCGGGATGCGAGGTCCGCCGAACGAGGAGTGTTGGTACTCATTCTTATCATCACTAGGGTTCGTGAGGACGAAAAAATACGACAACCTTGCTGGGGTGCTCTTGGCTATTACTGGGTGCGAGGCGTTGTTCGCTAAGTACGCCGTATTGTTGTCGTGTCCCGTAGGAAAATAAGCTTATTCCCTCTTTCTTCATCTGGCAGCCTCGGTCAATTTAACGCCCTCTCCATTCGCTTGTCATTTACTCTCTTTGTTTTCCCTTGCCTCATCCTTGCGTATCTCGGGCAGGGAGCAAGAGTTATTGCTGATGGAGAAGCCGTCATGTCCAACATCTTCTACACTACAATTCCCGGGAGACATAATGGACCTCTCTACTGGATCATTTGGTTATTCGCTCTCTTGGCCACTGTATGTCACTTGTGTTCAGGGGCTTCGAATTGATATCTTATCTGTGGTGTGGGTAGATAATAGCCAGCCAAGCGATGATCACAGCCGTGTCCAGCTTGGTGAGTTACTTAACTCCTCTTCTTCTCGACCCTCACTAAGCGAACTTGGCAAAGACTCAACAACTGATCAATTGCAAGAGTTTCCCACCGTACTACACATTCACGATCTGAGCATGTGGATAATGCTGATTGATTTTTCCACCGTAGCCTCCGCCTGGTTTACACTAGTTCCTTGGTGCAAGGACAAGTTTATGTTCCTGCAGCAAACTACACTCTAGTGAGTTAGACGTGACCTATATTGGCGTTGATCTGGCTCATGGTCACTGTTTCTGTATCAGGGACTCGCCACTGTCATTGTTGTCGCTGCATTTAAAAACCTTACAAACATGACAAATGCTTACGGGTCTGTCCCTGATTCTATCCCCAGACCTGTCTGTGAAAACTGAAATATCCACTCTAGTTTTGCGGTGTCGACTGTGATGATCGTTACAAGCACCTTCATTTCCTTCCACATTTATATCAAGAAGGGACTACCCATTTTTGTCGCCATTGGGTTTTTCCTAGTCTTTGGATTCTTTGACGGTTTGTTCTTTGGCGCCTCGTTAAGGAAAGTTCCGTTGGGTGCATGGGTGCCCCTATCGATTGGATGCGCATTGTGAGTCTTCTTGGATTTGTGATAATTATTGCGGGCGCGAACTTGTGGCATGCAGATGCGCTCTGATGCTATTCTGGACTTGGGCAAAAGTGAGTGCACCATCCGAGTTCGAGCCCACTTAACCGACATGGCTGGTTTAGGGCCTCGAAGACGTTTTCGATGGGGAGAACCGTAGGAACCCTCGTCACTTCATCATCAATCGCGATTCAGCGCACATCGACGAGAAAGGACTGGTGGCCTCCACAGAGTTTGAAAGGCCCGGTGCGTTCAGTCCTGAGAGTCATGATCCACGCGGAATTACGCACAATGGTGAGGCTGATTCCCCGGTGAGACAAAGGAACCGTGTGGTGCTACCTGGGGAGGATACTATCGATGCCGAAGCGGAAGCAGTCGACGAGAAGTCCCAGGAGCTGGTATTCTACGACGATGTTAAGAATAAAGTTACCACATTGTCTAGGATCCCTACATGCGCTATCTTCTACAAGTTGGCCCCTGGTCCTGGTGTCCCTCATTCTTTCTACGGTAAGGTGGTTGTGATGGTCGTCGGGTTTGGGTGCTGACCTATAATTTCTAGGCTACATCAGGCAAATGCCTGCTCTGCCTCGCGTTGTCGTGAGCAATATCTGAGGCCTTGGACCTTTGATGGACCCATCTGATATCTATGTCATTAAGATTTTCCTGTCGTTCCATGTCGTCCCAGTCCCCTATGTTGCAGCCGATGATGCCTACGCCGTGACCAAAGTGCGTTCGATTCAAGGTCCGTGACGCCACATCACAGGCGATTTCCCTTGCTAAATACAGTACCCTAATAGGCTTCTACGGCGTTACGTATTGTCTCGGTTTCCGCGATGACTTCAATCCATCCACGGACCATATCTTCCGTGCAGTACATGGGATCGAGTCTCGCGTCAATCCCTCGCAGGCTCGTCAAATTCTCGACGAAATTAAGGAGGCAGCCGATCAAACTGTTCACATGTATGTTTATCTTCCCTGATCAACTTGGGCGCGGGCTCAAGTATACCGCATAGAATCCCACATTATTATGTTATCAGCAAGCAACTTCGCTTTTCGCCCGAATGGGCAGCCAATGCAATTTCATGGATCAGGCGACTTCTCATCGAGTCAATTTACCGTCGCCTGGGTGAGTGAAGTGGTAACTTGTTGCTGACATCTCTGAGCAGACTCCATTTGACAGCCACGATGTTCCCTGAAACTGCCAATTGGGGCCTCCAACAAGAAGAGTAAGTTTGATGTCTGTCCGGTGTCTTGATGAAGTCTCACCTCGCTGTTAGTACCCTTTATGTGGGCGTAAACGCTCTTATTTAGGTAACACTGATGTGTGGAATGAAGGGCAAGCCCCCCTGATGATGGCGCTGTTGTTATCATAGCCGTGCTACTACTTTAGGATATAGTCGTGTTTCGGTCATTGTATGCGTCTCACATTACTGTGATAGGTTCTTAGCTTTTAGGTATTGTCCTTCTGAAAGTGATACTGGCGACTGTCCCCCGTTTGGTGTGAACTACGGCGCCCGGCTCTGTTTCGAGATTCACGAGTTCGGACTACGCAATCTCAACGGCTTCGGGTCTCTTACATTCGTGAAAAGGATTTGAGCAGGGCTGACACGCATAAATACTGAATACATTTGCGAATATGATTTGGTTACATACACACACGTTCGTTCCAGACGAACTGAAGCCATGCATTGTTCCAGAGCGCTTCGGCTCGAGAAACTCCTTTCTCGACGTCCTTTGTCGGATTCACTTCTATGTGCTTCTTTCTTCTCAACCGCGCCGTCAACGTGTGCAAGAAGCGACGAATGCCCCGTTTATAATTCTTCCTCGCTTCGGTGCTAGCCCAAACCCGTCCTCTAGAAGATCTTGGAAGAGAATTCCCATTTCTCGGCAGCTTCGGGGGAGTCCTTGCTGGAAATCCGAAGGCAAAGTTGCATTCGGCTGACAGGAAGCGGGAAGGGTGGTAATAAGAGTTTCGCAATTGGTATGTGGGCTGGATGGTGGAGACGGGACAAGCTGGGCAACGCTCGAATAATTGGGTGTGCCTGGGAGGGCAGGACTCGGGGTCATAGCAGATTCGTGATCATGGAAGGAGTGGGAACAAGAATCCATGTTCGATACTGAGATCTGATTTGATGGTACCTCAGGGAACACAATGGGATGGTGCGTTGTGTAACATCTGACAGAAAGGGGGGACTTCAAGGCCCATATTTAGCGACCATATATGCCCATTGTTTGTGCATGACTCACTGGTGAAGACTCTTCCATAATCGTGGGGTCAAATATCCAGGCGCAGTCAGATGCAACGTAGAGTTCGCCGTCATATCCCCCTGTACACTCATGGATTTGGAGGTTGAAGACGATTACGCATCGACGTTCGGTCCAAGAGTGAATCCTTGGCCCAAACCGCCCCATCTTTATATCCATCTCGACGAAGAAATCCAAATTTTCCTCATACTCCTGATATATGGAACTTAAAAGCTCTTCTGGAGGTCTCAATCCGTACGGATTGATCTCCAATGAGAGTGAAGTCGTCCATGGAAGCGCGGGAGAGGCTTCGAAGAAGGATTGATACAAAGTGGAGGAGATGGAATTCCCCATGGGTTTGTCGTCTTGCAACCAAATATGCATTCGCAAGTGGGCGTCGCACTCAGAAAATAGTATACATATATGCACAGGTGCCTGTCTCACTTTGAATCGCTCAGTATTCTATGAGACCCTGAAAAGCCAATTTTGTATGTATCAAATGAGAAATTCTGCGCAGAGTAGCATGCCGCTGATTGGTTTATCACGCCCCAGAACGCAGTCAGGATGTTGGAAGAGCATAAACATTGCAGTTGAATGTTGACCTCCGATTTAAAATAAGAATCGAAATTATATGATCGAAAATAAAAGGCATCACGTGGGTCTGACACGCAGGACTCTATTTGCCCATATTTGGTTCGCCACTCAACAGCCACCAACATCGCGTTTGTCCGCGCAGACCTGATACAAGGTCACGATTAGGCAGGCTGTTCTTCTCGCCCGCTTATTCTTTTTATACCCCTCTTGCGCTCGGCCCGCGCAATTACCAGCCTACCAACCCAGTTCTGTCACTATCAATACGAACATGTCAAACAGAGAGGAAAGCGCGAAGTTGGTGCGATGGGCATTCGACGCGGGCTCAGATGGGAGCGTTATGTCGTCCGTCCCCTCGTCTCCGGAGAGTAGCTCGTCATCAACACTTGCCTTTGTGAGTGCGCAACTGATCGCACATGGGTTTGCACGACCACCAGGGCTCCTGGGGCCACTCGTGGGCTTGAGTTCAAAAGACCAGGAACTCGTCACTAAGTGCTTCGTTTCGTTACTGGATCAGAGAATTGTCAGTGCTCGCATCTATCACACTGTTACTTGGTCTCCCGACTGAATGACCCGGACGCTGTGCAGAGCGACATGGAGCGAAACGAGGATCTGACAACGAGACTTAATACCCTAACTTATGATCACGAACGTTTAAAAAGTCTCTATAATGCCGCAAAAGCCGAAACCATACAGGCTCAGCGTGAAACAGAATCCATCAAATCGAAGCATGCGTGAGCAGGTTCCAGGCCTTCCGGCTTCGTCGAACTGAAGATTTTATTTAGGATCACCTTGCGAGAACTCACGGACGCCCAGGCTGCACAAAAGCAAACTTGTGTAAGCCTTCAACGGGCCCAATCAGCTCTACAGACAAGTCGTCAGAATGCACAAAACGAGATAAAACGTAAAGAGCGGGAGCTTGAGCGGATTATTGAGAGGTGGAACAAGGTTTCAACGGATCACCAGGCAAAAATAGGTGGTATGGGCGCGAACATTAAGTGTTCGAACTTGGTTGCAGATGGTGTCACAGTTGTACCTCAGGTGAGCATGTGTAATCTCAGCCTGTTTGCTTCGCAGATTTGTGATAGAATCATGTAGGCAAATCCTATTCTCGAGAAGTCTCTAGAGCAACTCAGAATTGAACGGGAGCGAATGGCTGAGCAAAATGGGGACTTTCGCGAACTCATTTTTTCCCTCGTTGTTGGCCTTGACAAACTCGCAAAGCGAAATAACCCAAACCCCACCATTGAGCTCAACCCCGTCCGGGATACTACAATCTTCTCGCCTAGTCCAACACCCTGGGTCTCGGATGTTCTGAGCGCTCGAACGGTGTTGCACGATCTTCTCCTTTCCATTGGAGAAGTCATAGATTCCAGACCACTTTGCCAAACGAAGGGGGCCTCAATGGATGGGCGTCTGAGGGCGGGGGAACTGGACGTAGTTGCACAAGAGAAGCTCCTCCAAGAGGTTCAGAATCTCCGATCCGAACTGGGTGCGTTTCATCATTCGCGGTATTTTATGTGCAAAGTTGACAGCCCCCTAGAGGAAACACGCAAGGAGTTGACTGAAGAAAGAAACAAAGTACTCAACACATTCATGAACGATCAGCGGCTTCTGAATGGCAAACCCCGTATTTCTGCGGGTGGGGATGAAATGTTGTGAGTTTTATGTCCGCATATCCGATAATGACCAGGGAAAATCTCATTCAGCTTCACAGCGAACAGATGAAGGATCAAAGGGATCGTGAGATTAAATTAGAGGAACGTGAGCACGCTCTAGAGGATGAGAAAGCGAGGCTCATGGCTGTCGCTGTGGAGCTCGGTAAACAACGAAATGCTCTGGCCGTGAGTCGCCTCTGTTTGATGTGGCCTGGTGTAGTTATGAATCAGCATGCAGGCCGAGAAACGAGATTCTGAGGAGCAACAGCGGCAGCTGAAGCTACGTCAAGTCCTCGACGACCTTCCTGCCACTCCAGGACCTCCAACCCCGTCACCAGCTCCTGGATTTAGCCCAACGCCGTCCGCGGCCCCCACAATATCAGTAACGAGCACATCTGAAAAAGACGACCCTCCCAAAGGACACCCTCCGACGAGGCGCCATGTCCACAGAGCGAAAAGTCCCAAGAAAGTCTCATCCGGTGCTAGAATGGCGGGTGTGATACGCCATCTGCGTCGCAGAAGATCTAAACAGCTGCTTGAAATTGAGACTCTTATTGAAGATGATATTGCTGAGGCGGCACAGGAAGAACTGGAGGAACTTGACATGGGGACCAGCCCAGAGAGTAGCTGTAACGTCGTGGCGCCTGAAGTAGCTAGGATGGCTCCAGGCGTCACTGCTGCCGTCAGCAATGGGTTCCCCGCACCGGCTGTGGGGACACCTGCCCCATTCATCTCCTACCTGAACGAGACTCCGACAAAACCCGCCACTATCCTTCGGAAGGAAAACCCATTTGATGTTATTCTTGCACGATCTGCCCAATCTGCTCAGGAATTTCAGCGAACTATTTCCCCGGAGAGGCCATCCAGTGTTACAACCGTTTCCAATGGGCGGAATCCGCCAGCTCTCCCTCCACTGTCTATTCAAACTACTTCTTCGATTGTATCGAAATCAGCTGCCACCGTCGGAGAGAGTAGGACACTTCCCGAATCATCTATTTCCCCAGTTCTATCCGCACCGGCCCCAACCACACCAGTGTCACTTAGTACAGCGCAGCAACGAATACGACAAAACCCGTATGCACCGGTGGTTCCGTCACCACTTTCGCGTATACTACGAATGAGCGACTCCCCACTCGATCATTCTGGGTGCTCCGGGAATGATGACATTGGGCCACTCAAAAATTCTGGAACAAGATGGAATCTAGCCGACGTTCTCGAAGAAGAGGAAGATAACGGCACGGTAAACATCGTGCGAAATCCTCCTGCCTCGTTGGCAGAGGAATTAGGCTTACCGCCCCTGAATGCTGATCATCGCGGGTCCCCCTCTGCGTTCGAGGGTGGTACAAGGATACGTCGCACACCTTCGCCGAGAAAGCTATCTGCCAAAGAGAAAGGTAAAGCAAAGATGGCTGTTACAGGGTCCCCCCCTTCGACCTCGGCTGCTGTCCATAAAATCCGTGAAAAAGAGAATACGTCACCGTTGAAGGCGAAGAAAATCACCATCGGAAGACGGGTAGTCGGTGGTGGGGGCGCTGTTCGCACTGCAATGATTCCTAATCTCGCGCCAAGACGCACGATAGGAGCCGGGGGACTGAGACCCACAGGTGTCGCTGCGAGGACTGCGCCAGTGCCTGCATCGGGTTTCAAATCCCTGAGAGACGAGGTGAAGGCACGACAATCTACTATGTCCAGACAGGCCCCTATCTCGTGAATGACTCTTGCATATCCCCCTTTTAATTCCTTTTCCACATTGTACGTGTAAAACCGGTTGTACCTTATGTCCTTTTATGTGTGGTTCCAAATGACTTGATCTGAATGACGCCAGCGGCACCGGGACTCCGTACATATATAGCAAGCCTCGCCCGCGCAGGCAGGTGCAGGTGCAAACACCACCTTCCCTCAGTTCCCGGGTAGACATAGAACGACCTATTTCATGCTTCCTCTTGCTCTTCAAGCAGTTCTTACCGCCCTTGGCGCTGGCATCGCCAACCAGCTACCTCAACAGCTCCAACAGAACACCTCTGTTGCTTCAAATGCGACAATGGCCTCGACCCCCGTTATTCCCACATCATTGTCTGATATCTCATCTCTCCTTACTTTCATACTATCTCTCAATGGGTTAGGCGATTGGTTGAAACTCTTCATTCTGGGTGGTCTAGTTGAGAGCGCGCGTCGACTTATCATCGCCGCGTACAACTCATTCCTCGAGTCATTCCTCATCACGGTTCACTTTGAGGGCAATGATTTGCCCTACTCATGGCTCATGGCAAGTTTTTTTTTTCCCTTCTTTCTACGGCCTTGAGATTAACAGATCAGTATTCTCACTTTGCCTCGTGTTTTGACATCTACAGTTCTGGCTGTCGAAACAAGAATCATGGACAAAAGCACGGACGCTGCAGATCTCCAGCGAGACTTTTGGGCTTGGGAGCGCCGGCGGATATGTGTGTTTCCAATGAGAACGACTCTGCACTTTTTAAATATATTTATCTAGATCGTTCCTGGAGAAGACGCTCGCGGCAAGGAAGGCGGACGACCACTTTCGCTGCTTCCATCGTGGGGTACGGTCTTGATCAGATTTCTAGCCCACGATTTCTCCTAACTATATGCTCCATTGCATTAGATGCGACCCATAGCATCTGGTTTAAGAAAAGACTGATGCGAGTTACGCGATCTAAGAAATACCTGGGTGAAGGTCAAGTTGAATATTCCTTGAGTATACAGTACGCTACACTTTGCGCGCGTATCAACAGTGCCGATTTCTGACTGGATGCACCTTTCCTTAGAATATATACCCGAAGCCACAAGACTATCCACGATCTGCTTTTGGAGGCTAAGCGAGAATATGAATCTGCAACGGAGTCTCGCGTCTCAGTTTACGTGTGCGATCAATATAATAATTGGTACTATGCTGGTACGTTCATACCGTGGTTGTCAAAAGCGTTACGTTTTCATTCAGCCTCAACCTGCCAGGTTCACGCCCCAAACGGTCCATGGATTCCGTGGTCATTCCGGAAGAAGTGAAAGAACTCCTCGTCGAGGATGCCAAGGATTTTATGGACAGCGAAGCTTGGTATGGTCAACGGGGGATTCCATGGCAGCGGGGATGGCTCCTTTACGGCGTTCCTGGATCCGGGAAAACTTCCATCATCCAAGCGTTGGCTGGGGAATTGGGAATCAACATTTATGTCGTGTCACTTGCCAAGCGTGGCCTAGATGACGGTAACTTGAGTGAGCTCATCAACAGCATTCCATCCCGCTCGATTATTCTTATGGAGGACATCGATGCGGCCTTCTCTACTTCTCTGAATCGCGAGGCTCCTGTCAAAACTACTGGCTTTGGCCCTGTACCATCGAATCCATCATCAGTAACCCTTAGCGGTCTCCTGAATGCCATCGACGGTGTCCAAGCGCAACAAGGTCGACTCCTTTTCGCCACTACGAATAAATACCTTTCCCTAGATCCAGCCCTCGTCCGTCCTGGCCGACTTGATGTCCACATAGAGTTCTCGTATGCCTCAAAATGGCAAGCGGCTGAGCTCTTCAAGCGTTTCTATCCAGTAGATGTTGACGCCCCAGAGCACCCAATAGAAGTGGAGAATATTGAGGATACAGGAGATGCGGTGGAGAAGGCTTCGCAAGTCAGTGGGTTATCGAATGATACGAAGGTTGATGAGGGCGTTGTAAAGACCAGTTCATCAGCCGCAATTGCGCTTGCTCGGTCACGTCGTTCCAAGTCCCCCAAGCTCTCTACTTCGCAGCTCGATGCGCTCGCGCACGCTTTTGCCGCAGTCATTCCTGAGGAAGAGATTAGCATGGCAGCCCTCCAAGGGCATCTCATGTTATATAAAACGCGTCCTCATGAGGCTGTGAGGGCCACCCCGGACTTCGTTATTAAGGAGAAGGAGAGACAGGCACGAGCTGCAGTCGTTGCAGCAGAGAAGGAGGAAAGAGAGAAAGATGCAGCAGCAGCCGCTGGTACCGGCAAAGTAGACCAACCGGCCGTTCTTGGTGCGGCTGGTGACAATAATAATCACGACCTAGCCTTCAAACCTGCGATACTCACGTCTCCACGCTTGCAATTGGGTATGCTCAGACCCAATATCCACCCCTAGATACTGTAAATGACACCAATCATCCGGATCCATAACTGCTGATCTAATTTGGTGCTACGTGCCGACCGATACCCATCTCCATGCGGTTTACGCTGCGACGCCCGCTTGCGGGGGTTGACCATCAAGCTTTGCTCGCCATCATGAAATCACGCCTTTCCATTGTAATTTTAGTTTGTCATCAACAACATGGACACGGATGTGTATGTCAGACCGTACGCCCTTCGAGATTAATTCACAAATGGCACAGAGTGGTCCACCACTAATAGTGGAGCACCGTTCCTCTCTTTGGGTGTGATTGTAACATTTTCTCACTATAATATAGTAATCAAGCCGCCTTCGGCCTCGGTTTTTGTACAGGTCTCTCTGTGGCGCAATAATCAGCATTTGTACGTATCCTGCCCCGCCGCCGCTTTGCGCACCCCAGATAGTAAAAAATATCTGAAAAGCCTAGATCGAACATCGTACATGATAGTGTGCAGATACTGCAGGTGAATCAACGCGAATGGTAAGTCGATCTCTTCTCCTGACACCAAAGATTGGGCTAGAGCGGACATGATCTGTGATCTTCATGTTACACGATATATTAAATCTCGAAGTTGGCCACGGTTGTGTGGATAATCGGTGGTGTTAATGGACGGACAATTCGACCACGTCGCGTCAAGGTATCAATATTATTTACCATTGCCTTTCCTCTATTACCCCAATATCCCTGGTCGAAGTTGGTATTCTCCCTATTCCTATAACCTATAAGTACCGTATGAACAATCAGGAAAAATAATATCACTTAACAGTCAATTGCTTTTCTCCTTTGCTCGATGCTCGAGTGCTATATATGCATGTTAATTGACGCCGAGGACAATTACTGTTAATGGGCAACCCTGACGGGAAAGAACGTCGGGACGCCGACCGGGTCCCCCTCAGTATATAGGATAGGCACAGTTCTCGGTCGTCCAATCAAATTTGGCCTCATCAATTCGGTTTCAGCGGCACATCCTGGAGCAAATATCCCAAATCATATAGGGTCGAATAATGATACATATTGGGAAGAGATATAAACCAGAAACAGAACCGAATATCTCGAAATAGATACGAAACAGTAACTGCGGGAGCGTGAAGAGCGATATCATTCATCAGGAGTGAACATCCACTCATACGCGCTCACAGCGGGGATAGTAGGAATACTTGAAGCTACAGCAGGAGTGACAGTTGGCAATGGTGTTGTGCCACTAGTTGGCGCCTGCTCCAGTGTGATAGCAGGAAGGGATGAGGCGACGGGATTGAGAGGCTGAGGAAGCTGGGCGTAAGATCCTTGGTTGGTAGCATAGTTGTGAGCCATTGATGACGTTGGGACATTAGCGAAGCTAGTTGGCGTAGGGGAATAGGATGCGTCATTGCGCGTGTTGTTCGAATCGGAATCGAAGATGGGTTCCTCAAGGGCGTAAACCTCACCAGCGACATCAAGAGCAGTGAAATAGAGCGTAACATTCCGGACGATGGCGGAGGGGTTTATAACTGAAGTGGTATTGTCAGGCTTGGTAGCATTCATATTGTTGAATTGGACGGAGGGAGGCCCCTCGCAGTTGACACTTCGCTCAAGCGGCGGAGAATCAGCGGGAAACGTAGCGCTCGACCATAAAGGCCGAACGGTGCCTGTGGAAGGGGTGTAGGCAAATTCTTGGGATGAATGAAGGGTAGAGTTGGCAACACAAGGCTCTGCCGTCAGAGGCGACGGTTTGGTGGGCTGAGGGTCGAACTGGGCACAGTAATCCACGGTAGAAACATTGTTCCGCTGAAAGATGGGCATGCGGAGCGAGACCGTCTTGGTGTCAGGGTTGCCGGAAATAGGAGGCGCATGAGGGTTGACACGGAGATACATTGGGGTTGCACTCATGTTGGTCGCGCTGAACACGAAGGAAGCACGCGTCAAAGGATCAGCTCCTATAACGAGTGAGGCGAGCTTGTGACCGCCAAGGAAGGCCCTGATGTCGACAGTTCCCTCGACATCCTGCGAAACAAAGTCAGAGTGTGCTCATTGGTGTTCAGAGATGAATGCGACCTACTTTGCTTTCTATCCGCTTACGGATATGCTTGTGGATATGAACATGCTTGTGATGGTGATGGTGCTCACGGGCGATGTGGGTGCCGGATACATGACGCTTGAGCACGCTGCCAGGTAAGCCGGTACCTGAAATCACAATAATACCTCCTTCTCCAGATACAATGTACTTGGGCATGACGTGGGTTGCAATCAGCTAGAAAGAGACAAGGGTCACCAATGAAACAGTGTCTCCTTCAGGCCAAATACGTACAGCGCGGCGATCATGGTGATGGTGGTGGTGGTGTTGGTGTTGTTGTTCGCTCCTGGAATGTTTAGTAGGATTCCGATGAGAGTTGGGATGATGATTCTGATGAGTGGGTAAGGATTTGAATTTGGGAGCAGGTAAATTTAATGTACCTTATGACTATCGTTCTTGTGGGTGGCTTTGCTTTTGTGGCTAGATTTGTGATGCTGGCCGGAGACGTGCTTTCCCCGGTGCTTGTCTTTGAGTGACGGGTCCGCAGCATACTTCGTGGGAGCAGAGAGGGCTTCCACCTGATGGAAATTAGAGTTGCACAAGAGTGTAAAGTCGCACGGTCCTACCTTCGTCGGACCAGACTCCTTGCGTTTTCCAACATGAAGCAAGCCCCACGATGGATTGAACCCATCATGAGTGACTACAACTTTTGAGGGGTGCTGATTGTCAGCATAATTGGAAGTCCCTATGCTGAGGTCAACACCCAGGAAAGCCGAATCCTGTGCTTGGTTGCGAGGGACGGCGACGGCCTGAACGGATAATAAGGACCCGCAGATGGAGGCAAGGGCGAAGGCCCCTTTAGGATTGAAGGCGGGCATGGCTGGAGGCTATAAATAAAAAAGGACGAAGTCGACCACCGGGATCAGTGCTTGAGAAAGTGAAGGGGGTGAGGAGAGAAGTGAGGACTAGGCATAAGCGAGGACCAGTTTTAAAGCATATGGGAGATGTGGGTAAGACCCAGACGCCCAGATGTGATATGAGTCCCATTGGACTCGTCGCAGACATCTCAGTCCAAGACAGCGATAAACAGTCAGAAACATTCAAACAATGTATGCATCAGTTTCTCCGATTTGGTCACCTACCGATTTCACATGATGACGGCTTCTCTAGCTGGGACTGCACTGCCACATGCTATTGATGATTTGGCCCACTCTCCGAGTCGCCGCGCCCAGTCCCATTAGTGTTATAGGCTCTTTATGCCTGACGTCTCGACGTGGTTCTGTTAGGCGGGGGAGCTAGTCCATTTAGAAGATAAGTCTCACTCACGTTCTGAAACTAGGTGCCCCCAGGCATTTTCCGCCGGTTTTCTTCATCGATCTCTGACGAAGCGGATGCTACAGAGTATATAATTAAAAATGGATACGGTGCGTATTTTTACGGGGCTTAATACTTCGGTATTTTATGCGTCAGGTCGAACCTACAGACAAAGATTCCATTTGGCGTCAACCAATTTGTTGGGGTGACCAGGACTCCTTTCGGTTAGTCACCTCGGTGCCATTGCGTTCAGTGCTGAAGCTGTAAAAATACCACAACAAATTGATAGACACGTTAATAATGTCCACTATGGTGGGATCCCCTTTCCCGACGAATGCTCGATCCTGGGATTAATGCGACTATCGCGCTTTTGTGTCGATTTCAGTCAGGTTCGCTGAATCAGTGAGCTAGCATCTCAGTTGTCCGGTTGAAATCGACTCAAACCTCCTGGGATAGGCGAGGATCCGATTCATGGAATGCATGGCAACCTCTGCTGGCGGGGACGCAAGAAAAGTCGCACTGCTAGCGGGTCAGGGCGTTGGGCTCATCCTGAAGAGCGTGACAGTCGATTTCAAGGTGGGGAAATGATGAAAACTCGCCATGCTAATTGGGTTATTAATGCTTCCCAGTAGCGACCAGTCGTGTATCCAGATACGGTCGGTCGTGGTGCTATTTGCAATGAATCATACACATCGCTGAGGTTTTCATAAGCTCATTTTATCGCAAAAACCGCACACAATCGAAGCGACCCAGTTCTCTTTGACGACGGTATACTACTCTTTGGCGCAAAGTACCACCGTGGCCAAGGCGGAATCCGTCCTGGCTTGGTATGACTACAACAAACTCAGGAAATGCGAGGGACCGCAAGACCTGGTTGAGTACATTCGCCTGAAACTGCCACCCGATACTGGAGCTTTGCCATGATGATATCTTGAGAATCCATTGCACGCTATACATACAGTGCGGACTTCATAGACCCCTTTCGGGGAGTACAATGTAACTAACCTAGTCTTTCACAAACTGGGCTTGCATCCAAACGCGGTACATTTTGAGTTGTCTCTTTCGATTAACTAATAATCGACGATCCACTCCAAGCTGTTTGATTGAGAATAGCGGTTGTGATGGTAAAGAATTGTCACAATCTTGACAGGAAGATATAAGAATGTCAGCGCTACGATCGATGTTTGTGGCTTCATCTTGTAGCTGGTCAACTACAACCTCTCCTGATCCCGATGCCTGGCCAAATATTGCCGATTGGAGCGAACCTCGGCTGGCATCTGGAGAAGGGACATCTGGCAGAGGGGGATAAATATCTGATTGCCCTTCGACCCCCATAGATGGTTCGGAAGACTCAGTAACTTGTGTTAAGTGCTTAGGCGCGGGCAGGCCCGTAAAGAGCACTGCCAATTCATCTGACCAACCTCAAACCAAGTAAGTACACGAGAAATTGGTAGAACCTACCGAGTTCAAAAAAATATACTCGAGTCCCATCGCCCCGAATGTAGAAATTCTCTTCAAGTAGTCGCTCCTCCCTAAACCTCAACTGCGTAAGATCATGTCGCCCGTAATCTCGAAGCAGCACCTTCCCTCCAGGCTTCAATATCTGTGCAGATCGTCAGCGGACAGATATCTGAGTACAGCTGGGCTTTCGCACTCGATGTAGATTGTGGAGAGCCCTATGCCATTCCTTCGGACTCAAGGCGGATAGAACAAAGATGAGGATGGCCATATCAACTTGGCCTTCCTCTATGCCTTCTGGCAAAGAGTCCAGGGAGGCGAGGTCCCAGACGGACGCAGCAATGGTCCCGATGGCTGGCGACGCATACAGTGGATTGTCCTACTTCAGCCCTCGGATCAGCCTTAAAAAGAATGTGATGTGTGCCATACCTTGACGATTTTAATGGCTTCGGGAGCGTAATCGCAAGCAAAGATACGCAGGTAAGGGTTTCTATTTGCTGTTAAGAGAGGGAACACAGAGTTCCCAGCACCACATCCTATCTCGACAACCGTAACAGGCCCGGCCTGTTGAAGAAATTCAAAAACCAAATTGTTTAGACTCGATAGGGGTCGTACATCAGGCTCGACGGCTCTCATCAAATCTGGAAATTCAAGGTGAAGCCATTTTCGATCACGAAAGAAGTTATCTTTGTTATTTTTATAGAACTGATCCCAGAACCATCGTGGACTGGAGTTATAGCGTGCTTTATAGTATTGAGAGTAAACGGTCTGATCGGTGGGGACTTTTGGAACGTTGATGTACCTTTCTTGTTAGGCGGCACTGGCTTTGTTCTCTGCCGTTCAAGAGCAGCTGAGATAATATCATCTTGGTCATTTGGCGGTGGAACATGATCCCTTATCTGATTTTCAGACTTATAAACAACAAGGAGTTTCGATGAACGTTTCTAACCACGCGGATTGACTCCACACATCGGCGTCTGAAGGAAAGCACCAACCGAAGTTGTTGTGGTTGGAACAAAGACGGCATAGTTAGCCTCAAGCACGCACCTGAGGTTAATAGTCGACACCCAAAGGGTGGCCTTTCACCCTCGGATTGAACTGAGGATGAGGACTTAGTTTTGCTTGACATATCTAGAAGCATCATCAGCGTCATTTGCTTCCGTGCCGCATCACTCCAGGGTTTTGACGGACTTTGACAGCCATGGCGACTGTCGATCCAGAAATTGACGAGCTTTATAAGCAAATTATGGCTGGCCTCGAAAACACAGAAGATCTGGATCTTGTGCACTCGCTGGCAGGGCCTTCGCATGCTGATGTACCACAGCCCCAAGCTGAACGGCAGCGTACGAGTTCGAACGATAGGCTCATGTCTATTTACGACTCATACACTGAGCATGAAAATCCCTCCAAAAGTCATCCGTTGCCAGGCGTGTACTGCCATCATTGCCTAGAATAGTACTATATGCTCATCCATGACTTCCACAGAGCCCTCTGCTATGATTAGATCGCCCCCGCTTTCTGGTGAAGTACTGGATGGAAACCAACCTCAAGCCCGGACCTCATACGTGTATGGGGTCCCAGTGACCCCTCCGACGCTAACCTCCATCGTTCGAAACCGTCCGTTGCCCCGACCTCCGCCCGAACCTGTAATGGCCAATGGTGATACGTACTTGCGAGGATCTCAGGTGTGGCCTGTTCATATTACTTTCTCTGAGTTTAAGGACCAATTTAAATGCACGGACAGAGGTCCACGTCATCTCAGACCCCCAACCGCTTACAGCCTCCCCGCACAGAGTTGTCGAGACAGCTTCCAAATGCCCCAGACCCATCGTACCCAAGTGATGTATCGAGCAATGGATACATCCAGGACGCACCTGATCCCATCGCACGCACCGGTCTACCGCCAATTCCCCATCCTTCACCTCCGCTCACTCGTGTCGGATCGTCGTCGTCTAGTGACTCCTGGAGGGATAATGCATTTAACCAAAGCGAGGAGGCTTCGCTGCAACCAGGCTTCAAGGATACTGCGCAGCATGCAGCCAGTGTGGACCAAAAAGGCCCCAACCTTCAGATCAAGTCTTCCAATCTTATCGGGTCAGTTTCTCGTCAGCAAACACCCGCCTCCACTACAGAAGGTAAGGGGTACTGGACGCTGTGTATTACATGCTCTGCCAATGGCAGTACTCATGTCCTGAATGCTGGACAGCTGGAACACCTCAAAGCTCACAATACGCCCTGCCGTGGGAGGTACCTCGCGTATCTTCTTCATCTTTTGGCAATACTGCCATTTCACCCCATCCACCGTTCATACCGAGGGATATTACAGACGACCATGAACCTGAGGATGAATCTTCACGGCAAGAGCGATCCACGATCATCCCAGACGCAGAAAACGACTACATAGATATTGGTGACCCCGACGAAATTGACGAACATGAATTCTTGAATACAGCCCTGTTATCTCATATCGCTGTAAAACTCCGCGATAAGGTTCCTCGCGGAAATCATGTCAAAGGGAGTATTCCCTACCGGAATGCTTTCACTGGGAAGGACATCGTTGTGCGTATTTGTTCACGTGCGTATTGACAGTCATTTCGTTGCTGACAGTAAATGTAAATCCACCTAGTCCACCATACAATCTATTATCCAGCGTGACTTACCCGATATTGCTCGAGATAATAAACGAACTGCTCTTCAGATCGCCCGGTCTTTACAGAACCAGTTATTCTTCTATGAAGTAGAATGGGGCGACCGTCAGCTTTCTGGAGGAGTGGAGGACGTCTTCATGTTCTTGGACGAACCGAATGATGATAACAGTGTCGGACTCGGTGGGATAACTGAACGTGACGAGCTACCGACGGGTGTGATCACGTCGTTAACGAGATGTTATACCGTGGATTGCATCGACTATGAGGGCCCTTGCTACTCCTATAGTTGCCCGAAACGAAACGTACGTGATACATCCTGGTTTTCGTCGAAGCAAATGCGAAATGCGGTGGCTTATTGTTCTTCAGCGACCCTTGTTGGCACCGTCTCAAAGTGATGCGGTCATACCTGCTGAAGGAATCGAAGAGGTAAGCCAGTAGGGTTGTCGATTGATTTCGAGCCAATGCCTGACACTGCGAAGCGTGGATGGGCCGATAATATCGATCCAGTTATCCTGAAGTCTCTGCCAGTGAGCGAGGTCAAGCGCCAGACGTGTGTGTCTCTGCTCTCCAGTTGACCTGATTCTGATCTGAGTTTATTCTAGTGTCATCGCGCGGATAATTTCTCAGGAAGCTCAGTATGTCAATGATCTTGATCTGATTGATACGGTCTGTACCACGTAGAATCCTTCGAGGCCGTGCCCATTCAAACTTTTTGGTTTAGTTGTTTGTGAAGCCGCTGCGTGCGGCTCCAGAGCCCATTGTTGCTCCCAACGAGCTGGATTCTTTTATCGATACAGTATTTGGGAATATCTTGGACTTGAGAGAAACGAATCGAAGGCTTTTGGAAGTCATGTATGTCCGACAACGGGAGCAAGGACCAATTGTCCAGTGGATCGGCGACATCTTCCTCAACGCGGCTGCAGAATTCAGGGTGGTGTACCCACTTTATGTTGGGAACTTACCTGCGGCAGAGAAAAGGGTCAAAGACGAGAGCGAATACAACCCGAAATTCAAAGTGTTCCTCGAGGTATGGAGGGATTTCCAACTGATGTTGGCTGACTCTCGCTGATAAGCTATATACAAGCACCAAGCTCGTCATCCCCTTGCAAGGAGGATGGACCTCCGTCGGTTCATAACACGTCCGTCCGAGCATCTTCAGCGCTACCCGACGCTTCTGGAAGCAATACGGAACGAAACTGTCCAAGGCAACCCTGATGCGGACTATCTGCAGGAAGCTTCTGAGTCAATAAGGAAGCTTTCGACCGTTGCGCAGCTTCGCACCTTTCAGTCATCTATGGGAAGAGGGCCTGCGGGCAGACAAGAATGGCATGATCTGGTCTCTGCGGAGGTTCAAGAGCACATACCAAGAAAAGAGTTCAAGCGTCAATCGTATGCTTGTTTCCTTCTTGCATGGGCCGACGTGCTTACCGTCATGTTTAGTATCATATTTGAACTTATTAAGGGTGAGATGGAGTATGTAAGAGACTTGGAGTTGATAGAAGTTGTAAGCACACCCCTCTGTCTCTGAGAGAGAAGTAATTAGACCGATCCGATGGGCAGTTGTTTCTCAAACCTCTGCGGTCTACGAATCTCTTCAGCCCGTCGGAGCATTCTGAGCGGAGGAGCGAAGAGCTTATTCATGAAATCTTTCACAATCACCTCGAAATCTTGAGTTTCCATCGGAAGCTCATCGAGGTCATGCATGAGATACAACGAGAGCAATATCCCTGCATCAACAGCATCATTGCCCCGCTTTATGATGCTTCCCTGAATTGGCAGGACGCCTACATTGAATACACCTCGCATTATCCTATTGCTCGATTCAGAGTTGAAGAAGCGATGAGCAATTACGCCTTCAAGAAAGTCGTTGATGTAAGATTCCCGCCAATTTGAGCCATCTTGGTCTAACTTCCGTGTACTGCAGGATGCCCTGAAACACCCGGAAGCCCGGAAGCTCGACGTCAAATTTTTCATTAATCGCCCTATTCCTCGCATGCTCCGCTACAACCTTCTATTATCATCAATTCTCTCTGCAACTCCCGAAGGCCACCCAGATCAGCAAGATATACCACAGGTCAGCGAACTCATCAGCGCTCTCGGGAAGAGTATGGACCACTGCGTAGCAACTGCGGAGCGAAAGGTAGAGTTGTGGCGATATAAGCGCAATCTCCGGTGGAAGATTGGGGAAGAAGTTGTAAGTGTCGGAACTTTGAAGATGCGTATGCCACCTTAAAACGAATGACCGATCAGGACTTGGACCTTTTGGATGAAACAAGGACACTGGTTCATACGGGGAGGCTTTTGCGTCAGCCAGAAGGTGGAATGGAGTGGAACTCATGGTCCGAATTATTCGTTCTCCTTTTTGATAACTATTGTCCGTCCTGCCAAACTGATATGGCGTCATGCAACTGACATTTCATGAGTAGTTGTGATGACAAAACCAAAGGAGAAAGACGGAGTCACCTTATACTACGTCAACCGCAGAGTATATGCCTTCCTCTGTTTCCTCCAGTTGCTTCATGACTGACTTGTCAACTTAGCCCATTCCGTTAGAGCTACTTACTGTCCTTTCATTTCGGGAACCTCCACAACATCGGAGCTCCAGTCTTCTAGGATTTTCCAGGGGGGGTGGGCGCAGCGGTGCCCATGTGGATGGAGGTGCAGTGGGTGCTGGGGATCGTGGTGATGCCGGAGACTCGAGAATGTTGTACCCCTGCAGCATACATCACGCCGGCAGAGTCGGCGGACATTATCACTTGTTCGCGGAGTCTGCAGCAATCCGACAGGAGTGGGAGCAGAAGCTGTCAGAAGCGGTTGTTATGCGAAAAGTTGTTCAGGAGAACAATAAAGTAAGTCGCTTTATTCGCTCGCGTGTCTACTCTCCACCTGCAGTTTCTTCATAGGCATTCGAACAAAGAATCATCAGCGCGGATACCTTCCTAGTCCCCAGTATCCAGGCTGTCCCTGTGCAGGCATACGATGGCGCTATTACCGGGAAGATCACTTGCTCAGTTCCCCTTAGTACATTTATTCATCATCTTGCGTATATGAGTCCAACTGATTTCCCAGTAGCTGCAGCTGACGGTCGGCCATTGGTGGCAGTTGGATGTGCTGAAGGTGTTTGGATTGGTCTCCGTCATGATTCACGATGTGAGTCTCGCAAATCGATGTCCGAATGGGAATTAACGTGCAACAGCAATGCGGCGTGTCCTCCATTTGAAGCAGGTGACTCAATGTGCAATACTGGAAGAGTTTGGGATCTTCCTCGTGCTGGCGGACAAGGTCAGGACGTCAATATGGACGATGCTCGAAATTCTTCTGATCCGAAAATATTTAGTCGTTGTTCGCCTACCATATCGAGGCCCTAGTTCCATCCGGACCGCCAGGACCGCAATCCCAACGACAACCTCAAAAGTTGAATGGAAGCCGTGACGTACAATTTTTCAGTGTTGGCACTTGGCAAGATCGTACCCTGGTCATATATATGAAAAAGAAGGGGGTGAGATTTTATGAGCAGTCACCGTCAGTTCTGTCGGCTAACTTGGTTTCAGCTGGACAGTGTGTTCCGCATTCTGGAACCTGTCACTGGCAAGACAGCCGAGAAGACAAAGCCAACCACTTTCAGCCGCAATATATTTGGGCCGAAGCAGTTAGATTGGTTCAGAGTTTACAAGGTTGGCGTCGTGATTCTTTTCGCCAATCGATTCTCATGGAACCTCGTAGGAGTTCTTCTTACCTTCCGACTCTTTTGATCTTATCTTTCTGAAAGCCAAAATTGCAATACTGTGTACAAAGGGATTTGAGATCATGGACCTGGCTGAGTACGTATCCCAATTTCTCATCAAGTTCAATCCAATCATTCATTTTCTCGTAGCCTTAAGAGCATAACGATTCCAACCTCAGAGGATCCTCGTCATAGTCAATTAGTCAAGCGGTGCGAGTCGTGTAAGCCCATGGGCATGTTCAGATCGGGGGATAATGAGTTCCTTCTGTGTTACGATGGTACGCCTCCAACGTATGATGTTTTCTGCATGATATTAATGAGCTAATTTAGAGTTTGGATTGTATGTTGATCGACATGGAGAGCCGTGCCGCCAGTATGGCGGTGTGGTCGAGTGGGAAGGCACAGCAGAACGCGTTGCATTCCATCCACCAAACATTCTCATCTTTGACACTCGCTTTATCGAAATTCGTCAGATCGATAAGGGTAAGCTCGTACAAATCATTCCAGGAACAGATGTCCATTGCGTCTGGGATGGGCGGGGCAGTCTTGTCATCCCGAATCCGTTGACTCCTGGGCCTCAAGGCTGGGATGAGAGGGCTCCGCCTGAGCCTCGCGTCCATGCCGTGATGAAGGCTGACCAGAACCCACCGAATGCACCACGAGGCGCCCAAGCTCAACATCTATTCGAGCTTGTCCCAACACAGCTACTGTATCCTCCCTCGTCACATCAATCTGGTGGATCCCTACAACACCTCGCAGATCATCTTCCCCAGTTCGTTCCCCTCGACCCTCATCAGGGGGGTCGGGTTGGACACGGTAACTGTTGTATTTCTCTTTCATCCCTTAACTTATCATGGATATGGCGTTCTGGAGTCTTTCGTAATTTGGGACCATTTATGTTTGATCCCCTGACATCAAATGATGTAATGTACTTCGATACTGCTATTCCAAATCACGAAAAGATAAATCCAATTGAAAGCATGAACCCAAATACCATGCAATCTCAACAGTTGGATGGAGGCAAAAACGGAAACTTGCAATGTATATGCAAATAATACCTACGCTCAGCGAGGAAACACGACGAAAATCGTAAAGCGGCAAATACACGGCATATATACACGGACTGCCTTCGATCAGTTCCAAATACGTGCCAACCACTATCTCGGCACTGTAGATGGCGGCGGTAGATCCTCAGGGCGACAGGGGTGAGCAATGGAATTCGTCGTGTTTGACCGACCTCGTAACAACGTCACCTTATTTGGATTTAAGTTGGTCGTGGAGCGCATCGAACGCAGTGACGGTGGAGGTATAGCAATCCCTTGTGCAACTGCATCCATCTTATCAGGCGAAGATGCCCTATTCGAATTCGGGTTAGATCTTTTACCTCGTGTCGAGGCACTGCTAGGCGCTCGCGAGAGTCCTGATGAAGTCCGTGCTTGCAGTGAGTGTCGTATACTCATCTGGGAGGGCGGTCTTGAGCGAATGGTACTGGGGGCTGGAATGGTGATGTTGTGTGGTTCGGATGATAATTTACGTGTTGGATTTCTTGATGTGGCAGATGATGGTAAGGGATGAATGGAAGTGGAAGGGGATGGAGGGGCAGAAATAATGTCGTTCGCACTTGCTCCAATGCGTGGAGGGCGCAAAGGGCGGGGGTAATTGTGACGGCGGGACAAGCATCACTTGGCCAGACGGGACGGCCGTGATAGTGAAGAGACGGCTGAAGACGTGGCACAAACAACACTTCCCTTGCTTTGTGTGAGGTCGCGCCGTTGCGGACGACATATCCGAATCGCAGGGGATGGGGCCCGGGATGTGTGTGGTGACGGCCTTTCGGACGCAGACGTCCGCGTCGAGATGCTCGACATCGACGCACGCGATCCTACTCGGGATAAGCCATCCCCGGTATTGAGGACACCATGTCGAACAGCTCGATTCTGTAGGGATGCTCTACGCTGAACAATGCATTTCTCGACAGCATCAGAGGTCAGAATAGTGTCATTCAATGATGCGCACGGGTCGCACTGAGAAGAATCCGTGGCTTCGAGACCCAAAGACAACGCATTCTTCAGGGGCTGTTCAGGATCCAAGTTACTGGCATGGCCGCCGAACGGGTTGGCGTGAAAATTACTCACCGATCCGGGCACTTCGGATAAGGCGGGGGATTCTGCCACCCCGAGGTCCTCTGGCATTGGGGCTCGCTGAGATGTAACGGAATTTCGCCTTGAGTTGAGCGATGGACCGCTCTGAGCATCGGAAATGCCGCAACATGATCAGCTCCCGTTAACAGGCAAAGAAAACCATTGGTTTACCATAGCAGAGTTTCCCATGGAGGTCGACAGTGTAATTTTCCAATTTGCACCTTGAGGCGAAGTTTCAATCGTCCAAATTAGTTCGTCAGTCGATCGTCGTGAAGTCGGAAGGTTTCGTAGCTGTGGATGTTTCTATCAAGAGGCTAGAGCATCTCACATGGCGAATGATCACATAGTACTAACATCATGATAGTCGTAAAACATTTCTTTCATCATGTGCCCTGTTAGTGGTAATGGTCCCAGCGGTGACTGCAGAAGTACCAACGATGAGGGGGGCGTTGAACTACCATTTGAAGACCATCGTTCACCTCTTTTGGGTCGAACACGGTGCTGTGAATCGCGTCGTTGAGGCCATTGCAGATGACAGTGAATTGCGCGGCAACATCAACTTTCCATCCCCACGTGGATGGACTCCCTTCTAGGGTAGGACGCGATACGTTTGCAGTTTTGCGTCTATGGTCGCATTTCTGCGAATGATCTGATTGGGCCTGTCGGAAGCTATCCAAGTACTATGTGATAGGCAACAGATTCGCTTGAGGAAACGGTGCTATTTCATTTTGGCCATAATGAATAAAAGAACGCACGGCTTGATCACCACGAGCTTCCGCATCCCGTAGAATCCCCTTGACGGCTGGCGTGTCCGCGAGAGTAGCGAGGGAAGCCAGCTGAATGCGGGTTGAAAGGCGCATGGCGCGTGGCGATCAGCAGGCAAACGCGCGTCAGCGAGCCGGCCCAGAACTCACATCGCGCATCGGGGACACAGTTGGATGATCACTGCGCGCGCCGAAAAGAGCCCTGAAGACGGCAATGAGCCAGCCCAACATCGTCTGTGGGAGAGGAGACCAAACAATATACTCTCCCCTTGGCCTTCCCTTTGCTCACGCGTAGCAACCCCAGATCTGGAGTTCGATTCAAATTTGCTTCCGTTACGCACCATTTCAATTTATTCAAAACCTGCAATCGGCACTCACCGTCCGCACGTGCCTGTTTCTTTCAGGCCACAAAACGACCGTGTCAGCGGGATGTCTGAACATGGTGTTCGGCTCCAACCTCAGCCTGTACAAATGAACTGGCTACCCGCCAGGTCATGGCATCACTTTCTCGCTGGGGGGTAAGAGTTCATACAACATAACTTGAGTCTGGTCGCTGACTGCAGTGACAGCTTCGGCGGAATGGCTGGGGCTATCATCACGGCACCCTTGGATGTCGTCAAGACCAGACTGCAATCGGACTTATTTCAGAAGATGCCCTCATACGGCCACTCTTTCGCCCTGGCCGGCGCACCGAATACATTAACTTCACCGCGTCTCACTGGTGCGCGAGGTTTATTGTGGAACTTTGTAGAGACCGGTCATATAATAAGGTGAAGTGTCTGGCTTCTACAAGTGCGTGTCTCTCAGCCTTCTGACTCGTATCAGGGATATTTATAAATACGAAGGCTTCTCTGCTTTGTTCAAAGGACTTGGACCCACTCTCGTTGGCGTCATTCCTGCCCGTTCGATCAACTTCTTCGTTTATGGGAACGGAAAGCAAGTAATAGCAAATAAATTCAACGATGGGAAGGAAAACTCCATCGTGCATCTTATTGCTGCTGCTACTGCTGGTCAGTTTGCATCACACTGGACCCACCGCTTTCCCGGCCTGATCCCAACGTACGGATGCAGGCATTGCGACTTCTACTGCTACCAACCCCATATGGGTCGTGAAGACTCGCCTACAACTTGAGAACCAGCACGCCGAATCCTCAACCTCTACTTCCACTAGCCGCTTCGCTAAATCCTTGGAATACACCAAGAACATCATTCGCAACGAAGGTTTTCGCGGTCTGTACCGTGGGCTATCCGCATCATATCTCGGAGTGACGGAGGGTACTATTCAATGGGTATTGTACGAACGACTGAAGAAGCTCAGCGGGGGTGACGGAGCCCAAAAAAGTAACGGGGAAAAGTCAAGCTTGTTCCAACAATGGCTAGGAATGATGGGGTCTGCAGGCACAGCAAAAATGGCCGCAAGTTTAATCACATATCCTCATGAGGCAAGCATCGCATCTCTCCCTTCCTAGTTTCTACAGCTTACTCTCGTATTTGACATCATAGGTTATCCGCACACGGCTGCGTCAGCCAGTAGACCCCAAAACCGGTAGAGTCAGGTATACCGGTTTGCTGCAGACTCTACGTCTTGTTCTTGCCGAAGAAGGTACACGATCATTGTATGGTGGCTTATCTGCGCACTTGCTTCGTGTAGTGCCAAACGCTGCCGTGATGTACACAATCTACGAAGGAGTTCTCCGGTGGGGCGACTCTGCGTAGGCAGGATATACTTTATTCGCAGTTTTAGAACTCCTTTACATTCGACCTAAGTTATTCATTTTTACTGTCCCGTTAAACTACCATGTAATAGTACACTCGCACCCCACTCAATATTATTACCCACTACGTTGAATAAGCGCCAGATCTTAAATGTCATGTTTGCATCCGTGCCACAATAACCTCGTCGATGTTCCAGCTCTCGATCCTCAAAGTAGGTTATATCTTGCTTTGCGTATAGATTTAGTCATACACATAATTTGTGCCGGACACAGGATAAGATTTCTGTTGCACCAGCCTCCTTTGGAATACCTGCCGAACAGGCAATTATCAAAGAGCTGAACAAGAAATACGCAAACCGTGTCATTTTCGACTTGGGGCTTGCTATATGCGTGCATGATTTAATCAATGCATCGGAAGGAGTTGTGCATTATGGGGATGGCTGTTTTTGGTACAAAGGTGAGTTGTTCACGATGATGGCAAATAATTGACAATCGAGAATTTATCAAAGATAACTCGTTATCTGGGGTTTTACGTAGTGACGTTTCGTTTGGTGGTTTTTCGACCCTTTTCAGGAGAGATATTGATTGCAAAAGTTAAATCCTCGTCTTCGGAAGGAATACGATGTGGGTCCACAGGGAAAACCCGTAGCTGGCTTCCTCCTGACCGAGCAACCCTTCGCGTGCAAACCTCTCTCTCCAGTGACCCTTGGATTCTTTGATGATATGATAATACCACCATCCTACTTGCCTTCCCCCTCTGCATTGTGCGTCTTTCTATTCTCCCGTATGTCGACAGTCAACGGGTCTTACCTGTTGCGAAACACGCTTCAGTGACGCAGAAGAACAACATTTCTTCTGGAACCCAACTGCCGAAGGGGTTTCTTCGCTCGAACTTCTTGACACGCCTGTATCAGAACGCAATTACATCGAAACGGGGAGTACGTTCGGGTTCGCGTAGAATCAGACGAGTTTCATGATGACGAGCCTGGCCCACCGAAGATGATTGATGGGGTGATTAGTACAAAAGAGGGGAGGAGGGCGCCGTATACGGTTATCGTAGGTTTCACTTTCCTTCATATGTCGGTGGGATCGCTTATGTTCTATAGGGCTCTATCGCAGAGCAAGGGTTGGGACTGTTGTCCTGGTGGGAGAATGATGAAGAAGAAGAGGGCGTCCCAGATGGTGGGGCTATCATGGACCTGGATGCAGCATGAGCTTAGCCGGGAGGGATGGGGAATGTGCTTCACAAGATGTCGAATACAAGTCAATCTGTAAGTGAATCCCTATACATCAAACTAATGGGGCTACTCAAGATCGTCATGAATTTCTGGTCTCCGCTGGCATCACTGCAGCCTTCCAAATGGACAGAAAATGTCATTTCCATGGGGATGAAGTTCTGATTAGCGTGCGTACACCGAATGAACCAGGATGAGCTGCCACCAATGGCTCGGTCCACTGGCACTGGTTTACCTCGTTCTCAAGGTACCTAATGCTAGTAATAGCCCATCGAATAGGACATGGCTGTGTCTCCGAACATAGCAATTTGATAAGCAGGCAATCGCAGTGCTTAAGGCAACGGAACACATTGACAGAGATAAAGGTTCATCAAAGCTTGGCGGCGGACTCATACGTTGCGCTGGACCCCATTGGGAATCAACTTTACCTTCAGCTGTTGCCCCTTGCAGTCAACCTACACCCGTCCCCCAACGAACCGGGAGATCTCCCACATCCCGTGTACAGTGACTTAGTCATGTTCTGCAGCGGAAATATTAACATTGACCCCGGTTCTTCTGTCAAAATGTTTCTCACTCAGCGTCGCGCCGCCAGGCACCGTAACATGCCTGAAGGCTGAGGGACCTCTCTCAGTGCGTTAATGTTCTGAACAATCTTTGGGGAACGAAACCGGTCCTGCCTGTGACAGGAACGAACAGGACAGTTACTCACTGGTTTTTGTTGTCGGTCTCGCTCTGTTCTACCATTCGGCCACACTTCCGACTGTTCAAGCAGTCTAGCACTCTCCTCGGACTCATCATAGCCCCTCGGATGTTAGGCAAGCCTAGTGTACGGGCTGGAATGGCGACAGGCTCAGCCCCGAATTAGACATCTCGTGGCGTGGTCACGATGTCCTTGCGATTTACGCTTCGTGGAAAGGACCCCTCTGCGGATCCTATGATGTCGGAAGCCGGGCTGTTTCTATATCCTTGAAGATGGGAGTGCTGAACAGCAATAATCTGTGACTTTATCCCAACAGAATACAGTGCAGAAGTTGGGTGAAGCGCAGCAAGCAGTCTAGTTGAGAGGACAGTACGACAAGGAATGCTCACAGTGAGTGGATCTGTTCCCTTAATGATGACGGAGCCGAGGATGACGTCGCTGTGGTCGCTAGTTGCCTCCCATATCGAGAAGCCCAGTGGACTTGATCTCAAATAATCCCTCCCTTCGCCTCTGTGAACCGCAGATTGGTCAGATCGCGGAGCCTAATTCATGGCAGACTGTGTACAAGTCTGAATTCATGGGATCAATATGGGATCAAATGAATTCAGCCAACTCCGCTGCACTGCAGCCAAGACATGACTTAAAAAAGTCAACCTCGTTGGGAGAGGTGCTGAGCGAATCCTGCCACGCGACTTGAGGAATCGGGCACCTTGACACCAAGCTGGCGCGATCCAATAAGTGGGACTTACCGGACCCCAGAGATCAGGGTATTCCCGACTGGGAAAAAAAAAAACAGGAACCCGTCGACACGGGAACGCCAGGGACGCGACAGGAGGCACACATCCAAGCCGCAATCCTTCATAACCTTATTGATGGCTTTAACAAACGCGGTTCTGTTTTGCTTTATTGCCAGCGAAGGCTGAGGCACCAGAACCCGTGCAGGCGCCCATATGAGCGGCAATATAAAGGTACGGACTCCAACTCAGATCCTCAGCAGACACTTTTCTAGGATGATTGGTCGTGATGATGTGTTCCAGAAGGCAGTCGGAAGGGGGGGGGAGGAAGTCGGAGCCCTTCTGCTGATCAAGCTTTGGGATGAAGGAATGGGTGGACTGAAATAATTACTAATCGCAATAATACTCAGCTTCACGTTGAGTGAACTGAGGGAGGCAGGTAGTAGCGAAAAGGTCCTTATTTACAGATAAGTGTTGAGGACCTAGCGCGCAGTTCGCTAGGCCAGAGAGCAATCAAAGCCCCAAAGGTGCGGTGTTTGAAGTAAAGTTTCGTCCACGCCACCTTATTCCCGTCGTACCTGGAGGCCACTTAGTAGCCGTTGAATTTCCAACATGGACATGCGGTTAGACCAGGATTCAATTTGCCAAAAAAGTCGTCATATTCCTTAGATGCATTGCCGATTCTAGTCTTGAATGGCCCATGTTGTTGGCAGGCAAGTCATGAATCAGAGGAAGAGGACAAAAAGGGAAAGCAGAAATAGTTAGCTGATGCGGCAGAACCCGCCACTCTGCTCAGTACTTTGCTCACTTTAGTTTGCCCACGGATACAACGACGCGTACAAGCAGTACTAGGAACACTCTTCGCATAACCCACAATCACACCCTCTTTGATATATGCTTCAATAGCGTTTCTCATCACCATGCTGTCAATTATCGGTCTACTGATGCAATTTGTGGAGCGCTTAGCTCTTGTTTGGCAATCAAAGCATTGGTAATGCACACTTTACCCAGGCGGATTCGCTAGGCAGGTTACCAGCCTCTATTAGTATAGAGGGATTCGCATGATCCGTAGGCGTGGAGTCTGAGTCAGTGTTCTCTTGCATCTTTTGCACTACAGCTTGGACTGGCATATGCCATTTTGGTTTTGTGAGAGGTGTCTTGGTGATGTAATCGGTAACGTAGTACAAAATGGCTTTGGCAGACATGCCAGATCCAACGAATTTGAATTACATCGCACTTGTAAAATGGTTCCACAGTAGTTGTTGATCATGCCGTTTGAGATACGAAGATTGAGCTCACCACTCTCCATGTCCATGGAGGAAGCGTTGGTGACATGGTCGGGAGAGAGATCAACTAAATCGACAGACACCATCGCCTTGCTTATAACCAGTATCGATATGTTTATGGTGCAAATCGTTCTGTATTTGGGCTGGGGAGTGAGAATTGGGATGGTATCGTATGCTGTACGGATGGGCGACATCAGACATACATTCAGACATAGCGGGCTGGACTGGAATCCCATTTCTGATGGTGTCATCCAAGAAGTCTAACGGCTGTTCTTGCCAGTCATGGTGATTCTGATCATTGCTGTGGATTGAGGAATCATGTGACAATGAGGGGCTGCCGCGACCCTGGGCTTCCACAGTACCGCATTACAAGGGTCTAAGATTCCATTTGTGTTAATGACCCAACATTGCTCTAATGAACGCTTGTATGCACAGACGGAAGAACCGAGCCGCAATGAATAGATTACAAGCCACGGTGGACGCTAAGAGGGAACCTGCGAAGCCAATGTGTGATCTAAATCAAATTGATGGTTGAAAAACAGGACTGGGAGGTGTTAGTCATATTAGCAGCCGCCACTGTGGGTGGATCTTAACGGAAGCAACGTCAAAGTGAGGGAGACGATTGAGATGCTCTTCATGCAGAGTTACGTCGGGATTATGACATATTAGCCATTCTAGCACCCGACGTACTTTTTCCTGTCACGGTCGTGCGTTCTTTAAGTAAGAGCCATTCTTTGGAAGAAGTGGTAGGACCGACGAAGACCACACAAAGGGGAGTAATTGTATCACAGCGTTGGAAATACAATAATGCTGGACTGAATGGGAGCACCCGTTTCAGGCCGAGGTTTGGTTCCGGAGCACTAAATCCTGCGATATAAGTACAGGGGTTGGTTGCGGGTCAACATCCACGAACTACTTCCCCCTCCTTTACATAGAGCCGCCTAGTTGGTCGATATCTTGACCTATTCCACTGTCTCTACTATTGAAGCTTGGCGCGCTTCGCCCTTTCCTTGCTTTCGACAACACAATTGCAACCAAGACTACTCGTTATGCACTTTTTTCCCACTTTTCTGCTGTCACTCCCGGCTGTCCAGGCATCTTTGGCGTCTCCTTGGGCTTCCCTTAATCGTGGTGTTGGGGCCCGTCACAAACCAGTGGCTCGTTCCCTTGTTGACCGCCGGACTAGCCCCCCGGTAAGATTTGCCGCCACTCACCCCACACAAAATGTGAAGCATTGATTTTCCCCCCCTGAAATTTGTGTAGATCGTCCCAGATGTAGCACTATCTTGGTATGCTGGCTGGCACGCTGCCAATTTGACCCCAGCCGAGGTTTCCTGGGAGAAGTACAGCGTTATCACGTTTGCATTCGTCGTAACCACTCCGGATATTTCGGAGCTTTCTGTTGCAAAAGAGGACGATGCTACTCTTCGTCAGCTCGTCGCGCTTGGACATCGTTCCGTGAGTGCCCTGCCATTTCATCCCGCCCCCCGGCGATGCTGATTGGAGCGTCATGAACAGAACACGTCAGTTTTGGCAACTATTGGTGGATGGACTGGTTCCATGTACTTCAGTACTTCGGTGGCGACAGAGCAAAATCGAACTAAATTCGTTGCAGCTATCAACAACATCGTGAAAGAGTACCAACTTGATGGCGTAGATATAGAGTAGGTTTGATTCTTTTGAACGGTATTTCCCGAACCTTTTTTGATCGACCTTTTCCCGCTACAAGTTGGGAGTATCCTGATAGTAAGGGAATCGGATGCAATACTCTCTCTGCGAGCGACACTGCCAATTTCTTGGAATTCCTGAAAGAACTTCGTGCTTCCGAGCTCAAAGACAAGTTCATCACCGCTTCAACAGCCATAAAACCATTCCTTGATGCGAGTGGGAATCCTGTAAGTTCATGCGGCGCTTCGGTTGGTTTCTTATTTGACGACGTTGGTCCATAGTTACGGAATGTGTCAGAGTTCGCCGATGTCCTTTCGTGGATCCACCTCATGGTCTACGATATCTGGGGGTCATGGAGCCCAACCACTGGCCCTAATGCACCACTGAACGACTCGTGTGTTGCTACTACTCCTCAATCCGCGGGATCAGCTGTCTCCGCTGTTCAAGCTTGGACCGAGGCAGGCTTCCCTCTTGAGAAATTAGTTCTCGGTGTTCCATCTTACGGACATAGCTTCACGGTGTATAATGCTGATGCGTTCCAGAAGGGTTCAACGACTGATTTAGTTGACTCGTTCCGTCCGTTCAATGCCTCTGCTACCCCATTTGGGGACTCATGGCAGAGCGGTCCTGGTCTGGATGCCTGTGGCAACTTGCAAGGAAATAGCGGCGAATATGACTTCTGGGCCATGATTCAACTAGGCCTCTTGGACGAGAACGGGTTGCCTGTGAGCGGCACCCCTAACATCTTTGATACTTGTTCTCAGACTGTAAGTGTCTATCTCTCTATGCGTTTCGGACCAGACGTCTGATGCTAGCTCTTCATAGCCATCCATCTACATTACGTCCTCCAACACTTGGATCGAGTACGATGACCCACGATCCTTCAGTGAGTCTCTCCGACCGGCACCTGCATCACTATTCTAATCGTCATATGTTATTCGCAGAGGCTAAAGGCGAGTTCATTCGTCAGAAAGGTCTTAAAGGCTTCGCTATGTGGGAAGCTGCTGGTGACTGGGATGACCTTTTACTTGACGCCATTCGAGAGGGAGCAGGTTTCCCTAACACCCCTTGCCATCCCTAGTCAGTCTAGCCCCAAGGTGGGGGAACTGTGAGGCGACCTCGCAACAGCGGTGTTAACTCAGCGCCAATACTTCATGTCGCTGCTCGTTTGCCACACATCCGAGAGCTGTCTTTCCAGTCTCCTTTCCCGATGCTCTTATGCTCGTCTGTGATCATGCATTGTTTGCTGAGTTGTTATTGCCTGATCTTTTCTTTTAAGGTCACGGTAATTTTTTGTTTCCATTTTTATAACTGCCATCATTTAAGCTTGTATGCGGATGAACCTAAGATAGCAATCACTATCAAGTCAGCCTGCGAGCAGGTTGGCTTTACCTGAAGGACGTACAGCACGAGCGGCGTACCCTCGTGTTTGCAGCATCAGATGGCGCAATATTTTAGACATCAAGTACCGAATTACTTTATTCACTGCCAACGAATCGATCTTTTTTGATGTCCTAAGGTAGCGAATGATGGTTGCTTGGACAAGACATAGCGGCTCATAATGCTGCGTGCCACTTATTTCCCTGTCATTCTATTGGCTATTGACCTTCTGATTCCATAACCGTACGTCGCACTGAACCCAAATAGACAATTCGCAACAAGTACGCGTAGCCAGACCTTGAAGTAGATTTCTCCCGAAAGCAACAGCATAAGTGAGCGGCAAATGAGATCACACGTGTGGCACACAAGATCGGAATAGACCCAGTCTTCGAAAGTCCGGAGAATACTGATGAAGAGGGAACGTGTTGATTTCGGGACAGTTTATGACACTTCCACGTGTCTGATCACAGACAGATGGCGGGTATGCGTAGGCAGGGAACTTATCAGCAATTTTCGGCATATGGATGATGCTAAGTTTCTGTTTACGCTGTGGGTTCTGAGCTGGAAATGGCGAGCCCAGATGCACCTATAGTTGGTGTCTTATAAGGCATCTGGTGTTCAGACGCCATTTACGCTATGCGCATTGTGTCAGATTGCGCCGTCAAACACTGATTATGTAAGCGTTCCATTCAATTTTATGCCGACACCCAAAACGCTGCCTCGAACTACGTCTAGAGATCCTAGTTCATTACACCTTGCGCAACTCTTTAGGGAGCTCATGCTTGTCTAACCTCTTTCCTTCTAACGCTTTATGGGTAAACTTAACTTCGACATTGACGAGGCTGCACTACTTAAGGCATATCGCATATCTTCACTCGAGCCTACGTGCGTACGGAGATTGGAGGCAACACTGTCACCGCAGTTTGTGTATTTACTTCCAGACCTACGTAGACAATGGGAAGACGTCGATCATGAATTTAGTGACTCGCTGGCAGGCGCTCTGACAGGCAGCCCAAATGAGGGAGTTAGTCACGAACTAGCCGATCCTCTTGGCCTATATCACCACGGTGTCGAGTCAGTCACGCCTTTCTCTCCATTATCAATGTCGCTTATCCTGAATAGCACCTCGGAGATGAAGTTAGAAGCTAGTACGTTTTACAGCATACTTCTTTCTACCTTCTTGCTTCATCCTACGTCTGAAATTTGGGTTATCTCGTAGAGGCTGCCGTCCTTATTACTTCGAAATCATTCGATCCGAAGGCTTTTCTTTCTACAATTCATCCGAATGCTACACATCAGGACCTCACTGCGGGGACCGCTCGCCTAAAGCAGACGCTGGATTCTCGTTCAGAGGCAATAAGGGTTCTCGTTGAAGATAATTTCGATCATTACGTATCTGTCAAAGCATCTACTGAAAGTTTGACTTGTTCGCTTGCATTATTTCAGTCTTTTCCCTGACTTTTCTGTGGTTAAGGCCTTTATATGGATATGAAGGAGCGGTTTCTCGCCCCAGAATCGGACTATGGCTCAAAGGAAATCCTAGAAAAACTCAAACGTCGGTGCTTCAATACGCTGGGAAATCGCCGCTTCACTCATTTGCATCGCTGCACATACAGTGGCTAGTGCGAAGGCGGACCAAGTATTCCAACCTATTTTAGAGAATGCGGCTAAAGCCCAGCGCGTTCGTGCAACGCTTGGGGTTTTTGAGCGGTCTAAGTTCTCTTCAACCTACCCGCCTCTTTGGCGGAATCTATCGAAGCAGTAAGCATTGTATTCATTGGGCTCAATTTGATCGAGTAAGAATCCCTTTATTAGAATCGATACGAAGTTGCTTTGCGGGACTATAATAAAGGAAAATACCTTATGGATTCGCGCCCCGGCCGGCTCATATCGGTCGCAGGAGGCTCATCCACTGAGTCCCAACAAAAACGAGTCCTCAACAAGGTCTGGGGTGCCGTGGAGAAGGTCATGGGAGAGATGCGGAACCTGCTAATTTCCCAGCTTCAGCAGCCTACACGAAGTGTGGATGAACAGCGGAAAACGATTGAGCGAGTCAAATCACTCGTACAATGTCGACCTTTACTGACACTGTTCGCCGTCAGGATTTTGCTGGAGATGAATATCCCAGATGATCCAGTGTGGATATATCTCGATAATCAACACAAGTATATCCTTGGCCAGTTGGGATCCTCGTTTGAAGCCTCTGTGAAGTCGATTGATGGTAATGCTCCCATTCTTAAGTCCCGTCACCAGACGCTCAGCTAAGGCTTTTAGAGGCGAAGAGAAAAGCTGAAGAATCTCCCCCTGACGTTTTAAGTGCTGCTAAAGATCTGTCGGCGTGCGTGGGTGCTGTTGGCTCCCAAAATGTTGAAACGGTTATCAGTGAGCCGCTGCAGGTTTCCCTGCGTTCGATCATAAGGCTAATACCCGTCTAGACGGGGCGCATGGCTCCGCCGAATGGAAGGCCACCCTTAATCTGGTCAAGGCAGCATCCGAAGTGATGTTGACTTTACTGCCTCCCTTCTGGAAGATTGCCAAAGATTACCTTGATGGTGCTTTCAAGAAGGTGAGTCCTACGATCTTCAACCAGACCACTCGCCAATCCTAGTAGTCATCAGGCGTTACTGTATCGCGGCGAAGTCCAAATCAATGCAGAACAATGGCTTTCGACATCGTCAACCTATACATATCTCTCCCTTCTGAATACTTTACCCTCTCTGACAAGGCCGTTGTCACTAATACTGCCAGCGGTATTCCACCTTTTGTACCAACAGCATCAAGTTCTATCACCACCTCCTGGTTCGTTTCTAAGATTTTGTCAGAGATGGAAGAGTGCGTGAACGACGTAACTACCGCCGAGCTGTCTGGGGAGGCTAGCTCTGGGCTCAAGAGTCTGCTAGAAAGCGCCAGATGGAGGTTCGTCGACGCAGTGTGCGATAACTGGCTAAGAGGTGCATTTGAACACGTTCTCAGTCTATAAACTGACAACCCCTGTTAGACTCTCAACGATTCCATCATTTGGAGACATGGGAACAGGACCCGAAAAACCCACCTTTCACCTTGTTCCTCTCCCAAATACAGAAGTTCCAGACTTATGTGACTACATGCACATATAAAATTGCTGGAGGCATCGACATATCAAATCCAAAGACTCCCACCAAACAACTCCCCATTGGTAGAGAATTTTCCTCCAAGATACAACGGACTTTTCTCGACTCCGTCTATGCTCTTCTCGATGGGCTGGAATTGCTTTCCCGTGCTCAGTACGAACCAGTGCTGACGAAGGAAGCGGCACCACTGGTCCTTACTTCGATAACACCCGCCACACCACAAAGTCTGGATCGCGTTCGTCATTTCTACGGGATTCATTCACTTTGTCTCGCTGACAATGTTTTAGGACACTCGAATGTTGTTAATAACTTCGAGTTTTGGTTTAATGAGCAAGGCTATTATTCCCACCATGATAAATCAGCTAGAATCCGCTCTCAATGTATCCATATCGCATGATCGCAAGGTGAACAGTCATCGCTCCTTATATCTTTCCAGCAGAGCTAATGAACGACAAGACGCTGATGGAAGTAGTCAGCGTTCTCGACAGTACACTTTTTGATGACTTCATCAGGCTCAAAAGCTCAAAAGTGAGAGAGATGATTCATACTGGAGTGAATGGGGGAACTGCGGATTGGACTGAGTCGACGCGGCCAACGGGTACGTGAACACCCACTGGCACCAATCGTACCTCGCTGACTCGTGTCGGTCAGAGGTACGGGGCTATATGTATGAAGTGCTTTTATTCTTCGTCACTGTGCATCAGCATGTGATCGTCGTCGCAAAGCCTTTATTGGAGAGGACCATGGTAGCCCTAGTCGAAGCACTGACCGAAGAAGCCCTCGCCGCTTTTCGACAAGTCAATGAATTTGGGATTGGAGGAATGCTTAGGGTATGCTTTGGTTCCATAAATCAAGCTGTTGTTCCTTCGTTGATTCTCGACCTGATCCAGGCAACGTTGGAAATCGAGTTCGCACACCAAACTCTTCTCCAATACGTGTCTCCTAAAGCTAGCGAGATACTGACGTCGATATACAGCACAATATCACAAGCATACTCTCGACAAAAGAAATTGAGTCGCCAGGAAAATCTCCAACGGGAGTTGGATGGTGTCAAGAGAACATTGCATGAAAGCCGCCGATCCACAGCGATCGAGTTTCGATGCTTCAAGCCTACGAAAGAGACTAATGCGATGTGATTTTCGGGTGATGAGCCTTCCGCACCACCCATCGCACTGGTTGAACAATTTGGTTGCATGGACAATGGTATGCACGTGGATGTCATGTATAACTATGCAGAATGTGATGATTGCAGGCTCGTTGAGGCCAATGTGATGCAAGTGGTGTGTCAAGGGATGGAAAGAGTGAAACTAACGATGAAAAATCACGCAAATACACGGAGAGTTGAACCCGTTACAGTGGCTACAACTGGGGATGGACGGTGTTGAACTACAGATGAGGGAGCGGGAGAGATAGGCACGTTGAGGCCTAACATAACAAATATACGCTTAATAGCGGTAGTGATGGGCCTTGTAAGGTCCATTAATCGGGACGTCGAGGTATTTCGATTGAGCATCGGTCAGAGTTGTGAGCTTCACATTAAGTTTAGCCAGATGAGCCCTGGCAACTTCCTCATCTAACTCTTTGGGAAGTATGCTAGGAAAAAGTTGTGGAGATAACATAATAGAGGGATGTCATGACTCACTGAATGCCGAGCGGGAAATCCTGGTTGCGTGTCCAGAGAGCGATTTGGGCAAGAACCTGGTTGGTAAACGAACACGACATCACAAAAGATGGGTGACCGGTAGCACAACCAAGGTTAACTAGGCGTCCCTCAGCAAGGAGAATAATGTGACGGCCGTTGGGCATAGTATAGCGATCCACTTGTGGCTTTACATTGACAACCGACTTGGCGTTCTGCTTCAGCCAAGCGACGTCGACTTCAATGTCGAAGTGGCCAATGCTACGGAGAGTTCGCTCAGGAACTAAGCGTTGACGCGAAGGCTGGTACGACTTACTTGGAGACAATAGCATCCTCCGGCATGACGTTAAAATGCGCCCCAGTAATGATGTCCCTGCAACCAGTGGTTGTAACGAAAATGTTGGAACGAGGGGCAGCATCTTCCATGGAAGTCACTTCATAACCTGCCATCGCTGCCTGCAGCGCATTGATGGGATCGACCTCTGTGATGATGACACGGGCACCATAGGAGCGCAGTGATTCCGCACACTGGAAAAGGTTCTCATCATTAAGTAGTCTTGTGATGGAGAATGACTCAAACCTACGCCTTTGCCTACATCACCGAAACCGGCGACGACCGCAACCTTCCCGGCCAACATGACGTCCGTCGCACGCTTGATACCATCCACCAATGATTCACGGCACCCGTAAAGGTTGTCGAACTTCGACTTAGTGACGGAGTCATTGACGTTGATAGCGGGGACCTTAAGCTTCCCTTGACGGAATGCTTTGTAGAGATGATGAACACCAGTGGTAGTCTCCTCCGAGATACCCTTGATGCCTGAAGAACACGCATTAGGTGAGGGAGCAATGATACACGATGCAATCCTAACCTTGGAGGAACTGAGGATACTTCTCATGAACGAGGTTGGTTAAATCACCGCCATCATCGAGAATCATGTTCAACGGCTGGTTTCCAGGGAAAGCAGAAAGAGTTTGCTCGATGCACCAGGTGTATTCTTCCTCGGTTTCGCCCTTCCAGGCAAACACTGGGACACCAGTTGCAGCGATCCCAGCCGCGGCATGGTCTTGTGTAGAGAATATGTTCTGAAATCATATGTGAATATATGAGAAAATGAAAGTATGGCAACCATTGGCTCACGCAGGATGACCATGCGACTTCAGCGCCAAGAGCAGTCAGGGTCTCGATCAAAACGGCTGTTTGAATCGTCCTCCAAGATTAAAGGATTAAGATTAAGTTCCACACAAACTCGCCGGACCAAACCAACACCTACATGTGCAAGCAGCCAGCAATTCTGGCACCCCTGAGGGGTTGCGACGGTCCATACTGTTCCAATCTTGAGCATCAATTTTTTGTGACGAAGGCAGTCTGCTTACCTTATTACGCAAATAAATGAGACCGGGCATCTCATTCTGTTTGACTAGGGTGTGAGGCGCGATCTATTTCGAATTGTGGACGTCTCCCCATACCTCTGCGATCTCAATTTCCTTACGGCCAAAGGCGGCGAGGGAAATGTCTGGGAATACCAGGAATTGATGAGAGGAGGAATAAAGATATAAGTAATGCTCCTACCAGCAACTTTATAAACCATGTCTATGAGAGGGCTATGAGGGCGAGAGGAAAAGAAGGTGAAAGTGCAGAGGGAAAAAATTATCGAGATGATAAAAAAAATGGAACGATGGGGTGCCTGTCACGTGAACGAGTGTTGGACGGGATCGTGAGATGAGTTGACGTGTATGTACTTCAATCGGCTCGCTGGATGTCGTCCAAGCTCACGGCGAAGGAAAGGGGCCGGTGTGTATTGGCGGAAATATTGCAATATGAGTGCAGCCTAGAGAATAAGAAATCCGCCCTGGTCTGCTATCCCATACCTCGAGTCTTCCGCATGTATGTAAGGACATTCAGCAATCCTGGCTCACAGCTAGTAATACATTGTTGTGCAGGTGTCCTGGGGAACCAGCGGTCGAAATGAGTTCATTTTTGAGTCTAGATAACCAAACAGGAAGTGTGGTCATTCCGGAGCATGTGGAGTAAGTGTTCCATGCCGAACTTTTGAGTTTGAGTTGAGATACGTTGTTCCATGATAGTAAAATCATACCAAAAGCTAGACCTTGGAGAGATATTCGGAAATTGCGAGGTGAATATCGTGATTCCCCGGTGAGTCAACAATGAATTGGCTATCAAAATAATGGACGTTCGATTTGGTGTACAATCCTCCCAGACAACAGAAACATGAACATATAAAATGAGGGCGCCGACACAGCACCAAGCTGCGGTGAGGCGATGAAACAGGTGCAATGGAAGCGTGATGTCGAATGAATACTGGATCTGCGAAGAAATGATGCAAAGCCTTGGAGTATTATAATGTTCGACTGGAATATAAAATGAGATAAAGAAAGAGAGGGGCGGAGTGAAAGGATCACGACAGGGTCATCTTTGTGAGTGTGTCTGGTAAATCAACTGCGTCTTCGCAATATGGACTTGAAGACGATCCTGGCAATCTGCGTTTCTTGGACGCATCCTCGGTCACAAACTTGGACTGCTCGCTCCTTGAAGGATCCCGAGAATGCCTTATAGTAGATTCGTCACTCCTTTCTGCGTCAGGTTCCGAAGGAGCACCCCGTTTCCGTTTACTTGCCGTTGGTGTGTCCTACGCGCGTCGGGGGGTTAGAAAACTTACTATCGGTTTCCTGATCGACGAAATCTCACCCCTTCATGTTCCCCCGTGCCAACCTGACCGGGTGATACGTTTAAACCGTTGAGGTCTGAATCATATAAGCACCGTGAATGTAAGCTTATAAAGCCCTCACCATTTAGCAATAGCTGCATCCCAGCATCCATTTCTTTCTGTTTCGTCATATGCTGGTACGGCCGATGTATAGTTTTCTTTACGAACTTGTACTTGGTCCACGATACTTCATCTCCGACTGGGACGAAAGCGATAGAAACAATAAATGGAGCATCGACCTGCATCAAATTTCAGTTCAGCGAGATCGAGGGAACAAGAAACCACAGAGGTCCGCACTCGATTACCATGACTTTTCGATTTGGGTGCGGTGCCAAAGCATAGTATATCTTTATGAGTGAGTTTCGCCCGTTCACCAACTTTCATGGGTGTCCAAATAGAATCAACAGCACGCCATGTCAGATTCGTTGGCCGTAGATGAGTGATGTATATCTGGGAATCGGGCAGGTTTAGGAGCTGATTCAAGCAGTCATAACTTCTAATAAGCATTACGGACCCCATCTTCTGCCATAGTTATGACGGCATGGGTTCGTGACACAGCTCGTGATGGGAAGTATGCCAGGGGCGCATTGTGTTTATGGCCATTACTCGGTCGTCCGATGATCACGCTTCCTCCGAGACGAACTTCAAAGACTCCACGGTAGCCAGATTCGGGCTCCCCAATGAGGAGTAGTTGACCAATATCTGGATATAAGAAGATTAGGGGCACGAACTTCTTGGTTCACAGTCGCAGACGAACCTTGAACAGAAAAGCTAGGGGTTGTCAGAGCAGCCACGGTCTTCAATTGGGTGGCAGTCGGAACGGTACGATTTTGGATAGTAGGTGGGGGTGTAAGCATGATTCCGGGGGAGGCCTGCAGGTTGAAGTGAAAGGATGCCGAGTAACTCCTAATTAGACTTGCGGATTGGGTTCGAAGGCTGGGGGTGGAGCGATCACCTGACTGTGCATCTCGATTATCTTGACGCCTTCCCATCATCCAATGCACAAACCAAAACAGGGCACCGCCTGGTCCAAGAACTCTACCAGTACATCTAGCATCATATCGTCTGCGAAAGTATCGTCCAAACCATCTCAAAAAGGGAAGAGCTCAACAGTTCAGAAGAGCAAGGATGTGCGCCGTGTGGAACGACTCCTGAAGTCTCTGAATACTGGGTTAGCGCCTTCCGATGTAAGTAACGATGGATGCTTCTGCCAAGGTATTGGGGATGTTTCGCGCCGCGCTCCGACTGAGTGATCTGAAATCTAAATTTAATAACGGCATGTCAGCGAAAGTTCACCGTCTGTCTTCTTATGTCCCGATATGCCCACATTGTGGGCTAATATTTTGTTTGCTTCAGCATCCCGCCAATCCTTGCCCATTTTGCCATCTTCCATTACTCTCTCCACATACCAAAAACGCTCTTGTGCAGAAGCTCAACTTTGGGCTATCCGTAATCTTACAAAAAGAAGCCGATGCCGAAGAAGCACGAGCGCGGCAAGCACAAAGCAACATCACAGCGTTCCCTCCTCTTACTTCCACGTCACCATCTGGCGTTAAGTCCACATCCTCGTCCCCCTCTGCGTCTCGCCGAGTGGTCAGTGTAAAAGCAGGGAAAGCACGAATATCAGTCACGCCGTCTCCGGGGCAATCCACCCCAGCAAACAACAGCGATGCCGAGAAGGACGAATTCTCCAACAATGCTGTACCACCGCGTGTCCCCTTACCCCCGGACGATCCCCCGTTCGTTCCCCGTCGCGGCAATGAAAGACGCTGGCAGAACTTACATGGAGAAGGATTGACATATGTTGAATCTCAATTATCTAATGAGATTGAACAGAGGAAAATGACTACAAGTGTGAAGGAGAATAGCTGACTTCCGAAACTCCACATGGCTTCGTTCGTTAATCAGACAGATTATATATACCAAGCGTCTTAATGTATTCTAAAAAGGAGCCAGTGCTTCCCGTCACCCGTGATGCACATGGATGGCTTTCATCAACTGTTCCGAGAACCTGTTTGGACCCTCGCAGAAACGGATGTAAGATGGCATATTCCCCCCTTAGGCACGTAGTGTCGGTCACTCCCGCGCACCGGCATCCGTCCTTTTTGAAGGACAAGGAAATGGAAACCGAGAGGTTGAATGTACAGACCACCACTGCACAAGCAGAGTCAGATTCCTAGGCATTGAGGCTTTAGTGCTTAATAATATTGATCTCCTCTTCGTCTTGGTCGTCTAGGCTTAGAAAAGCAAATGCAAGAAATGAGTGTCTGTGCTCCCATCTTCAGCCAAAACACAAATCCAGTCCCTATTATGCCAAGCTGATTCTATGTACTCTCCCGCACCACTTACATCGAGGACATGAGCAAAAGCTGCATGCAAAGCTAAGATCTCCGGGAGGCTGATGGGTGTTGCATCGTGGTTGACAAAAGTACAAACGGTTCCACAATCACGGTGTGGCATTGCGGTTTGAACGGTGTAGGTATTTTCTGCATCCTGACATGAGATGGATGATGAATGAATGAAAATAACAATTAGTTCAAATGACATACATTTTGCTTGAACCACATCTTGAACGACCCCAACAGGTTGTCAAGATCTGGCCGGAGAAGCATGGCATTGTGGGGACCATTTATTTTTGGTCCTGAAGCTTCTCTATGTCGAAATCACACCATGAGGCAAACATGTCCCATGTGCTTGCGGTGTCCCCCTAGGAGGACATCATTACTGGCAAGATAAAAATGAACACAATATTTGCAACAGACTTCGGATCAAATTGGTTCATGGAAAGCGGGAAGATATGTGACATCACCAATGGTGTGCGGAACGCATTCTTGGGACCTTGAGGGATTTTTTATGGTCAATGTAGTGCCCAGTAACAGCACACCTATAACCTTGGCGCTTGCCAAGCTGAATGGGCTCAAGAGGTGGGATGGCACTGAAGGAAGATGGGATGTACCAAATCTCTGAGGGCCTTCTGATCCCCACGCGATGCAGTCTGTATGAGGGCAGCGGTGTCGTGGACGGTAGGGGTTTGTTCAGTAGAGGGGGTGTCCCTCCGTTTCGCACTTGCCACTGAAAGCAAATAACAATATGAAAAAATCGAAGTGAACACTACTAGGTGGGGCATACCAGGACAGATAAGGAATGTCAACCAGAATTCAGCCAGAGCGAGGAGAAAACCTTTTGGGAGCTGGTGTTTCTCACAGGCCAGGATGGCGGTGGCGACGTAATGCTTTCCTTTATCCTTAACCGCGTAATCCATGAGCGAAGTAAGCAGGAGATCTGCCTTGACCTCCTTGGAGCTGGGCACCAATTCTCCACCAATGTAAGTGCTCACTAGCTCCCTTGCATTATCAAGCAGAGTCTGTAGGCCATCGGTGTCTATGGAACTACTAGAGTATGAAGAAAGTACGGATGCAACAGACTCGGCCAGGGAGGAGCCAGACATCGTGGAGTCAATGGAGGTGCGGGAAGGCGGTGGGTCTGTCACCATGTCCTGATCCATGATCGCTAGTGATTGGAGGCCATGACCAAAAAAATAGCACTCCAGATTTGGAAGGGGATTCAAAGAAGGGTCAATATACAATTCTGATTTAGCTAGGCAGGCGAACCTGAAGGGACGATGACCTAAGCGTCTTCATCCAATGGGAGTGTGTGAGACTTCGCTCCAACCAATCGGCATTCGCGATTCGTGAGGCGTGTCCGCGCTCTTTATATATAGTAGACGATATGCCTATCCAGGTTGTTTGCGGCCACACAAGAGGCTCTCATCGCACTCACTGCACAATTGACGAACAAGAAGTAGCGTTGACAAACTAGAAAAAAGTTATCCCACTAGCCCGATGCGGGGGTCGAACCCGCAACCTTGAGATGTGAACCCTAATAAGAGTCTCACGCTCTACCGATTGAGCTAACCGGGCACCGGTCGACTGACTCCCTGTTGATGCATGCACAAGGTTTGAGTAATATCAGAATTTCAGGTCAACATGTCGACTTTATCAGTCTCCTTTGTGGCCACTTAGCGCAAACGAAAGTTGAAATGCATTATATCCATCACATCTAGAGTGTCGGCAAAACGAGGATCTGCTTCGAATCGATCGGATTCCTTCCATGGTCAGCAGCCGGATCCAAACCTTCTCCTGTCGTAAAGTTTACCTTTATCCATGTCAGAGTCACCGCCGCCGCCACCTCCCGATTCCCCTTCTGTTCATAATGCACCAGCACCAGCACCAGCCGTTGGCTCTCCCGCTCACTTTCTCAAAGGCTGTGTAGGCAAGCGCGTCATCGTTCGTCTGGTATCTGGCATCGACTATCGAGGTACGAACTCGTTGCTGGTATCTACGCGTCTCCACAACATTCACGTATTCGGTCCTCTCGTTCTCTGAAGGTATTCTTTCTTGTTTGGACAGCTTCATGAACATAGCCATGGAGCAGACGGAAGAGTATGCGAATGGACATCGGACCAACTCTTACGGAGACGCATTCATCCGCGGAAACAATGGTACGTGCAGGATTTGCCCGTGTACAGGCTATTGATATTAAAATTACCACAGTACTATGCGTATCGTTAGAGGAACCATTATAGTGGTTATTGGGGTTGATCGCTCAATCCAACTTCGGCAGTTTGACCGAAACGCCAAGTTCTGCTGCGATCTCCTTGATGCGGGCCTCCCAGTGTTTAACCTCTGCGAGATTAGCCTCAATGGCGGCTATTTCTTTGTCCATACTTAAATTCTGCTCTGCTGTTCCCACTTGTTGTTCCGTCCAACTCCCACTAGCATCTCCCTTCAGTGTCAGCAGACGCGAATGATACTTGATTAATGAGGGACTGGAAGGCTCTTGTCAATGATTGCGAGGCGAGGGAGGAATTGTGCATTAACATACCGATGAGAAACGGTAATCAGGGTAATCCCAAGATCTTTGGCATGCTGATACATCAATCCTTCAACATCAGTCGAAACAGCGCTTGTACATTCTACTCCATATTGTCAATCAAAATGCCAGACGTGTCAGAAGGACCCCTACCATCCAGCACCGCGAACTTTGGCGAGTGATAGAAAAGCCTGGCCATACCCATCTAGACACAGCTATAAGAAGCTGCTTGAGCAGTGAGTTAGGCCACTCACTCTCTGCTTTTCACCTCCACTGAGGACGTCACGCCACTCCTTCTGTGTCGTCCAGCCTCCTTCACGCTCTGGGAGATACGCCAAGTGAACACGTCTCAAAATTTCCATTAGATCTTCGTCGGTGCGACCTGACGCTTTGAAATCGGCGTATGAATGAGGATAGGTAATCCTAATGAATACTGGTGAGCAGCTGCTGCACGGGGCCTTGGACAGTGCATTTACTGATCTCGGAGGGTGCCCACGACCATGTATGATCGCTGTGGCACCACAAATACGCCCTTCGCACCTCGGGAGGGACGACTGAGGATACCACCAGTGGTCTCCCATAAGCCAGCAATAACACGAGCGATAGCTGTCTTTCCCACCCCATTCTAAGAGTGATTTAGTGTCCGGGCCGAGGAGTTGAAGGATCGAGCACTGACGGGACCGGTAATCATCAAGTGTTCGCCTCTTCTAATTGTTAACTTCAGGGGTTCCACTAAGCCGCCATTCAGGCCATGATTTTGTGCGTCGTCCGCTTCAAACACATTGGCCCCGCGAACTTTGCGTTCGGGAACGCTGACTCCGACGTTGTCCAGACGTATGCTATGCTCTGAATCCGCGAACTCCTTTACTGATGGTATGGCATGCAACGTAGACAACAGCGTGTATACGCGGGTGGTTAAACCGGCCAGCTCCAACAGATCCTTGTATGCATACATTAACCGTCCTCCAGCATCGGCAATGGAAATAAGAAGACGACGATTTGAGATATAATCTTAATCCTCACGTCAGCGAAGGGGAAACAACTTGGAATAGGAAGATATACCTTCTGTTCTCGAGGCAATGGAATCATTGGGACGGAGCAGACCATCTGCCAAAGGCCCCTGGGCTTGAATGCCAACGTGTCGAGTCGGACGGAGCAACACAGGGATTGAAATCAAACAATAGCCCACGGCGGACCATAAGTACTGCCGAACAAATTAAGCACGGTGCAAATGAAGAAGCAAAATATATGAACCTTAATAACGAAATCTAAGGATCTCATCCGTTAGCAACATGCTGGATGGGTCACTGCAGAGAAGACTCTCACCTTCTGTCCATTCGTAAGCAATTCGAATCTTGAGTCGTGGATGAGTAAACACAACGAAGAGTTACATGAAGCCTGGATAGTCACCTTTGCGATGGTATTCACATGGCTCATCAGGCGGGAGTAAGCTTTCCAGAGAATGTCACGCTCGGTACTTCCACCATTGTAAAAACTGACACTCGTGTTAACAATGATGCTCGAACGGCAGGCGACGCGCACCTACGCAATCTCCTCGGCTTCTCTCCCGGCACGTGCAACGCCTCCACGATATTCCCCTTCAAGTCGGGCCTAACTCCACTTACGTTAATGAGTTTATCGGTTATGACCTAGCTGACACACCTCCACCGCTGCCATACGGGCAAAAGCCGGGGTCACAGCTCTGAGGATGCTAGCTGTGAGTAAATAATTCCCCCACAAAAGAGTGCTACCCAAGAGTCCCAAGGACCGTGAAATTTGCACGGTGAAGATGAACATATCAAGGAACGGTTTCATAGTGTTGCCGCTAAACAGTTATAGTTGACCTCAGCAGGATGACTTCTCGAAAAGAATAGGCAGGCAACTTACTACAAGGCGGCAAGGGAATCGCAAAACGACGCAATGTCGGAGGTGATATACCTGCCAAAAATTGGTTCAACTATTCATCGAGGACACAATTTTGCTCACTGATCAACACCGTCCAATCCCCCTTCAAGGCCTACTCGGTAGTACCGAAGGTAGGGTGCTTTTGTGAGATAAAGATCATGGGCATATCGAGTAAGTCGTGTCCGAAGACTGAGAGACAGCTTCATCTGAAGATGACGCAGCTGAAAACAAAAACTAATTGAAACAGTACATCATTCATGAAGTGTCTAGTCTCTCACCATCGAGTTTGTGTATGATGAAGGAACCGCAAGAACAAACCACCACCCAAGGCCGCGAAGAAATCCAGGGCCATCGGCACTGACGAGATCACGGACAATGCGTCCATCAAGACGCGCCACATAAACACTGAGTAGGGTACGAAGAACAAGAAATGTTGAGTGGAGAACTACAAGGCCAACCTCCTTTGACCTCCAGTTTCTAAATGCTAGTCTCAGTACTGAGCCGAGCTGCTTCATGAAAACGGCATCAATAGACGCCTTGACGTTCAGATTCACTGAACGAATGATGGGAAAAAGCTTTGCTCCTTTGATGAGGGTGGATTCCTTGATTGGGTCTATCCGGACCTATCATTTCATACGGAGAGGTTTAACATGGAAGCAAAGGTATCTCCATGGCGCGCATACCTTAGCGATGCGCCCGCGAAAGGGGACGAAGAGCGAGACACTGCCATCTCGCTCCTTTCGGTACACTTCCTGCTTTGCAGCTTCAAATTCTGTTGGACTCAGCCTCGAAACAGGGTTCAATGAAACCCCGAAGAACTTAGGCATGTCAGGAAGCAGTTGAGATCGAACAATGAGCAAGAAAGAAACAATAAGCGCAATGGAGTGCTGGCGTCTCTCTGAGATGAAGGCCTGGAGCGGAACGATTGGCATAAGCTTATATGAAGCGGTCAATATATGCAATGCGGGCCAGCCAGCGCCCGATACGAGGACAAATAAACTTCTGCAGTGGTGCTTCAAGACGATTCGGATTCCAAGCTCAGATCACGGGACCGCTTCACGGGCATGTGAAAGCCGAGAAAAGCATTAATGCTTCCACGAGAGCAACGTCCTGCAGACCCCCATTCATGCAGCTCCTCTCAGAGAATAAATTTCAGTTATCAAGTCTTGCGTCATTAGAAACTTTTGTTGTCGCATTGGAGGCGCATGCTCATGACGGTAGGTATGCCAACTAGCCAAAAAGCTATCAGCTGCCCGGTACGTCTACTTCCAGACGTTACCATAAACAACTCTGACAAAACTGATTCAGGGCTATATCTTCCACTTGCTGGGTCGTTTGTGGACAGCAGTGATTATGGGGATTTCTATGAGTTAATCGTTGTAAATCCGCTGGTATCAAGAAGACCAGCCTGAGCTTTGAGAAGCTCCTGCTTCAATGCCGCAACAAAGTCGGCATAGTCCTTAGGCTGCAGCGGACTGAGAATCGAATAAAACTTACGTGCGTCGTCGACGCACCTTGTATCCCGTCACTCTCCCCGAAGGATTCGGCATCTTAAAGAATAATGCTCGGTCACTGGAGGCTTATTTGGGAGCACGGTCATCACAGGTTCGTCTTCTTGCTCAGTTTTGATGGATGGCTAATTCGACGAATGTGGGTGCTCAATCAGTATTGACGAAATTACATTACTTACATCTCGCCGTGGTGGCTCCGATTTAGCATCCCTTTCTGCTCGATGGACGATTTTGTATGGGAGAACCAGATATGGATCTGTGGACGCGCAATTGGACTTGGAGCTGCGATTATCGACGTATACACTGACCGTGTGCCAGTCTCAGTTTCTTGTCCCGAGGTCTCGCGGGGTCTACTGCGCCGATGAACTTGTCCCAAATCCCAAATCCAGCAAAGGCCACAATCCTGGGCCGCCACTCGTGTATCTTGTGTATAAGCACAGCGGCTCCAGTTTTGTGCTCGTCTTGTTCCAGATCTTTTTCCTGAATTAGGATCAGGGGCTGATCACAGGGTTAGACTGTAAGCCATTACCTCTTTCGATGGCCGGTCACAAAGGTTTGTCTATGCGTGCAACAGCATGGACATCTCGGAAGGAAGTGAAGAAGCGGACGTGCTGACTAACCAAACCCATAGAAGGATCAAGCAATGGCATTTCTGTATCTTGGGCAGCAATCATTCTTACAGGGGTCAGACCTGAGACAGAAACTTCCAATTTGGCATGAATGATTTGTACCCGTATATCACAACTCACCCCCGGCATACAACGATGGCCAAAACCGATTCGATGGGTGCGAGAAGTGGTGCCCTTTCCTAGACGATGTTTCACCAGGGCTATGGATCGTGCCTCAGTACCTGCGCACTGTACCCAAGCAACGATATAGGGTACTTTATCCCGCAAAAAAGGACTACAAATAAGCGAGGGAGAAGACACGTAGGATCGTGGCAAAGTAGTCAACTATTTGAATAGATCGAAGTCGAGGGTGTTGGAAAAACGTACTGTCGAGCTCCTTCACTATAATATCAGGAACTGGGTGCAATACTTCCTGTCTCTCCGCTCCAGGCCTGTTTGTCGGGCTGTACATACACAAGTGAAATAAACAGGGTTTCCTAATTAGCGCCGAAGACCACATGCACATTCTCACCTTATGCGCCGCCTTTTCGCCTCCCGTAGTGTTCGCTTAGAAAGGGGGTTTCCTCCTGAGCCATTGTCACTGTTCCCTGACACTTCAGCCCCGACAATGGCCTTCAGCGACTCTGAGCGAGTGAAATAACGGGACTTCATTGTTGGCACGTCTGGTGCCGGAAGGGAACGAGATGAACTCTCTTGATCAATATCTCCAGAGATCTCCATATGCAACACAGACGGTAACTGGTGGCAACAAAGTGGAGTGGAAACGAAGATGGTAGAGGGCTAAAACCGGGTTTCCCCGTCGTGCACGGCGCGCTCTGCTCGTTCCGGATCATGTGTCGGCAAGCCATTGCTGCTACCTAGCGCTTACAAACGCGCCTCCCAGGGCCCCTTTCAGCTGTGTGCAATTTCCGATTTGCGCTGGACAATAATATCGTGCTACCCAAAAACGAAACATTTATCCTCGACGCATCATAACCGATTTCAGGTTTCGTCCTGACGCCATTTAACCAGCTCCCTGACGTGCCTGGATACTTTCCATCCACACAACTAAACCCCTGCCATACTTTCCGTCACCCCTCAGCCATGTCATTCACGTCAGAACCCTCCTCCTCAACAGGAGGGCAGTTCCAAGACAATACAATTCCATCTACAGCACACCTAGAACCATTGACAATTCCGCCAAACGAGGCCACAGAAGGCCATCCAAACCCATTCACTGAGCAGGAGCTTGGGGAGTACAAAGAACAAGACCGTTACCTCCCAGTACGTTCTGTAGCTCATATGGAAAGATTGCATGTCTCACAACTTACGCGCTAACTACGGGCTATTCTCTTCCTAGATTGCCAATGTCGCACGGATAATGAAGCTCTCCGTTCCATCGAATGCAAAAATTGCGAAGGACGCGAAGGAGGCGATGCAAGAAAGCGTTTCCGAGTTCATTAGTTTCATTACGTCCGAAGCAGCGGAGAAGTGCCTCATAGAGAAGCGCAAAACCATTGGAGGTGAAGATATAGTGTATGCGATGAAGAGTCTAGGGTTCGACAATTATGCTGCCGTGCTCCAAGTTTATTTGGCTAAACTCAGGCAGGTAAGGCGTTTAGCAATCTCATCTCTTCGATTCTTGGTTTTTATGGAACGTAATTCCCTAGCACCAGGCGATGGTTTCTGCGGCCAGATCTCAGGCCCAAGATGTTGACGAGCCAATCAATCATTCACATCAACGCAACTTCATCATCCCTACCGGACTAGTGCTGAGGGCACGCCTGAAAACGCTTCACAGTCATGAGCGCTACTGGATATACCGTTAAATTTCTTGGATCGGCCGTTGGATCATGTTTACTTTAATAGCCGCGCAGACATAATGTATGGTATGCCCGCCATCAACAACATCCGCGAACGTCACCGCAGCATTTTTCTATTTTTGTAATTTATCTCGCATTTATACGCCACTGCTCGGACGCTGAACTAATAACTGGTTCGCCGCAGCTGGCTAAATTAATGTTAAGAATGAAGTACTTGCTCACACAAATGATTTTCTTCAACGTTCCCTGTGGTGATCATGACCTCAAATCCGATGATATTATATTGTTGGATATTCAGTTGATCCAGATTAGTCAGCGCTCTCTTGCCTTCCAAGTCGACTGGCGCACGTGATGAATGCCCTCACGTTGGCCGAATTGTTCCTGAAGATTGTAAAATCTCCGGAGTGCTAAATGAAATCTTTTATAAATGCTGGCGCAGCTTTGTATTACATGTTGAAAAAAAAGAAATTACTCTTCTGCATGGTCCGATCTGCGGTTCGGTTCGTGTTGTAATCGGCGTTCCGGATACGGCAACGCGTCTCCCAACGGCTCGCTCGTAGCACAAATGTAAGATAGAAATATAACTAATGATTTGGGTCAACGTCCGTACGTGGTGTGTATATACGGAAGAGGAAAATGTACGTAATGCAACTCGTGTGCGTGCGCTTAGTAAAATCCTCCACATTGTCCTCCACATACTCTCCGGTGACTCGCATTTCCAACAGTTCGGTTCGAATCCGGTCCAAACCATGGTCCGGTCCTATTTATGGGTTCGGTCCTGGTGCAGGTCCGGTTTAAGTCACGGCATCCCTAGTCACGTCGGGGAAATGCGTTACGCACTAGATGTTGACGATTTCGAACAGCGGGGCAACCGGATTATTGGATGGGATCATCACCTATCATGAAGAATCTTAGATCTTGAATGTTTATTCTGAAACTCAATTGGCGGTATCCTAGTTGTCCGCTGTCACTGGGCGCGAATGCGTTGCATCCCAATGCGCCAGGTTTTTGGGGTCAAAGAGTACATTGGTGCACGGATATATTCAATCACCATGGGAATTGCTATTGACTGCGGCCATCTTACATAGAGGTACGTCCGTTGCCACTCGATCAACGATTGAAGTAAATATACTAGACAAGCGAGACAAAACAAAATCCAAAAGGAAGTGCGCAATGAAGAACTCGTGCATGCGGAAGCGGGTTTAGGAATTAGGAATCATAAGGGCCACGGAGCCAAAGGATATACAGACGATGTCAAATAGTCCCAAAACATTGTTCAGTTCCGTCCTTTGGACAAATATTAATCATGACTTCTGAGAGACCACTGCGAAACGGGAACGCTCTTCGGTGAGATGAACGAATTGAATCCAACCCACTGAGGATTGAACACAACTTGGACGCTGTTGCTACCAGCCGGGATATTGACCACAAGCACCGTTACCCCAAGGTTTTCTGGGTCAGTTCCTCCGGCAGGCAAAGGCGGATCACTATCGTAACGAACAGGGGCCGCTGTACTGAATTGCAGTCCGTTTTTAACGTTGAGCAACTGAGCTACGAGTGTCTTCCCTGCGAGCTCTAATGTTGCTGTATCATTCGTAGTGGAAGTCGTGGAGAACTTGACAGTAGCATTGGTGTGCATGCGCCATTGAATAGCGTTAGCGGCATTCGAGATGTCGTCCTGAAGGAGGACTTGTCTACGTCCATTCAGAAGTCGGATACCTCGGTGAATGGAGCTACGGGAGCAGTTGAGAATAGAAAAATGAACTGGAGGATAAATAAATCTTACGTTCCACCGTAGGTGTTGGTCAAGTCAGCGGTGAAGAACGCGGTGGAATCCTGGGGGATGGATAAAACTGTGCTGGAGCCTTGAGTGGTATTTGAAGAGTCAAAATTCGTTGGCGGAAACGCGGAGAGTACTTGATTTTGGCGATTGACCACAAGAGTATTCTGTCCTTCGGTGCGTTTGCGGTAGTATAGCCATCGGGGAGAGCTGGCGTTCCCTCCGTCAAAGTATCCCTTAGATCGAAGGCGAATGAGGAGACAAACGTAGTGAACGCCAGTCTACACTTACAGGAGCATTATAATCTGCTGAACCAAGTTCCCCAGCGAACCGCTGTCCCATTGCATCCAAGACAAAATCGCCACTGTCCAAATCATTATGATTCTGATGACCAGAGTTGGTGCCGGCCTTCATAGCGACGTAGAGACCATCGTTATCAGTCCAGCTAGTGCGCATTGAGGCCCACTGATCCGTATTATTGCTGAAGTAATGATCCAGTGGGAGATTATCCCACCAGCCACCGCTGACGGAAGGGTCATACCAGAAGAGACCAGTTGGTTCAGAGGCATCGATCCGGTCACGTTGGAAGAGGGTGTAAAAGGGTTGGTTGTATTGGGTGCCATAGAACATCATGCAGTTTGCCGTGGTGCTAAATTTATTCGGACCATGATCACCGTAGTTGAAGAGCGACGTCATCCCGGTAACATAGATGTGATAGAGACCAGTAAGGTAGAAGTTGGGGTTAGACTTCAGTAGTTGATAATCGCTGCCTGTCGCTGTCAACAAGGAGCTCGCCATTTCAGCATGCCCAGTGTTCCCGAAATACCAGTAGCTAAAAGAAAACGTAAGCACCACAAAACAAGGTGCAAGTTGGAATGACAGACTTGGCAGTTTCTACCCATGTTCTATGAAAATGCGTAAGTATCAATGAGGCCCCTTTCCCGATAGCGAACCCACCCATCATTCGAGACTCCAAGGTCGCAGTTGCTTCGGGCATTTGGCAAAGCCAAGTTCAACATTTGGGTGGCAGCTCCAGTGGGGTCGTCGTTTAGGATGGCCAGGGAACCAATGATCATACCCGAGTTAGAAACCTAGGTTTGATAGCATGATGAGCATTGCTCCGAACAAATGTTCGAGTAGAGTGGTTTACGCAATTCCAATTCCCATTGACGGTCCGCCACCAACCGTAGGAAGCGCCGTTGTATGCTGCTACACCTTTGTTTATACCAAGGCTAATGATGCTCCACATGAGTGCCGTCCTGCGAGGCTGACTCCAGTAATCGTAGACCCAGTCGTAAGCGAGAGCGAAAGCGGCAGTGAACTCTGCAACATCGAGGAAGTGGTTCGAATTCCAATTATCCCCCGCGGTGCCGAACGATGTGGTGCCATTTCCTGATGCGTTCAACAATTCCTCCCACAGCCGTTCGGCATACTTGGAGTCATTGCTCATACGGTAAGCGTATGCAAGGTTCTTAACACGAACTTTGATCTCACGAGCAGTGTCCAGTGCACCGCTAGAGCCATCAAGGAAAAATGCCTTGGGAGGAACATTGAGGACAGCGGTGGCATTTCCAAAAATTGTGTCATTCCAACCACGGAGATAGGGATCAAGGGAGATGAGGGAGGGCAAAGCATTCCATTTATAGCTGGGGGCTATGAGGCGTGGACGGCCACTGCGCACGACAGTGGGCTGGGGGTTTGAAGGTTTGAAGCTATCTGTTGGCCAGGCAGCTGGCGGCGATGACTGAGGCGGAACAAAGGTTGGAGTCCCAAATAGGCCAGGATCTGTCTGTGTTGAACAATAATGCGGCGCTAAGCCGTAGCAGACATGAGGAATCTGAGGACTCACTGTGGAAGGGTATTCGGGAAGACCGTAAGTGTCTGTGCCCGTTGCAAATCTACCAAGTTTCTCTCTAGCCGAGCTCAATGAAACTGCGTAACTACTAGATTGTTGTGGAGACAAGGACGTGGAGGATTGAGGATGGCTGCTGTTGTTGTTCTTGCTGCTCTTATTGAGTTGCGTGCCCAACACACCTCCTAAAACAGCGCCAACAATGATCAAGACGGCCACTGGGACTCCAAACTTGATCCACGGGGAAGTGTGACGGGGCGATTTTCCTTGTACCTCGCGTGGGTCGGTTTCTGAAGGAGGCTATGATAAGGATGTCTAGTGAGCCTCCAATATGCCTTACCAGTCTTTAAACTTACGGCAGATCTGCCTGACATGATGGCAGCGAGGGCGAAAAAAAAATGAGAGGTGGGGGAAGAAATGCCTTGACGTAAACAGCAAGCCCATTCAATCCAGGATCGGCATGTTGCCCAACGCGAGACGAACTCTACGCACTCAAATAAATTTCACAAAACTAGGTGAAGGAAGGAGAGACCAGTAGTTGGTATGTGTGGCTAAAACGTCTTATTCCCGGATGTTGACATGGCAGTATAAACATCATCCCACGTCAGTGTTCACTTGGTAGCACAGCCATGCTCCTCCACCGTGTTCTGGCTTCCGGACCGCCTTTTGTGTCAATTGGGCTACAACCAATCCACGTTGTGAAAAACGTGTAGATAACATAATGGTGTGACCCAAAAGCTACTCAGTCGTCTCATCACGCTGATCATTCAACATCGGTTCGGGGATTATTATCCTTCGATCTGTCGCCACACCTTTCTGTGCAGTCTATAACAGGTTCTCCATCTCGGTTTAGAGCTTTGAACAACTCCGTGTCATCTTCTAACATCGGGACCTCAACTGCTTCTCCATCTGCAACCACCGTTCCTCCTGAAATTGAGTCCACCCTAACGAGGATCATTTCTACGAGGAATGTACTTGGGGTAATGGTGCTTTCCAAGGAAGGTGCCATGATCCGGCATGCAGGCTCCGCTTTCGAGGGGGAAACCGGGAGAAACTATGCTATCGCTGTCAAGCGCATCGTGGATGCGTGCAGAGTTGGCCTGGAGGAACCACACAGAACCGCAGACGCTATCGATGAGGAGGCAGCGGCAGAAGTGGTGAGCCCTGCAATCCCATAATGCAACACGGTATGCCTGACCCTTTCTCTCCAGGATGAAGTCAGATTCATTCGGATACGAACACGAAAACACGAGCTGATGATTTCACCAGGTGAATGTGGCGTTGTCCACGACCTAGTGTGGCGTTAATCACTATTCGTCTCCCTTCAGATGGAAGATACCTTCTTGTGGTGCTTCATGATCCAAGCCAATAAGTCGTACACATCGGTTGTTAGATCGTTAGAACCGCCGACCCTTTGGCAAAGCAAGCAATTCATAATGAGTTAAGCATAACAAAGAGGTCACTGAGGGAAGTAAATGTAGCAAACTCCGTCATATTCTTCGTATGGGAGTGCGCCAAACCGGCATTGAAATGGCTTTGTATCAGTCAACAAAATTGTATATTTCGCATCCGTCGAGACTCCCCGCTTCAAACGAGAACGTCTGGTTTAGAAACACGCGTCTCCCTACCCCAAATACACCTGTATCGCGAAAGCTACTGGAGTTCCACAAAAAAAAAAGAATATACCTGGAGCTTAATTCGGCGGAAAGGCCCGCGCATGTGATCAATATTTCGATTGAGCCAAAAATTACACTAGTCTTCCCTGACGGCGTTTCGTCGTTATTATTATTATTATCCAATAAGGCCTTAGTCCATCAAACCGACGCGTCTGGAGAACATTTAGTTCTCTCATCTGGCTCCAAACGTGGAGAAAACTGGTGAACAGCTGCATTCACACACTCGCTTCTGCTACCATGACGAGGTACATCGTAGTTTCGGGAGGAGTGATCAGTGGAATTGGGAAGGGCGTTATTGGTTCGTTCTATGTACTCGTATTGTTGGCCGTGGTTTCCTGAGGCTCACTTCTCCCCATAGCTTCCTCAACTGGTTTGCTGCTCAAGACAACGGGCCTCAAAGTGACTGCAATAAAGATGATCCATACATGAATATAGATGCCGGCACGATGGCCCCGACTGAACATGGTGAGGATGACGAAGTCCCTTATTGTCTGTTTTATGGCCTCACAGCGCAATGGATTAGGGGAGGTGTACGTTCTCAACGATGGAGGGGAAGTCGACCTGGACCTTGGGAATTATGAGCGCTACCTCGACGTGACGTTATCGCGCGATAACAACATTACGACAGGTAAAATTTATCGGGAAGTAATTGAGAAGGAGGTGCGCATTCACAAATACGTCGTCCTTCGGCAATGTATTTCGAGTTCCTGAAAGTTTTTGTTTTCCGTTAGCGCCGAGGAGATTATTTAGGCAAGACAGTTCAAGTAATACGCCCACGCGAAAATCGCCGAGTATGCTTCTCAAGGGTACTTCATAGATTGTTCCTCATGTTACGAATGGGATTCAAGATTGGATCGAGCGAGTGTCCAAAGTTCCGGTCGATAGCACAGGTGAGGAGCCGGATGTCTGCATCATAGAGGTTAGTTCTTTCAACATCTGACTCTGAAGTATCAGCTAAGTGCTTTATTATAGCTAGGTGGCACAGTCGGCGACATAGAATCTGCTCCATTTATTGAGGCCATGCGCCAATTCCAGTTCCGAGTGGGCACGGAGAACTTCGCTCTCATTCATGTCTCACTTGTTGTAGATATGCATGGAGAGCAGAAAACGAAGCCCACCCAGTCGACTGTTCGTGACCTGCGTGGTTTAGGTCTGTTACCTGATCTGGTTCGTATCCCAGTGTCCGAGCCTAAGGTTAGGCTCATTGGCCAATTCAGGTCGCTTGCCGAGTGCAAGGGCGTGAGCCATTAGACACTGCAACTAAGGCGAAAATATCCATGTTTTGCCATGTTGCTCAGGATCAAGTGCTCAGCATCCACGATGTGTCATCTGTCTATCATGTCCCCCTCCTGCTCAAGTCTCAAGGGCTTGTCGAGTTTCTCCAACGACGGCTCAACCTTGCTTCAGTCACCGTTTCCCTTTCTTTAAAAGCCAACGGGGAAGATCTCCACACTCGTTGGAGAGCAATGACCAGGACGTGAGCCGACCTTTTTCGTTTCTGCTTCCAGTCCTCATTCTCTCACGCCAAGTCAGGAACGGTTATTCGAGTCTGTCAACATTGTGCTAGTCGGGAAATACACTTCTCTCAAAGACTCATACATGAGTGTTGTGAAGTCATTAGAGCATTCAGCATTCCGTTGCAACCGCAAACTGATACTAGAGGTAAATGTGGTTGGTGATCGTTTCTTTGCTTATATTAACGACTTTCATAGTGGGTGGATTCGTCGGATCTGGAGCCGCACGCATTAGAGTCATCGCCTGTGCGGTATCATGATGCCTGGCGAGCATTGGTCTCCGCTCAGTGAGCATTATACTCGCTTTCAGTCACAGTCCCCTTACCACGCCCCGAAGAGGCGTCCTTGTTCCAGGAGGTTTTGGTGAACGAGGCACCGAAGGGATGATCCTCGCGGCGAAATGGGCTCGAGAGCAATCAAAACCTTTTCTTGGTATTTGTCTCGGGTTCCAGATCGCCGTTATTGAGTGGGCGCGCAACGTCTGCGGTTGGGTTGGTGAGTCGGACGCTCATCGGAATGATCGTTTGGAGTCTGAACTCTTGGAAGGTGCCAACTCCGAGGAGTTGGATCCTCGTTCATCAGATCATGTCATCGTGTTCATGCCTGAGATATCTAAGACTCACCTTGGCGGAACGATGCGACTTGGACTACGTCCGACGATTTTCAATGAAGGCACGGAAACTTGGAGTAAAATGCGCAAGCTGTATGGTGGCGCAAAGATTATTTGGGAGAGGCATCGTCACAGGTATGAAGTAGGCCCTGCATATGTAGAGCGACTGGAGAAAAGCGGGATGAACTTCATCGGTCGGGATGAGAAGGGCGAGCGCATGCAAGTCTTCGAACTACAAGGTATGCGAATCTTCCGGCAATAACTGCCTTTGAGAGAAATTATACCTAAACATGGTTGTCGATCTAGATCATCCATTCTACGTAGGACTGCAAGCGCATCCAGAATTTTGCACCAGACCTCTGAATCCCTCTCCTCCATTCTTGGGTTTCGTTGCGGCTGCGTCATCGGTTCTAGAGGAAATACTTTCTGAACAGAAGAACTACAGATCACCCCACCCGAAGTCGGCGATGGTATTTCCCGACACACTCGGTGCTTCAAAACCTGCTGATGAGTTGAAAGCACCGACCAACGGCGTGGTGGTGAATGGCCACTAAACGGCTGTTCATCGAACTAGCACAACACAAACAAAACTTCCCCGGGACAATGGAATAAACAGCCGCGGATTGGCTATGTTTATAGAGTGAAGTGCTTGTATTTAGTGGTTTCAGTGTGCCATCAATGCTTCGGGTTGACTAGTACCAGTGTTACCTAAACCACAGTACTTTTGACCGATGTTGCATTTATCAAAGCGATTGCTACGTAAGCAGCCTCGCAAGCAGGACTCCAGCCTCTGACTTCGTCCAGATATCCATGCATGAGAGACATTACTGCACATCAGGTCACTTGTTCTGAAATCTCCACTCCGTATCGGGTCCTGCAGATGTTCGGCTTCACTTTGAATACCCCCGATCTTCCTGCATTTGCATTCTCTGGGGTGCTCTTAACGAGACGGGAAAATCTGACCATTGTTGATCGCAGTATTATTGAGCGATTAATTGCAACGATGCCATCTTGACCGCGTATTTCGAGAAACCGTAGTTGCTCTAAGTAAGACACAGGTTTTTTCCACGGAGCAAAATGCCATGGGTAAAATACCACGATTTACTTCCCACTGTGATGGTCGATCACAGCTTCATTGAAAGGTACGCGCAGTGATCGCTAACTTGGAAACATGATTGTTTGATTACGGATTATGAGTAGTCTTACTATCTGGTCGAACGGAGACAAGGATGCATTTGAAATTTACAGCATAAGTAACAAAGTAGTACTAGGTCCTTCACCCTCCAAAAGAAGTTGCATAGGTTATGAAGAATTCCAAAAGAGCACTGACAGCGCGGGTTTTAGAAAGAGTCCAACCCTCGAAAGTGTGAAGTGGATCTGATCACAAATGCATGTGTGTCATTAGGGTGATACTAACCATAACTTCCTAAGAGTGGGAGGTCTGGAGGTCGTGACAGAAAATCCGGAGCAAGGTCCGTTCCAAGCCGGGGGCCAGGGAGGAACGAGCCGCGAACTTAGCGAAAGGAAATTTTCTGAATTTTGCAATTCATGCTGACATCTAGGGGTGCCGTGGTTCTCAGAGAACCGGTTCGAACCGGGACCGAACCGAGAACCGAACCGTGCTGGAACCGAACCGTGGTTCGGTTTTGACCCAGTTCTCCGATGGTTCGGTTTTGGTTCTCTAAGTTAGGGGGAAAATCTGAACCGGTTCTGAACCGAACCGAACCATAGAACCATAGTATCTTATGTCACACAAATGAAAAATGTGCACATCATTCGAAGGCTCTGACAATTTTAAATTATTCTGCCAGTCATATTCGGGGATGGCCGAAAAATCACAAATGGAAATTGTTTTCAGCTCTTACACCTTTGCGTCTATTTTAAACATCCTTGAGATGGATACTCACTCTGACAATGGAAGTGAGTGGCACACAGACCCTGAAAACCCAATGCTGGGTCCAGATGGTAAACTACGTGATGCTGCTGAGAAACCGGACCAATTTGTCTACAGTCCTTCGGATGCTTTGCCACACCCTCCCTCTAATTCTGAGGGCTATAATCCAGATGATGACCTACCTACTGCTCATCGAATAGTGCAAAGGCCAAAGCGGACCATAAAGCAAATTACTCGAGAAAATCCAGTTGAAGCATTCGAGCACCAAAAACTTGCTTCCAAGAATAAAAATAGGCATAACACTTCACGGAATAGAGATGTTGGTATTACTCAACAGACCCTGGAAGCATTCTCAGTCGGACGTCAACCAAACAATCTTGGGCTACTGGGGAACTTGAGACAGCCCACAAAGACAGCGGAGCTCGGCTATGTCACAACATCCAGGGAATCAGCATCAGATGAAGAGCAACAGCATAGCCCAAAGAAGCGCAACAAGTCCAGCCAGGGGAAGAAGGCGTTGAAGCGGGCCCGAACTAGCAGTGCAGCAAAGGGCTCAGTGCCCGTGTCCAGGCCTGAAATTGAGTTGGTCGGAACAGATGGGGATGATGAGGCTGCACCTGGGGCTCTTGAGGACCAGGAGAAATTCGCATCTGAAGATGCACATGTTGCACAAGCAATCCAGCTGGCCCAGAAAGCACGGCGGACACAAGACCTCGAAACCGTGTTTACCGAGGTTGTTCATGAGGGACAAGACAGTTACCGGATATGCCGGGTGTGCCAGTGAGTCCCAAAATGTCTATAATTCCAAACTAGGGATCAATATACATGCAATAGATCTGCTTACGACAAAGGGGGCCGGTCAAAACTATTGACACCACGTTTCTCAGCCGGTTCTGCTTCAAGCACACTCCGCAAACATATTAGTCGTTGTGGGGGGAACACTGGGAACTCTATCTGAAACAGTGCAACACTCTTGGAATCCCACCTGATGAGAGAGCAATACCTGATGTGGTACAGCAGGAGCAAAGGAGTGCTTTCATCACAAATGAGTGAGCGCGTGTTCAGTTGAATTCTAATTCATTTCGGGTCCAACCTACTATGTATCCTAGGAACAGGCAAAGACGAATCACCCACTTCTATCGCCCAGCTGGGGATGAGGTCTCATGGTCTGTGGAAGGCCTAGTGCAACGAATTGAAGATTTGATCATTGAGCATGACCTTGTGTGTATATTTTGAGTATTCTTGATCAACATTGATTATTCAAGACATACGCTATTCAGGGCTTTGATTTAGTCGACTCAGACTCATTTCGTGATCTGATGAAGTTTCAAGCTCGTACTGGCATTGATGGGTCACCGTGCTACAAGGACAAAGACCTTCCTCACCGAACAAAAATGACCCAGCTTGTTATCACACGGTCAAAGGTGGTCACAGAGAACTTGAAGAATCAACTCAAGGTACACCCCGTTGGGTCTTTCATCTTAAAAGTTATATATTGTTCAGTAATAGGAAGCCCCCGGCCTTATCCACTTTGCATTTGATGCATGGACCTCCGCGACTATGCAAGGCTTCCTTGGTGTGACGTGTCATTTCTTGGATAATGAATGGAATGTTCACTCAGAGCTGATGTCCTTCCGTGAGCTTGATGGACCTCACACGAGTGAAAACATCGCAAAAGTTTTATTGGCAGAGATTACCAAAATGATACCAACAATAAAGGCAAGTGCCCAATCGACCCGTTCCCTACTGATGACTCAATCTGATTAGATTGGGTATATTGCTTCTGACAATGCGTCTACAAACGACGCGGCAATGCGTGTGATGAGCGAGATTCTCAGCGAGGAACACAACACCCGATGGGATGCATCCCGTTATCGTGTCAGGTATGTGACATTTTGCAGCCTACTGGGTTTTTTAGCTTACATCACACATCACTCAGATGCATGGGCCACATCGTGAACTTGGCACAACAAGCATTCATTTGTGCTCTTATCGGCAACACTGACAATCTCGCGGAACCTCATGAGAGTGATACCACGAATGACAATGAGATCGACCTTACTGGCCTTGAGATCCCCCTGGTGGAAGGTGCTATAGTTGGGCCATTGCTGACTCGTGTTCGTGCTCTAATCCTTCGTGTGAGTTATTCCTTGGCTACAGTGACAACATCTCAATCTAACATTGGACAATCGCAGATCCGCAGGTCTCCCGGTGCAAAGCTCTATTTAAAGGAATGCTGCATGAAAGTATCTATTAAGACACTGGAACTCGTGATGTATGGAAACACGCGCTGGGGGTCATGGCTAATGCTTCTGGACCGATTTACTGAATTGCGACCAGTATGAGAACACTAGCGTTGTTAAGTATTCCACATATCTTACTTTTTTGACGATAGGCTATTACCCATTTCCTTGAACATGCGGATCGCAAAGATTCTGTACCAAGAGCAAAAGGCCGTACACCCAAATATGGTGCATGGGTGTTTAGCGATAGTGACTGGAATAATATGGAAACAATCATAGATGCGCTGAAGGTGTGTTTTCTCACTCATATTATCTTCTATCCAGTATATTGTAACTGCCTTCACACATTAGGTTGCTGCTCACGCGCAGCAGTCATTCTCTGGGACATCAAAAGTTTCAAGTGCACCGCGCTTGCTCTCAGTGTATGAGGGGCTCATTACAAGTTGGGAGGGAATGAGAAAAGGGCGTAAGTACACTCATATTTACAATGCCCTCGATGCCGGTATTGCTCTTTTGGGGAAGTACTATGATGAAACAGATGTGTCGCCTCTCGCTGTTCTCAGCACAGGTACGTTGCACAATATGGTCATAGGATAATGTCATTCACTCATTATGTACACTCCACTCCAGTTATCGACCCAACGACAAAGGATTCATACATCAACCATTACTTTGCACCTCAATATCGAGCCACTGCAATGCAGAGCGTGCGCAACATTGTGAGTCGCGCCATTCATCCAGAGTGTTGATTGTCACAGACTATTACCAGTTTCTTGAGTATCATTCCGTATATGCAACCCGGTCTGCTGCCTTCAATACAGCTGGAAAAAACCAGGGCGAGGGTGTATATGCGCTGCCAGTTGCCACTTCAGCTGATGAAGTTTCTGGTCTCTCTCGCCGTCTTGCAGCCAGCCAAGCTCGACGGGCTCAGGAAGTATCAAGTGATGATCCTTGTGGGGAACTTGAACGCTATCTCAACGACCCACTTGAACTGCCTGGAACGGACATCCTTGACTTTTGGATGGTAAGCGGCACCAGTATTTTGTCTCAACTACGCTTTAAGTTCGAACTTATCTATATTAATTTTCAGAAAAAAGGCGCTACATATCCTGTCTTAACCTCCATCGCCCGAGATCTGCTCTCGGTCCCAGCATCCTCTATTCCATGTGAAAGGGCATTTTCTGCCGCTAAACACACTGACACTGACAGTCGGAACCGTCTCACTCCCGAGCATCTCGGGGCTATTCAAATCGCGAAGGCCGATATGCAGCGTAACTACTTCAAGGAGAGGGAGGCAAGGAAGGCATTAGACGCAGCAAAGGTCCGAGAGTGGCAGGGTTATGAGGCAAATCTCATGATGGAACGCGTAGAGCGGGTGGGCCTCATTATGGACACTTAGAATGTTCCGCCGAAAATATAATATTTCATTGAAATTATCACATTTAACAAAGTTGGTTCGAACCGTTCCAGAACCGAACCGAACCGCAAGAGAACCAAATAATGGTTCAGTTCGGTTCACATACTGGTTCGGTTCTGGTTCGGCATTATCGTCAAATTTCGAACCAGTTCCGGTTCCGGTTCTCAAAAAATCGCTCCAGAACCGAACCGAACCGAACCGTGGCACCCCTACTGACATCTCGATCAGGTGATCTCAAGCCTTCCGAATATCTGCAACGGGGCATTCCAATTCTGCTCTCATCAGCCCAAGGGTTTTCTCGTTCGTCTGCTGAATCAATTTCTGTGTCTCTGTGTACGTTTGGGGTTGCTTAATGACGAAGGGTGGAAAAAGTTCGGCCTCTTCCGGTACTCGCAAGAAGCATGCTCGCAAAGCGGCAGCTGGTAGCGAGCCAGTGGTTGCCCAGCAGGCTTCAACGAAAAAGGCTAAGCTAAAGAAAGGCGAGAAACCGCCACCGAAGGTGAAACAATTCATTCCTCCATCAAAACCCGCCCCAGTGAAAGTCGATCCGTTGGACTCCTTGGGACTTGCAAGCACGCTCGATCAAGACCTTGTGTTCATTCTTCGAAAGCTTGCGAAGAAAGATTCTGTTACTAGGGAAAAGGCTATTGAGGACTTGCGGACATGGGCAGATAATCACAAAGGCACGACCCTGTCAGATATGATGCCTGTCTGGGTGAGCACTACAGTACATCGGCATCCTTTGCCTGTCACTAACTGCTTGATTTAGCTAAGCCATCTCCCCTCACTATTTCTCCATCCCTCAAAAAGGCTTCGGGTTCTGTCATCTTCCCTTCACGGAAAGTTCCTGACCCTATCCGAGAGTCGTGCAGCTATCCTCCACTTCTTTACCCAGACTGCCGATGCTTCGGAGTCAAAGCCCATTCTAGGATCCTGGTTACTGAGTGTGCACGACGTTGATATTTCTGTTCGACGTGAATCCCTTCGGAATTGGACAAACTTTACCGTGTCTAGGGGGGTTTCATCGGAAGTTGACTATGCTAAACAGCACCTCGATCTCAAGGCGCAGGATCTATTGGACGGGCTCTCCCAGTTCTCTGTTGATGCTTTGCTCAATTCAGATGCTCTCTTTTTGAATGTTTTCCCCCCCGCTCCCACTGCACCTGAGCCACCTTTACGGGGCACAGGTCAGAGACGCAGTCTTGGGAAGCAACGGGAGCCACTGGATAGCACGGTCCCCGAAGAGCCAACACGAAAATTGCTCGTGGAAGAGGAAGCAGAAAATGACCGACGCGCGAGGCTCCGCATTGGTGCTTTGGGAGCCATTGAGTGGCTTCTAGGTAAACCCTTTCCTGACTTACCAATTTTGTCTGACTCCGGGATGATAGGCTATTTCCGAGGCTCCAGCACGAAGCCGCAGAGCATCCTTACCATGTTGCAGAATATTCTCTTAGAACCGGCGATTTTCTCCTCATTGTTTCATGGACGGTCCCTCGTTCATGCACCAGGGTTAGAGTTCGATGCCTTTGGCTATTCCCAACCGCTATTACGCCAGTCAGCATGGGCACTTGTCCATTGTATTTCACAGTTTCAGGCAGGTACACAGAACGTCGGCACCATGCACATTCATTTTACCTATCACAAGTACTCATATAGAAAATAATATCGAAGATCTAAACCTCCTGAACCTCAGTATATATGCAATGGGTTCCGCGTGGGACGAGCCAGACCCTTCTGTGCGAATTAAATTGCTGGTTCCTCTTGTGACGTTGTTGAAAAGTGAGCGGATAAGCTATGCAGTGGGCGGAGTATGATATCTTCATCATGCTTCAGATGTGCCAAAAGTCTGGATTATGCCCGATGGCGTATCGGATAATGCTGATTCTGGATCAGGAGACGACGCCATCGAGGCAGAAGACGACGATGAGGATGCGGCAGGGCCTGCCACAGTGCGCCAAGAATCGCCACATCCATTGCATGCCAGAGATTCTAGCAACTGGCCGTACCAGAAATTCCTCGAATTTCTCCAGTCCGGTTGCAACGGGTCGCCTTTAGAGGCTTATCCTATTGTCGTCTTGATATTGTCCACTATTCCCTCTACTGTGGGTCCCTGGCTGCATCATTATCGCACTTATGAACATAGTAATGTAGGTGCTGCCATTAGAATCCACAGAAAAGTTAAAAGAGCTATTCGATCATCTATGGGCTGGGCTCCAGAACCGCACGGTCGCCAGAGCACTCCAGCGAGACAGAGTGGTGACAGCGTTTCTTGATGCTATTCTCGATAGTGTGTGGCTCTGTGCTCGCAAATTTGGTGCGAATGATGCCCGAACTGTGGGGAGTGGTGTCGGAGGGTCTGATGTGGCCGAATGGCTCGTCCAAACCCAATGGGATCAACTCTGGCAGAATGCCCTTAGTGGCTCGCTACACGTTCCCGAATCGCTTCTGGGGTCATCAATTGGGAAAGGATTAATAAGCGTGGCTTCGATACACTCAAGTGAGTTTAACATTCTTATCCATCCATTAATGCATGTACACAATGCTTTGCTCTTAGATCTCTTTCATTCTGCATGGAAGCCCATCACATGTTTGGATGCAGCTGGCCTGATGTCGAGACTACATAACGTGAACGTGCTGCGTATCACTCGCGCAGTCGATGACAAGTTCGCCACATCGGACGGATCAAACACCGCGTATTTCGAAGCGTTGCCTCCTTTGGTAAAGCAGTGGACCCTCCAGACGCTAGAACTTCAGACGGGCGAGACGGAGGGACAGGCTGAGCGATTTGGTTTCCTAATCGAAATCATGCGTTGCTTCCCTACTTATCTAGCCACTGATTCCCACATAACCAAGGCAAGAGTCTCATTCTTCGGTGCAGCGCATACTAACCTTTAGTTATATCATTCAGCTTTTAGATGACTCCATCCTCCATGCATTACAACATTCCGATGATCGAATCCTTGAGCCATCGCAAATTTGGAGCCTTTACAAGGAGTACGGGTCACTTCAACCCGAACGCGCAGCTGTACTGTGGTCCCTGCTAGTCAGGTCTGCGTCTAAGAATAAATCACTACTCTCTATTCTGTTAGAAGAACCCCTTCTCGAAGTGCAAGCCCCGGATGCGGAGGTATTTTCCGATTTTATCGTTCACACACTCTCGTCTGCCTTTGATCCGGAGGATCCTCAGAATGAGGAGTCGGTCTCCTTGATGGAAAAGCTTCTCAGAAGACGGAGTAGGTGAATTTCTCCGAGATCCCTGTGGCATTCAGTAATCCTGGTCATCCCAGATGCTTTTCTAAGTCCCCCACTTGTTGACCAGGTCAAGGCGAAGATTGGGTCCGCTACCGAATCCGCAACCCGTGGGCTGTTAAATGGGGTTGACACCATCGCAATAATCAGCGCCTGTCAGCGTCTTTCGCTGCAGTTTCTGTCTCAAATGGATCCCGAGGATGATTTCTGCTCACATTTGGCGGCGAATATGTTCGTACAAGCTGAATTGTTGGCAACTGATCGTTCATCCATGACGGAGAAGTTGAACAGCCTCGTGCGTGATTGGATCCGCCGTGCATCGTCCAATGCGAAACGGGTCCTGGCTAGTACCGTGCAGAAGTTGGCGAAGGATGCAATTGTTGAATGCCGGACTCATCTCAGGCACGCCTTTTTCTTAGCAACTGAGGATTTGACATCGGAATACTTATGGCCTTTCGCAGCCCCTTGGTCTTTCTGGATTTGGCGTTGCATATATCTCGTATCACAGGCTTTTCGGATATAAATATTGATGACGTTCTTCCGACACGCCAATTTTTTAACGAATCATTGGCCATCGTCCTAGATTTCTCGCCGTCTCCGTCACTTGCCGTCTTTGATAGTTTGGTTCCTGTGCAGGATGTGTCGTCGCCCGCCATTCATATACGCTATGATGAGAATGGGTACTCGTCGTATGGGCGGGTACTTGTTGCCTTGCTGGAACTCGTGTCCTCACATCGGCATGTCGGCAGAGTCAATCCATGGGTGATCGAACACCTTGCGATCTTGGAATTGATGGCCAGAGATTTTGTTATGTCACCTGCCTCGCCAAACCCTCTTTTCAGGTCGTTGCCCTCTGAAGCATCTCTCCGTTCGGTGGAAACAGTGTTAGACGCCTCGAAGAAAGCAACTACTTACATATTGTCATTCTTCTCCACACGGCTCGACGCAGATTGGCATCGCAAAGTTGCTGCTAGTATTCGCCCAGCATCATTATCACGTGGAGCTGCCACTGCTGATGGCTTCGCACTATTTGTCTCAGAGCTGCTGAGGAATTCGATTAAATCAAAGGACGTGAATGGGCCGAGGGTTCTTCGTACAGTACTCCACGGAGTTTTGAGAGAGTCAGGCACCCCAGAAGTTGATATCTGGCTAAGCATTGCTCGAGAGGTACAGGAACAAGGTACATTTTTCCTGCAGAGCGAAACCCATATTCATCATCTTTGTGATTAGCAATTGCGACGGCATGTGCCATTTGCGGATGCATAACTGAACTAAATTTTGAGACTCCGCGCCTTGACCGGTACAGGAACGAGTTAGCGAGTCGAATATCGGGCGTTGCTTCAGCTGAAGCGGATACCCAGGGGCTGAGACTACTTCGCCTCCTCAATGCTTGCGCGCCTTCCGATGAGTCTTATGCTGTGTTCCTCCCTCAGCAGCGAGTCGTTTTTATGCTTCAAGGTTTGCAGAAGTGGGTTGCGGAAGATGCTGATCTTGGCGCACAATTGGAGCTGGAACTGGTCACAGCACTTACCCATATTGTTTCGTTGATTCAGTCCGTTCCTGGAGCTCACTGGGATCTTATTTCGAGCCTCATTGAGATGAATCTAGAGGCATGTTGTATGTTGCTCAAGTATTCCTTTCCTGATGGATTTGCAGGAGACCTCGCTTAATACAATCGAGACTATTCCTCTTTCCTACAGGACACTGAAACTGCTTGTAAAGATTGATGACTTGGCATCATCAAACAAAGCCCTCCACTTGGACTGGACGGATCGTCAGCGAGACATCTATCCCTTAGTGCGGAAACTCTTGTTCGAGCCTGCAGGTTGGTGACGCCTCTCCATTCAACGTTGTGCGTTAACACCACACTTCAGATATAGCGACAAGGTCAAAACCAAGGGAGGAATTGCGCTCTCTTGTTGTAGACATTGCAAGTTATGCGGGCACCGCTATTTTAGATGACAGCTCTTTTGAGCCCGTAAGAGCTGGTTTGACAGCACAGTTTACATCGATTTATGGAATGCCTCTAGCTCTGTTCACTGCTCAGCGATAGCTCTCTAAAAGTCAAGATGATAACATACGAGCTGCTCCTTGCTTCTGGGAAAGCCAGGACCGAGAAGCTGGTGATTGAAGGAGAAGTGGATGTGTCAGGCGACTTCCGTGCGAGCCTTCCTGTGGGACTGATGAGTCTGCTGTCGTTGGATTTTGAAGTGGATGATGATTCAAGACAAGTGCGCTAGTTTTATTTCCGACTCTATTCAACTGACAGCTGTGCAGGCACTTTCTTTCTTCCTTGGATGGATGGTTGTGTTTGGTGCATTCTCGGATGCTGTAAGCAGCCTGCGCCGTTTCCGCCTCGTTCGACCTAACTTCCACGGACGCACAGACACCTCGCATCAAACAGGGCTACATTGAACAACTCCGTGAAGCCGAGGTCGTTGACACTGGCCTCCTACCTTCTATCTTTGAAATACTCAATGTCGACAAATCTGGGAAGCCCTATCTTCTTGATCCATGGTCGTTAGACGAGTTTTATGTATCCTGTGAGTTGTGTCTGCTAGGTACTCATTATATACTTTGCTGACGTGAGGGTGATGGCCATTTTTAGTCTATGATACATCATTTCCGGAGAGCATACACGTATTAGCTGCTCACGTTTACTACAGAGCCCTCATAGCCATTCCCTCCATCATTCGGACTTGGTGGATGAATTGCAAGGATCGAACATTATCTAGCAGCGTCACACACTTCACCAGTCAATACTTTGCTCCAATTATTATTAAGCGACATTTAGATAGCGTCCGGTCACCCAACATCCTCAAAGAGCTACAGGACGATTCCTTTGGAGTCAAAATCATACCGACCATGCGAGAGATACGCGCAATTTATAACGTTGACGATCAGCAGATGGAAATAGGTTTGCAATTACCTGCCGACTACCCACTGCATGGCGCGGAAGTCAAAGATGTTGGAAAAATCGGTGTACCAGAGAGCAAGTGGCGTGCATGGTTGTTCAACGTACAACAAATATCCCAGGTATTTGTGGTGCCCAATTTCGCGCCAATTTAATGGACTAAACCACTGTTAACCAGAATGGGCTTCTCGTTGATGCCTTATTCTGGTTCAAGAAAAACGTAGCGTCCTACTTCGAGGGCAAGACCGAATGTGCTATTTGCTATGCGTGAGTTTTCCGGACCATACATGAATTGCCCCGATTCACATATGACTTCAGCATTATCAGCGTCATGGACCGCTCGCTCCCGACTAAGCCATGCAAAACGTGCAAGAACCGATTCCATGCAAGCTGTCTGTATAAGGTGAGATCATTGCATCAGCGAACTGATGACATTCATTCCTTCTTTCGTAGTGGTTCAATTCGAGTCATAGCTCGTCATGCCCCCTATGCAGGTCAAATATCTTTTAACACGTTTGTCCAACCTTTGGCTATTTTACACATCTGTGGTGTAACCCTCCGCCTGTCACTATTCATCTTCACAGTTCAACCTCAGCCAGTAGTTTCTCTCCTTTTAAACCTCGCACCAAGTTCTCAGCGGCGGTGCAGGTCATTGCGTTACGTGTGTCGTACTGATTAATAGATGAGGTTCATTAAAATCCAAGCTCCTGAGATCCGAAATCCCTACCGTTGCGGACCCTATATGAGGTAGAACTACAGCTCTGTTGTACACATCATCAAGGATCCCCGTCAGCATTAGAAATTAGACGTTCACTGACCTTGGCTCTTTCACGAGGATATGATCAGCATCGATATCAGGTTCCCCTTCAACGACATCAATACCCGCCCCCCATATCCATCCCCCACGCAGAGCCAGTGCTAGCGCATTAGAATCAACTACTGACCCTCGGGCGGTATTCACGAGAACAGACGTCTTCTTCATTTTGCGCAAGAATGTTTCATCGACAAGATGGTATGTGGACGGGCCACCTGGAGTAAGAACGATGATGAGATCGCTTTCCCTGGCAATTTCATCCAAGGTGACACTGCGGAATTCTTTTAAACCTAGTTTGTTTTGAAGACCTGGGTATGCTTCATCCGGTACCTTTCGAGTAGAGGTGGTGAAGAGACATCGGCTTACGCCAAAGGCAACCAGTCGGGTGAGAGTTGCTTGAGCGATTCTGCCAAATCCGACGAATCCAACAACATAATCCGGAGAACTGAGTTGTTGTCCACATAGTAAGAAGGGAGCCCAAGGCGCTTGGGGCCACTGGGCAATATGGATCATCAACATCAACATAATTCTCAGAAACAGCTGGACACGGCTTCGAGGCGAACTAACCTTGCCGTCGTGAACGATTTGCATAGACTCCCGGCCTAGTCTTGTCGCCATGAGGGCGAGCATCACACTTATATCTGCAACTATCGAGATTTCAGTATCTGTACGATTCAGAGAATGTGAGCTAATTCCCACCCGCATCCGTTAGGACCTCTGGGGTGTACCCAAGACGAATTTTCCGCTGGGCCAGCGCAGAAGTTTGGATATGGTCTACGCCAAGATGTGTTGGTCAATTGCCGCCTGTTGAATTATTTGCTTCAACAGACTTCCTACTCACCATAGCCTACCGACACCGTGGACACAATCTTGAGGGATGGTCCAGCTGTGAATTTGAATTTTCTTCAGTGAATGGTCTGAGGTGGAAAAAGTCGGTGTATGCACCAGAGTCCAGCAGCTCCTCATCGACCTGTATCCCTGATATGAGAGAACGGTGACGAACCAACGGCTCTCGAGCGAAACATGCCTTATCTGTGCCCATTACTAGAAGTGCAGAGGCACCGGGCGAATTATCAAGAAGCCATTGTCGCGGAGCCACTCCATCCTCAAGCCAAGAGACAAGCTAATATTGATCGACATTCAGCGTAGGAGCGGCTAGCGCGCGGGATGATAGCAGCTGAAATTCACCTCATACCGTTGAGCTTCGAGGATCGCAGTCGCCTTTGTACCAACATCTCGAGTGACAACCACTTTGTGCTCTGGCATCACTGGCTAGAAGATTGGGATAGGGGGAAGATCAGGGAGCAAGGGACGGTCACCTGCCCTGCCCGCCCTTCGAGGACACTAGTCCGTGCACTCGACCGTGGGAATTCGTGGCTGTGGCCGTGCACTTCTCTTGAGTTACGGTTGCACTCGAGTCATTTGGATCAGATTCACATAATCTAGAGAATTGAAAAGCGCGTCTGATTTTGGGTCGCGCCAACACGTCCTGTTTCGTGAATCTTCGCCACACATATTTGCCTCAAGGAGATCAATGGGCAATGCGTGCATACACAACGTTAAACACCTTCCAAGTAGTCCTATCGGTCGTCCAAAGACAACGGAGGCACCGACATTTCTGGCGTAATCTCGCCCCCCCTAGACACTTCAGCGGCACTTGGAGTTCCCTTTGTTGGCCCAAACCGAGGGCTTCTGGAAACCGAAATGGATTGTCTTCTGGCCTTGTTCGCTTCACGTATTCGCGCTCGTTCTCCATCAGCGCGAAGGGTTTCAACCATCACTTTAAGGGCTTCCACATCCTCTTTCAACTCAGCGTTCTCTGTCTCCAGCTTCGATAGTTTGCTTTCGGTGTCGGGGCTGAGTGGTGGCTGTGGCCGAAGAGGGCTAGAACTGATGGATACCGGCCGGAATCTGGGTGAAGGCGTTTTCGCATTCGAGGGTCGAGGACTGCGAGGAGGATTGGCTAAACGCTGTTCTAGTCGTTTGAGTTCGCTTGTTCGCTCACTTCAGCACGGGCAATTAATGTTAGTCCTCTTTCTCGAATATTGGACGGGTAGCTGTACCTCAACATGACTTCTAGCTCTTTGTTCGCGTGTTCAAGGCTCCCAATAAGGGATTTCATGTTCATGATTTGATGTCGCGCTTCATGGAGAGCTTTTAGATCTGCTTTGAGTTGCTTTATCTCTTCAGACTCTTCGCTACGTCGAATACAACTCGTTTAACATGGCACAGGCAACAATGAATGAATAAGCCTCACAGGTTGACCTGTTTACACAATTCCTCGATTCTGCGTTCATATTTTGATAATTGCTCAGCCTTGGGATTGAGGAAATGAATTTGATTCGTAAGATCCACCACTCTATCTTGAAATTAGTATGATCATTACAATGTGAACCCTGTGCTTACTTTCTTTGTGCTTCTGCTAAGAGCGCAGATTGTGCCTTCACAGTATTCTATACATTGTGTTATAAATGGAGGAATATTTATTCATTGATTAAATGGGCATCACCTGGGCATCCGTAATTTGGCCTCTAAGATTCACGGCTTCTTCGAGCCAGCTCGCCTTTTCCTTCCGAAACCCATTGATTTTGTCATTGAGGATCGTAACCCAATCTCGGTTAGCTTTCTGAGCCCGCAAAGCTTGCTCCTTTAGCTTCGATATTTCTGTCGTGGATGCTTCAAGGCGGTGTCTATACTCTCGTAGCCGGTTGTGCTGCCAAAGAATGGGTCTAGTTCAATCAATTGGTTTCCCCACTGCGACGTGTTACGCACCAGCCCCTGGCGTTCTGATTCCTCGCACTTGGCTAAGACACGATCTTTATGAAGCCGATTAACGTGATGCTTCATCTGGTCCTTTAACCAAGCTGAGAAGTTGCACATTTCACGAAGCTGTGCATTCTCCCGCTGGAGAAAAATCACAGCTTGTTCTGTCGCCTCTCGACGAGGGGGTGGATCAGGACGGACGTCCTGTGAATGATACTTCTCAATTGAGGAGGACGAGGAAACGTCCTCTTCCACATCGGGAAGAGGAAGTGTACTGAGCGTTAGGGGGGAGGGCTGAGGTAAAGGCGGTATGGTGTTTTGGGTGGTCGGAGAAGATCCTGTCCTGTCCAGAAGCGATGTGAAAGATGTCGATGCCAGTAAATTCGGACTGGAGAATATTAGTGGAGTATGAGCGCCGGATGCATTGGGGGGGCTGTCTACGAAACTGGAACGATGTTCAGATATTGAAGACTTGCGTGTGTTGAAGATGTCAAGGGGTTGTAGACGGTCAAACTCGCGTGCTCTTGGGGTATTCTTATGGCTCTCTCGAACGGGCAAAATCCTAGGCGAATAGCCTTCCCGTGAAGTTGATGATTGAAGCATCTCCTCCACATCCAGTTCGACCCGCGATTGATCAAGACGCGCACAATCTGCCACAACCATTGCGACATCATCAATGTCGCTCCTCCCAGTTGTGTACGACAAGGGGCTCGACAATTCCGAAGGTGCGTCACGATACAATATTCCGGGATGAATAGCATGATTGCGAACGATTCGCTGTGTATCATGAATCAAAAAGGATTGAAACACTCGGATGCAGTGGCCCTGTACCTTGCTCCTTGAGCGAATCTCATCCACATCAAGTATATCTCTCCAAGGCACTGCGAAAGGGCTATCATAACCAACTTCTTGCAAGTGCACCACAGGCCTAAAATAAACAAGTTTCTACCACAGGTATGGTGAATGTGGAGACACAGAGTGGAGCTCACCGTCGAAGGAATGCGATCGTATTACATGGATAAATTCCGTAAATGAATGTAAAATAGCGGGAGGCATCGATGATCGTTGAAGGATCAGATGTGCTCGGTCCTGTGGCAGTGATATCAGACTTTCACCCAGTAGAAATGGATCACGCTCACCGAGACGGTCCCAATTAAGCTCAGGTTTTAAAACAAGTTCATTATAGTCTTGTAGATTATCGTGGGGAAGATCCTCGTCATTCCTGTGTCGGAAAACAGCTCTCGCATGCTCAGGATTTTTGTTATTTCCCTTGTCAGGACCAAGATTATCGTTGTCACTTTCCTCTGTCCCCTCCGATCTATTTGGGTTTGATGAATCATTTGGTTGCTTCCAGCACACAGCACGCGCGAGAAGCACCAACAGGGATCCCAGGCAATCCCTCAAACTTTCTGGACATCGGACGGCCATGTGAGGCATAATGCTAATCAAAGCAGAAATTTCCTGATCAAAGAGGGCATCTGATCGATCCACAAGGAGTGAAGTAAAAAATGCTTGTAGTAGTGGACTCTTGGAGAACTCAGATACAGGAGGGGAACGAGTGTTGGAGAAGACTCGGTGTAGGATAGTGGTGATGCCTGGTCTAGCGGCTGGATTTGTGAACATCGAATTCAAGACCGCAAATGAATCCTAGTATACTATCAGTAAATATTGCTACACAGCATGGCTGCATGAGTGTAACCCACATTAGGGGAACTAACAACATCAGAGGCAAGAATACGTTCTAGATTCTCCTCCCAAGTCTTTCTCGCCTCCCGGTCTTCCACCTTTTGGTTGAGACTCTCAATTACTCCCTCCGACGATTCAGCTGCAGGCGAGGCATCAAAGAGATATAATTCTAGCAGGCGACGTCGAAACTCTCTCGACCTTGACTCAGCAGAATGGGCATGGTCTTTCAGAGCAAAGCTAAGCATTTCCCTAAGGCCTTTCCCGGCATCAATACTGAGTCTTGGTTCACGAAGAGCCGTACGCAGGTGATCAAACCATGATATAATGGACGAAGCTGGCAGCACAGTTTTCAAAGTGAAGAGAACGGACAGGAATCCTTCTAAGTGCTTCACAGAGTTGTGAGGTACATGGTTCTCGTACACATCTAAGAGCTTCACTTCGAGGGGTGCAAGCCATTGCGGATGCGACTGGGAGGGATCGGCGTTGAATTCGCGTACCGATGCCGAAACAAGGGCTATGGCATCAGAGACCGAGCCACGCGGTGGCGTTTCGAATGCTAGTTTAAGGCGCTGAGCAACGTCCACGACGTCCATATACGATGTGACTCGGTCGTGAACTGTGATCCTGGCACTGAAAGTTGACAAGTACCCCACTTGCATCCGTGATTTTCCTAAAGAGTGATATTTAAGCGCTGTGCTACAGGCCACGATAAAGACCAGAACAAAGATAACCGAACGTCAATAATGATAGTCAAAATTATGGTTGTTATCTTGCAGTGCCCTTCAGCTTTTCCTCCAACATTTCTTTGAATCCACCAACGATCAAATTCTCCCGCTTCTCCCTCTCCTCTTTCTGCAGCTTCAAAATACCACGCTTCTCTTCAGCCGAAATAACCTGGTTCTCCTTGCGCATACGGACGGCATTCATACGACGATGGCGACTTCCACTCATCACATATCCCGACTTTTCGAACTTGTCTATCTCATCGCTCGTAAGACCTATTTCACCACGTCTAGGAATACGCTGATTGCTTAGAACGAAAGCAGCCATGGCGCTACCCTCTCCCTTTAGGAGTGCACCACCATAATCACGTTCGTTAATCTTGTCCTCCTTCCTCTTGTATGGCAATGGCCCAACCTCGTCGCCGTCATCGTCATCGTAGATTTGGGTTGTATTCTGACTCAATGGCGCTTTGGTGCCAGAAGAAGTTGTTGCCACTAAAGGCGCTATGTCAATGAGAGGATTCGGAGGGGAATCCGTCATTTGGGTGAGTGGATTATCCGGAAGTTTTTCGACCCAGACAGATTCGTCATCATTTCCGGTGTGCGTAGGACTTTCTCTTTCCATTTCCTTAGCCATTCCCTTGTCATCGTTGCGCTGGTGCGGGTATCGGCGGCGATCTCCTTCACTTTCGGATCCAGAGCCACTTTCGTCGTCAGATGAGCGGTGACGCCACGAACTACGGTGCCTGCTGTGCCTCGAAGAGTGATGTCTCGGACTCCTGTGATGATGGCGGTCGCGATCTCTCCGACTTGAATGTCTATGCTTCCTACGTTGACGATACTCTTTTTCGGACCTATCCGTGTCGCTCTCCGAGCCCACGGACCGCGAGCGTTTCCTGCGTTTGGGTGGGGGTCTTCGAGAATAATCAGTGATAGACCCGTCGATGAACAGCAAGAGATTTACTTGTCATGTGCAGGTGCCTTTGGTGAGGGTGGCCAAATAGATTTCGTGGTTTGTTCCCGCATCTGTCGACGACTGTGGCAAAAATAAGCATCATAGAAGGCAATATCCATGGGCACGCTCACCGTTCAGCCCAATCCGCACCTCCCCCTCGATAGTTGCGGTACCCACCGCTAGAAGGGTACGTGTTTTGTGACTCTGATTCATGTGTTCTGAGCGGCGAGGTCGTGCGAAATACGTCATAAGTTGGGCTTCCCCTTCGCCTCTGTTCTTCGCGAGAAGCGTATCCGTTGTCTACTGGCGGAATATGGGAGTTGGTGCGGTTTGAGCTCTCTCCTTGCCCATCAAACGGACTGCGACTGCGATATCTAGATGATCTATGACCACCATCCCCCTTATGAAGATCATCATATGTGCGGATGTTGGAAGCCCGCGAAGGATGGATCATGTTCATGTGTTGCTGGGGGACAGTGGAAGTCACAACTGCCCGGCCAACTCCGACGACACAACCAATTTAACCGATCTAAGCTCAAATGAAAACATGTGAATGTGAGAAAGCTTAGGCGTCTGGCTTGGGTCCATGGATGCCGTGGAGCGAAGCAACCAGGAGCGGGCAAAGAGATGGACAAAGGAAGCCAAGATCGGTGAAGGAACGTACGCAGTGGTGTACCGAGGTTTGTAACTCCAGTTGCGAGTGTCTTGACAATCTCATGGGGATGGCAGGACGGGAGGCTGCTACTGGAAAGCAAGTGGCTATCAAAAAAATAAAAGTTGGCCAATTTAAGGATGGCCTAGACATGTCTGCTGTTCGTGAGGTACAGTACCTTCGCGAGATTAACCACCCTAACATCATTAAGGTATCCCAGCGCGTACTCTGTAACATCGGTGCTTAGCTAATGCTCATGAATGCTTAGCTCCTGGACGTCTTCTCATCAAAAGCTAATCTTAATCTCGTCCTTGAATTCCTCGACAGTGACTTGGAGGCGGTCATCAAAGACCGGTCCAATGTATTTCTCCCTGCCGACATCAAAAGCTGGACGGCGATGACGCTTCGTGGTCTTGAATTTTGCCACAGAAATTGGGTACTTCATAGGGTGCGCTACTTCTCGCTCGTCATTACAACAAGGAGTCATCAATGGGGGGAACAGGATTTAAAACCAAACAATCTTCTTATTGGCTCTGACGGGCAGCTGAAACTCGCAGATTTTGGTCTCGCGAGAGACTTCGCTGATCCCGGAATGAAGATGACATGTCAAGTAATTACGAGGTAAGATACTTTGATTCATCATTTCGCTCAGGTGTTTGAATGTCACTTAGATGGTACCGACCGCCGGAGTTGTTGTTTGGGGCTAGGTATTACAGTACTGCGGTCGACATCTGGTCTGTTGGTTGTATTTTCGCTGAGCTCATGCTGCGTACCCCCTACCTACCCGGAGAGTCAGACATGGATCAACTGAAAACGATATTTCGCGCACTGGGCACACCCACAGAGAATGAATGGCCTGTCAGTTAGAGGCGCACCTCTCGCTACGCCAACGGCTGATCATTTTCCAGGGCCACACAAAATTACCTGACTACGTTTCGCTGGGCCAATTTCCGAAATCACCGCTGAAACTTTTGTTTACCGCTGCGAGCGCGGATGCATTGGACCTCCTCCAAAAGATGTTAACATATGAGCCCAGCCGCCGGGTAAATGCCAGAGATGTAAGCCCCCGAAGGATACCCTGCAGCAAACACTGATCCACATCTGACAGGCGCTACGACATCCTTATTTCTTCGCTCTCCCGTACCCAACGCATCCATCCAAGCTCCCGAGAACCAATGTGCCAACAGCTCCTCGGACATTACCTGAAGACACAGAAGGCCAGGTCAAAGCGACTAAGACCAGCAAAGCCAGGTCTCTAAAACGCAAGGTCAGCGACGATCCATTCTCAAGCGAAGAACCAAAGGATCTTCGATCAGTGGCTAGACGGCTTGAGTTCTAAACTTGCTATTGATCTTGGCATGCGAACTTGTTGCGAACCATGTGACGCAAGAGAGTGGCCGAACAGATCAAAAGGGCTGGAGCAGCAGGCGAAGTATCATTATTGTACTACATCAGCATCTCGAAGGAAATAAATAATGTGTCTCCTGAGTCACGGTCGGGGACTCTCGCATGCAGCGCATTTAATCTTATCTTGGTCGTTTGTTACCATGCAGGTACCGCATGTCCATGTGTTTGTGTCATCTTTCGGCTTGAGTCCAGCTGCAACCCAGTCGAACCCAGCGATTGGCGCCGTGGATTGAGGTGGTATTGGGCGTGATGCCTCACATGCCATGCATTTCTGCTGATCTAGCCCATTCTTGATTCCACAGGTCCCACAGATCCAAATGTCGGAAGAGGCGACCGGCTTTGCCATTCCAGCTCCCGCCCAATCAAAAGAGGTACCGCCGGATACAGTGACCTCCCCATTTGGGATCTTCTCTAAGGGTACAAGCGACTGCGCTGAGGAAGAGGGTGATGTTGGGGAAGTATTGCCCCCAGATTTTGGTGTCTCGCAGACCGCACATTTTATTGCAGTGGGAGGACTTTGACAGGCGCAAACTGGGCAGGTCCAGCTTCCTGCTGGCGACGACGGCAATTTGAACCCTGCAGCAGCAAAATCAAAGGCGACAGGGGCGGGGAAGCAGATGGGGAAGCGCTTGTCGTCGTAATTAGTGGAATGGTTGCAGGTGCTGAAGGCGGGTTTTTGTCATCTGAAAATGCAAATTCATACTTCAAAAGATCAGCCTCTGGGAGGGCGGCAGCATTGTCCAGTGCCTCCGATGACTCGCGAGTCTTGCAGATTGATTGAATAGTGGCAATGGAGGTAGGCAGGAGTATATCAAACGTGGAAAGCTCTTGTAAGGGAATGCGCAATGCGCGTGATTTCGGGGAAAGGATGGCAGGAGCTTCCTCGGCCGCATGGCTGTTCAGTTTCATCACCGTCGACGATTGCTCCTCGGGCATTGGCTTGGATGTTTCTTCATCCTCGTCATTGTCTGGGGGAAGAGAAACATGACGTAAGGGCGAAGGAATAACGGGGGATGTGGATTTAAAAGATGCATTAGGTGCAAGCAGACCGTTTGATGTTCCGGGTCGCGGTGCCAATGGTGCCGGTCGTGGTTTATTCGACGGACGGGATGGGGGTTGGACAACATTGCTAGGACTCTTCGCATCTTCAACTTCCTCAACGGAATTGGGCTGTATGTGCACAGCTTTGGCTGGACTCAAAGATGGTGACCGTGATGACGTTAGCGCCCCATTCTCTACATGGGAATGAGGTCCCTCGGACATTCTGTTGTTCACCCCGTTTTCCACATTCTCATCCTCGTCGTCATCAATTTCAATGACTTCTGGCCCCGATATAGCACGTTTCAGCACAAGGGGGGTTTCGTTTGGCTCTTCAGTCTTGATAATGGCGCACTCCAGGGCCCCAAGCCTGCTCTTGGGTATTTTAACCAGATCGGGTTTGGGGAATGGAGACTTCGCTTCGGTTCGGGAGGGGAACACGTTGATGGGTGACCTGCCGACGGAGTCGCCATTTAAATCGAGGTGGGTCTTCTCAGGTTTAGGGCGTTTCGAGGGTGGCTGCTGTTGTTAAAAACATGAATGCAGGAGCCAAATAGGAAGTGTTAAAGGAAAATGAACCTTAGGTGCAGTGCTGTCGATTTGGTCAAGAATGTTATCAGACTGCGTTGATTCAAAGCCACGCTTCACGGCCACTGGGGGCTCGATGATTGCTGTAGATGGCCTCTTCAGAAGCTACATGAATCGTGAGCCCCGAAGTAATCCCACGCTAAGCTCAATAACTGTACCTTGCGAGGTGTTGGTGTAGATATCCTGGCGCCTTTGGGGGTGGCAATGGTTTGGAATGGGTTGTATAAGGGGCTTCGAGCATCAGCGTCGCTTTCCTTGGGATTTTGAAGCTCCAGGGATCCTGTCCCATCCATCAATATGTCAAGAATAGCAACGGATGCTTGACTCTTTGGTTCGGATGTTCGGGAAGGCGGCTCTGAAGCCTGTGAGGATTCTGGATCGTAAATAAAGCTCTTGTTATCTTAGAGTGGAGTTTACGCAAAGTGAACCCGTACCGTTCAAGACTTTACGCAGTGGAGAGGGAGCCGACGACGGACGGGTAAACAATCCTGTAGTTCGAGGTAGCACGCGGTGGGACCGCACCGGCTCCGATGGTGCTTCAGAAGGCGCATGAGGTTTAGCTGGAGAGCTCATGGGGAATTGAACAGTATTTTGGAGTGGCGGAGATACTTCATGTTCCTTGATATTTGGCTTATCCGTATGTGGAGGTGACGAAGCAGCAGAACTCTCTTCTCCAGAAGTAGTAGGTGCACCGAAGTCACCTATTCGTCGTTTCTTCGTGCCAGAAGCCTCTTTATCATCTATATTATGGGCTTCCGCCGCATTCTTGGAGACAGCATAGCGTCTCGGAGTGGTTTGTCCGACGCCCACATACGTGGATCGGCGTCGATGCCTACGGACAGGAATCGGCGAATTCGGAAGGCTAATTTCAATTTGGGGTGTTGTGGCCTTGGTTTCTGATGTCGGAGGTGCAAGGAACGGTCTCGGTGCGCTTGGAGTGGAGGGTCGTGAGCTCCGAATTGTTAAAAGTGCTGCAGAAGGCACATCGGAAGGTGGGGGAGTATTGTTGATGAGGCCGAGGAGAGCCTCTGGGGGGACATCCGATGAGTCCTTGAGGGATTGTGCGATTCCTAGAAGCTCGAAGTTATTAAGCTTCGCCTCTCCCTTAGACTGAAGAAAGTCCACGATCTGTTGATAGCGATTTGAGGCTGTGGGCGCATTTCTATCCTGCGGTGATGTAGATCTACTTGGCGCGTCGTTCTGTCTAGAGAAGAGGGTAAGTTCGGTTGGTACAAGTGAAACTGACGATGTCTGCAATTGCCCGAAAGGCTTTACAGACGCAATATAGCGGCTGCCAGGCACCGTCGCGGTGGAGGGTGCAGAACCGAATGTGGCAGAAGACGTTTGCGAGGGGGGAACCGTTGAAAGGGAAGATTGATAATTGGGATCCAACATCTGCGTTTTGACTTTAGACACACAAGTGCTGATTGACGCGTCAAAATTACCTGTTCACCGCGTTTTGAGAGTTGCAGTGCTGCTGGAGAAGGAGTATATGGTTCGGGGATTCGACGGGATTCTACCGTGGTGGTTTCCTCCACCTCACTGTCGTCACTTCCTGAATATGATCCCGAGTCTTGATTTGTATCAGATAACGAGCTCCCGCGCTTGAAAGGCGCAGTTAGTACACTCCAGAGGGACGAGAGCGAAGACTAGAAAATGCACAAACGGTAAGCACAAAAGGGAGAAGTACGGCAAAGTAGCTAGATATTAACCGGCTTCGATGGTGGGCGCTCATATGGCTTTGATCTTTGACGCCGGGCGCGTCGTTCGGGTCCAGTAGCGCTCATCTGGTTGCCCCGAGGTTGTGGCACAAGTGACAATGAGAGAGTGAAATGCCAGGGAAATGCCGTGGCGGAGCTTACTATATGTCCGAGCGGCTGTGCAGATGCTGTACTTAATTTCAACCTTCTCAAGCGCCTTCGAACGACTGCGCTTGCTGAACGACTTCCCTTGCGTTGCATCCTGACACCAAATGAGTCTTGACCAGAACTTCTTTACACTCAATATCGCACCCAGCAAGGCTTCGCCTCCAGATATTGACCTCTCAGACCCTTACTCTAAGGATGTTTTGTACAGGAAGAGTCGATCAACGCGGCCTTCCGCAGCTGGGACCTATGAATGGTCGATGTATGATCCATACTCCAGTGCCCGCCTAGCTACAGTGACGGCACCTCACTCATCATCCAAAAAGAAGATCATAACCCTTCACGACCCTGACGTGCCAGTTGAATTTAACTTCATTGGAACCATGTATGCCAATTTATGTCTTCTACCTCGACTCACCAATGACCATTATTGAATAGGTCCTTCAAGTGGTCTTTCCAGTTTGAAGAGTAAGAGTCGTCCTCTATTTTTACCATGACGCCATATTCAATCACACTCTAAGCCATGAGTTCGAATGGAAGAAAGATTCGTACGTTTAATGCTTTCCAGGCGCTTCTATATTCGTGGCTTAATTACCATCTAGTTGCTATGTCATCCGCAAACCTGACCCTCCTGTCATTGTTTGTACGACAAGATCGGAGGCCAAGGATAAGCCTGCGTCCGTTCAGATCCTAGATTATAATGTCAAGCGGTCGGTCTATCGCCTTTAACGACACCTCGAGTCATGCTCATTCATAGAATTCAGGTTCGATATCAATGACCGGAAAGGGCTGGAGGTTTTACTTCTTTGTGGACTTCTTACATTCACAGATTATGTCGAGGGCACCAAAGAAATTGCAAGACAAGGGAACGTTGTGCCAACCGTGACTCCTACTCGTCCAGTTGTTGTTAGCCTGGCACAAGCCAATAAGCCTCCGCCGGCTGCCGGGGACCTGCCGTCCAAACCTCCTCCAAGCCTACCCCCCAAGCCCGTGTACAACGTGAGCACGTCCTGACTCGCCAGCGAGAATAGTTTCTTACCGTATGTGTTCCAATAGTTCACTCCTTACGAGAAGAACGAGGTCTTGGTTACCGAAGACGCCAAGATAGAGGAATACGCCCAGCACTGCTTGACTTTGCTTGCAGATCCAGCCCTCCTTTATGTGATCATCAAATCCCACACAGCTGACCAAGTGTCGAAGGTGGTCCAAGTGGCCCAAGAGACCAAGCGACTTCATCATCGAGAAGTTGGCGACGAAGAGGAACTGCATCAGTATGTGAAGTATGGCGAGGCAGAGGACACGAAGGGCAAAAAGCCCCATCGCGTTATTAACCTCGACGACGCTCCCGCTGCAAAGAAGTATAAGCATCCACAATCTTGTCAATGTTTATTACATCTGACGCATTCTACCGAATAGGGTTGAATACAAACCACCTACGTCTCTTACGATTCATCTCAGCAAAATTGAGCTTCCGGATCTGATACCGAATAAACGTCAGCCTCCTACTTCGCCGCAGTCTCTCAACCCGGTTGACACACGCTTCGGTTTACCATCACGAGCCAGGGCCGCTACACCGGAACCCCCAAAGTCAGAGACTCTGAAGCAACCAAACGACCGGAGACGTCGGAATTCGTTCGGTCCCTCTCCAAAGCCGTCAAAGCCTCAGTCTCCGACCTCATCCCAACCCCAGCGTCTAACTAAGACCAATGGCAATGGGAGATATACTGCAGGAAACCCGCAACCGCCCCGTCCCACCTCTAACGGACCATCCCCAGTTTCATCCCGTCCTCGCCCTACCCCGGGCATTGACGCACCGTCGCTGGTCATACCTGAGCCAAGAACCAATAACACGCCATCTACCCCTTCGGCATCCCCCCGCCCCAGCATGCCGTTAGGTTACCACGACCCAAATCATCATATGGGTTTACCCCTAATGCCAGGGGGCTATCCCGAAGCTTATCCAGAATCAGCTCCTGCCAAATCTTCTAAGGCTAGTGTGATGGAAAGACTGTTTGGGCGCTGACGCCCCGCAACCAATCAACGCATGTCTGGGCAATCTATATACCCCAACGGTGGATTGTTCTTGTTGGCCCTGGACATCTGGCATGCACAACATTATACCCCCAAAGGACTTTGACATCTTGTTCGCAAAGCTGGGCAGTCTTGACGCCATGCTTTTTTTTTTCTTCCACAACGACATTATGTATTCTGTACAAATCACCATATCGCTCCTCCAATACATACAGATAATGTCAAACGAAACCAAAACAAAAAAATTGAGCAAATAAATAATTCATGCAGCGACCGTTGCATTGGGATCTCTAAAGACATTGAGACTCCAAATATCACCAACCGATTTATCCTTGGGACCGTCATCCTCCAGATCCTCATTATTGTCAGGCATAGTCTTATCCCCACCTTCCACTTCAATCTTCAATCCACGCTCGTTTGCAAGGTGGAGAAGACAAATAAAGCAGAAAGATGTGCTAATCTCATCCATCTTCTCCCTGGTATACGACCCCCGCAGGCCTTGTATGACCGACTCAAACTTCCGGGGCTCGCTAGGGTCTGTCAGCTGAGCCGCTACCACTTCTTCATCACCCTGGCGCAAATGGCGAAATGAGACAGACCCTGGTGTGTCAGCATGAAAGCAAGATTCCTCACCTCGTGCGAGGCTTCCGGTTCCGTAATTATATTTAGCCCCTTCCATATGTTCTCCTTCAATTTCCGAACGTCCACCCGCTTCGCTTTCCGAGCGTAATTCACGAATTCAAGTCGTACTCGTTTGACCGTTTCTTGTGTGGCCGCAAGCAGATCTCCCGTGCCCTCATCGTCCAATGCTGACGGTATAAGCTCGTTGGGATCAGCATCCATATCATCATCGAAACCCAATCCAGGACCATCATCGTCATCGTCATCATGGAAGAACTGAGTGTTGAATGGTATCGGTCCGCCATCTTCAGCTGTATCCGCAATAACCAGGGTTAGCGAAGAGAGAGATAGGAAAGAGCAAGACATGGGCACGAACTCCGATCATAGTTACCATTGGAATTGGCCTGGGCGGCTGCCCAGAAGTGTTCATCCACTTCTCCATCCGCAGATTCTACGGGGAGTCAAACTGTCAAACCAACCACGCTCCCTTCTTGATAACCCTATCTACCATACCTTGCCCCGTCCGAACATGTCGCCGCATCTTAAGCTGAACCGTCGAAGAATGTCAGCCATCCCCAACAACAGTCATCAAGAAAACAAGCGACACCCACAGTAAATTTAGGCTTCAGGAAGAGCCTTAACAATTGCTGACTAGTAAAATGCATATCATCGGGTAAAAGATGATCATCCAGTTTCTTCCCTCCTTTCTTGGCCCTCCCCCGTCCACCTCTAGGTTTTGCTGTTGGTTGAGTAGATGAAGGAAGTTGCAGCATGGACGCCTTGGTAGCGGGTACAAAGAGGGACTTGGTCGTTTGTGAAGCTTCGATGGGATCAGTGAATGAAATGGTGAAAGCGGCCTTCTCGCGTCTGGCTCGGGGCTGCGATTCAGCGGCTGGATCTGTGACTGGAGAAACGGGTGATTCTTTCACGTCGTAAAAATGGAACAAAAGCTCGTACCTTTCCTAACGGAGCGACGAAGCTTCCAATGTTCGGGGCCAGCCCAATTCTTCATGAAATTGGTATCAAAATAGTCTAACATCTCCCCTTCCTCCTCATCATTCATAGCCATCACCAAATCTCGCTCATTGGGTGGCCGTCTCGGATCAAAACGCTCCATTCCTCCAATAACTGGCGGGCCAGCGCCCTCACCAGTGTCATCATCAAAACTGTCCATGCCACCACCTCCCCCCATACCGAAGTCATTAGCGGGCACTTGATTATCCCCCGTAAAGAAGTCCTGCGCTTCTCCATCATCGCCCAGATCTCCAGTGCTAAAGTCGGCTCCGAAACCCCCTCCAGAGTCTTCATTCCCAGCATCAAATGATGGATTAAGCTCTCCAACATTGCGGCTCCCAATTTTGTCGAGGAATGAAAGGTCTACGGCATTAGGATCTGACGAGAAACGGAAGTCGCTGAAGTCTTGTGCAATTGTCCGTAAGTCAACGGTATCAAATATCTCGTTTGTCATAAAATTCCCTAAGAATAAAGTGCATGAATGGAAATAACAGACCTGACAGCCATCAAGCTTACCCCGAATATGACCTAAATCTATTACGGCATGAGGATCCTCTTCTGCCTCTTCTTCGTCATCGATAACCTTGGAATCCCCAGAATCGAAAACGACTCGCATGTTAGAGTCAATACCGAGGTGATTCATGAGCAAGCCCGTAGCCCCTCCTTCGTCAAACTCGGCACGAGTCTTCCGAAAAAGGGGGTCAACGGCAAAATCAAGTTCGAGTTTCTTCACTTGTAATTGAGCATACGACTTGGCTAAAGTGGATTCTGTCCGGTGAACCTACGCAAGGAATAACCTAAGCGTCGGCGACAAAGTCAGGTACATTGAAAGATTTGCCCACCTTTCGTTTCTTTCCCTTATCGTCACCTTCGCCCACCTCTGCGTCGCGCTCAACATCCTCGCCCTGTGCCTCGTCCCCCTCCGCGGCACCACCATCCTGAGCAAGATTACTCAACAACTTCCCTGTCTCAGTCCCCACCGAATCCACACGACTCGTCCATATCTTGACGCATCCATCGAGTGTAAACGACGCCTTCTGAAAATTGATCGAGTTGTCGTCCGTATTCCTGAGAAGGGACATGTCATGAAAGTAATCTATTAATGCAAAGTTCCATGAATTGGTCGCATTAATTTTCTACCGGGAGAAATGCATCAGCGAAGAAAAACATGTCAAGAAAGAACGTGAAAGAGACGTACATTGTCCGTCGCCATCTTCATCCATTCTTCAAAATTACTGTTCATTACGTCTATCGACACCACAGGTGCGGGAGCAGGCGCCACCGCGTTAATCCTCGACGCGCTCATCCGCGGTCTACGCGTTGCAGGGGAACCCAACCCCTCTCCAACATCCCCAACTCTATCCGTACTACCCTTCGAGGCGTCTCCCCCGTTCCCTTCCCCCCGACCCCCATTCTGGCCCTCTCCTTCTCCTCCCTCGACATCACTCGAATGATTCACAAACGAAACACGAGCACTCTGCCTCCTCCGTTTTTTCTCCACCCGATCATCACGCTCTACAAAGGAAGACACCGATCGTTGAGGGCCTTTTTGCTGTTGTGGACCAGGTCTACGAGGACTATTGCTATTGCTCGGGGCGGCATCACTACTCCGATCCGGATTCCCACTTGACGCGTCGGCAAATACAGCTGCACCTGCTCTTCGTTTCTTCCCCTTCAGGCGTGTCGGGCTAGCCGGAGCAACGTCGTCTACATCACCAGGCGGATCGTTTTGCCTCCCTTTAATCGGAGCTTCAGCCTCCGAACTTTCAGATGTTTCAACCACTTTCTTTGTCCGACGCGGTGGCATTTATACGCCAAAAATTCAAGAGAAGAAGAAGGATACGGGGAGAGGGGGAATGTTACGCGTTTGGAGTGAACGTTTGAGCGTTAAGCGTGTCGAAAGGACTCGTGAAACGCGCTTCGACGTCAATACACCAATACAACGCCGATTTGTGAAGCATGTGATCATGGAGTTACAGTCACGCGACGAGGTCACGTCACAGCATTCATCACTCTTCTCGGGTCATCTTGCAACTTGTTTACCCTAAGAATGACCCACACACGTACACGCTCCCATTAATCTCTTCTTTCAGCCGTTTTTCGCACATAAAAAGGGTGCGGAGGCGAACCCCTCATTCGCCGCCGGTGTTTATGCAACAACACCCTAGTTCCCTGCTGTGAATGGCACCCAGGTCGATCGTTGTCCCTACAGTGCAACCGCACGCAACGTGTCTTGATTATGACCCCATATATGCAAAGAAGCGTGCTACTGTGCGGCATCAGTGTTAGACTTGACCTGGACCATATATTTCGATCTCGATCTCTTCTTAGCCAAGCAAGTCGTTTGCTGATATGCAGGATGAGAAGCTTCAAGGCTTTGAGCTCTGCCTAACTAGGGAAGACATAGCTCCAGGAAATGATCTTGTATTTCTCCTACATAAAAAAAACATTGATCCGTCGGCCCAATGTTTATCCTTTACCGAGAACATTCAACTACATATAGTGAAGCTTGCCGGGCCTATATACACGCGCACCCTTCGTACTAATACGATAGGCTGCACTTTCCCTCCTTAAACGTGCCCTACCGCGCAATCGCCCGCATTTCGGATCGATAGCTATCAGCGAGAGAAATCAGACAAATGGTTTGGCTTCTCAAGCCTTCGCCCGAAGCAAAAGCCAAAAACCGGATGACAATTTGCAAATACCTTTCCGATCGAACCCGATACTCTATACTCACGTGCAGCACCCCCCCGCTTGCAAGACGGTTCCATGGACGCATGGCGAATATCGCTATCGCGAATGTGCGCGCGCATCCCAATATTGTAATGTAGAAGTTGGACGGGGTTTATATTATGTATGTAACGCTGATAGGGTAAAATAGAAATACAGCTGTTACATGATGTAAGGGCACTGTGCACAAGGGGGGCGTTTTCGAGCAAAATTCGCCAGAACAGAATGAATGACTAAGACTATCCACTAAAAAAGAGACAACCCAGATTCTGGTGATAACCGCAAATATTGAAAAAGTAACGCGCGCTACAATATGAATCAATATGTCCGTGTGAATGCAAAGAAAAGACCGGGAGAAATGCGATATGGAGGAAGGAAGGGAAAAAACCGAGGCCCCCCTCCCCCAAACGTGGTATATCAAGGTCCATGAGGACGTATTCGTTGGGGAATACATACAAATCGACTTGTCAATAAAACCGCGCGAATCGGAGGGTCTACGATCGTCATGAAAACGTGGGGTCATGTGCAAATTCGCTCCCTTAAGCAGCTGTGGTCACCGGACACCAGAGACAAATTTCAAAAACCACCAAAAAAGGCTGTTCGATGTAAAGAAGATACGGACCGATAACTGGATAGTGAATGTCAATGATGCGGGAGGGGGGGGGGGGGGGGCATGGCGAATGGGTGAGGCGGAGGGTACTTGTTGGGGAAGGAGAAGCGAGTCAATTTGCAATGCTATGAGGAAAGGAGAAGTTGAGTTGCGGAAAGCAATCCAAGTGCAGTGGAGAGGGAATAACAAAAGACAAGCAGAACGAGGAGAGGAGGGTGTCGCTCAAAGCTTCCAAACAACAATGGAAATCAGGCAAAAAAATCGACTTAGATTTAAGATTCATCCAATCGGCCGATGCCCCATTTTCAGCATCACGGACGGGGCTCCATGATAACAATGCCTGAACGTGGGCACACAATTTGTGCATTCCCTTTTTCCGAATCTGGGGCACAAGGCAACCCCACGATCAAAGATGCTAGACCTTCCCTCGAGAACTTGAGCCCAAGCCCATCCCTCCACCAGGCTTACACGACGTCATAGGCCGCTGCAAGAGATGAGGACCCCGTGCGCAGGTAGCAACATAAGGTCGATGATGATTCATGGTGGAAGGTCGTGGCGGCGGATACGGTGTGGACCCCAGCCGGTGCTGCGGAGACGAGAACCGGTTCGCACAAGTGGGGTGGAATACAGAAGATGATGCGGCCGGTGGGTCGTAGTGACGGACAGGATGCGACGGCTGGGGTTGGGACATTGACGATAAAGTGTTGGAAGGTACATCAAATTCCCTGGATCTATGTTCGTCCGTCTTCGGCAAGGTGGTACGGTTCGATTCTTGAGGTGCCTGAATTTCGCCGTCGGTCCACGTCAATGTCGGTTCCTCGTCTTCGCCCCGGTCGGATCGCGCTGAGTCGCTCATTTGCGACACGCTGTCATCCTCCGTTGTTGTTTGAGCATCATCATCCAATTCCGATTCCCCATCACAACTTGATATGGAAGGTGGTGGAGTCGGTAAAGCGGGTGGGGGAGGGCTGGAAGATGACGTTTCTGGGAGGGACAACAAAGGCATGAAATGGAATCCTTGCAAGGTTGGCTTTTTCGGAGAAGAAAACTTCCTAGGAGCTGGTGTTGCCAGGAGTGCAGAGGTGATGTTGAGAGCCTGGGAGATATGATTGCACGTTTCCTTATCTGGAGGTTTTGACGGGAAAGTGGACGTTCCGCCAGTCTCAGCCGATTTCTGACCGTCTAATGACGGTTCATCGGGGGTAGGCAAGCCATCGGGAGGGCTTAGTGGAATATGGTATGCAGGGGAGGATAATGGCTTGTCGTCGATTTGAGGTGAATCAACCCGGTCAGGTGTCGGCACAGGGGTAGCAGTCGGTGTTGGGGCCTTGTCGCAGTGTTTTCTATCGAAAATGGGTTGTAGACCAACACCAACGCGAGGCAAACCAATGACGGGTAGGTCGGCCAACGATCTAAATGGAGACTGTGGAACTTTGTCTAATTCGAGCTGTTTAAGCTCGAGCAAGTCTCTAGAGTATCAAGAGGAAGAAAAACACCACAAAATCAGCTTCCTTCTCTCGCACGCGTGACAAACTCGATGGCGGTGACGCCAAAAAAGAAAAGCGAAGTATCACCGAATGTGGTCATGGGTGTGACATGACCCACCCACAAACCACAACAACGGAGGAAAGAGCAAGCACTAACCTGTAAGTGAGCTTTGGGGTAACCGGACAGGGAGACCTGTCCCACTGCTCAACCTCATGAATCTCATTCTTGAGACACCACTTGACGCATCGTTTGGCAACACAATCACTGGAAGGAGTCCGGACAAGACAACCACGCCGAGGAGTAGGACAGATGATCTGAGAGGTGGAAGAGGATGTGTCAGTTGTCCCCATGATATGGAAACGGAGCGTTGTGTACGGGTGGTGAAGGAGGAGGACGCGGAGGGATGTGGGGAGTGAACTTGTAAAGGACGAAGAGAGCGTTGGAGGACAGAGAATATATTCGGATTCGGACGGGAAAGAGTCCAGACTTGAATCCGACCGAGTCCGACAAAATGGTGCAATAAAGTTAAGTAATATGAATATGAATAAAAATGAAATTGTTATCATATGGACAACGAGGCAGCGCTAACGCTAGTTGACCTGGTCGCACGACCCATTGCAACGTTGCTTTTCTAAAGTACCCCTGGCCCCCACGCTAGAAACTTGCCCAAGTGCTCAGATCCCTGGCACCAAATATCCCAAAACATATGGCACTTCTATGATCTGATCGTGTTACACCATTTCCCATCCTCATGAAATCCCCATCACGTCAAGTTCCCGTCAGCCACCTTACTCTCAAAACACCGTCAGCTCCGTTCCCGACACAGCTATTTACGAAAACGTTAATCCTGTGTCAAGTTGCCTCGCCACATTGCAGCCTCACGTGACCCCAAACCTGTCCACATGAATTTATGAAAGGCGCCCTGGACAGACGTGAAGCGATAAATGAGCGCATTTAAAGCTCTCATGATTGCTAAGGCTATAGCGAAAGCAGGGTCATGGCCATCTAGAACAATGATCGGGCGCATGTAAGGGGTGATGAGTAATCAAAACCAGACAACGAAGGATCGATCACAACAAGCACATGGTGTAAACGGCATAGGACGAGGCATCAACGGGCACAATATGGCATCAAGTCGAGAAACAGCCGCAAGCATGAAGATAGCATAAAACAATCGTGTGGAATGTGGTGGAGCTTTTTTTTTCTCCTATATCAGAAACGACCATCATGCAGCACCCTTAGCATCTTCAGCCGCTGTGACGGCAACATTGATCTTCTTCCCATCCTTCCACCGAACACGCGGTGGAGGGGCACGGTTACGGCGACCCTCCCGGGAGCGGACACGCACGACTAAAAATGGGCCATTTTTGTTCAGGAAGAAAAGGGGAGGGGAGGGGTTATGGGCCAACAGAAGTGTCGAATTGAAAATGTACGTCAGTGAGATTAAGATTAACATCGCGGATCGGAGAACCCCTTGAGGAATCTACCAAAGGGAATGGACTTACTATGTGAGTGAATAGCACACGAAACGCAGTACGCAATTTTGAGGTACAGTTTAGGAACAGCGTATTCTGCGCAAAAGATACATAATCAATGAATTAACTATTATCAAAGCCCAAGAGACCTAAATTGGCTCACCTTGGTAGACAGAGGCAGCGCTGATATCCGAAATCGCAGCAGACTCGACCATATTCCTCACGGTGAATCGCTTAATCGCCTTGTCTTTTGGCACGCATCGGGCACAGTTCGAGCAACGGATAAACTTGGTATGGCCACGGTTATGCTTGTTCCGCCCCCCATTTCTTCGCTTGGTAGTCTATCATTCCAATCACCAAAAAGCCAAAAAGAACCAAGATGATTGATTGTTTTGGCCACCCATCCATTCGTTCGGTACCAAGGCATCAAAATCCAAAGCAGGCCGGAGAACCCCAGAAGCATCAATGGCGCAAGACACAGTACAGATTCACCATGGGGAGGAAGGATAAACAGACTATTATCAGCACACACTGAACTTGCATCCAAAGTCACGAACGTGCATCCAGCCGAGAACCAGCATTCTGCACCCAAAATAACTCACCATAATGTGCTAAGAGACTTGGAACAGAGATTAGAGTCGATCCAGATACAACCCTGAGTCTCTAAGTTGGCTTGAGGACGTCCTCGTCGTTGAGTCACAATTGAATTGGTTCGGATATTTCCGAATTCAGACAAAGGTGTCACTACGAATGCCTGCACTGATGTGATTCCTGTATTTCGCCCATTTACTGTTCGTCACCATGATAATTGCGAGCAACAAGCCTTGGGGTTTTACTCTGCATGCAGCACAAGAAAGGACGTCAATCTCAATCAGTGTGACGAGTTCGTTGCATCTGATAAGTAACTCCAATCGTTCAAATGATACGAAAACGTGGCAAGATTTGTCTGGCACGCATAGTGTGTCCTACCTTTCAACATCGCAGACCGCAAGTCCGTTGGAAAAATAGGATTAAGGTTCAGTTCTGCATTTTTGAAAATTGATCTTAGAGAGAAATCTAGATGGGCGATTTCATTTGAAATAGGTAAGCGTTCCATCTAGCACATGCGGTAACTGGTGGAAGTTAAAAGCAGATAGGGGATCGCCTGAAAAGGGGAGGAACGGTGCGACATGGATGAACTGCAGCGGTACTCGGGCAAAAGATGAAAGAAAGGGTGCGACAGAATGCCGCCACATGCCCAGCGTGTTGTACAATGCTCAGGGGTGACTGATAGCGGTTCTCATTGGTGATGCCAACCACTTACAGCCTTCGGGTAGTCGGAGGATGGGCGCGTGTACGCGGGTCGCTGAATGACGACATGCTCTGTCGCATTGTAGCAGGGACTTGTTGCCCGAATTATGTGTCTGCTGCATCACGGGAGGCAGTTCAGTGAGTGGAAAAGCGGCTGGGTGGCCGTTGAACGCTTCTGACATGTGCGCGGACTTATTTTTATGGGCGACGCAGAAGCGGAAGTGTGCTAGCGGCTGCGGAGAAGTTTCTAGGCATGGTACGAGCTAGGAGGTGGAAGCAAGATGATAAGTATGAGATTGTAAATAAGCGGCAATACGTTGCCGTTGACGATGCCAATTTTGGGTAGCTCGTTTGGACGCAATAAACTATGCCCCCTACCTCCGAGGGAATGGAGAGGTGCGGTTGTGCATAACTGAGAAGTGTCGTCCCCCCCACGCCCATGCTATGAACAAAGCTGGCCTTGCACAGGCTTGTCATCGTTATCGGCGCCATTCAGTCAATTGAACGACGTGCATGACTTCCCACAATAGATCTCTGGTCGAAGCCAGCTTCTCCCCATCACATTGAAAACGTTTGCTTGTTATGGGCTAAGTTGTTGCTCACGTAATCACTATTTGTTGCAACTCATTCGAAGTGGCGCCGTCTCCGAGCCGTTGACACTCCGCCTAAGTAAACTCGCAATACGATCTTTACTAGTGCCAGCTATGATTCGGGCCTCAGAAGAAGCTAGAGTATTCTGTGGTTGAGCTCAACTCCTTGGACTTTGTTGCAACGCCACCCAGTCGGAGGTTTGGAGTGAACTTGCGCCCTGGTACATCTTGATTTGCTATTAGACATTGATCCTTCCGCTCCATCATCCCGTATTCCGTCCCTCGAGCTCGACGAGGGGCACTTTATGGTTTTATGGGCGCTTCATCAGCCACATGATCAGCCACTTCCCGTCTTGCGAATCTCATTCATCACCCCCCCCTTTCCGGAAAGAAGCATTTCCTTTATCTTCTCTCTTCGTTGGCGGCTTCCCATACTGCCTCGTTGCCTTGCACTCCAGAGGAACGTTCCAACAGCAGCATCTCTTCCGCGGGCAACACCTAGAAGCCTGACATATGTACAAGACCCCGCAGCCTTGTCCATCCACTCTCGCTGGGCCGGCTCGGAGCCGGAGCACCCGAACGAAGCAGTCTAGTGAACTCGGTGCCAATTGTACTGAATTTGCCTCGATGCGTTCTTCGAGTTGACTTCAAATTAAACCGTTTGGGCACCAAACCATCATCGGTACAGTTACAATGGCCTAGGCCCATTTCTACTACTCCTTAAAGACGTGAGTCTCATTCTCTCACAAGATTTCACGGATTTTGATGCCCACCATCAGCATCCTTATCCTTTTCAAGGTGGTATCGATAGATGCGGGAATTGGATTCTCGGAATTACAATGTTGAAGGGACCTAGGTTGAGGATGATCCGACAAGCTCACTGCATCTGGGAGAGTTGAATGTGCGCAACTTCCCTAAACAACCTTCCCCGGTTAAGTTTTGATTTTGACAGATGCATTCGATCCATAAATAGGCACTCATGCCCCGGTATATACCAGTTTTACTTGGAAGAGCGTCCCAAAAGATTCGACAAAAGGGAAATCATCATATTAATGCTGTGTCATTTCCCTCGCTTAGGCGATCCGCCCTACTGCGGCACAAGGGAACACTCTGCCCATTCGCATATTCCCCTCTTACAATACCCACATATAAAGCCTCAATCAGTATCATCAGCTCACCTCGTCCATTCCGCCAGTGCCCTTTCATCTCATTACACGCACACGCACACTCACACACACTCTCTATCGAACTTTTGTTTCGTGTCCTTCCATCCGTTCTTCCATAGTCTATCCACTGTCTCAGATCTATCCACGCACTCCCACTTGCAAGATTACCCTCTCTCTCTCTCTCTCATGAATATCCCGGCACCGTTTCCAACTGTCCGTATCAGTTCGCAGCACTGATTTCACTCGTAGACACTCCGCTCCACAATTCCGGGCATGATTCGAACGTTGATTCCGCGGAATTCATTGTGGCGGAGAGCGGGTGATGGATGGACTGCTGAACTGAGGGCGCCGGATGCCAACGGATCATTCAGATGAGCTAGCTCACTGGCTGATCAAGCCTCTTCGCCCTTCTTACCCCTCACTCCTTTCTCCTCGCGCAAGTAGTAGGGGCCCAATGAACAGGTCAGTTCACCTAATTCCTGGGCCATGATCAAGCCTTCGCTAGCACAAATCTTTGACGAGGAGATTCGATGCTTCCCCTTCATCTCGTTTGCTGGTGCATGCAGATTTCCGATGTCGATTAGAATTTTCGCAGCCTTCCCTGTAAAATACCGGACAATAACTTGGACAGCAGCTAGAGAAAAGATTGCATTGTTGTGACATTGATTCCTCTATGACGCGCAGAATATTCTATTTCGGCGTTATGAGCTGACTGGTGGGATGAAGTGTTCAGACATGATCCCTCAGTATTGTGTCCAGTCCGTCATGATCTCATGCTCGCCCGGCCGAGACAAAAATCGACAGCCTGCTTTTGGACGAATAACCCTTGTCGATCATGTAATTATCCAAAAATGACAGGAAGTAGGCCTACAGCTACTCTGACTAAACCTAGTAACTTATGCCGGGGTCCAGCCGTGCACTGGAGGTACTTCTGCCTCATTCCACATGTCACACCAAGTAGTTCATAATGTTGATGGGGAGCACATGCACAAAAAATGGTACATATAATATCAACGGCGCTTCGATCTAAACTCATTAGCGTCTGTCATGCTTGTTAGGTACATGCAAATACCATGTCTAAAAACTATATATTAGGAAAATACGGTAAAGTTCAATATATTGTATAATACGCGCGCTACATGCATCGATCGATAGCGTGAATGTTCAGGGAGCGAGGCCTATACTATATTAATATGTAGATCGAGGCTGGTAACCTGCCTAGGAGCGAAGCCGGCCATATGTGAGGTAATTCCAGAGACTAAGAATACGTTCAATTACAGCAAGAGACAAAAAAAACGGCCGATCAAAATTTGCTAAACGTCACGGGTGGGTCTCGTGATGATCCAAATCGGGAGCAAAATCAGGGTCAAATTAGAATTAGAATACACCGCTGTTTTAGCACACATGACCTATATGGCAACTGCCTACTGCCCGTCTTCTGCTGGGGTCTCTTCCAGCGTTGAAGGTATTTTTACCCTGTTTCACGTGTGCCACTCAATAGTTTTGTAGCTCATGTGAAGCATGGCTGCTTCATCCGTTACATGACCACAGCGCATCCCATGATTTGTTGTATGTCGGCACTGTCGGCACTGTCGACGGCACTTCCGAGTTCACCAGGTATAAAATGCCACGTTCCATGGCCTCTTAGTCTGAAAGTTCAGCGTTGATCTTTCCCTTCTACTAACTCTCTCATTATGACGACTAACATTGAAAAGTTTGATCTTAAATTCTGGGAGGAGAACCCGGGAAGACGTCCTCTATGGAGTGCTGCACATCTACTTGGAATGACTGACATCCCTCCACTACCAAAGACTCGCGATGATGCCCTTTCCAAATGCCTTGTCAACGGGCATGCGCGATATCTTCCAGATAATTCCACCGTTGTATTGGATGCCTTTGATGACGGCAAGGGCCAAGGTGATGACGCAGTATCATTTTTCATTCCTCACAACTGTAAGTACCCTATTGTTGATTCTACTTCGATGCTCTCAACCCTATCTATCTTCTAAAGGGGATCAATCGCAGTCCGACAATGGCCTCCGCAGCCGTATCCAGAATTATCTTAATCGGACATCTGCAACACCAAATGCACCTATCACACTCGCCAATGCTGCCACCCTGCTTCAGGACCTCGCGGCAGCCCAAATCTCTTCTCACACTCTACCCGACTCGTCAACTAGCCAAGCGAAGGTGAAGACTAGGAAAGTCGGTACCAGACCGCGCCATAGTAATGCTTCGCTTGTGTATGCTCCGACCTGAATGTCGCAATGCAGAATACCTTCCAGTGACATTGCTGGAAGGACAGAATATCTAGTATTGTGGTTGTTAATTCATAATATGCCATCTAAACCTTAGGATCACATACTTTATGCCGCGAATAAAGAAGTCGCGACGCCGGGCACGCTCTCCACGGGGTGACCAACCATGAGTCCGGGTTCCTGTCTGACGGCTAACACCTGTTTCATCTACAAATACTAGGTGTTCTGCTTGGTAGTTTCCCCCCATGTACTGTCTGAAGTCCGCGCGTCTTCCTTCATCACGCTCGGCAGCTATTCTCTGAACCTGAAATAGACATCAATGGTATTGCCATAGTTAGAAAGTGACTCAATACCTTCTTGTATGTTAGATCGCGACGCGTCATTTCACGGGAAATTGTGCGCTCACTGATTTCAATATGGAACTCATTGATGAGAGCAGTCCGGAGCTCAGAGAGCATGAGGTCGGGCTTCATTTCAATGAGGCTATCTAGAAACTACAGCAAAGAGTTAGAGGGCAGTGGAATCCAATATGTGGATAGCTACATTGATAGAATGGACATTCAGACAGCGATGTCGGCCGCGAGTTTCAGTGAGGGGGCCACGTTGATGTCTTTCCGGGTGTGCAAGAATCTTCCGGACAGTGCGTGCAGGCACTTGTATAGCTTCTGAAATTTGCGATGTGCTCATAGTCTCAGACATGGTAATCAAGAGCTCTCTGGCTGGGGGTTTAAGGTGTTTGCCCATTGTCGCACAACGGGAAATGCGGGCTAGCCATATTTGGCACGGAGGAGTGTCATTGGGACACAATATGTAATAAGTGCTCAAATTTTCCTAAAATAATCGAACAGCTGACTTGTTCCCGATATGTTTAACAAAATCTGATCGGCCGTTTTTTTTGTCTCTTGCTGTAATAGTGTGCATGCAGCCACGTCTTGATTCGTTCGTAGGCACTTTGCTGCCAGACCGAATATGCACACACGCATGCGCATGCTGGTTCCAATATCGCTTGGCTTATTAAAATACACGAAGAGTATCATCACCCTGTGCAGAGAATGAAATATGGGAGAAAACAAAGAAATATTCTACTCGTGAACGTGGAAGCGGAAGGTCATGTACAGAAGATGAGATTCTGTTTCCCCAAGTTTTTCTTGCGGATTGCTCAGGCATACAGGTCATCATCATCAGCATCTTGCCCAAATCCAGCGTTAGAATTCGGTGCATTGGCCGGTGCCTGGGAAGGTGCACCACCCTCAGGGAACTTGAAAGTCGAACCAAAGCTACGGGATTGTTGTAGATTCTGAAAGGCATAATATTTTAGCTTCCAGCAGAATAGAAGCAGTTGTGCAACTCACCTGAGCAAACATTTCATATCGTCGGATGTCTTGATCCGAGACAGAACGGCGAGCAAACCTCATAGCCTCCTCAAAGTGGGCACTGTTGAAGTGGATGAGAGTCAGACTGCATAAGAGAAACCTCGTGACTCACACAGTAATTTCAGGAACGGGATCATCCTCTTCCAAGTCTTCCTCCATGTCTTCGTCGCTTGTCCTAGCTGCCTTTTCTCTCTCGCGCCGTATGTCAGCTTCAATGCTTTCACGGATTGCGAGCTTTGCTGCACGCTGACAGATCTCAGTCAGATCAGCACCAGAGAACCCGTGAGTATTCTTGGCAAGGAAGCCAAGGTCCACTTCCTTGGCAATAGGCGATTTGCGAAGAGCGGCTTTGAGAATAGCAGCTCGGGATGGTTCGTCAGGCAGAGGGATGTAAATGAGTTGGTCGAGGCGACCAGGGCGGAGAAGGGCGGGATCGATCTGATCCGGCCTATTGGTAGCGCCAATGATGAAGACATTCTTCTTGGCATTCATACCGTCCATCTCAGTGAGAATTTGGTTCAACACGCGGTCACCAGCACCGCCGCCATCGCCACCCGCGCCGGAGCCGCCACGAGCCTTGGCGATGCTGTCCAACTCGTCGAAGAACATTACGCAAGGAGCGGCCGCACGAGCCTTATCAAACACGTCCCGCACATTTGCCTCCGATTCACCGAACCACATTGTGAGCAACTCAGGTCCCTAAACCAACATTTCAGCCCAATCGGGCGATGCGCAAATCGTGCATACCCACCTTAATACTGATAAAGTTTGCCTGGCACTCGTTGGCAATAGCCTTAGCCAAGAGGGTCTTTCCGGTACCAGGAGGTCCATAGAATAACACACCCTTGGATGGTGACATACCATACTTAACGAACTTGTCGGGATGCTCGACAGGGTAAGTGACAGTTTCCTGGAGCTCCTGCTTGACTTTGTCCAGTCCACCAATGTCGTCCCAAGTTGTGGTCGGAATTTCGACCACGGTCTCCCGAAGAGCCGATGGATTGGACGCACCCAAGGCAAAGCGGAAATTCTCCATTGTGACGCCCAGTGCATCTAAAACCTCAGCATCAATCGTGTCTTCATCAAGGTCAATAAGATCCATCTTTTCTCTGATTTGCTGCATAGCAGCCTCAGAGCAAAGCGAAGCGATATCGGAACCGACGTATCCATGGGTGTCCGCGGCAATCTGGCAATTGAACTCCACCTCAGCGCCTTCCAAACCATAACACCCGAAGCTCTTACCTGTTCCAAATCCACATCATCAACAAGTTTCATATTCTTCGTGTGAATCCGAAGGATTTCCAGGCGGCCAGTGGGATCAGGAATACCAATGTCAACTTCGCGGTCAAAACGGCCGAATCGACGAAGGGCAGGATCAATCGAATTTGGTCTGTTAGTGGCAGCCATAACGACAACGTTAGAACGTGATTTTAAGCCGTCCATTAGGGTCAAGAGCTGCGACACAACACGGCGCTCGACTTCGCCATTTGTCTTGGAAAATAGAAGGTTTGACAGAATGCATTGTGAATATTGCGGACAGGGACATACCTTTTCACGTTTAGGTGCGATTGAGTCAATCTCATCAATGAAAATGATGGCAGGTGAATTCTTCTCCGCTTCCTCAAAAGCTTTCCGCAGGTTACTTTCCGACTCCCCTGCCATCTTACTCATGATTTCGGGCCCATTGATAAGGAAGAAGAAAGCGCCTGTCTCGTTTGCAACGGCACGAGCCATGAGAGTTTTTCCTGTCCCAGGAGGGCCATACAACAAGATACCGCGAGGTGGTTTGATACCAATAGATTTGAATAATTGGGGGTGGCGGAGAGGAAGTTCAACTAATTCGCGAATTTGCGCCATCTGCTTGCGACAGCCACCGATGTCATCGTAGCCAACGTCCGCAAGGTTGGCTTCCTCATCCTCACGCTTGACCGGATCGCCTTCGGTGTGAATGACAGTGTCTTGAGCTACGATGCAAAACTCTGCCGGATCTGTTTCTATGACTTTGAATTCAACGGTCCTCATCCCTCCGCGTACAAGAAATGTATCGCCCTTGCGCACGGGACGATAAGCTAGTGTAGAACACGAATATCAGCCAAAATGCAGTCTCCGACATATTTATAACTACCTTCGAGGAAGTAGGGCTTTAGGTATACATCGAAAATGTTTCCGCTTAGACCTGAAGCGAAAGATCAGCACGTACGCGTTCTCCAACATCGAATGCCATACCCTCAATTGAATCGTCGAACGGCAAGATATGGACGCGCTTGCCATATTTTATGTCATGGCAAGGATGGACGTGACACAGATCACCAAGTTTGACGCGCAAATTGTTGCGAGCGACTGGATAGGGATGATTAAGCCGGTGCGAAAACGGTTGGCCTCCAAATTTCATACCTTTGTTCATTTGGATTCTACCCTCTTCAACATCATCGGAGCTTAAGCAAATGAGCACTAGCCAAACTTTGAGCATATGCCGAGCAACGGGGCTATTTGTGTTGTCACACCTGTGTCCTTCCTCTTTTTTCCCCTGGAAATTGGGATGTGTAAGACACGGAGGATTTGGGCAAGCAATGCACATGCATACCTGACAATGATGGTGTCGCCGCGGAAAAGTTCCAGAGCCTCCATAGTTGCGGGGCTCATGGTAGCGACGGAGTTATCATCAGAAGTGGCTTCATCAACGATAAGTCGATTTGGGCTAGGAAGAGGTTGTGTCAGCGTGAGAAGTGTCGAACGCGTCCCGAGCAGAGTGATCTTACGATTTCTTTGGCCTGAGAATAGCGGTAGAGATGTCATTCTCTCCTGGTTGAGGCGCTGCGCCAGATGGGTCAGCCATGGTCTGTCAAGAAAGCAAAGTTTGAGAGTTGGAGGTGAGGACGCGTCAGTGCCAGCACCTTAAGAGGCAGACTCTCTCGACACGTGATTGGGTGGCCATTTATTCTCTGCTCTTCGTCCAAGTTCTGCCACTTACGCGTCCTCGAGCTTCAAACGCGTTTCAGGTTACGGAAATTGCATGCAGAACCTACTCGGAAACGAGTAGTACCAAGTCTGCTGTTGCTAATTACAACGGATATCCAACGAAGTCCCTCTATTCAAACATATGGACATTGGGAACCAGCCTCTGCAACTGCGTCATGTTTTTTTTTTGTGGGCGTACTGGTCCCCATTGCATGCCATTGTCTACTTGGCCCAACTGCGAGCCTTCCCATATGTAATATTTTTTTTTTATTGAGGCCTTCCAAGCGGGATCGCCGAGACAACTCTTGGCTCTCTGATAATCACATCCCATGTCTTCTAACAGGGTACCCTGATAGTTGTGAGTGCAGTGTGGACATTTGAGTCGCCATCTTCCGGATCTGAAACCGACAAGTTTGTGTGAATTTCCTGTTTGACGCAGACCCCGCTGAGTTCACCAGTATTTCGAAGTGAACGTGCAAGCACTTGGCTCCCAAAGTTTTCACCCTCGAACCGTGGACTGTCTATATCTCCAATCTCTCTGCATAGGCGGTTGACTTTACCGTTTGGGGTTTCTGGGTGTAGCTTCATTGTTTCTGCTTTCTGCCATGGGGTGATCGTTCACCCTCACGTCGTCCGAACTGGTTAAACGCTGCAATGTCTCGGTTAAATCAGTGATGATTTGGCTTTTGAAAGTTGAACACAGGGAGTTGGGCGCCTCTTTCATGCAGTAACTGTTTTCGAGTCCTCTATCTTGGTCACCGAGGAGGGGTATAAGGTGTTCTAGCACGCACGTTTATGTCACTTTTGACAATATATCACCAACCCACTGTTCTCCATGGAAAAAAATGGGTATCACCTGAAGCTGTCTTTTCTGTGGTCTCAGACTTGTGACATATGGGTGCTCGAGTCACTTGGGTCATTTATGGGGTAGTATAGTTCATCGATACGGATGGTCTTTTTCCTAGTATACTAGTAGTTGGAGCAGTCCATATAACGTATTGTTCACTCTGGCCTAAAAGTGCCATTCTTGTCGGAGAGTATTCGAGGGATCGATGGTTGCTTACAGCTGATCATGGAGCGAAAATTCCCTGGGGATATTCTTATGAGTATTATACAGGATATAACGATTTCCTGACCCCGGCCTGAGCAGTCTCACTAGATCTGGGGTTTTAACCCGACCTAACTACAATTCCAAAACAAGAACACATTAGTTCTAGTACCCTCGTGTGGCAGCCAGAATGCTTTGTTCCCGAAATATTCAAATTGGACGCGCCCCTGTGCAGTTTGAGATGCTTTTTGCGAGAGGGTCAAGTTTTTGTAGTTCATAATCCAATTTAAACCGCTTCGTCATGGAATCGGGTTGTCGATAGAAGTTTCCCCTAAATATACCACGCACAAACGTTATTTGGAGCGAAGGGTCAAGAAATCCTTTAAGCGCGCGGCAATGTGAGGGACTTGCCGATTTAATTCAAAGACTCATTGAGTCATTCAATAAATTGTCACTGTGGCTGCCATCGCGAGGAACATGAAATGGGTGGCAAGAGCTCTGTCAGTGCCATCAGCAGATACCGATGCCTGTCTTTCTGTATTCTTTGAGTCGACACCCTCAAATAAGTACCTCTTCAATTGTAGTGAGGGCACTTTTCGCGCTATACAGCAACGGAAAGTCGGATTGTCAAGGATCAAAGCCCTTTTTTTGACGCGTATACATACCCAAAGGAGCTCTGGAGTGCCTAGTCAGTTTAAACAGTTTTCCGATGCGCGTTGGGCTCATTAATTGATAGGTTTACTTATGTCGCTTGCCGATAGTGGCTCAAGCTCGTTCACGATTATTGGCCCGGAAGGGCTCAATCATTATCTAGCTACTACACGGTCTTACGCAATGAGGTAAGTGACACGTACGAGACAGATGGAGTGCCTTTGACGTCGCTCCATGCAGGGAAAACTTAGAAGTCAAAGCAACGGAAGCTTCATTTTCTCCTATTGGGGGCCAATGCCCAACTACTCCCCTCGTTTTTAGAGATGAAAACCTTTCCGTGTACGCCGTGCCGATAGACCCTCGCCGTTATAGACCGGAGGACTCGACTCCTTCCCCACCTTCCTTTCGTTCAGCAAAGCGAAAGGCTTCTAGGACCCCCTCCCCCGTAGGAGAAGGCGAGAGACATTCTTTGCTTCCTTCGTCTCCTCAAGCTCGCATTGTCTGCCAAACCTATTGTGGTTTAAAGCCTGATGATGGACAGCAAGGGGAGCTGTCCAGGTCACGAAAGCTCCCTATGAATTGGGAGCTTCACGCGCGTCGCTTGCCCTACGCTCAGAGAGCCACTGCGGCTGTCAGCTTCATTGGCCTTGGGCCTTCTGTCCGGGGGAAGTTCGATGCAAAGCGGGCCCAAGCACTGGGGGTGTTCGGTTCCGACCGTGCAAGGCTCACAAGGGGTGAAACTGTTCTGTCCAAAGATGGCGTGACATCAGTTACGCCGGACATGTGCATTGGTCCAGGGATATCTCCTTCTGTAAGCCAGAATTACATTTCGCCTTGAGATCGCAGCCGACTTCATTACCCCCAGGCTTTCATGTTCATAGAATGCCCTTCTACGGAGTACATACCAGGCATTGCATCCTCACTAACGCTCGGCGTGAATGGTCCTTTGAGTGCTGCGAGGTTATCTTTCATCATCCACCGTGTTGGTCGTGGCGTTTTGGAAGACGAGAGATATGTAGCGTGGATGCATGCTTTTGGAGCTGATGTTGAGGTAAGCGCCTAATGATATACGCCCGTTATCTTCGTGAATAAGTCTCAAACTAGGCGGATAGCATCTCATAGCGAGTGACGAATATGGAGCCAACCCCGTTGCATATACCTCGTCATCATATATTCAACTTAGCTTAGCTGAATTAGATGATCGGATATTCCGTATACCGTCAAATCGATTAGAACCTATCAAACCCGTGCCAGGCTGTGCGAGTCTACCACTTGTCAATCGCGACCTTCAGAGCTAACGAAATCGTGTGCCAATTAGCTCTACCTACCAATTCAAAACCCCTTCTCCTTGACCATCAGATAGGCATGCATCCTCCTGCATGCTCTTCTGTGGTCAGCCCGATGGGAATGAAGGACGAGTTTCACCCTGCTCTTCAAAAAATCAGAGAGGGCGACACGAAGTCCGTTCTCTCCCCGGACATGTATCAAACCATCAACCTTATCCATGAGGAAGCACACCTTGAAGAGGACTCTAGGACGAAGGAACCAGGGGATGATGTTGTTATCACCACTCTCGGGACCGGCAGTGCGCTCCCCTCGAAGACGAGGAATGGTTAGCATCATTCATCAGGATCATTCTTGGCAGATGATTCAATCTGTTTTTTAAAGTTTTAGCTAACCTCGTTCAGATTCCGCACCAGGGAAACATTTTATTGGATGCTGGGGAGGGCACATGGGGACAAATCGCTCGGCGGTTCGGGCAGGATACCACCGACTCGACTGGCGTGCCTTCCCCGGAGTCGATTTTACGCGACCTCAAATGCGTGTTTATTTCTCACATTCATGCAGACCATCATCTTGGGTTGGCGAAACTTTTATCTCTCCGACGCACAGTGAGTCGACGCAAGTTTTGAATCATGCATTTCTGATATTTCCATTAGATAGACCCTCCTCCAGAACACCCTATATACCTCATTGCAAACGTACAAACATTCGATTATCTCGAGGAGTATCACGACCTCGAGGATTTGGGTATAAACAACCTGTCTTACGTACGAAAGATACACTCCGCTGACATATCGACTGCAACGCAAATCCCTTCGAGGGAGAGACTGAGGCTTTCGTCCGAGGAGCTTTCAGATCGCGTCAATTTGTACGGAATTTTTCATGCTCGCGCATTGCATGTTACTAACGACGATAAAGGTCCAACAAGCATTTGGTGGAACTGAAGGGCAGCCTCGGAATGTCCTCTGTTCAGACAGTTGATGTGCAGCATCGTGGGCCATGCTACGGGATTGTTTTTAAACACATTGAGGGATGGAGCATTGTGTAAGCATATCACCTCCCTTCGAAATCCCTGTTGACCGTGTGACAAAGCTTTTCTGGTGATACGATGCCGTGCGATGCTCTGGCCGAAGCTGGCAGGAGCGCAACAGTACTGATCCATGAAGCGACGATGGCTGACGACGAGGAAGAATTGGCGCGCGGGAAACAACACAGCACTGTTGGGCAGGCAATCAAAGTTGGGAAACAGTATGCATCGTTATACTCCTTACCTTTCAAACACTTAAATCCGCTTTTTAGAATGGAGGCGAAGCATATTCTACTGACTCACTTCTCCCAGCGCTACCCCAAAATCACGAACCTGAACTCAGCGCCGTCAGCAACCAACACTTGTACACTCACTCAAAGCACCAACGCAGCATCGAACGTCGCGCTAGCCTTCGATGGAGCTGCTGTCCCAATTGGCTCGCTGTGGAAACTGAGCAAATACACTCCAGCGCTAGAAAAACTGTTTGCCGAGACTGCAGCAGTGATTGGCGAAGACGAAGAAGATCTGACAGTTCCCGCGAGGGAGAATACGCAAAGAGAAGGCATGGCTTCAGACTCAGCTACAGATTTGCGAACAGCAACTAGTGGAGAGCGAGAAATACCACCTATACGAGAAAAGAAAAAGCCAAAGCGCATCGCTGAACGTCAATGACGAGCAAGTCATATTTTAGATGTCCTCTATACATGTACCCTCCCAAATCCCAAATGTCCTCCAATTCCGAACCCGGTCCTTGCCATGCCCTGGATGTTGCAGTCTGCTGCTCAAGAGACCACCATCAAGCGATATTACAACGTAACCATAAGTGGGAGTGGCTGTCCCGCTGATGGGATTAAAGAATCACTGCATTGCACCACAACAAACTGCGGTGAATGGGTTTCCAAAAATTGATAGGAGCAACAGTGCATTAAGCAACCGCGCTGCCACAAGCCAGACGAACCCGGCTTTTCCGGACAGGTCTAGTAGACCTATCGTGCCAATAATCCCTTTCAAGAAGGGCGCGAAAAGAATGAATCAAGCGAACATAAAACATGTTCGATCGCATGAATCAATCAAACTGGACTGTGACATGTGTTGAACAGTGTGTTATGAGATGTAGTGTATAATGATGATGAAGACAAAGACGATGGTGCATATCTGATTCCTTTGAATAGTTTCTGTTTGTAGTATTGGGCATGTGTAACTTGGCTCAACTGGCATGGAGCCCGGCGCGATCGGTCGGACAACGTCACGCAGATCAGCAGGAGAACATGTACCCTAGGGAGCTAGGAACAGGTCTCACTTGCCAAAATAGAATCGAGCCCTGCCAGTATCCCCCATAAAATCATTTAGCCTGTTGTATATGTGTGTGTGTGTGTGTTATGATGCGCAGTATTGTCATGAGCATGTCTAGGTCAGGCAACTGCTGGTTGAGCACAACGCCGTCGACACCATAGGGGATGTACGACAGCAAGAGGCACGTCACCTCCGGACAGCCGTACGAGACCGACGCCGAATCAGTGCCCCTCCTCGTGCCCCCAACGTTGCTTCGCAGTAGTATCATGATATCGTGTAGATGGTAGTTTAAGTCATTGACTGCATCTGCAATATCTGGAAGGGTCTCGTTTTATGGGTTGCAGACTTGCTCCGATAGGACGCGGTGCGAAATACACATGTATGACGCTCAAGAAGGGACACGTTAAAGAGGTCAAACCACCCCGAAACCATCGTCAGCCTTCAACGTTGGTCCGCCCGGTCCGTCCTTTGATGCATCATGTGTGTTATCTGTGATCTGTGGTTAGGCAGATTCCTTTGGTCTGGATCGATCTTGTTGTAGAGACAGAAGTTTCACATAGCGCGACCGAAGAAAATGAGGAGGGAAGAGAGGGATACTCGTCACCCTTTATACCTGGCCACATGCACAGCATATGACTCGGCGTCTTGGATTTAACGCGGGATTTTTGCCATACGTGCACATTCATTTGGTAAAGTCGCCAATCGATCCTAGGTTGCGGCAACATCCAGCCATCTGCTATACGTTTCCTTGAACCACATAACCAAAGAGGAAGGACCCAATACCAAGTCGTGAGCCGTCCGCGGACCGGTCACTCTTGTAGCGGAGTTGGCGGAATTTATCGCAAGTGCGTGTGAAATATCACAGTACTATTCCATAGCTCGTTACAAGCGGCCCCTGGTCTGTTCATTACGGGGTAATTAAAGTTTTGCCTCTAATGGGATTGTTACTTTTAGAAGTGGATGAACGCAAAGAATTTATTACCACAGACAAATGGATGCAGTCAACAAATTTTTACAATAAAAGGCGAGTTCGGAGACGATTTTTGGTACGTTCACCGGCGGGCTGACTTGCGCCGGGACTTTCTTCTCTTCCTCCCACCGCTGCCGGAGTTTGGACCTTGGCCACCGCCTGAAGTACCGTTAACTTCATCCCCACTGTCACTTCTGACCGAGTCATCCATCTCTCCGGCGCGGGGGCTCACCTCCCCACTGGCGGTGATACGGTCGCGCAAAGGAACGGGCCCATTTTCTGAGTGAATGACTGGAGGTCCTTGACGAACTATTCGGTCGAGAAGTGACCCAGTACGGTTTGATTCGCCTCTGGGCGAGCCCAGGATCACCTCCTCAGACCGGCGACGACTTACGAGGCGCAAACCGACCTCGTACGTATCCGGGTTTTTTATATAGTAGCCAGGAGGAAGTATGCTGGAATACGTAGTTCGTGATTCCACTAGATCACGGAGTTCAGGTGCTTGGGCACGAGAAATTTCCGGCCCTTGGAAGTCTCGAGGCCGTCGCTGAGAACCCTCTCCTAGGTCTAGACCGAAATCTCCGTTTGTTTGGCCTCTACTGCGAGAGGGCCATGGGGCACTGGATACTGGAGGCGCAGGGTCTTGGCGGTTAGTGGTCTCGGGCTTGCGAAGATCATAACCAGGATAAGAATTGTTCGGGAGACCAGAAGATTGATCACGATTGGAGCGAAGTTGGGCACCCCATCGTCTCTCTGGGAGTCGCTCCCTTTCAATTTGAACCGGTGTCGGAGTGGGAATTGAACGTGAACGGTATTGATTCTCATTGGCTTGGTGATCATTGAGAGGTCGATTGAAGGAGTGGGACAATGCATTTGCCGGCGGCTGGTAGAGCGATGAGTTCCGTTCGTGCTGCAGCAGTGGGAAAGCGGCTGGCAATCCTGTCTCATTTCGCAAGTCGAAGCTAGGTCGGGAGGCTGTATAATCGTCGGAGACATCCATTCGGTGATACTGGGAATGAGGAGTTAAGCCAGGGTACCGCTGATGGAAAAATACAAACTCACATCGCGATCTCGAGTAATATCCCGTGATGCGGTGTTCTAGGCAACGCGTCAATGATGATACGGGACAGAGGGTAACACAAAGATTATACATTGTCATTTCCTGCTTGGTCCAATTTTCCAAATGTGCGAACCTTGGCCACAGGGACGTTGTTCGATCCAGTAATACGTTTGGGAACAGCAGGTGAAGGCGACTGAAATCTCTGTCGATTCGGAGAGGGCGAAATCTTGCGAGATTTAGCTGGAGGGGGAGACGCTGACGCAACCCTTTTATTTCTCCGGGATGTCTGTTCCTGTTGGTCAACCAGTAGAGGTTTATACCATCGCTAGCATATTAGCGAAGCAGACAATGCGGACCTGATCTCGTTGCGCAATAGCTTCGTCACGCTCGCGTTCGATCTGAGCCCTACGTACCAGGTTTGCAGCGCTCACCTCAGGGACGTGATGAGGTGGACCTGTCAGCGTGGGTGTTTGTTTGGAGGCAACTCTTTCGGTTTCTGAAGACACCGCAGACACCGCAGAGGTAGTTCTTACACGAGGCCCCGTGGGTACAGCCTTGTTGCCTTCGCCGGCTTCCGGTTGAGATGTGGGAGGCCCGCGCCTTGATGGCCCAGAAGGAGGAAGACGAGTTTGGGAAGCAAATGCTGGATGTGAGGCATCTTTGACTCCTGGAGGAACCACAGGACGGTCACCGCGAGGGCCAGAAGGGGCACCAGGGACAACTGGCGGTTCTGCCCAACAGGGATTCAGCTTGTGCTTGCAGAAATGAAAGATGTATCATACCTTTGGGAGGCAAAGGCCTTCCGTTCCAATTCTTAGGGCCCTGGGGAATACCTTGCATCGGCGATGGTTCTGCCTGAGGTGCAGATCGTTTCTGCTTGAACTCCGTACTTTGTGGAGGCAGGGGCGCCCGCTTTGGTCCTAAGACGCCGTCATCAGTGAGCAGCAAGTGCAAAGTAATAGATTGCGCACGGGTAGGTATGCCGTCGGGTTTCTTCTCATGGGATTCCGGAGTGGGTGCTCTGGGGATCGACTGGACGACATCAGGTTCAGTTCCTCTTCGCTTCTTCAAATCTACCTCATTGTCGGGCGGAGATCGTTGCCTGTAATGAGCATCACTTCCATGGTTGTATTCGGTTTGGCGAACTGGCGGAGCTAATTCTGTTTGCGGGCTGTAAGCGGTAGTAAAGATCAGACATCCATTGAAAGAACACCACATAGAATCTTCCAACCTTCGGTGTGCTCGAAAGTCGGGCGTTCGTGCGTTATGAGAAAGATGTGGAGTGGGTGAACGACTCCGGCGTCCTAAACCCCAAAGGCCCAAATTAACATCGAGACAAAGGCACGGAAAATCCAGGACACGCGGGATTGCGGCAAAAAGTAGAGGGGGGCAAGAGCGTAAGTTATCGCGATATGGGACAGGGACGAAGTGGAAAAAAGGTCGGTGCTAATCTCCTCGCCTACTTTGCAACTCATAACGGGACATAAATCACGACACGCTATGTGTCTGCTTGATCCGACGACGGATACACTGGAGTAGGATGACAAATGAAACCATCCTTTCAGCGTATTCCTGAGGCATCGGCAACGTTATGTAATGCAAGAGTATAGAAGCGAGGAGAGAGTACAAGACGGTAGGGGGTGCGGGAAGCTCTGGAGGGATTGATACGGAAACGTACTTATGGGACCTGGTGATAGCGATTCTCGGTGACTCGCTCGTCGATCAGGCGTGGGAGACCGTCGGCGGTTGTATACTCGTTGCGGCGATGGGCTTGGTCTACGAGGCTGATATCTATTTCGATCCTCATCCGGAGAGCGATGTCGACGGCTATCCCAGTCAGATTGGCGATCTGACACGTGGTGACTCGGTCGGATAGAATCTAACGTGTCTCGAGGCCGTTCGTAGTCTCTCGATACATCACGATCGTTATCACGGGGAACTAGGTGAGCGTGCTCCAGGCTAGGGCTCCAACGACGAGAATCACCGCGGCCTGAACGAGTTTTGTCAGCATCCCTAGGAGGTTCATTCGTATTCCCCTGTCGGGAAGAATCTTTGCGTCTGAATGACGCATTATCTTCACGGCCGTGTGGAAGGGAGGATGCAGAAACGTTAGCGGCAGTGCGCCTTCCACGATCATCCAGACCTTCTCGGCGTCTCTCATAGTCCGGAGATTTTTCCGGCACCCAACTGTCCCAACCCTCACGACGACGGCTCCTTTCGAGCTCAGCTTCTCGACGGCGCCTTTCGCGGCTGGGTGTCCCACTCCTTGAGCGTTCACGAGGTTTGTCACGGTCCCTGCCTCGCTCTCTGGCTGCATGTCCATCTGACGACTCGTTAGTTCGCTTATCCCTGGTACGCTCACGGTCATCTGTGCGCCTAGGCGGTGTCAAGGTGCGGCGTTCTTTCGCACGCGGAGGGACAGAGAGAGGTTGTTCCCAGGTCGTTTCATCGGTTTTAACGTTGTGATAATAGACGTCGCCAGTAGTTATAGACCTCTTAGCCTCCCAATGAGGAGGCAGATCAGAATCCTTGTGGGCGGAAGCTGACTTTTGAGACTGCAGTTTTAACTCTTCGTCACGGCGACGAGCAGCTTCAGCAGCAGCTGTAGTTTCAGCGGAAGGTTTCGGAGGAAGGGAAGGATGCGAAACAGTTGACAGACCACTGGATAAAGTAAGCTTATGGTTCGAACCCGAGGAGCTCTGAGAAATTGTGGAGGTAAAAGAGGCACTGTTTTCCAATCTTGCAGAAACCTGGGGAGGTTTCGAAAGACGCTCGCGTAAAGATTTGTTTGCAGCAGGGGACGCTGGCGCTGCCGGGTCGTCTTTTCGAGCACTATAAGGCGCGGGCGGCTGGGATGCTGAATCCGGTTGGGCGGTGGGGGGCCCAATGTCGTCGTCTCCAGCAACGAGAGATACGACATCTTCGCGGTCGTCCTCATCATCATAACGAGCGCCATCACCCCAATCCAAAGATTCTGTATCTTCTTCGTGCTGAGACATAGTCTACTGTAGCGTCAAATGTGTCCAACGAACTTCAGCAACTTGCAACGTTCAGCGCTACGTTTGCTTCCGGCGTGAGGAAACTTTATGGCTTCCATCCTGCCACTCAGCTTTCCCCACAACCGCCCATCCGCAGGCCCAGCGTTTGCTGCTCGGGGTTTCGATCGTCGCGAAAGTCATGTTACAATAAAGACTCCATCAATATTTAAACGCGTTGTCCGAGTGTCGCACATGGTATTTAAGGGAACGTTCACAACCTGACTAGCCAAAGACTGAGAGCCTTATGATCCAGGATTTCGAACTTGCAGCCTGGAACCTCACATACTTATGCATTCAGCCCCGCCTTGTGTCAGTTTGGAATTCGACTAGATTTTTGTCGCTTCCGCTCATGCGCTGAATTTCATCGATGCAGCTACAAGCAACTGTTCTACCACAAACGTAAGAGGATCTTCTATTCACCGCCACCAACCTTATACTCAGCCAACACTTTGTGCAGAGACAAAGAATATTTGGGCAAGAGATGACCCAGCCACCGTGATTCTTGTTGTGTTCGCGTTGGCATTGAGCGCCATTGGGTGGGGTGTTTATTACCGGCGTTCCCCCTTCGGAGTGGCCTATCTTGCCATCCTTATGATAGCGAGGGACTTCCTTGGGGCTGGTGTAATAGTGGCGACTGCGGTATGGTGAGTGCGTTCGCTGGTAGGCTTTCCAAATGACCTGCTTACGGTGTTTCTTTGATACTCAGGTTACTTTCGAAAGTCTTCCTCGTCCCGTCAGACCCCGCATCGCACGAAATAGGTTCCTCCTTGGAGTGGGGTTATGCATTTGATGTGCACACCAACTCGTTTTTCCCTCTCTACTTATCGTTGTACTTGATTCAGCTCTTCCTTGCGCCCTTAATTACAAAAGATCGTTGGGTATGCCTCTGGTTAGGCAACACTCTTTATCTAGTCGCGTGCGTCTCGTTTGGGACTTCGTACCCATACTGACACTAAAGTTTCCCTTGTCAGTTTCGCCCAGTACATTTATATCACATACCTAGGCGTGAACGGTAAGGGCTCACGTTACATCCCGACGCACACTCTGATCTTCTGTCCCGTGCTCAGCCCTTCCATTCTTGATTCGTTCAGAGCTTTTGTTGTTCCCCTTGATTCCCCTCACCTTACTCTACGTTATTTCGTTACTTGGATTCAATGTCAGCAGTGCGGTGTTACGGTTATACTTCGGTTAGGCACATGCCAATATACAGCATACAAAGACGCGCCTTTAAGAGTGAACTCCATGAATTGCGGTTGTCCATGAATCAGTCGCATTTATTGTCAAAGTCCGACATGAACACAAACACAAACACAAAGGGTTATACGGTATCAGCGACATTATACACCTAGGAGCGAGGTCCAAAGGAAGTACTGAACAGGGCACGAAGTTATATTAGGAGAACCGAGGAGGGAATACGAATCATTTCTCATAGAAAGGGCCACGACCCTGCAATCGAGTAGGAGACGTTACCCTGTCTGCCAAATTCCTCAGGTCCGAATCATCATTGTCACTGCTACCTTCTGCAGCTTCTTTGATGAGTGAAATTGTGCTTTCGATGCTCCTCCGCCTGTTGCTAGGACTGGTCATGGTGGTACCTAGGCTTGACTGCCGTCCATGACCCCTGCGGAATGGCGTCGCGAGCGCAGGACCATTAGTCGGACTTACAGACGCTTGACCGAATGGCGGCGGAAGCGGCGCAGGGTGTGATACAGGAAACGGATGCGTAGGTAAAGGTGTGCTAGGTCCACTATCAGTGGTCGGGGTGCTAGGGTTGGAGAAGTGTGGAAGAGATTCCTCGGGGTCAATGAGGTCAGGCGGCAAGCGTTCGTTCTCGATATCGGATTTACGTCTGGGGAGAAGACGTCAGTGCGATATAGACATGGTCTCATGGAGTACATACGCGTCTTCGAAGTTCGAGATTGCTTTTCTGATGCCTTCTACCCCAGCCGCCAATGAACCAGCTGGTAGCCTGTTTGTTCCGGACATATTTTTGAGTTCGGACACCCGCTCGGATTCCTCACTGAGAGCGATGGAGTTAAGTTGTTCACAATGAAACCCGCAGGGAGCTATACGAACCGAAGCAGAGAGAAGACGCGAGACATACGTCCCACAGCGAGGATCTTGTTGCGGATGATCTTCCGACGTTCATCCTTCTCAACCGTCGGAGACTCCGCTTCGATGTATTCGTCCTCTTCTTCTTCTTCCAGCTCCTCCTTACTGCAACAGCTCAGAATAGCAATGAGCATATCCGTGACTAAACGACAAACGAGATGCAATGGTCAATCATACAGAACGAGATTGCAACATATCGCCTACGAACTCTTTTCGCCCACGAATGGCATACTCCATGTAAACACGTCCATGAAATTGGGTAGCCAGTAAGGATGTGGGGTGCAGTTAAACTGCCGGATATTCATAACATTGGACTCATACTTGAGGACAGCGGCCTTATTATTATAGACGTCGAGATAGTTGGGGGCACTGAATATGGTCATGACGGAAGGGAAGCCCGTAGTTCGAGTCTTTCGATACATGCGATACCTAACCAAGAGTCAGGTTCATCCGTGAGGAAGGGGTGGATAAGGAAACATGCCCTGCATCCTGTGCTTCATGTGCCCGTATTATTGAAAGTAGGTTATTTCGCTCAAGGAAAGCGCATGCCGCCTGATATCTGGGTGACGGTGGAGGTAAGAGCGGAGCCGTCACAATAATTGAACTTCTACCGACGTGAAGAAATATGAACAGCCTCGCACATGGTTGTGCACAAAAGCTTCGTTCGTTTTCTCTGACCCGAAATCTTCAATCGGATCGGACCACAAAATATCGCACATGAGACCCTGAGTGGGTGGCTCGCGGAAGCGGTTGATCTGAGAAGATGGTCATCTGTATGACCTCAGAATCCTAGAAATGTTACTCACACTTCTTATGTCATCGAGAGTGTGCAGCTCGGGCGAAAGGCCACCATGAATACACAAGAATTGCTTATTCATGATTGCAGCAAGGGGAAGCGTGCAGAACGAGTCCATGCAGGCATCATATATTCTGTCGGAGTACTTATGCTTGCACTCCAACTTGAAGGTGAAGTAATCAGTCAAGTGTCGACATTCATGGTTGCCTCGAAGCAGGAACAAGGTGTCGGGATACCAAATCTTGAGAGACCAAAGGTATAGCACGCACTATATAAGTATCATGTCAGATAAATGAAGAGAGATCGGTTGAAAAACAGCCATTCACCTCGATGCTGAAATAACCTCGGTCAACATAGTCACCCAAGAACAAATATCTTGTATCAGCTGGATTCCCTCCAACCTCGAAGAGTTTCATCAAGTCGTACTACAATATGAGGTTAGACCTGTGATCACGAATGAATTCTTGTACACGCATAACTGACATATTGACCATGAATGTCACCACAAACTGCAATTACCCCTATAGATCAGTAACTATCGCCACACCGAGAGCTAGAGTCGAGGGGTACGAACCTGTTATCGGAGCATCAACTTCCAGTAGGTTTGGCTCGCGTCTCAGAAGGTCTGTTGCCTTCGTGATGATATACATCGCCTGCTCTTCGGTCAAACGACCTTCTCTGTAGAAGTGGTTCTTGAGGAATGCGATGTCCGGTTTTGAGGGATCCACTGATGAGAAGAACTGTTCATCAGTAGGCGTAAACATGGCTGGCGCCTGAACCTATTGACGCGGAAGAACGGAGAGCCCGAAAAAAAAACACACAATGTGTGTCAGCAACGCAAGTCCATAGGTGACGAGCAGCGGTGACCTAATACCAACCTCTTTGACGACTCGTTCTTGTGTGCTGATCGTGTTTCCATCCTCCAGCTGGTGAATTGTGAAATCGATCGGAGGTGCAGGATCTTTATGTTTCTTCTGGATCTGGTTTAGCGCTCTTTGGAGTTGTGCGTGATTGTTCATTTTGATAATGTCGGATGTGAGGTTACAGGACTCCTCTCAGTGATAGGTTAAATTTGGGGAGATCGAGGTAGCTTCTGCAGCGCAAACGCGTGCGCATACAAAGGCGAAAAGCAGCAGAAGGTCAGCGTCAAGATGAGCTCACGATGAAGCCAAGACGCAAATCGAAACTTCGATGTGGAGACGATGAGAGACAAGGTTGGCCTCGCAGTGGCTACTCACGGAGTATGTGGTTGGGCTACGACGTTTGGATCAAGACAGACTACTGAGCGTTGAAGCTATGACGGATGCAAAACTGGCTCGCTCAGTCATCGCACGGATTCGAGCGTACATGAATATATTTGGGGCCACAGCATTGATACATCTAGAAAACATGGAGATGTTTGTGCCTCTGGGAATACGACGCTGGAAGTTAACGATGGACAACAATGCACCGGGAATCAACCTAAGGGTGATGAAACTGTAATCAGAAAACAATATTGGAGCAAATAAGGCCCGAAGAAAATCAGTGAGCCATATTTATTTCATCCTCTCTCGCCTTCGCGGCTAGCGCTTCCAAAAACGCAAATGCCTACAGATGCATCAACGATTCACTAGAAGAATTCGCAGAACGCGAACCTCCGTCGCAAAGTTGATGACTGACAGTGTAAACGACGGCGGAGCACCCCTCAATGAATGGATAAACTCCACATTCATCACAAACAAACACAAGGGTAAAGCCGCACTCACAAAAAAGCGAAGACAACGAGTCTCAACGCGCTAGATCATTCGGAAGACATATCTATTACAATCTACATGCTATGGGTGTGTAAAGCCTGTTCCATCACGGCCGCCAAGATCTAGAAAGGAAGGGCATTGAGTAAATGATAAACGAAAGCCGTGAGTCAACGAAGAGAGGGAAAAAATAGGTCAGGCTGTTTCTGGTATATTTTTGGTATCCACAAAGTCCGTAGACTTCTCGGCAGCAGAACTGTGTTCATCACATATATATAAAGTGCTTGATCGCTAACTTACCTGGCAGCCATTGAACCCAGCTAGAAACACCATGTCAGCATGCAGGTAATTAATTAAGCAGCGACACCATTACAACGACGCACTCAGGTATCAAGATGTCCTTCAGACGATATCAGACATATGCTTGTCTTTGAGAAAACATCATAGGATAACTAGGCTTAGAAACATACCTGGGAAGAGTGAACTAGGTTTATCCTAACAGAAAGAAAAAAAAGGAGTATCAGCACTGGCCCAGCCCCCCGAAGAACCAACCCAAAAAGCTCTGTTGGTAGTGCATGTAAAAAAAAGTGTCCATGATATTGCGTCACAAACTTTTATGTATGGATACATATCTTCATAGATAGCAACACACCAAAACACGACACTCACCCGTCCATGACATTTCGATAATTCTGACTGCGAAAGAGGAAAAAGCTGTAGAACAGGACATTGCGCCCAAACCCACCCAGACTGCCACGAAGGGTGACTGGTTGACCGAAATCTGAGCAGAGCGCACCCAAGTCCCATCCACCTCGCCAGAGGGAGCTGCTCTCCAGCAGGCATTACGACCTATGATATCCTCAACCCAAGCCCATCCGTGAGGTGAGCGAGTCAATCATCAAGGTGCTTTTTGTTGCTGCTGTGAAAATATAGCGTTGTGGAAGGAAAAGTGCGTTCGACGCTCCTTTTATATCCCACGAGTCAATTTGCTTCCGGGCCACAGTCCTGCATTAGTGCACGATTCACCTTCAACAGCCCGCAAGGGACTACTGGAGTACCAGCGGAAATCTCTCTGGGCCATTCTGTTCATTTCAGGCACCTAAAACGCGACTCAGAAATAACAAGCATGCTCGCAATCAGTCACTTTGAACTTCGGCACCACAAATGATGGCCCTGCATATCACCTTTCAAGTCCTAGTCACTAGAGCATAAGAGAGGCGTGGTGAGCCTCGAATAATCTCGTTATTCAGCGACGCCATCGTTTGTGGGTCGACTCGATGTTTCATTTTGCGCATAAGGGTGTACCAACGTCACCGGTTACTGGATTGTCCAGACTGCACTGGCGAGGTAACATTTGTCATGGCGGTCTGCTGGCAAGTCATCAGACAGCTTCTGTTAGGACACGGTAGCATGCCCTCCGCCTCATGTTCACGGACACATACCTTGCTAAGGCGTCTCCGCGGGTTAATCTCAAGGGGGGCGTGATATAGTAATTAGATGCTTCGGCTTTCACCATACGAGTCAGCGCCCCTGAAGCACGGTGCAGCTAGCGGGGCCAGATTCATCTACAATAACACCCCTTGTGAGTTGGGCTCGAGTCACAATACTAGGTGCTTTCGCAGAGACCCCAAACGGCATCGTTCGGTAGATTACTGCTGGCCGAACTACATGGAACCTTGGATGCACTGCTTAGAAATATTCTACGGTGACCCTTTGGAACTGTGTGGACCGATTGATCAGACGCAGTAGGATGTAGTTGATGTCAGTGTATAAAAAGTTAAGGCGTGCAGAAGGGTACTCGTACTCCTGCGTAAAATTGGGAAATCGCAGCTCAAGATCATGTTGCGAGACAGCAATGGTCGACTCGCCATTGCCTTATTTATCTAGCATAGTCTTTTGTTCTTCCGATCTATTGGTTGCTTTATTCATTGTCACGCTCGTTTCATCTCACTACGCTTAAAAGCTCGACATTCGCTTCAACACCCTCAGTTCTCTTTGCGCTCTATGCTTGAGACTAGGTTCGTCACTTGTTCATTTTGGGTCTCTGCCTATTAAGTGCTGTTTGACATTAGTTATACCCAATCTAGTTCACTTTGCGCTCTACGCTTGAGACTGAGTATTAGTCCACCCCGGCTAGAATAACTGCAATCCTATGGAGCGTGTACGTTGCGTTAAGGTGCAACACTGATGTTTTAACCCGTGAAATATAACGCGGGCGCGAACTGGCGGCGGGGAAAAGGTCTAAGATAGTTTCAAAGTTTTGATGATGGGCATTGAGATGAGCATTCTCCTGCCCTACCAGTGGCTGGAATTATGGACTGAACGGACAACAAAGAGGCTGTGCGAGCTGCCAGCTCTCAGAAGCCAAGTTGTAGATACCATGCATATTGAAAGCTGTCACGGCGGAACGCTAGTGCTTTCACGATAGTGACGGTCGGCTCGTGACATCAGACCCTGCAATCACGGTAGGCAGGATAGCCTCTACTTGAAATCATGGAGGGATTGTCGTCATCGTGAACTTACAGCAAGGTGCAAAAAAATCGGCGCGCTCGATTTGGATAAATGACCCTGAAAGTCACCCATTTGGCCGTTCGTCCGAATCGTTTTTTTTTTGGCACCTTGCTGTAAGGAAGTCGACAGATGACCAAGTAGAAGGATCCGTCCATCGAGCTCGAGGAAGCGTCATGTTGGGACCTCGAGACCTTGCGGCACGGGTCGTAGGGAAGGTATCGATGTGAAAAGCGAATTGACCATTGCGTTCGTCGTACACGCAAAAGAAAACGGAAAACAAAATAGAATTTCAATTATTGCACTCACTCCTCGCAATGTTCCTGTTGCTCTCAGCAATGTCTCATTATCCAGTTGGGTCAGAGCGTAAAATGGACAATGAGGACAAGCCTAGGTTCCCGAACAAACCTGCGACACTTTGGTGGTTCGGAGGCACGTCGGGCTGCAACCATCAACAATCGCCTAGATATGTGTGCTTTTATAACGGTTCAAAAGATGCGCATTTGGACCAGACACTTGATCCCGTACCGACGAGCTAGGCGGCGGATGGAGGACGATGCGACAAGACGCTCTGATCTGTACTAAGGTTCGAATAGTTACCTGACATTACGACGACTGCGCGTGGTGGACGGACTTAATTAAGGATTTGCTAGTCCAGTGCCAGGCTACTTTTGTTATGAGGGATCCCCGGATGGCCGAACTTGCAGCACCTAATAATTTTGATTTTCATGCAAATATACTGACTGTCCCAAATCAAGCAGCACATTTGGGTTTGTGTGCACGAAGAGCTGGTCATTTCCCACGGAGTGGCCATGCGGATTCCCACGGCAAAAAAAAAACGGACCGCTCTGGAACAACTCTGGAAACAAAAGCCTCGCAAGCTCGGCCAATTGCTTGGAAACGTTAGATGCTACATACGATTCTGTGCTAATTAGTAAGCAGTGGATAAGTCATGGTGACCCCTCTTCGAGGAAAAGACATGATGTTAGTATAATCTTTCGTTCTTATATAATCCGATCTATTCGTTGCTCTATTTTCATGTATTCATCGCTGCGTCTCACTCCTTGAACAGACGACGCTCGACGTTCGCTTCATCGACGCCCTCAGTTCCCTTTGCGTTCTACGCCTGAGACTGAGGTCCGTCTCTTGTTTTTATCATGGTCACTCGTTCACTTATTTTGTGTCTTTACCTAGCACCGTTTGACATTAGTCCACTACCAGTCTACTTTACGAGACCTGGATAGTGCTCGTTCTTACTACAGCGTCGGAGTGTCTCCTGGCGCCATCCAACAGATCGCCATCGGGCATTGACTTAAGAGAGACATGGCCTTGCGGCAACGTGGCACATTTCCCTGTGTGCTTCAGGTATGGATGGCCGGGTTGAGGTTTTCCAGTAACTATGGCCCTGCTAATAAAGTATTACGAAGTGGGCTTAGCGCCGCTGACATACTAGGAGACTGATATCATATATTCCTAAGAATTGGGGTGTCGGCCCAAACTCCGATGGCGCTGCTAGGCCGGGACCGACACCCGCATGTCCCATCATGCAGTATTCTAAGGTGTCTTCTCGACCTTCATCGAACTAAAATTAGCATGTCAGGGGTTTCGCCCTGGTGGTGGACTGTGGCCTTTGAATACGCAAGTGGAAACTGCAGGCAAATGCAGGACCATCTCCTGCCTTGACCGGATATTCTGCGCGCGTAATAGGATGAATCAGTGACAGCGAACAACACGAACAACCCTCCTCCCTCAGCCCGAGTTGGGCACGTCAGGAGGAACCAGGCGCCCCTGCCTGGAAAACGACCCGAGGGGACAAGCCGATGACGGTCCTTTCAACCCCACATGGCGGAACGCGTTTACTCGTTTTGGGTGTCAAGTCCGAGCACAATACCATGGTCATGCGTTTGACGCATGATGGAGAAACATTCGCAAGAAGATGGGCTGCGTTTGTTGTCAATGGCAGGATCTGTGCCCACACCTCCCCCCGGAGCTGATGTGTCTGGGGACATGACCACTGGCAAATCAACGCTAGTCCATTTCGGGACACATTTCGAGTGCCGATCGCATGGGAAAAACGTGCAAGGAAGAGAGTGGTCAGCTGGGGATTAGACACGTTGCGACTACTGATCCGCACCGACCGCGAGATGAGACATTTTGGAAATGCTATTGATGCGAGATTCGAGAACGGAGTTGAATGGGCGCGCTTTTCTCGTAATCCATAGAAACACCGGGGCGGTTGTGGCCCCCCTTCCCTTTCACATAGTTGGTTGCGGGCAGGGGAGCGCCAGGTTTTCATAGGCAGTTGGACACGAGTCGCGCGCGCCGTTCATTGTGTGAACCAACTCAACTCGAGCGTCCTTCTGGGCCTGCATGCTCCCGATGGCTGGGAAGGCAAATCCAGTCTCTGGGTGGGCCAAAAATGTTCCAGGCCTCTCACATCAGGACCTTCCCCCGAACCCAGCCACGGTGGCGTGCGGGAGTTCTGATCGCCACGACAGGACTTCGTCAGTCTTTGTCCATGGAAAATACCATCACTACAGTCGCATCATCCCCCACCAGGTTTCTCGCCCATTTCATTCGAGGGGCTTAGCCTGTGGACGACTTGCGGAGGGTATTGCTGCCCAGCATCAGAGGAGTTGCAAAACGAAATCTTTGTAACCAGGCAACGCGCAAGGCGGGAAATGACGATATTGGACAGATGAGCCAATGCCTCAACGGCACAGGGGATTGGTCGTTCTGCAAGTATCAAGATATGAAATGAAGGCGGATTTGTTGGAAGGTCCGACAAACATGTCTTTGTTTTCTGGCCGCCTGGACGGAACCATTCGACAAACCAGATGAAGGAGGCGTGAGGGTTGTGCTGGAGTGGCGAGCGGAGGCATAACGTGTATGTTTTAGTAGTCGGAGATGAGTGAAGGGGACCGCTACGGAAAAGGGGGATGCTCGTGCCATTGTTCATTCAACGGATTATCTAGTAGAAAAGGGTTCAGGATGCGGACTGTGAAGGCAGGAGTGCTGGGGAACGAGACAATAGAGGTACCAGTCGAGTACCACACTAACCAAACTGTTGCCAACCCAGGATAGGGGGTACAAGGCATCACATTCAAAATCGCAAAATAGTATAGTACCCAGATACTTCGTATTGTATGACCTTTCTAATGCTAGTACCTTCCGGTGTTCTAAACTCCGCTGGGCACGCGACCAGATGCAATGCACCGCGAGCCAATTTCCATACCAATTTGTAGAAATCCATGCCTACGATCCGCGGATTGTATGCCGTGAACCAAGTTCGGGGGATGCGGCTACTAGTTCTTGCCACACATCATGCAATAGAAGCACTTCTTACGTACATTTGGCCCATCAAAACAGAAAATCGGGAGCAACCTTCCTTATCCCCTTCTCCACACGTCCGTAGAAGGCCAGCACTCGGACATGCCCTTGGTCCGTGGTCTCACATAGAGGGTTGTACCAAGTGACCCGCCTATTTCCTCACACCCTGATGTGAGCGTTTCCCAAATGCAGAGGATGTTGCTCCCAAATTGCCCCTGTGTGGGCTGGAGTATTGCGGACTCCACGAGAAGCTTTCAGAAACTGATAATCATGTTGGTGTCATCGGAGACCTAGCTACAGTGTTGGTAACGGGGATCTCTCTCGCCATAGGCCGGGAAGAATTGAAGTCCTCCCTGAGCAACTGAAGGTGGGGTGGGGGGCCGCGTTGCAATGAGGGCTGTTACGTGGCAAATGACAGAAGTCCACCGAATCCTTGTCTGCGCGGAAGAGACCGAAAAAGCCTTGAACGTCTGAGTCGCGTGGGTAGAACACACTCACGCTAGCAATATTGCTTTTCTCCCGACTCCACCGCAGACGTTCTGTCGTCGTGTCAGCGGCATGTTGGAGGTTCGTGCGCGACTACCTCTGAAACGGCCTCGTTCCGTGCCCACGTCCTGTGTGACAAGTGGTGTATACGATTCGTGAGTGCGCGAACCCCTCAAGCCCACCATTGTGCAGCAGCGGGTACGGGTGATTCAAAATTGTCAATGCTCAAGTGACTACAGGACTAAGCCCCTTTTGGTGTGACCCCGAATTTCCCAACAGGTATGGACGAAGACGTGGGAGACTCTAGTGGTTGGTCAAGGGATACTCGGGGAAATGCAGAAGTAATCATAGTGAATAGGCAATACAGGAGTCACCATTACTGCCTGCATTTGTTAATGAGAGTCGGTAAGTTTCGCATGGCAGATAGAGAAAATTGCATAAAAGTACGACGCGAAAATCCATCTTCCAAGGAGATAGTAGTACTATCCGGCACAACCAAACCACGTGAATGCCAAGCTCTGCAGGGGGGGACATGGCGTTTTGGATCGTTGACTCAGAGAAGATAGACATTCAAGCTGGCGTCGCGTCGAAATCTCATGACAACACAACGGATCGCATAGAGGCTAGGATCTGCCAGATTGGCGGTCTTCTCGGCGCTTTTTCAGCTACAGGCTGTGCGTAAGTTACGACAAGCGCGGGCTCCTAACCACGCACCCAGGCAGCCTTGCAATCTGACGCAACGATCAGCCACGTCCAATCTACTAGGCACAAACACTAACCGCGGTACTTCTGAAATAGATCCAGGCACTTGTCCCTGTCATAATTATTCTAACAGTTGTCTAGGACGGTGCAAGAGGATTGAAGAGTGACTCCACTTTATCCAAACACGTCATGGATGCCTTTGAAGCCTCATGGCAAGGGCTAGTTTCAACGTAATATCAATGCATAAAAAGGTCTGGCACGGCGAAGACAGACAAACTCGATAAATTGGGAATCGACGGCTCGTCCCTTAAGTGCAATCGCCAAGAGTGAATTTCGCTGTTGATGGGCTTTTCAGAACATACTTGAAAGGCAAGTTTATAGTCAATATTATTCTTCCCATTTGCGCTAATGTCACTGGTCATTGAGAATGAGGGTCACTGGAACTGCGGGGACTGGTTTCAAGGTTGTGGCCCTGCGACAATGCTCGGGCGAGGCGTGGGAACCTGTGTCCATTTGCATCCGATAGCTCCTTTGCCCTCATCCTCCAGGCATCACAATGGTGGGTTTGCTGTGCACCTAGGAACCATTCCGCACATCTCTGAAGACTGACAGTGACCATGTTATGGTGCTGAAAGTCAAATGGAACCGATTGGTGGAATGGTTCTGATGGATGCATGATTTCGTGTTTGGATGCACTTTGTTGATGATAATTTCCATCTTTGCAGACCAAGGGTACAACGTCTTTCGGGTCCGTCGAACCTCTCAACAAGAGTTTTTCAAGGCGCGCCTAACTGATCCCCTGCTGGAATTGTAGTAAGCGACACACTAAATCACATGGTATATGCCGCCGATGCGGTAACCGCGCATTCCACCTCCAGCACAAGAGTTCGTACATGTAGGATAATCACAGGGATTTTTGATACTTATTCATGCGTGGTGTTACCATCTAGAGTGTGCCCAGTGTGGATACCCATGTGCTAGACTTCGCAGCTACAACTGGAGTGTGAAGGCGAAACGCAGAAAAACCACCGGAACCGGGCGCATGGCTCATTTGCGGGATGTTCACAGGAGATTTAAGAATGGCTTCAGGTGTGTCAATGATCTGATTAGGCCCTGTCATTGCTCAATTTGTCCTCTTCCAGAGAGAATGGCATCGCAATCAACAGAAAGAGAAAGAGTTCGTCGACGAAGACAACGGAGGCTCCGAGTGGCACATCAGCGTAAATTCTGATCCCATTTTTTGCTCGCATTCTTCACAATTTACATAATCACCTGCGCCTTTGCTACCATCCCGCAATATTGTACTTGCATGTCGTTTCCTATGCACTACTATGCATGACTGGATAGGTATATGGCATGCATGAGATAGTTACTGTGCGTATTGGGGTCTAACACTGGCACCTCTTCAATAGGATTCCTTGTGAGAGTGTGCGCCCGGAGTGTGTAGTGAGGGCAAGGATACCTCCTTTGCTGAGAGCCCCAGCACGCGGCTCACTAACGACGCCATGGGTCACAGATTCTTCTATGCCACATAATGGGATTAGTGTATCATCGAAGGCCATGGTTTGGTGATGACTAATTCCTTGGAGACCATGTTCATCTGGGCAACCCCAAACATTGCATCTGCCTCTACAATTTGAGATTCCATGTCGAGCCCAAGAGGATGGCACTCTGGCCACGTATAATCGCAGTTGGATGTGAATGCTAGAAGTCTGGAACTAAGACTGGGTCTAGGCAAGTACTGCCTGTTCCAGTTATCTAAGCGTAATCTGATCAAGAAAGTAATTGAGTTGAGAAGGCATGAAATTTTGGAACTTATGTATTCTCACCAACCAGTTCGTGGCAACCTCGGATCGCTGACCGAATAAGTGGCCTTAGCGTTTGTTGAGTTTGAACAAAACCCGATCTTCAACCCATCAAATTCGCCGGTTTGCACAGAATATGAGATACTTCGTGCTAGGATAAATAATGAGCCGCCCGAGATTTGAAGTGTCTGCGGACAAGCCCGCAGCAGCGACCAAAAGAAATGTGTTGTCAATATGCCTGAAATCGGTATTTCGTTCATTCAGCCATCTGAGACATTCTTAGATTAGATTGGATAGCCTCTGGGGTTCCATTCATTCCACTGCATCAAGATAAGGTCTTGACAAGTCGATGATAACAGGCCGCTTGCTGCGGCTATTTCCGAAACTTGATTTGTGTCAAAGTGACATGTCAGCCTCGTTTTTAGCGAGTCATTGAGTTGGAAGCGTAGCAAGTACGAGGCACGAAATTAAGCGGAAGCGCTGTAAGTGTCTCGGATCGCTCGCACACGCAGGGACGTTGATGATTGGGAATCATGTGGATTTGAAGTCTAGAACATTCAATGTCGCCGCACACTAGTGAGCTGCGCGGAAATAAAACAATGAACGCACGACTCCCCGCAAGGGTCTTGTGATGATACAGGCATGGTACGATATCAGAGGCCACGCTGGTGAGGCATATCAGCGACCCAAGGTCTCGAACTCTGGATATTTATCAGTGACCTTTCGTGATGAAAGAAGTTCTAGCCTGAAGCGCTATTATCGCGACAGAGGCACACGGACACGTGTGCGAGGTGAATTTGAGCGGGAGCATGCTCGTAGTAGTATTAAAATTATGCCGCAAATGGTGTTGACGGGCGAAATGCTTCCGTACACGTGACCCTGCCCCGTGGGGTTGGCAGCTTAAGACATATTCTCGGCTCACCACCACTTCGCATCAATACTGTAGCTTTTCGTGGTCTCGAGATGATCGGCAGACTTCATTTACTGGTAGATTTTTCCTAGCCGTGGGCTCGTGTGGTGCCGCAAGTGGAAAGTATCTGGGCGGCGTTCAACATCGAACTGGGATGCGAGAGATCAGGGGGATCCGACGTGCTCCTCCCCCGCTATTGTAGATACTACGTGCGGCTAGTTATTTTAGTTAACCGCTGAATCCAAGGATGTTGGGCAACACGCTATTGATCTGTTCCTCAGTTTCAATCTTGGACTGCCGAAAAATCATGTTTGAATTACAAAGATGGAGGACAATTGGTCGCTAAGGTAAGTCGGTCCAAAAGACAAGACAAAATCGACAAGAGACCTGGGTATCCGCCCAAGGCATTCGCTTAAATGCCTCAGATCTTTGTTAAGCCAACAATAGTCCTGCTATTCGTATCGCGCTTGTAGCGCCTGCCAAGACGGCGCCGACTGAGGATATGTTTGAACGAAACGCTCCATATCATCTGGAATCCGATTAATATCTATAACACTCCAGTATCGGGCTAGGACGTATGCAATGTCCGTCGCATCTTCGGCTTGTGCAGAGCTGGAAAGGGAGATGATATTGGTGGCAGAGCAAGGTGTCCACCACCGAATCGGAATCGCATTTAGTACCGTGGGGGCGGAATGGCTAGGAAATAACACACGCACATTGCCCATGCTCTGATCTTCGCCCTTAGAAATTCTGTTGCTGAATAAGAGTGGGAAGTCAGTTTGCGGTAGCAACTCAGTCGACTGTGCGGCTTCAAGGAATGTACTGACGTGAGAGGAACGGGACATCATCGAGTATTTGAATTGTAGTCCTATCAAGAGAGATCAATGCGTTAATTACACATGTGGATGACGACGGATCACGCACTGGTTTAGCTGGCGCGGTCCTCCCTCCCCGGCCTGAACGATCTCAATCTGAGAGGGTCACGAATGCATCAGAAACCCTCTAACCAATAAGACGGATAGGATTGGGACTTGCCTCCACTGGGGGGATGGGCTCTGCATAAGTTGCGAACATACGATTGCTCCAGGTCGAGGACACGGTGGTAAAATTCTCGACTTCGTTTAAGGCATCACGGATGCTGAGGAACCCACGATCCACAATGCAGAACAATTCCTGATTAGATGAAGAAGCTTGATGCGTGAGAAAGGACTGCACACAAATTATCGAGGCTTACCTCTGTGTCGCGCGGTACGCCGCTGAATGTGTCGATGAGTCCAGTTAAGCATCGCCAAAACCAAATAAGGCCTCACAGGAGAGTTGCAAGGAATCCACCATGAAAAGCATGAGCGACCTCAGCTTGTCCGAGGCGATGCGAGAGGATACGAGCTGCTTGAAATATTTGATGTCTACGAGACATGTTGGATGCGACGCGACAGTGAAGCGAGAAAGCAGGGCGAGTCGAGAATGAAGGACGCGTAGTAGGGCAAAATGCACGTCGTTCGTGGTTATCACAGCTGCTGCATCGCTCGCAATGCAGACTGGGTGGACTCCGAGGGTCCTCCTTTTATAATCGTGACAGTGATTCGCGACCGGGACAGGGCAAGGAAGTGAATTGACAAACCGTGAAGCATTTACGAGGTATAAATCAAGAGCTTTTAGCAGTTTGGAGCCAGCTAAAGGAGGAGCTTCTGGCCATTATGGATCAGCTGATGCAAACAATGGAAAGAAACCGACTGGTGAACCGATCATGGTTCGCAATTGCAAAGATGAGGGGCGGGTTGCCATACGAGTTTAGGGTTGGAGCTACAGGCACCGTGCCAGCCAGCTCCTGATATTCTTTAGACCTGTGCTTAACGCAAGGCCAAATCGAGTTTTTGAAAATGGGATCCCGATGAGAATACTCGGAAGCCTGGGCGGCAAGTTGAACTTGTGAGCGGATTCTTCCTTCCGTGGTGGGAGTTCCCAGGCCAAAAGGGATCCACGCAGCACGGCGAGCCTTAGTGCTCTGTAATGCGCAGAGTGGGCTCAACCCCTCGACGTCCCGGTAGGAGAATAAGCGCCGACAGGCCACGAGGATCCCTATTAGCTATACACGGGTGCATATGACTTGCGTGCACAAAGGGAGAAGAAACCGCGTTAGCCTCTGCCGTAACATGTAAGACACAGAAGTCGGCTGGGAATGCGGGATTACCCATCAAGGCGCGCAACTTTCCATTGTATTGATCACGTATCCAACGCGTCCACGCTCAATCGGCACAACCGTCCTGGATCTTGTTTCTGCCTCTGTGCATGCAGCGCAGTGCGCATGGTTTTTCCCCGCTGACGTTATGTCGATATGTAAGGGGATCGTCAGTCCAAGGGTGCATTTCGCGCTTCTCGTCACGTCCACGAGGCTTTGATGCCCCAATCCCTCAATGTCATTTGTTGCGTCCATATACTCCATTCCGGGTCCCCGCCTGTCATATGCCTGGGCCGCTTTCTCGGCTATCCAATCTCAGATTGTTTTGGCGAAAGAAGGATCAGACATACAGGACCACGCTGCCACCATCCGATGAAGAATCAGCCAGGGATCAGATCCTTGAGAGGGCCTTGAAAGGCCGATCATCTTCTGCTCAAAACCTCCTAATGCGATGTAAATGTCTTTTGGGACTTGTTTAGTAGTCTCGACAGAAAGCTGACTGGAAACGCTACTCCAGGTACTGTTCTTGATTCTTCCGGAAACGTTTCCCAGACCTCTGGCGAGTTTAAAAAGTCGGATTTGTCCACCCAGCACAGTTTACATGTAGGCCATTTTTGTCTGCGCCCTGTCCAGCGAGTACTAACAATATAAGCAGCCCCGGGATTTGCGCAAGATAGACTCCCGTATTCCTAACCTAGTACCCACCATATTAGTTCGCAAAGAAGCGTTTTTGGTACGCAATTATTAAATCCCTGTCAAATGGCTTCTAATTATTCGTAGGTTAACATTCTTCATATTCGTGCATTAGTCAAAGCTGATACGGTCATTTTGTTCGATTCTTATGGTAGCACTGATTCACGTCTCCACTCCGTATTCTTATACCACCTTGAGGTAAGATCAGCCGCTATTCAGTTGTCATTATATCCCCATATCTTTCGCATATCAGCACAATCTAAAAACAAAGGGGGCTGGTCTGCCCTATGAATTCCGGTTCGTGATACTGCATTTTCGACACTGATCGCTCCATCTCACTTTCGTTGTTCGTTTTGTGCAGAGCGTTGGAATCCATCCTTTTATCAGTCTCCTCAGCACTTGAGGCGGAAATGGTTCTCATCCGCCATCTAGTTGGTGGTTTGCTTTCAGAGCTGGAGGACGATATAGATAGAGATAAATTCAAGCGGTTACTGCATTACTCTCGACGGCTTTCCAATTTCCAAAACAGAGCGAAACTTGTATGATGTGTTCCAACCTTGATTGTAGTTTCTGACCTGACTCTGGTCCAGGTGCAACTCGCGATTGAAGAAGTGTTAGAACAAGGTTCGTACGACACATCGTGCGCGCACACATGACCCTTTGATCTGTGTTCACCATGTAGATGAAGACCTTGCTGCGATGTACCTCACAGACAAAAAACAATCGGTACTCCGAAAATTGAATGAACACGACGACTTGGAAGTCCTTCTGGAATCCTTCGCCAAGCAAGTCGAAGAAATAGCAAATGAAAGTGATAATATGATTGTCAGTGATGGCCAAAATCCGTTATGCATCTACTGATGTTGTCCTGTAGAGTAATGTGCAATCAACTCAGGAGATTGTAGAGCTGATTTTAGATTCCAATCGGAATGCTCTGCTCGCTTTGGATCTTAAAGTATCCATTATCACTATGGGCCTTGGTGCAGGAGCATTAGGCGTAGGTGCTTTTGGAATGAACGTGAGTTGCCATTTACGAACCCATAGACCTCGTTCACTCAACCCTCATTACAGCTCCAAAACCACCTCGAAGATAATTCCGTTGCGTTCATTGCCGCCACAGGGGTCGTAATCAGCTTCACCGTAGCCGTTACTGTCATGGGTTTGCGAATGTAAGCGAAAGTTTCCTACGGCTCTCACGGCGACCTCACCGGTATTCTGCAGTCTATCAAAGATTCGCAGAGTTGGGCTGGGGTCTGCACAAGGAAATAGTGTGACATCAGGAAAACAGATGGGAATGCTGGCACGTCTTCGATACAGGGCTAACAGCCCAGAGGGGAATTGGCATTCTTGAGGTGTCCTAAAGGAGCCATGTCTTACCCGTCTTGCCAAGGAGAATGTATTCACGGCCGGTCTACTGGCCTATCACCCCTGTCAGCCGAATGTATCATTTGAATCCATCTGCATAACAATATTAATGCTGCTTCCCTATTACATTGCCTACTGTCTTATGTATCCACCTGACCGAGTGGTGTGTACTCGGTACGAGGTGCACTCCTTTACAAATCATGATCCTCATTCATGATAAATTGATAATTGAAGGAAATTCCCCGTTTTAACCCGTCGGTGAGAATGTTTCAATAACAGCCCTTCAGGACAAGTGGCGATCTATCCGCACTGACAACGATGCAGAAGCAGTGCCCTTGAAACCCACGAGATACCACATAGTACGTTGTTACAAAGACTTGACCAACCCGATATATGAAAGAAACTCCCGCCACCCCGCTAACCACCGCAAAGCATCACGATCTCCAAAAACGATGAGAAGTGATCGGGCACGCGTCATGATCACTGTTATTCAAGAGGTCAGCAGGTTCTAGGAACAATTCTGTGGCAAATTCCCCGCACCATTGAACGCACACAAGTCGTTAAATTTTTTGGTTAAATCTGGTATATACTCCCGGACGACGGTGGACACAATGATCACGTCCCGTAACTACATTGATTGCATGTAAGGCATGGGATTTTCGCCGCGGCATATAGACTTACCTCATGGCCGTACGTCTCCCATGTGCCAATCTTAACCGTACTTAGAGTCCGACGGCCAGCGCTTATTTGAGACTCCATGAGTTTTTTGATAACCTGGCACTGAGCCGAGCAGGTCGAGATAATCCCAATAGTTGTGGGATCTATAAAGGTCATCAAGCGCTCAGTTTTCAAGTGGAATAGTCTCAATTTACCGAAGCCTTCATCCAGCAATGACATCACTTGTTGAACCGAACGTGTCGCCTCATCTTGATTGATGAATGAGACGGAAAAATCAGCCTCATACACGCTTTCGCATACGCCTAAGCACCAATCCGTAAAGATTGAATTGATTTGGCAGATCGATCAAGAATTACCAGTCGTGTGATGTGCAACAATAGGGAAACCTCGCGAGTTGAGGCCACTCCAATTGTCAAACTGACAGAGTGTTTGCGGGTTGCCGCATGCGGCCAAACGGCCGGAATAGAGGACCATGTTCACAATATTGAGTATCTTTGGATTGAGGGTATAATTTTCTGTCAGATGCACAAAGCTCCATTCGGCATCGTGAGGAATTTATGCTAGTTCTGGATGTATTTGATGACTTACTAGAGAGAGGATGCGGGTTCCTGAGAATATAGAGATAGGCTCAAAAGCCTCTGAAAGTAGGACTGATCGATCCCAACGTTCTTGCCGATGCTTGACTTGGATCGCCCGTAAAAAGGGTCTCCAAGTAAAACAACACGAGTATCAGCCCCTGTGAGACATTTTAGGGGTATCATAGCTTCTGGCTCGCCAATTTCTTGAGCCGTTGGAAGGAAAACATGGGTGAAGTGTCCATCAGGCAATCCTACTCCGTGAAGTAAGAACGAAGTAAGGCACGTTGTGACAACGAGGGGATATGGTTGGATCTGCCAGCGATCCATAGCTGAGCATCGGGGATCCTCATCGTAGTTCAGCACGTTGCACCCGGCCTGGAAAAACAGGCCACAGAGATCATCAGCATAGAGTTGATCGTGCGTGCAGATGAGAATGCGTAGTTGAGCCAATTGCAGTAGCTCTAATACAGCAGTTATGAGCACGGTAGTTTCCCCCGTCCCAGGTCTTAGGTAACCTCTGATCAGCACAATGCCAAAGAGGGGAGAGGAAAATCTTACGGGCTTGAGATGATTAGTGGCGGAACCGCTGGAGGGTGCCGAGAAATTGAAGAAACAGCAAGGTACTGAGACGCCCCTAGCCAGTTTCCACGAGGTTGCATAGGGATTGATTCAAAGTACCCCTTGTTTGAATGAAGCAGGGAGGGCAGTACAAGGCGAAGATCATGTTTCGCTATTCTAATTGCATCATGCACACGCCTGTATTTTTCCAACTGGGATCCGCTCGGTCTAAACGAAAAGCTCTATTTATTTCCACGGTGCTTATTGGAAGGCGAACGGACCGGGTGATATCTTTCTCTTTGTAGAGGAGAGCGTCCAGGAATCGCTGGTATTGCACAGGGTCTTCAAAAGAGTGTTCAACTGATGAGGGACTATGTATCATTGATGTCGAGGCCCTTCGCGCGGAGGAAGAGTTGACATCAATATTAGCCCACTGGTCGTGCCACATCCTGGTGTGAAGGGGCCTGAAATCACACTGAAGCAAGATGTCACATATTTAGCTACGCACATCAAAATTGCGTCCAAGAATTGAGATGTCACTAGACAGCTATTAGCCGTGCGCCGGGCCCTGGAATCGTGTGATTCGTTCGCTGACCAAGTGAGCGACACTGTTTTTGAGGAAAGACTTCAACTGGGGCTGCCTTCAGAGTTAAAGCAGAAGTAAGAGTAACGAGCAAGTTCTCTTCATTGAAGGGCAGCCCGCGGCGAAAATTAGGGTGTTGTGCACAGACGACACGGCACAGTCGTGTGAAGTCAGTCGTGTTGGGCGTGGGGCAGCGATCAGCAATCCAAGGCCCCACACGTGCCTTTGACCCAAAAAGTCTTTCGACATGAGTCATTTCGTCCCTTACAACGCAAACGAAATTTTCCTTGAGGTCAGCCTTAGGGGAACTAAGCGCTGACTGTGGGATACCCACAGAAATGTCAGACTCGAGTGATCCCTCGCCCCCGGAGACGCCGGAACTGATGACGCCGCCAAATCTCCATCAAAACTCGGCTGATCCATCCGCAGCTTGGCTCGTCCAGAAGTACGGCGGTACCAGTGTCGGGAAATTTGCTTCGAAGATCTGTGAGGAAATTGTACCGTATGCTTTAGCTTGTTGACGCCCAATCCTCCCATGTTTCATGCTGAAATTTTGCCCTTAACAGTATGTACATGGACCAGCATCGCGTGGCAATCGTATGTTCCGCCCGGTCGGGATCGACTAAAGCGTTGGGGACGACGAACCTTCTGTTACGGGCCGCTGGGGAGGCACTGAAGCGTTGTCCGCCCAGTTCTGGAGCTGTACAAGGGACTATTACGCCATTCGTGGGGAGGCCAATTCGTTCGATGTCATCCGCAGCCGGTCCGAGTACACGATCGGTCTCGATTGCTGCAAGCAGTGACTCCTCCCACTCCTCCCCGCCAAGTCTTGTGCCGTCAACTCCCTTAGATCAAGTTAACGATGTTGTGGCTTCCGAAGCATCGGACCCCTCCCCTCGTTCTGTGCCACTATCGACATTCTACAAAATGAGCACGTAGTAGCAGCCCGAGAAAACGTTCGGGACTCTAAATTATTAGGGGAATTAGAGGCAGAGATCGAGAGGGACTGTGATACCCTTAAGAATTTTCTGTCGGCAGCGCAGGTTGGTATGCTTTTCCACTTCCCATGCAAGGTGCTGATGCTACATAAAGGTAATAGATGAAATTTCTCCACGGTCGAAAGATAGCATTATAGGGACTGGTGAGAAGCTGGCATGTAGGCTAATGGCAACGATACTTCGTGACAGGGTACGGAATTTTCCTGCGAGGCTTCTGCAGTATTCATTTGTGCCTAGGGAATCGATTCCGAGTATATTTCCCTGGAAAACATTCTTCCTAACGATGAAGGGGACCGCTTCACTTTCGGCGAAGGTGATCAATTGGACCAATGGTTTTATGATCGGTTGTCTGCAGTCATGGGGGAGAGGATCAGACGCTGTGGATCAAAGGTACCCGTCGTCACAGGTATGGTGCCTTGGCTATACCCGTCGTCCCAAATTGATGCATGTGTTTCCAGGCTTCTTTGGTCCGGTCCCCGGTTCCCTTCTGAGACAAATCGGCCGCGGTTACACAGATCTCGCAGCTGCTTTGCTGGCTGCAGGACTAGAGGCATCCGAGTTGCAAATATGGAAAGAAGTGGATGGGATATTCACCGCAGACCCTCGTAAAGTGCCCACAGCCCGCCTGATCCCAATCATATCACCGGAAGAGGCGGCCGAGCTCACTTATTATGGAAGTGAGGTCATCCATCCATTCACTATGGAGCAGGTGAGCCGTAGTTCCTTTGATTCCCCTTCTGGATTCAACTGCCTGGACTCTATGCTGCCAGGTCATAAGACGAGATATACCAATCAGGATCAAGAATGTGGAGAACCCACAAGGTGGAGGAACGGTAATCCACCCCGATCCTGACGAAAGCCTTGAATTTATGTCAAGACTCCCATCCGGCTCTGTCACTCCCGAAGAGATATCCGTATCGCGAGTACACTCACTATCATCGCCCACGTCCACCAAACATCGGAGACTTCCCACCGCAGTAACAATAAAGGAGAATATTGCTATTGTCAATGTGAACTCAAACCGGAAAACGGTGTCTCGCGGTTTCTTCGCGAAAATATTTGGACTGTTGGATAAATTTGGACTCGTAGTCGACCTCATCAGCACCAGTGAGGTACATGTTAGCATGGCAATGGATGACTCGCTTGAGAAGCGGTTATTTGACCGTTTGCTACAAGAACTGTCGAAGAGTGGATCTGTGCGTTATTCTTTCCTTGAGTGTACCGCCTTCCCTAACTCACAGGTGTGATTGCAGGTCTCCGTGCGCCGGCGCATGGCAATCCTGTCGTTAGTTGGGAAGAAGATGCATCATATGATTGGGATATCCGGTCGCATGTTTACCGCGTTGGCTGATGGTAACATCAACATAGAGATGATAAGTCAAGGCGCGTCGGAAATAAACATCTCCTGCGTCATTGATGGGCAAGACGCCGTGAAGGCTCTGAATTTGATTCACCAAACTTGTCTTCAAATAAAGCCTGAAGGTGCCAGAGGCATCGGTAGGTGTGTAATACTATACTCTTTTCGTACTTCACTCAGAATATCACACAGTTGGACAATGGCTGTTTTAGCTTCTCCTTTGATGTTAAAAGAGTTAGGTGGACGACAAGGGGAAATAGTGACATTTGATGTATGTACAGCCTTGAGCAGTATCCCATTCCATAGCAACCCACACGTCTCCCTCCGACACAAGTACTGTGTGATTGGGTTGATACTGTTAAAGAGAGGCTGGTCACCTGCCTAGTTGACACTGTGGCCGATACTTTCACATCAGCCGCTATCGTGTAAGCGCCGACGGAGGGAAACAATACAACGGTGACACCCGCTACAATCGAATCCTGTGATTGCTTCTCGACCCATATCAAAGTTCAACTCAGCGCTGGCGTCGAAGGAGGAAGAACTGCGACGAATCCATCGCGAATGGAGGGCAAGTACGTTGGTCTTCTCCTAGCTTTATCCGGGACGATCGGTATTGGAAGTAGCTTTATAATTATAAAAAAGGTGGAGACGTTCAATTGACATGCCCGTCCGTCTTCCTCATATTCGTCTCTTATCGTTGTAGGGTTTAAATGATGCTGCCTTGAAGAGCTCGTCTGCGGCTAACGCTTCGGATAACTTGTCATATCTGCGGAACCCCATCTGGTGGGCGGGAATAGTCACAAGTGAGTGTCTCCGGTCTCCGCTCCTGTTGGAGATGAGTGCTAATAACTTCCTTCGGCAGTGGTTCTCGGGGAAGGTTCCTACAGCTCATGGGCACCAAACTGCTCGATCACTAACATTTTGCTTCATGTCCAGTTGCCAACTTCGCTGCGTACGCATTCGCCCCTCCCATTCTTGTCACGCCACTTGGAGCCTTAAGCGTCCTCATTGGGTAACAGTCACCTCTCATTTCGAGTGAAATACAATCTCAAAGACCGGAATGTAGTGCCATATTAGCGTCGCTGTTCCTTGGAGAAGAACTAGGACACCTGGGTCGCGTGGGGTGTACACTTTGCCTTCTGGGTTCATTAATCATCATTCTGCACGCACCTGAAGATAAAGAAGTACAAACAGTAGATGAAATCCTTCACTTCGCTATACAACCAGGTGTGTGGTGCTATGTTGTAGGAACCAGGGAAGTACTTAACCGCGTTGTAGGGTTTTTGCTGTATTGCTTCACCGTTCTCATCTTCACCCTTGTAATGGTGTACCGTGTATCACCTCGCTACGGAAAGAAAAGCCCGCTGGTGTACATCTCCATTTGTTCGCTGGTAGGATCAATATCTATTATGGCGATCAAAGGATTTGGCATAGCGATCAAGCTCACTTGGAACGGCAACAACCAACTCACGCATCCTAGCACATACGTATTCGCTATTGTGGTAGCAGTCTGTATCATGGTTCAAATGACCTATTTCAACAAAGCCCTCGATACCTTTTCAACGAACGTGTGAGTAGAATCGCCCCACTTCTTAGACTTCTGCTTATTCGAGCTCCAGTGTAAACCCTATATATTACGTTGGATTCTCTTCGGCAACAATCATCGCATCCCTCATCCTATTTCGGGGGTTCAACACTTCCGACCATGTCAACATTGTTTCACTCATCGCTGGCTTCATTGTCACATTCCTTGGGGTACATTTACTGAATCTCTCTAGAAAACCCGACCCTCCACCATTAGGTGAATCTGGCCACACTTTGTTAGAGGGAGGTCTGATGAATCCACGAGTGAGCGTCACTGCGCGATTGTCCGTCGACAGTAACTGGTCAGCGCATGGAGGGCCGCCTTGGTCCGCTGGCCACGGTCGAAGGAGCAGCCTGTACAGATCACAAGATGCCCAACTGCATTCTGCATTTGATGATGAAGGAGTGGGCCTCGAACTTCTGAAGGAAGAAGATGAAGAGGAGGGAGGAACGACAGAACAAATGCACATTACTTCGGGCAGGCCTGGAGATCGTGATTTCCCCTTACGAACACTGAATGGGACGGCTAGATAGTACTTTGTTCCCACAATATATTCTGATGGACGGTGTTGTTGTAATTTATTTCACTTATCTGCTCTTAATAAGCATGCGGACCTCCCAGGACCTTAACTAGGACTTTCAAGCCCGATTGAGGTTGATGTTGGTTTGTCAACGCTGCACCAGGGCGCCAGCTGGCAGTGTTACTCTGAGCCACCAAACCGAAGCGTCTCCAAGTGACCCTCCGATTCGGCATGATCCGAACAATAAGATCCTCGATCGCATGGGTGGTCACAAGGCATTGTAGGCCTCGCAGGTTCAAAGTGGACGGATCCTTCATCGTCAGGAAAAAGCTCTTACATACCACAATGGAAGATGAGCAAACTACCACGGGCTCAAAGCTCGCGGCGCTGAGACGTTTGATGCGCAAGGACGAAAACGATGTGCAGACTTAGTTCGTGGCTTCATGAATTGTTGCATGAATGGTTGGCCGTTCTGATGGTCGATCCCCTGGTTTTGCGTTAGTATCGTGCCGTCAGGAGACCAACATTCTAGCGAGTATACTGCCGACTGTGATGGGAGACGTGCATTTATTTCGAACTTCACCGGAAGTGCCGGGATTGCGGTCATAACGTTGGGCCAAGCCAATCTGTTCACGGATGGGAGATACTTCCTGCAGGCATCCCAACAACTAGATAGGCAAGTGACTTGATAGTGGCGAAACCAGGTGCTTAACCGACTTGTGAAGCAATTGGACGCTCCAGAAGCAGGGTATCAAAGGTACACATTTCTCCCGGAGAACGACTCGTCATCAATCACATCTAAATGGGCTTTTATAGACGTGCCAACGTGGCAAGAATATCTTGAAAAGGTTCAATCTATTACTCTTTTGAGATGCAGCCCTCAGACTGAATATTACGCAGAAAATTCCCCACCCTAATCGTGTTGGAGTGGACCCAAGGCTATTGCCCGCCCGTGAGTTTTAATGGGACTACAGTTTTCATTCGCGCCCTACGCGGTCTTACGGGTAACTCATGTTGTTCCTAAACTAGCCGAAGCTGAATCCCTATCGACGAAACTTAAAATGAAGGGCTCCAGTCTAGTTCCTCTCTCCGCGAACCTTGTGGACGAAGTCTGGGGCTCTTCCCGTCCGCCTCGACCAGCATCACGAGTTTTTGCTTTGACTAACGATTACACAGGTACAAGATTCGTATATGTAGCCCATCCCCCTTCCCGTTGACCAACGTATCTGTTCAGGCCGGTCAGTGGAAGAAAAGCTTAAAGAGATCCGTGAGAAGTTGAAGGAGTTGGACGCGTATGCGGTGGTTGTCAGTATGCTTGACGAAGTGGCATGGCTTTTCAATCTCCGAGGCTCAGATATTGCTTACAATCCAGGTATTTTCTCTCCGTAATCCCGGCTCGTTTCGTTGATATATGCGTTTCGGCATTCAGTGTTTTTCGCGTATGCCATTGTGTCAAGAACCGATGCGACACTTTTCATCAACGAAGAACAGCTCGATGAGAGCGCACGGGCTTATATTAAAGATTTGGCATCTATCAAACCTTACGAGGACATTCTCGCCCATGCCGCATCCTTATCAGAGTCTAGTTTGGAATTCAAACAAGTTCGTGAAGCGCACGAGTACCGATTTCCTGGTCGGTGTCTGATTCAGCGATTGAGCAGAAAATACTAATCAGTAAACTGGCAAGCTGGGCCCTACTCAAGGCAATAGGGGAGGTGATAGCATCAATAGTCCCACAACGACACCCATTGAAAGTAGAAATTTGCAGGAGGAAATTTCCATCGCATCACCAGTGGCGGATGCCAAGGCGATTAAAAATGACGTCGAAATAGAAGGCTTCAGGCATTGCCACATTCGAGATGGTGCAGCACTCGTGAGTTACCATGATACATCGAACCGAAGAAGGCATTCGAATCTTCCCCAGGCCCAGTACTTCTCATGGTTGGAAGAGCAGATTGCCCAGGGGGTGGAACTCACAGAATACCAAGCTGCCGAAAAACTTGAGGGGTTCCGATCGTGAGCCACTCACAAGCTGTGCTCATTGTGAATTACAGCTAACTAGCTGGTTGGGATGGGATCACACCACAGCAAGCTAGATCTCTACAGGGGACTTTCTTTTACCACAATATCTTCTACTGGACCAAACTGCGGTGGGCATTGCAGTATTCCACGCTTTAGAGCGCCACTATAATGTACACACTTCTTCAGCGATCATCCACTATTCGCCTGATCCAAAAGAATCTGCAGCCATCAAAAGAGATCAGGTACGGACTATTCGAATTATGGGGCCTCTATTCTCAGGTGATGATTGCCCACACAAAGATTTATCTGTGCGACAGTGGAGGTCAGCTGTTCCCATCTCCTGCTTGGTCAATGGAAATACCGAATTTTCAAGGATTTTAGCTCAATATCTGGATGGTACCACGGATGTCACTAGGACGTGGGTATGTTAGAACGTGCAGAATTGCGATGGAGTCGCGCTGACTCTCCGGGGAACCTCACAGCACTTTGGCACACCTTCGTCAGAAGAGATACGCGCTTTCACCCGTGTTCTTCAAGGTCACATTGCTATTGATACGTGTGTTTTCCCACAAGGTCTGTCAATTCTTCTTCGGTACACTGTGTGGTTAAAGCTCATCGTTTTCTGGCCAAGGAACATCGGGTTATCTTATGTGAGATCGCGTTACGGCTCCTTTACCAATAATCCAATGCCATTTCAGTGACGCCTTCGCCCGGCGGGCGCTATGGAAGGAGGGACTAGGTAAGTCAACACACTCTTAACGACGCCCCCAACGTTGACTCTCGACAAAACAAAGACTACAGGTATTTAGCAATTATTTCTTGGTTGGTAATAGGTATTCTTAAATTAGTCAAATAGGCATGGGACTGGTCATGGCGTGGGCCATTTTTTAAATGTTCACGAAGGGCCCCAAGGTACGTAAATAGGGTACTCTTCAACTACTTCAATGCCAAAATATGCCCCTGCGGGAGGCAGGAGTTGGCACGAGGATAGCTTACAACGAGACGCCTTTAAAAGCAGGAATGACCCTTTCCAACGGTGACGATCATTTGGCTCCATTCATTACCAGTTAGCTAACGCTTGCTGTATAGAGCCCGGCTACTATGAAGATGGGAAGTTTGGAATCCGAATAGAAAATGTTGGCGTTGTGAAGCCTGCCCAGACTCCTAATCAGTTTGACGAACGCGGCTACCTCACATTTGAGCACTTTACCATGGTTGGTGTATTGTTAACTGATTGCTTGAATGCTTGACATATTGGCCATCACAGTGCCCAATCCAGACTAAACTGGTTGACGTATCTCTTCTTACGAGCGAAGAAAAAGAGTGGCTGAACGCTTACCATTCCGAAGTATACGAGAAGGTGTCTCCATCATTACAGAAGATCGGGGAGGCTCTCGCCATTGAGTGGTTGAAGAAAGAGTGTGCTGCGATTTGACACGTCCCACTCTCGCATAAAGATATGTAACAAAACGGCTTGGCTTCACAACAATTGTTACAATGATATCGCAGCGCTTGTATTACATTGTAGCCCTTCGATGAAGGCTGACACATGGCAAGGGGCAAGTAACGAAGTTGATTAGAACCTCAGCCAGTAAATTTGATTAACCTGTATTGCTCTCGAATTGCCAGTCATTGAGTTCCTGGGATGAGGCTGTCCTCCACTTCATTCGCCAATGCTTGCGCCTCCTCCTCTCCTTCGACCAGCCAGAGAGCCAGTTTCAGCGATTCTTGCTCCACGTTCAACACTGACTCGGCGCCCCACAGCCGCATTGTTACTTGTATTTGGTGCATTCCCTTGGCCTACGGAGTTCCTCCGACTGATGCTTGGGGACAGTGAAACAGAAATGCCGGGCGAGCCTACTGAAGATGATAATGACGGTGGTGGTACGGAGGGATAGCTAAGTTGGGGTGCCCCAAGAGGTTGGAATACGAATGCCTGAAGAGGGAGGGGGGAATTTGATGAAGGGGGTGTAGTCGCGTGAGTATTGTATGATTCGAGATCAGGGGTTCGGAGATTTGGGGGCGAAAAAGTGAATGGGGATGATGGGAGTGATGATGAGGGTGAGTTTGTGGCTGACGAAGTTGTGGAGGTGGAACTAGAGGCTGAATGTCGTAATGGTGTATGGCCGTTCGTCCGATGGATAGGAAGAGGTCGCATTGCTGTGGAGGCCACGGTGCGATTGCCGTTGTCGCGGTGGATTGGAATTGGTGTGGCTCCGGTTGCTCTATTGGGAAGGCTGGGGTTATAGTCTGGGGACGAGGCTACTGATGATGTAGTAGAGCTGAGATTGGGATGGTTGACGGCCTGAGGACGGCGGTGGATAGGCTGGGATAGAGATTCGGCGGGGGAGTTGGTGATGCTTGGACCTGTTAAGCCGATGAGGCTGTCTACGGATAAGCCGAGCTAAAACACGTATTACTAGGTCAAGGCAGTATGGAAATATAGCCTGGGTGCGTACTCTCCGTCGATGTTCAATGAGTTCTTCCCTGTAAATATCGTTAAGCCTGGTGACTCTGACGTAGTCCCGTTCCATCTCGTTGCTATCTCGAACACGGTGAGTGAAGTAGCAAGGATTAATCTTCGGAGGTTTCTTACACCCGGCGCCGTAGAGATTCATTTTCACGCCGCAACGCTTCCAGAATAGCATCTGGATCAGGATATCGAGGGTCCACGATTGGGATGCTTCTCGAAGTGGATAGAGCTGACCGGTTTGAGGTGGGTGGAAGAGTGGATGTCCCTGCGCCGGACGTTGACGCTTCGCCTTGCGTGCTCTGCTGCTGCTGCTGTTGCTGCTGAGCTTGTCTCAGGGCGGTCAACTGACGAGACAGTCGTAACACCTGACTTTCACTCTCAGCCTCGAGCGTGTTCTCAAGCTGGACCTTTTCGCTGCGAAGCTAAATAAAACATGTTTCTGTGAGGACACGGTTGTGGATCGCAATAGGTCTTCGGTCGCTGACCTGCTCAAGCTTCCGCGACAGTGTCAAGGTTATCCGCTCTTGATCGGCTTCGAAGGCGTTAATGAGCTCTTCTTCCCGCCTCAGAGAGCCTCTACTGGCGGACATTGGGATGTTGGTGGGGAGTGGCCTGAGAAGTAAACGGGGCGAAACCGACATGTTTTTAGCGTTCACGGTTGTGACTGAGGACCTCGTGCCCTCGCCAAATCGGATGCATTCTCTTCCCAACCAGCGCCCATTACGGGGGTTGCAGCTGCCTCAAACTGAATATTGTAACATCATTTTTGACTACAGCCCTGCAGGGGCAAGATGCCAAATTCATATATGTAATACATGAAACAGTACAAGATGATATCATGTGTTGGAAAACGCGCGATGAATCTGGCGATGGGCTAGACGACAGGAAGTAGTTGCAACATATTCGTATCATTACTCATCTCAAGGCGAGAACTACGAACATGATAGGCTGTGACTACTTGTCGTCTGGTATGTCCCGATTGTATTTACAGGATGCGAAAAGAAAAGGCCAAATTCTTCACTCTTGATGTATGGACACGCCCCGAAGTGATGCGAACAGGGCAACGTGGGGACACGCCCACAAGTGAGTCGATCATAAAGTGACCACATATCAAAGGCGTGCGCAATGTCAGCTTCTTGAAGCTGGCACAGATGTGAGTGCGGAAGCAACAACCCGCCCGGCCCTTTGCTGGATCCCATGGTTCACGCACTGTAGTCGAGGACTTTGTTCGGGGAGTGACTTTTATTAATCTCCATGGTGAGAAGGAAGCAAATCAGATCTTTGCAGCCAAAACGACTCTTACACATGTTAATTTAGGCAGCCAGTCCATGAAAGGCAGGTCCTTCACTCAGCTCCAGTATTGGGACACAACTGTAAAGAAGGGGGGGATCTTAGCGTTCAGTCACTTGAGGATTTTGACGACATGAGAAGCCCTAGACTGTTCCACAAGGCCATATGGAGGCCAAATATTTGTACATGAGACGGCAACCAAAGTTCAAAGGCACACGTTTGGGTCAGCACAAAACGTTGTAAGCCAACGCGACATCCCGTGAGTAATTCAGCGGCGGTTACCGGCTTCATGATCACCCTTGATCAGTCATCATAATAGAATGGCAGCTGTGCTCACCTAATAAGCAGCCTTCCTTGCTCACACCTCCTCTCGTTCTCCATCATCTCATCCACCAAGGCTCACCGTACCGAAAGGTCTTCACTAGATAACTTGATGAGCGAGCGATGGTCCGAGCAACGCTTCTCATCCTCTTCAACAACCAGCAATAGTCCTTCGGACCCATCTCATGATCAGGCCGTCACATATACCACAACATATACACGATACCTCACTCCACCTGCCCCAGAACCCTCCCCCCTGCATCGGTCATCCAAGCAAATCTATTCAAATAGCCGGAATGCAACAGAAAACCCGCACATGGGAGATGTTCGTCATGCTTTCCAACAACTCGACACTAACTCGCAAAACACAATTCTTGCTGAACTATTGTCTTCCTGTACCATCGAGACGTTGGTTCACCTGTCAAATGTCATCGCGCCCCGCATTAAGCGTGATTTTCTGAAAGATCTACCGACAGAAATTTCCTTGCACATCTTGTCATTCATTGATGACCCAAAGACACTCGTACGAGCTAGCGCTGTTAGCAAACACTGGAACTCACTTCTCATGGATGAATGCATCTGGAAAAACATGTGCGGAGGGCACAAGTTTTGCTGCCCACAACGTCTCAAGTCGCCGTCTGATGTTGGAGAGTGCAACTCTCCGCGAGCACGAATCGTTCGCAGGCTAAGCTTACCGGATGTCAATTACGAGACTAATCTGGTTGGAGAAGATGATGGTTGCGGTGGCAGCATTTCGATGGACGAAGACGACGAATTCCGTTATGGTCATCACACAACACCTGAATCTTCGCACGCCGCCCTGGCCGAATTCAAGATGCAACTCGATCGCAAGGACTCGGGGATGTCCTTGGTTCTTCCAGACACACCTGGTGACTCAGATTCTTCAGAGCCTGCGCCTCCCCAGCCATCGGAGTGTATCGAAAAGTGTGCAGACTCCAAGCATGCTCAAATTGAATGTGCCCCTGCCATGGGCGTCCCATTCGACTCATGCACAGCATCAATTGAGGTCCAGGATGAGGCCGCGCCGCCTCCAGCCAGTAATACGAAAGGAAAAGAAAAGCATGGCTCGCTTCGGCGTACTTCCGCTCCTTCGCGACAAAGGCGTGCTCAGCCTCCTTTCTTGTATCGACAACATTTCAAAGTGTCCTATCTCACCGGTATGGATCAGTGGTCGTGCACGTGTCTAGCCCGGACCTGACAATGTTTAATCTTCCGTATTTCTCACACGCTCGTAAACAACAAATGGGTTCTCAGAAATGAACTGGCGCCAAGGTGGCCGTCTTCTCCATACACATCATCCCCCTGGAGATGGTGTAGTGACAAATGTGGCCATCGATAATGAATACATCCTCGTTTCGCTTACGAATGGTTTCGTTCACGTTTTTTCTTCCAAAACGGGTGTATTCATTCGAGTCTTGCATGGTCATAGAGACGGTGTTTGGGCGTTGCATTTGGTTTCCAAAGGGGGGAAACTCACTCCGCCACCCTCGCAGGCTGGCGATGAGGGACGAGCGACACCATCAGCTTGTTCCAGATCAGCTTCCCCAAACCGCTTACGACCACCAGTGTTTAATGCCGGCGTGAAAGGAGCGAGTTGCATTGCGGATCTGGGCCTGACTCCCCTAGTGATCGGGGGCGGAGTGCAAGCCCACAGGTGGATGGATGTTGTCATCATTTGTCTTCCAGCACGGGGAAGACAGGAACATCGTTTCGAGAAAGTCTTGGCTTGGACACTACTCGGCCCAGTGATGTGTGCAATGCGAGTTACGGGTGGGGAAATTCTCATGCTATTGCTGTCACGGGCTCGTGCGATCGCACCGTGAGAGTATGGAACGTTCAGACGGGGTAAGAGATGAGTTCTCCATTCATTCGGTGTTGGTTTACCCACTTTGAACCGTAGTTATTGCTTGCATGTTTTGAAAGGTCATGCATCCACTATCAGATGCGTCAAAGCTCTCGACGGGCGTCCGATGGCGGTTTCTGCCTCACGCAATGGGCAGTTGCGTGTATGGGACGTTGAGAAGGGATACTGTCTCAGAATCTTACAGGGCCATGAAGGCAGCGTGCGCGCTCTAGATGTCGTTGGGAACGTCGCTGTTAGTGGCAGCTACGATTATACTGCCAGAGTGCGCCATTTCACTTTCAATACCCGGTTTCCATTAATCTCACGGTGTTCTCTTAGCTATGGAACGTGGATACAGGCGATTGTATTCATGTGTTAAGGGGCCATTATCGTCAAATCTACTCGGTAGCGTTTGATGGCAAGTACATAGCCACAGGAAGTCTTGACTCGACCGTTCGTCTGTGGGACTTTGACACGGGCAGATGCCTCGCGTTGCTGCAAGGGCACACCTCTCTCGTCGGCAATCTTCAAATCATCGATGGCGACCTCGTCACAGCTGGCTCTGACGGTCGCGTCATTATCTTCAACATTAAAGATTTTCAGACCATCCAGCGCGTATGCGCCCACGATAATTCCGTCACTACGATGCAGGTTGACAAGTCGTACCTCATCACAGGCGGGAACGATGGTTGTGTGAAGCTTTTCGAACGTGAGACGGGGACCCTTGTGAGGGAGTTGACGGAAAAGTGTGATGCGGTGTGGAAGGTGGTAATGAGGAAGGACAAGTGCGTCATCATGTGCAAGCGAGAGGGCAAGACGGTGGTTGAAGTGTGGAGTTTTGCACCTACCCCGGAGCAATTGTGCACCACTTAATAATATCAATTTGAATCAATGCCTACTAAAAAGGGGTTAGACAGTCTGGACTGGATTGAGTTCTGTGGTTCAAAGATTCTCGGATAAAATATTATGGCGATGGATGAGGAGCTCACAACGCGCGAAAAGAAGTGGTCCTTACAGGGGTCGAACCTGTGACTTCGGCGTAACGAATATATTAGCACCGCACTCTAACCGACTGAGTTAAAGGACCTGACTCGATACGATGTACTGGGCAGACATATTTATCAGGTAAAAAGATAACGGAGGCCGTTATCCCATTGCAATGTACCTGGACATTCAATCCAACTCAATGTCCGATGAGAAAGTGGCACTAGCTGTGTCAGCCGGTAACCTTACCCGTAGCCCGATCTCTCTGTGGCGCCGGAATTTGAATTCCGCCACAGCATTTCCTCGTTGCGATAAGAAGGAACGCCCCGACCCTAGTTACTTGTGCACTCGGCAGGGAAGCTTACTCATCCGAGAACCCCACCGCCGCCGAGTCTCAGTTGCACGGCAATTTCTTGGGTTAGGATGCTGCTCAGCACTGACTTTCCGAGTAAACAACAACGACCACGATGAAAGTCAAACACAAGGTGGATATCCCTTTATCATTATCCTAAATCTACTGTGCGCGACTCTCGATTCTGGCGCACTACCATTTGAGCATGGCTGCACATGTGACATTGACAATTACGATTAGACAACATAGACGTTGTCGATTGTTTCATTGCAATCATTATCCATGATCAGCTTGACCATGGATGGTGCTGATACGAAGGTCACAGATTGTGCGTGTTTTCACACTCTCTCGTCTTCGAAGTTTGGGGGTCCCAGATCATCGCTTGATCGGAGGATCCATAGAGCTACCATAGAGCCCCGGTGAACGCCCGTTCTATCGCTGGGCCTATTGGGTTCCGTAGGATTCATGGAAGAATGCTGAAAAACGGTGTTGGACTGTGGAAGATATTATCTTGTGGTTCGACGATTTTGCGCACTATTGATATTGTCCCGAATGTACGTCGTCCATCAACAGTACAGAGGGTCAACGACCCGCATGTTGTGACGATGAACTGTTTCATCCGGTACCTTAAGGGACAATTACATGATTCCCCGGCCCTTTTGCCTGAACGAATGTGTGCTTTGGCACAGTAGCAGCTAGCACTTGGGCTCGTTGACGGTCTTCACGACTTTTCTGCGACAACGTTGGGGGACCCAGCCAACCGACCACAAATCAGGAGAATTAGGAAGTTAGAAATATGGCAATATCTAAGTCATAAATATGATGGCGCCGAAATCTGATGGCAGCGACTCTATATCCTGCATCCGTGGATTCAAAGGGTCCGGACACTGAGCACCTGTAAACATTTGCATGTCAATTATTAGCACCTTGATAGGGGGATCACCTTTATAAATCAGATCCCATCAACGAGTAGTACTTAATTGGAGACACCCAACACCGATAGCACTCAATATCAGTATGTACTTAGGCGATGTCCATCAACCTCGTGCCCCCAAGTAGCTGGGAGAGGGGATAAATGTATCCGCTACTAGTCACCAATTTTATCGCAAGGGTGTCTGAATTCGGAAATGGTCACTTCCACTCAAGAAATCTAGAGGTCAGAAGCGGCAGGCGAGACCATTATTTCCCGCTTGTGACTGCGGGAAGTACATACCACAAACCGTTGCCGCAATTGACAGTCAGATTGATGCGGTCCGATTCGGGGTAGAGCAAGTCCTAGCAAGATCTCTGTCCGAACATCCGAATATGCAACATCTCACGTCAGCTTAGCTTTCAGGGTGGTTGGAACTGTTTTATTACCCCGCAGCCCCGTTGCCACGTGGCAGAGCCCATTTGGGTACACCGAAGAGGATCGTCAGTACAAGGTGGGACACTGGCCCGGTGTGTAGCGTCGTATAGCTGGTCGTCAGCTTCATGATGTCAAGCATGAACAGACACGCATTCCTTGCTGAATTGATTTTCCTCTAGTTTGGCCGAATTTATTGTGTCTATGGTTTCCTTCAGTTTCTCATCGGTCAACGAGGTCTAGTTTACGACCTTCATGTAACGGAGTTATCCGAAATTACATTGTTATATCGCTGTATTCTGTAGCCAAATATATCGTAACTATGGCACTTGAGCAGCGCTTGAGCGTCAGTAGATCACTATCGCATCTGCTGCAGGCTTGGTAGCCCTATTGAGGACACAACCCTTACCGTGTATTGATAACCGTCAGTGCATCTGACGGGATGATTGGGCGAGTTTGCGAGGCGTTTGTTCACCCTTTCTGGAAACAATGAAGGGTTTACCAGTAATCTTTATTCATTCTCAGTTTCCTACCGACGATGCTTGCCAACCGCTTGCGATCTATTGTTCATATACATATACTTTTGGGAGCTGACCCTTTCTCATTACTTGTGATTATTGCCTGCTGGTTCGGGGGCTTCTGCACAGCTCACCCGAGTCGCTTCTCGCCTTTGCAAGGACACAGAGCGTCGTTGAATGAGCGGAGGACGTGCCCTCTTCCTGTTTGATTTTCTGTGCGCGGTCAGCGTTCTGGATAATTGCTCCGCCACCCAATTGCCTTGATTGTTGTGCAATAGTCCGGAGGGCTGCACGGCAAGAAAGTATGCGGATTATTATAGACTGATGGACCGATTACTTGGGTCTCATGGTCCATTTCTGGTAGGTACGCCAATGCCTTCCGGCCAAGGCTGGGAGAGAACGGCCCCTCTTAAAGGCACATCATCAATCACCTTCCTGAATTCCACTTCAGCCTTCACCACATTCCTTTCTTCAGCCTCCGCTACATCCACTTCTTCGTTGGAGACCCACGCTCTTTTCAACGTTTCAACGACTTCAAGTCCACTTAGCTCAAGCCTATTAAATACCAGTCGCAACACGTCCCGCGTGGCAGCTTCGCTGGGGGAATCCTCGACACAACGATCAATTTTGACCCTGGTTTCTCATAACACTACCCCTTCGTTAAGTCCAGCAGTCACTCAGTCCTCCACTGCTGTCCGATCAAGCCCTGAGAACAGCAGCAGGTGAGATATTGACTGACTCTTGTCACCATCGCAATCAAATGATGTTCCATTAAGACACCCAAAAACTATGTCAAAGCCTCTTCCAACCAGCACCAATCCTGCCAGTGGCAGGCTGCATTCATCAACGGGTTAGTTTTCCATCTTTGTATGATCCTTCCCCCCATGTCCTTTGCTTGCCATTGAGAATAAGAACATCGATGCTATCTTCAGTGCCATACTGACACCTCCACAATGACCCTCCCAGAATCTGCTCGATCATCTACCGTGCCCCTTTCAGCAACCTCGTCGTACACATCTGTTAGGTGTGATTGCAATTCATAATTTTCCTTCTACGTGCTAATGCGCCACGTTTGCTTTGAAACATCATTTCCGCGCCTCAATCATACGTTTTGGCCCCGGGACTTCTAGTACAGGGACGACGGCCACCACCTCATTGCCACTCCAGGTCCCTGTTCAGGATGCATCATCGTCAGTGATATTATACATGATGTTGAATCGCGTAATCATTGCGTCAAATACAGGCCCGTGAATGTGCGTGCCGTAGCAGGAGGTGTTGCTGGAGGTATAGCAATCATCTCACTTGCTGTTCTTGTTCTCCTGTCCTGTCTACGCAACCGTCGACGCCGAGGCATCAATCGACCGTATGATGATGATCCGCGCCCTTTGAGCTTGGAGCCTTCTCTCCGGGGACTGGGGATATATGACGACAGTTCTCATACAAGCTTGCCCTCGCTTTGGTACCAAGACAACTTTTTCAGCCAGAAGAGCGAATATCCTGAAATGCCGGAAATCCGCGAGAATTACTTCCAGCCAGATACGCACGCCGGTCGAGACATGCATCGCCGAGGCTCAGAAGAAACCTCCGAGACTCTCTTTGCCCCTTGCCTCCCGCCTCCACGACGGGACTCCCTTCCAACCAATAAGAACGTCATGCCGCGAGTCGCCCGGCCTATCTCACCTACACAGAAAACTCCAGAATACACAAGCCCACCATCGCCACATCCTAGCGATCGTACTGCTGTTTCAGATCCGGACCCGTTCCATCCTTCGCCCCCTCCCACCCAGGTTATTCCCCCCATCAACAACGCTGCTGTACTTCAGGCCCCTACACCGTTGAGTGACCTGAGTTCGGATCCACAGGAGTCAAATGGTGTATTTGGGCAAACCAACAACGATAGAAGCAGCAACTATAATGATGGCGCTTTACCACCTATCCCCGTGATCCTGCGTCGTGCCTCGAGCTCCAAACGGCGATTTGCGAATACAGAAAACCCAATGCTTCAGAGGCTTATCCTAGCCCGTGCAGCGAGGGCACCGCCGCGGCCAGAATCGTCGATCCTTGGAAGCGAGTTAGGCTCGGTCGCTGAAGACGAAGACCCGGTCCAGATTGTTTCGAAGGCTATCCAAGAAAGAACAGTCTACAGAAGCACTATTATGACCATTATGTCGGAAGCCAGCGTGTACAGCCAAGCTGGTGAGGGAGATCCTTATGGAAGGCCACCACTTTAGCAATCACACCATAGCCTTGCATTGCTTCTCTCCCGAGACAAAATGTTGGACAGACATGGCACCTAGCAGATGGTCTGGCGTTCCAGCAGTCTGCACTGATCTGACCAGCTGCAGCTAGCACTCCCACCTGACATACGGATCAACTGCATGGAAATTTGTTTTTCCTCATTCCAACGATTCGTACAAGAAGACTATGATATTCATTTTTTTTGTTCACCCTAGCAAGTGGTGCATCATTGTGCAGAACAGTACAAAGCAGGTTCGCGCCAAATGCCTCTGGGACATTTTCACCTCAAACTGCCTCCCAGTTGATTCACTAAGTTGCCTGGAGGACCTGCACATGTTCAGGGAAGGTGATTGGATGCGCTATGCCGTAGGGAGATGTATGAACTTACGGCAGATGGCGTGAGGCCTAAATCGCGAAGGGTGTTCCCAAATTCATCCCTCGTAAAGACCCTCCTGGTGGAAATTGAGAGATTGTACAATTGATCAGAGGCTGTGTGAAAAAAAGACGTACCGAGGGAATGACATAGTAAAAGTAACGGAGTCTGCGCCAAATGACGGATTCTTCTCAGCAAAAGCTAGTGCAACGTCGTACAGGGCTAAAGTGTGATGAGAATATCATTGTTCTGCAGTAGCACTTCGCGTACTTTTGTCACTTGGGAAGGTGAGACTCATGGGGGGTCCACCGCCTGAACGAATCTTGTTTAAGGATGGGAAGATTGGAGTTCCACTCGTCTGATCCCTACCAAGTGAGAGCGCACCTGTAATCTCGTATCTTTGTAGTCAGAGCCTTTGAGACCAGAGGATGACTCCGTAACGGGGGCGGCAGGCTTGCTTTCAGGGGCATCGACTACACCTGCATCTGTCCATGTCTTGCCCTCTCGAAGCGCCTTCTCTTTTGCTGCCTTCTCCGCTCGTGCTTTTTTGTCTGCCTCGATTTGAGCTCTGATCACGGCCTTTGCTTTTGCATCTTCAATCTTGTCTATAGAAAAACGTTAGTTCACACAGTAGTGGCTCTGATAAACGTTATATACCTTTGCGCTTTTGCTCGACTTCCTTCTGGATCTGTTTCGCCTTTAATTCCTCCTGTGCCTTCGCTTGGTCCTATGGGAGAATCGGCACCATAAAGCGACGCTCTGATATTCAGGATCAACCGTTGTACCTTTCCAGCCTTCCTTCGCAAAGCCTCGTTAGCCTTCTGCTCCCCGGCGTCAAGGATAGCTTTCTTCTCTCTCTTCTCTGCCATCTTGGCTCGGAGTTCTTCAAGCTTCGCCTTCTTTTCTGCTTCCGTCAGTGGCTTAATCTGCGTTTAAATTAAGAACAAGTATCAAGTACAATGGATAAGAGGGTGGCTCGCCTCTTCCGTGGATTCCTCGAATTGATCATGTCCGGACTTCTCAGCATGGAAGTTCGCGAGGTCTACATTCTTGAATGTCTTTCCGCATTGGGAGCATTTGATGGACTAAGCTTCGTTATCGGCGCAAGTGTTCTTTCCTGGTATCAGGTAGGATTGTACCTTAGCTTCCGATAAATCGTCACTGGGGACGGCAGCAGGAGCAACGTTGGCAGTGGCTTTTCCCATTGCTGCTCGAATGGCAGCGGCGTCATCTTCATCCACTTCGTCACCGTCTAGATTCGGCCTAGAGTCAGAGTCGGGAATGGTTGCCGCCCCGAGAGCCAGATTGGGAATTGATTTGTCTTCATTCTCGATGATGTGGTCAAGCGCCTGGTATCACAGCTGAGCTGATGCCGAAAGATAGGATTGGGGACTTAACGGACTGGCTGAAGTCCTCGGCTTTGCGTTGCTCTGAGAGCCCCTACCAGTGGATTGCAATACAGGTAAGAATCACGCTTGGGATGCGTTATACTTGTGGCGTACAATCGACCCGGTCTTGGGGAAACCCCATAGCAAGGAGCTGGTTTCTGTCCGACATCCTTCCGATCCACTCCAGAATAGTACCACCAAAAGTGGGTGCAGTTACACAGGAACCGGCAAGTCCCAAATTCGGCTCCGGAGAAAAGGCTGGCGACAAATATTCTCACGGCGTGAGTGATTGCCCGAAACGCGATGGGCGTGTTGATGCTCAAATTTTATTCCTGCTATGCGATATGGTTCTTCTCCATGTTGACGACTATCATCACATCTGTTGGAGATCACTGTGGCTAATGACAGTTGTTCTTAATTATCTTAAACGTTGTGTTGATGCGAGATTTATATTGTTTCAATGTTTGTTTGTCATAGTGGCTGGAGTTCTGCCTACCCCCAACACCAATTGTTGTCATTGCCGGTTGTCGCCATAAGCGATATTAGCGCCCGTCGTATAAAAGACGCCGTGCGCTGATATTTTTTCCTCTCCTGAGCAGTTTTCTTATCGCACTTTCGTATACTCACTGTACTTTCATATTATAGTTCGCGCGTACAGTGCTTTATCTTTAGCAATATCACTCCAGTTACTCACTCCTTCGTTGGAAAGATCGAAGCCATAGTGCAACGCATGTCATTCTACGCAACAGTACTGGTACTTGATCAATCAGCCATGGGATCGACATAATATACTACACAGGTTTATTGATAGGGTCAATGAGACAAATTTCGACATGACAATACAGAAACTGACACAGTGGACAAATGGGAGAATTCTTTACAAATTGAAGCCAATACTCATCAGAGCAGGCTTCGGACTCAAGGTGAACAGGACAAGCTAGATCTAAGACGGCGGGGGAGAAGTGTAAGCATCCAAGGAACAGAAGGAAAGCGACTCACCATAATGTACAAAAACCGATAGAACAACACTACTTTGCATAAACGACTACTCAGCGGCCGTATTCACGGCAGAACTTCCTTTTTTCTGCCTTCTCTGCCCTCCGCTGAGCCCTTGTCCCCCCTTTGCTCCTCCCATTCTCACCGCATCCATGTTCCTTCCTTCCATATCCCGTCTCCCTCCTTTTTATCTTCAAAGTCTGACCGATTCCCTCTTTCACTCCCTCCGTGACATCCTTGACCAACGATTTCACTTCCTTCGCGTTTATTCTCCCAGCCTTCGCTTGCACTGCTACAGTTTTCTTAAAGCTTCTAAGAAATTCTTTACCTTGTTTCTTAAGCTTCTTCGCGTTGCTCTTGGCACGACCATGTCTGTACAAAGCTTCTTCACGTGTACGGAAGACAACCTTCGCGGTCTGAGCATTAATGGAGACCAAGAGGTCATCCAGTGCGCGCATTAAGGAAGACACGTCTTCGGCAAGGCCAGAGTAAGCGGTAGAAGACGGGGAAAGGTAGTCGACAATGGTTTCGCGAATCGATTTCGCATCTCGTAGGGTGAGCAGAGCATTTGGAGAAGACTTGCAGGGCTTGTAAGTAGAGGAAGAAGGCTCAGGAATCGGTTCGACCTCTTTCATAGGCCACTTTCCCTTGCTCCAGAACGACGGACCATCGATGAGCAACTTTGCCGCACTGCTGTCAAGAGTCTTAATGGGTTTCTCTTTTCTAGTCGATTCGCATGCAAGAGAACCGAGTTTGCGCTTCCTCCCTTGCGCGGTGTTCTCCATGGCAAGCCGGGTCGAAGAGGTTACTGAAGACAGAGAGATATCCTTCACTATGCTGACAGCATTCTTCAGGCTCAAAGATGCGGAAGTCGGGCTCGATTTATTTGACGGATAGGCAACGCTCCACAGTGAGCTAGTTGGAGTGGTGGTGGATGGCGGTAACCTGGTGGGGACGGTCGTGGGAGCCCCGATATATGTTGTTGCCCCGATGAGCAGTGCGAAAATGGAGACAATCCTGCAGAAGTAGGAGACACTGAGAAGTGATGTCAATAGAGAGTTGAGGTTTACGCACACGGAGGCAGCCCAACGATGGCCCAGTATATTTGCGGCATTGAGTATCACCTTGGGTACCAGTGCAACGTGCCTGCCTTCCGTGAACGCGCTCGCTCGGGCGCGAATAAAATGAGGACTCGATGGCTCGAGTTTCTCATCAAAGGCCTTACTAGCTGGCTCTCCGATAGTTGCGGGGGTTGTGGGAACCCTTGCCTCCACGATGACAGGGACCGTCGCATTGTTGGGTTCAGCGGTGGACCGGGGGATGCCTTCGACAAGGGTTGCCATTTCGAGGGAGGGAGAATCCTGGATTTGCTTCGGCAATTCGGTCTGGACGCACGCTTCCGGAATAGGGGATTGCGTGACGGTCGTGAAGATGTGTCCAATCGACTCATCGGACGTCGATAAGGGGTCAGGGAATTCCAATTGGATGCCAGAACCTGACATGGGCGTGGAAGCTGCAGATTGTGCACGAGCGGGAGCGGTAGATGGACGCCGCGCGGGCTTGGGAGACGTGACGAAATGCAAATTATGAAGCGAGCCATTGATAGGTGTGCTTGTATGGACAGATTCCGTAGAACGCTCCAGTGACCGAGAAAGCGCATCCATAACGATCGCATCATCGTCAGTGATCGTCGTCGCGTTGGATTCTACAGGTTTCGCAACCGCGGCTCCTTGCAGCCGCACTACGCCATGATTAGGGGTGATCGTAGAAGTTGTGACACCAAGCCAGTCCGTGTCCAGCAACGAAGCGGGCTCAAGCGTAGCTGTCTGAAACTCTTCTTCACTCTCCTCTATATTGTTAACCGACACCGCTCCCTCGCGTTCATGACTCCTCGTACTACCGGAGCTCGAGACGATGTCGAACTCGGAGTCCGAGAAATCGGATATATCCTCACTGGGGAGCTCAGATGTGAAAGATGACGTGGGGGACAACGTGCGGTAGTCCATAGAGGACATTGTTGGCAGCGATCGCGCAGGGTGAACGCGGCACTTTAAGGTGAGAAACAACTGCACGTGACGTCCCGCATGGAGATGTTTCGTCTCAAGCTACCCAATTTCAGTCTCGGCCATTTTGGTGATTTCGTTGTGCAATATAAGAGCCCCCAATATGGGTGCCTTGCAGCTTTCCAGGTCCTTGTCATGTCTTTCACTGCGCTCCCTTCGACTGACTTTGGTGGTGCCTTCACTTCCTATCCCGAGACGAAACCCCCGGCATACTCGAGGGATGTGATATCCACATTAACTAGGACCTCTAACCCGGACAGGCTCTATCCTGAGAGCAATATTGCACTCATAACATTCCCAGATCATGAGCACTTCATGCAGTGGCGCAGGTTCCTCGTGCAGGACATCCGATATGGTCGAAAAGGGAAAGCTATTGAACATTTGTGGGAGGAGCGAAATACATATGTTGTCTACGATTTAATGTACCCCGCTATATGGGAGGAGCTCGTATCTGACCCTGACTGGTGTCCCTTCCGCCAGTGGGGTCCTGAGAGGGTGCTCGAGGATCAGGTCTATGTCAGGAATGTCCTTTGGCTTCCCGCAGAGAGGAATGTTCCCTCTGCTCTTATTTCCGTAAGTCCTTACTCATCTCCAGTCATTTTCCAAACCTTGACTTTTGGTCCGCGTAGCCGCAAACTAGGCAGATGAGCAGGGTTTTCTCCTCACCTGCAATGACTCCGTTGACGCCCGAGTTTGTCGGTAGATTTAAGGCAAAGCCCACTCAGATTCTCAGGCTCGAGAGACTGGGATTAACCGGTTGGGCTCGCTCCCATAGCGCTAGCTCGGACGATTCGTCTACAAATTCCTCTTCATCGGCTGGACAGAGTTCCTCGGGGCTCCATGCATATGCATCACAATCCTCTATACGCCATCTAGGACCTGACCCTGCAGAAATTTTGTTGGAACAGATGTTTTGCGTTGATTGGGAAAATGCGGGTCCCAATTCTATACTCCACCAAGACAACGATGTACCATCGTCTCCGCGTTCGCACCCTATGCGAGGGCTCCATTCACTCATGGAGGAACCTGTGTCGCCTACGTCTGGGGAACCCTTCCTGTTTCCCCTACTTCCGGAGAGGTCATCATCAGTGCCTTCCCTCGAAGGGGTTTACAGCATTGAACGTGACGAACCCTTGTTTTCCGATAAAAGCGCATCGGAGAATTTCCATGATCTCTACGTGTCAGATCTTCCACCGATGAATGATTCCGGTTCATACTCTGGCTACGCCTCTGACTATCTCTCCGACTACGTGATTGTTCACTCGCCCGAACCGATCGATCGACTTTTTGTGAATAATTCGTATTTTCACTCCTGGATTTCCTATTCCCATGCTTACAATCATAGACTCGATCACTGAACTGGAGGAGGCAACAACATTTGCCATTCTTTCAGATTATATACATCTTTCTCCTTTGAAAAATGTATAGTGACTTCCAGTTCGTGTATCGATTCTGGGCCTTTCTTTTCGCTTCTCCACAGACATTACTTGGTCGCCCTGAACCTTGATAAGTCGACAGTCACGATGCTTCTTCAGATGTGGCATGAAGACCTTTTTTCTCCAATAGGACTTGACGAGCTGCATGCTTGTCAGGTCACATTTGTGTTCAGCCACTGGCGTATCATTGGTGGATCACATGTTGCGTTGCGAAGATTTTATCTATAACCCATATTAATTGTTGTTTAATGTCTTCATTTCACGAGACTATCACGGTTAGCAGTCTGCCCCAGCTGACCTCAGGTTCCGCCCTTGTTTGCCACTGGCTGGGAACCTGACTGCGCCCAGTCGCGACCGCTTCTTCACATGCCTTCTCTCACCGATCGCTTTTCCCTGATTTTCGCGCAACTTAGCCTGAACGGGTCAATCACGCTGCTCAGTCGTACGCTGAATGTTTTCGCGCAGATGCGCGAGCGACCATTCAGTGAGGTACGTACTGATTTTCGCTGTTGAGGAGAGGTTTCATACTACCTTAGTTTCATACTACCTTAGTTTCATACTACCTAGTCGTGCCTATAAAGGGCCCTGACGGATCCCTTTCCCCTCCCTATCGCCTGTATCTCGCGCTCCCTGTGAGTGAGATCCATTGCCGCTCCTTTCCGGCTCACGCTTTGACCCGCTGCCGCTGCCACCTGCATATTACTCTATCCGATTTGCTGCTGCATACCGCGATTCTCGACTACATTCCCATCTGCTCCAGCCCTAGCTTTTTTCTTAATTCGGCTGATACGAGGCTTTGGTGACTCAATAAAGGGCCTTTTTCTAGCAATAATTGGACTCCGGGGGCATGAATCTACATCATATAAGTATCATCCGGATCAAATTGTGAATTCATTTTGATGTCAACGAGGGGGTAGTTCAAGATCCTAAAAATGATTTAGGACGTGAAGTCGAACCAGTTGTTCAAGTGGGCAACTTGCCTTGGCAATCAACCTCCTTGCGATGGGATGGAAGTATCGTTCATTTTTCAAGAACGTAATCCTTGCGAGCTCAGGCTCGACTGAGTACAATGCTTTAAACACTGGACGACAGAACTTCATTCGGCCTTTCAATGCCAATGGGTCGACGAGCCATTCTGCGGCATCATTGGCGTATTTGGATGCACTGGAGCTTGCCAGCGCAATATTATACCATCGAAGACGAATCTCGACGTTGTGGGACGAATTGAAGCTGTATATTGCGTCGAGATGTTGCATGTGAGAAGTAGGGAACAGAGCGCCACCAATTTTTCCCAATTCCTCCAAGAAAACCACTGTTAAAATCGTTATGCAATGCAATAATGAGGTAATGGACACTGACCAATCTGGTGAGTATTAAAAGCTGAAAGGTCCGTTTTAGAAAAGGGAAGTTTGGTGACATCGTGTTCGGTGCGAGATAAGTTCCAACGGGTAGCCAAAAGATATGCGTCGTTCGCACGCGAGGTATCATAAGGCACATCGACTGGGAGATCCAGTCCGTCGCCATAGAGCCATGCCTGGTCATGAAGGTGGGACTAAGATCCAATGCGGGGCGATAACGTGACGCACATCCCAATCCACAGCATCCAATATCTTCACCTTCTGTTCTCCTCCATGCCTCCTCCAGTATGTGTAGAGATGCTCCTTCCATTGCTCGGTGCGAATGGATTTGCCTCTGAATGTCCTAATGTAGTCTTTGGCATATGGAATGAAAACATCCAGCCCACCAAGAAGGCGTTCTACCACAGGAAGTGAAATCAGGGGGTTCCCAGAATTTCATGAGTTCACCTACCAAGATAGAGGAGGAAATTAGAACCCTTTTCATAAGGGATGCGTGAGTAAGCGTCATCAGGATCTTCCCCCCGCTGACAGAACTTAGTCAATGTCATCCCTTGCCACATGAATCACCTTACCTCATACTCAATCACAAGGCGCTGGTACTTCGGGGTCTTCTCGAATCCTTTGAGTGCCGAAATGAGTGAGCTACGTCCTATAATGTATGACAAATCACGCTCCGATGGCCCATGAAACCTTCCCCGCAAAACGCGCTCCAGCCATGTGGTCCAGCGTATATTCCAGTTGAGAAGCAATAAGGAAGCCATAAGATACGTAAACAGAGGGATAGCCTATCTTCATTCAGCCAAAACTGAAAGATGATTCACGTCAGGAGCTAAGGAATGCTTGCACAATGGCCCCTCATAGATACTCACGTGTCCAGAATCTGCATTTCTGTGCATCAAAATCCTTTTTGAGTAGAATGTTTAAGAAGATTGGGAGGTGTTGCGAACGTCACATTGTTACCAAACCAACTGTGCGATACCTCGTGTGCGACGGTATCAACGAGACTACGATCTCCTGCAATGAGTGCTGCGAGTTGGGCACAACATGAGAATGGTACGGAGTTACGAATCCATTTAAGCCTTACTGGGCGTCACGAACGTCAAGCAAGCATTCTCCCTCGAGGCTCGGTCAGATGATGCTCTCGTAACGTGATTGGGAGACCTACATGCCTCCAAATGGAAAGCTGGGAGGGAGAACAAGGAGATCATACACCCCAAACTCATATGGAGTCACAATGTCCTCCGCTTCCGAAATGAATCTACTCAAACTGTCAGGACAGTCAGAGATTGTGCAGATAACGAAACTGGCCTGGCCGTGTCATGACTGAATTCAAAATAACTAGCATCCATCAGTTCGGGCTCAGTCCACACGCCAGTGGCCCACTGTTCCCCTCTACAGGAGGGAATGGGCGGTAGATGATGTTACCGGCGGCAATGGCAATAATGTATGACGGAATCGCGACGGGCTGGCAACAAGATCAACCGAATCGCTTCAGACCATAGACCGTATGCACCTGTTTGTATATATATTCGACCGAGTCTCTGCCGACTTCTTTTCCGTTGTGGATTTCCTCAGCGGGAGGGGAAACTCGTAAGGCAGACATGAGCACAGGCAGAACAGAACGAACATTCGCACTGTATGTCTATTTAATCGTCTAAATCAGTTGCGCACTGCAATTGTTATCTTGAATTTCGTACTAGCTTGACAGAGGGGGTGTCTGCAACAGTAGTCATTGCGATGTCAACTCAAAATTGCAATGGGAGAGGAGAGCAAACCTTGGAGTGGAGCCAAGCATCTTGCATATATCGGCTGGCATTGAGAAAACAAGTAGCCAAACTGCTTTCCAGCCGTCTGCCTTCGAGCCATTGGCATATGCTTTCGGCAGTCCAGTGATACCTGCTTACTGTTTGTCGAGCCATCCCATCGCAGTCCCTTTCTCCGTTGTGCTGTATTTAATCTTGATATTGATGGTGTCACCGCTTAGAAGCTTGGTGTCAAGGGGAATAACAAGCGCCGAGCCCATTACATTGTGAGGTTGCTTGAGATCGAACTTAGGTGCTATACAACTGAGCTTGAGCTCTAGGTGTGACTATTCTTTGGTATACCTTCGACGGTTTCCCTTGAACCTCCACAGATGCAATGCTCAGGAAGGAAGAATCGAGGCTGACAGGCTATTGTGTTTGCGTAATCGGAAGTGAGGGCTGGAGATGCCTACATGACCTTTTCCACGTTCGTGTGTGCTACAAGAGTATGCTCCACGGATCCAAGAATGATGTGCTTGTCCCAATCGATGTCCCATTCAAAGTGGGCATGGGATGTGCTGATGTCCAAGTAGTTTGACTGGGTCGCCGGGTCGAGTTCCTGGTACGAAGGAGCATTGCAATCTGGGAAATTTCATTCAAGGACAATATTACGCATTGGACCCACGGGTGTTGTGGTTGCCATCATAGATATCTATATCGTGCTAGCGAGGGGATTCAAGAGTGAGAAATAAACTCATTCCAATCGTGGGCTTCCTGCAGCACCTTTTGATTTTCGGCAGCGTCCGAGGTTGCAGTTGTCAAATGGCCAGTCCCGGTTCACTTCTCAAGTCTGCAGTACAAAGAGGCACGGAATTCGAGAGACGGTCTTTATTAGTACTGCAGAAGCACCTATCCATGTCTTTGAACCGCATCGGTGGGAAGTCTGATGGTGGGATTGATCTTCAAGGGTGGTGGTGGCTACCTTCATTCGCACTTACACGAAAAGGTCCTGCCTTTGCGCCTGCAGAATTTGACGATGGCTTACGGAGGCGTGTTAGAGTTCTTGCACAGTGTAAGGCCATTCAGAAGAAAATGGGCCCCAACTTCGTACGAGAAATGGAAGGGGTCCTCTTTCAGTATTCGAACGAAACGGCGGCGTCTGCCAGTCAACTAATGTATCCTGGTACTGTTCCTCCAAATTCTACACCATGCCGCAGAGACACCATGATACCAACTGTCGCGGTGCTCATCTCTCAGTCACCATTCACCACATCTACCATTCTTCGTGCCATGTCCTCTTCTGTGCCTTCTTCCTACTGCATCTTCCTGAGACGGATAATGTGGGTGATATGGAGCACAGCCCTATTGGCTCTGCAATTTGGAATAGAGCGCTGTGTGGAGATGATGGCTTGCTTAGGGGCCAAATTGAGGCCCGATGGGAGAGAAACCCAAATGGCAGCGGAAGACCTGGTCTGTGGTGGAAGGGTGAACCGCTTCGAAGTTGGGTGCCAGAGTAGCTGGAATACAGGCAGTCCAGGCATCCCGGAACCATCCCTGAGATTAGAAATGTGTCAATGACTAATTGGTTGGGTTGGTGTTATGCTATCGGCAACCAGCTGTCGATGTTCTTGTGGTATCCGTACTGCAAATGTTCTGTCTTGCGCGAGCCTTGTTTGTGTCGCTGAACCCATTGTGAGTTTTGCTCTGATCTCATTCCGCGGTGAATTGACCTCATTTTTGTCGCCGCATAGGGCAAACATGCCTCAACAATTTGAATCGCGATCCTGCTCAAGATCTAAATGCCACACCCATACATTGTTAAATCCCAGACGTGTATTTCTTACTGCTGGGGCATCATGTCAGTACAAAGTTCATCTGTCGAAGGATGGGCGCGCCGCGAGACCAACAACGCTTGCAGTCTCCGATGTGTCCTGAACAGTATCGTGACGAAACGATTACATAACTCGCTGATTTCTCATATCTTCGTCCCATCAATGTATTCTCCAGAACCCAAACAAGTCGAAAGAGATGGAGCTAGTATGACATTTCATGTCAAATAGCAAAGCTGTTTGAGAAGGGATCCAGATCCAAGTAATTACCACATTCTGGATGTCAAAGGACACAGACCTGCTTGGGCTGTCGTCAATTGACAGGAGAATACGCACGCCACTGCACCCGTACTTCCGAGTTGTTAAATTCGCCTTCTTCCAGTGAGGACTCGAGTGCTTCCTTTCCCAGTGCACATAAACGTGGAACGTTGGACCTAGTTATAACTGGTCAGCTCGTAAAGGTGATTGTACCCTGATGATTGTTACTCACGGCCATTAGTCAGGGTGTTCGATCAGAAAGCTGGTGCGAAGCGAAGATGGACCCGACAATTCTCACGGCTACCGCGCCTCCCTCTCCCTCGGTGAGCCGTCGCTCCCCTCCATACTCCCGAAACACCAGCATACCATCCCACCCCACCTCCACAGCAGCTGCTCGCCCCCAAGCTGATCTTAATACACTTCGTGACACGTTGTCGGTGTTACATCAGCAACACGCTGATCTATCAGAAAGTCAGCAAGAAATACGAGCACTTCTTCGAGAGTTATGCGACAAGCCACGACTGCCACAACCGGAGATCAGAATTCCTCCAGTTCAGGATGGGGTGGAGAGGCTACCGCACAACAGGCCGTTGCAGAGTTGCTCCGCCGGATTCTAAATGCCCTCGGCCCATCTCCAATATGCGCGGCCGAGAGGGTGCCCTTCCTGCAGTCTTTCCTTTACCTGCTCAGCCACCCTCCGAAGAAATGCGCAAGTGACGTGTAGCAAAATGGTTGTCACCCCGCAACCGCAATGGACATCTCGTTGGTGAGGAACTTGCCGGATTTGAATCCGAGGGAATTGAGGCTACCATCCAGCCTCCTACCGCCACTACAGCAGCAGTAATGGATGCTCCTCCGTCATCGCGGATGACACGCGGTGTGAGTCCGATAAGCGTGGTCGAGCAGACACCAACTGGAGCGTCATCCGAAGATGTTTCCCGCGCTACCGACCAACGCCGCTGGAAACTTCTAAGTCCAGCGTGCCCCCTTCGCCCCTCTGTCTCGGAGGCGTACCATTGGTCCGGTACTAGACTTTTTAAGGATGACTCGCCATCATAGGAAGTCTCGGCGGGGTGGAGATGGGACATTCACCCCGGCGACCCCTAAATCGCCCAAGGTGGCATCCGGTTCCATTGGCTCTGAGTATCATTCGAATGACATTTTCAGGCTGCCGGGTCATCTGTCGAACACTCTAGGCGTACACCTGAAACCACACCACATTTAGCTCCAGGGGAGCCAGAAAACCTCCGGACGTGGTACAACAAACCACAACCAACGAAGAAGCACTTGCCAGCTGGACTCCCACATGTGAGCGGGATGTAACGTGGTGTAACTAACGAGTTCCATTCACACTTTGTAGTCTCCTCCCATAGTTAAATTAAAAACAGAGCAAGCACAACCTCTCGCTCCCGCGGCTTTCCCCCCTGTGACCGTTTTTCCCCAACAGCGGTAAGACTGTGAAAGATGATGAGGGTGATCGCACCGAACGTATGATAATCTAGACGACGGCCTCCGAGATAGCGCCCCCTTTTGGGAGATGTTACAGCTCCTACGGGTCTGTATCTCGTTTGGCTGTGGACGTAATCATCCTTACCCTTAGTATCTTATAGGATATTGAAGAGCACAATAAAGCAAGCCTGGCCGAACGGCGAAGTATGGCAGAGCATTTACAAGAGCTGCATGACTGGCTGGTACGAGATCAGCAGGACCGCCATGCTTCCTTCCGTGGACTTGCGGAACGTATCCAGCACTTGTACTCTGCCTTGCTGCCTTCGATGAACGTATCCAGCAATTGCAGTCTGACCTTGCTGCCTTCCGTGGACTTGAGGAACGTATCCAGCAATTGCATTCTGCCCTTTCTGAGGCCAATTCTAATATTATTGCACCACCGCCGCCATTTCGTAAGTATCTCCACATGAACTACATTAGTACTCACGCTTGGCTGCACACTTAGCATCTGTTTGACCACCATCTGTTGTCGTATCTGCAACTGCTCCACTCAAGGACCCTTCGGTGCCCCCTTTCCCCACAACAACCAATGATTTACCCGAACCTGCCTTAGGACCCTGACGTCTGAAGTCGAAATTCTGAGTCGTCTTCCCCTTAGTGGATTCGGCAAGGTTCCCCGTCCGCTTCTCGATGCTCAGGTCAAGCGTTCCGATCCCTCTTTGTCTATATGTTGTTACGAAGTCATAGGGGGCTGGAGTCCTGCCGTAGCCTTTGTCAGGATTCCCCCGGCAAACCCCGGGTTTGTTATATATCTAGACGCACAAGTTTTGTTGTCGGCCGAACCGAGCTTCGACTGACGCCGATCGTGCGCGAGCGCCTGGGTGGTGTTGAGAAGCAGTATGTCACGCGAAATCACTTCTCCCTTGACACCATCAGTTGTGACCGGAGTTTGTCTCGGAATATTTAGCACATGACCTGATGAACCGTTCCCGGGGATGTTGTATATCTTAACGAGCCCTTCCGCCCAAGATTCGCGGGCTGCCCTAACAAAAAAATCGTGTGGATCAGAGTCGTTCGAGATTAAGTTAGTTTTGTCAAAGACATGAAGGTTTGTCCGCAGAAGGCAACGCACCTGCGGATGACCAGTCCGTAAAGGTGGATTTCCATGGTGGAGAGTTGCCATTTCAGAGGCTGTCTACAAAGTAAATGGACACTAGCTTGGGAGCCTATCAGTGATGAGATCCACCATGGCAATCTTCAGCAATGGGACTTTGTTATGTATCGCATTACGCATCACAGAGTCCACTATAACGTCTGCATGTGTGTACATTGGCGCCTATTGGACACTCGGCGGACTCATTCTGGTGATGTACGTGACTTAATTCTAGCTCTCTTGCCCATGCCTCGGATGGCGCAAATTGGCGCGCTTCTCCCATAACATATATAAAGGCGGTGTTCCTTTTTTATTTATTTAGTATACGTAAAATCAACGTATGCGAAGATGCCTAGTACACGTGGAAGTATGTAAGGGTTGTCCACGCGCTACCCCAGCGACGACGACGTCTAGGAGAAGCGAAAATTGGATTTGTTGCTAGTTGATCTTAATGAAAATGGAGGATAGCACGGCGTTGAAATAGATTATTATGTGGATGATGCGAAAGGCTTTGCATGGAGGTAACACAATGTTGTGGAAGCAATGTTGGTGGGATAAAGCGACAGCTAATTATGTAAATGACCCGTCAAAATAGCAGGGGCATGAAAGCAATGAATTACTAGGCTGTCCTTGTGGAAGGAGTGTGATCACTAGGATCGATCAAGTCTGCCGCGTGCGGGAAGGGCTGCACATGCAAGACTGCCTGTTCAGGTGGGCAAGAATTTGGCTCCGTTCGCATACATGTCTTCTCTTGATCCCTGAATGGTGGCCGCAGGCGTACGTGTCAGTACATGTCTCAGGGATGGGTTGGAAATAGAGAATAGTGCTTCTTACCTTGAATGAGGCCAGGCCCACGAGGGTGAATCCGATATAAATTAACACCGACCAGGTGATCCAAAAAAAGCCCCAAACTGTGGGAATGATTTAGCTGCTCTTTGAACCGAGTGCCTGAGATTGAGTTGCTCACAAGTAGGTTTCGTTCGCGGGTACATTTCGGAAAACTGTGTGCTGTCCGAATCGTTAGCCTTTTTAAAGTATCGATCATCTAGGTAATCCCCTAGGGAAGGTATAGATCAGCGTCAGGTTCAAAATCGGAACCACGAGTTCTTACAGAGGGCATAGAAAATGCTGTATTTAGCGATTAGTCAAGAGTTATGCTCCATTCCGGTTTTGGGCACGTACTTCATCACTCCTAAGGGATATCAGGTCAGAGTCCATTCGGATTGTAGGAACGCCTAGCCAGCACACACCGACGAATAGTGAATACCAGCGCAGTGCTGAACTGTATGACTTCCGGTCAGCATAAAGCGACGGCACAATGTGGAAAGTCTCGTACCCATGGTCGATGAACCAGAATCCAATCAATAAGCCTTCATAGATTATAGTTAATATTATTGTTCTTGCATAGGGCCCGGTTCAGTCATTGAAGAACTTGTCACCTGAAAGCACACCCACAATTTATCTCTAACCATGATCAATGGCACGACCAGCGCGATGGCAATAATAAAGCTCGTGATCTTCGCAGCAAGGATGTCCCAGCCACCAGTCATCAGTGCTGCACCGAAAAGGGTTGAGCCAATATATCCTAGAGACCGCATTGCGAGGTGACAATTTTGGAAGAGAACGTAATTCAAAAGAAGCGGTCAGTTTCACAATGAGGAAACGAATCGAGGCAGCACGAGTGGACCGACCTGCAGCGAGGATGCTGGGGGGATGGCCTCCCTGTACACGGGTGCAGCCCCCAAGATTTGGGTCTATGGTTACGCTGTCAAAGATGCGACATGGATGACGAACAGAAGGGAGGTCAGAGTGGCAGTGAATCAGACTAGAAGGGTGAGACCTGAATTGTCAACCTTAAAACAATCCCGCCTGTCAGCTTTGCCTTGAAAAGGCAGATAAGCAGGATGGAAGTATCAATCACTGGATAGCAAAAAAGTCAGATAGTCACAAGACGTGCTCACCATGATGATGTGGGAAAGTTCATGGCTGGCTAATGGTAAGTCGACCGAACTAGCGAGAGGAAGAGACGGACTCACAACCCAATTGTTAATAATTTAAATGGGTTTATAATGACTCTGGCACCGGGGAGATGCCATAATGCAACGTCTATGACCAGATAGATGACGGAGACGTATAGCACAGGGATCTGCAACATGACTAAATCCACGCAGAAAGCTGACGAGGGTCAGCGAGCGCACCTGAAGCGTTGTTGGGGTAAGGGGATTGACATAGTGCGTGGATGTCGGCCTTGGGGGAGCGAGAGGAGGCCTCGTCACCGCAGCGGGTGTTGGAGCCATCGAGATCGCGCTCAAGAGCGCCAGAAATATACGGGGCAACGGAAGGAGCGACTGTCGAACGTAATACGCGTGTAAGAGTGGGCAGAAAATGTCCCCTAAGTGGTTTGATAATAAACCTTACCGTGATCACAACCATGAGGCTTGAGGCACGGAGCGCCGAGGGCTGGGTCCGATTAACGGCGATATTCAATCACGTGTTGCTTTGTTGTTTTGTTTACTCCGAGAATCACGCCCCAAATAAACAGTCGCGAACTGTATAAGAAAGCCCGTCATCATCTCTCTTCAGCTTTACTCACTCTTTCTTCATCAGTGGAATAATAACTATGTCTGGTGTGTAATCCATCCAACCTGGGCATAAGGTATTTACCGTGTCCTGTTCGCTTCAGGCAAAGGAAAGTCCGGGAAGGTTGGAGGCAAGTCTGGGAAGACCGGGGGTGAGGGTGAAAAGGGTACTTCACGCTCTTCGAAGGCTGGGCGTGAGTATTGTCGCGTTGTTTTGGTTGGGGGTCGTGCTGCCGAGCTTACTTTTCTCCCTGTAGTTCAATTCCCTGTCGGTCGTATCCATCGTCTCTTGAAGCGCGGCAACTATGCTCAGCGCGTCGGCGCTGGTGCCCCTGTCTACCTCGCTGCAGTTCTGGAATATCTTGCTGCCGAAATTCTCGAGCTGGCTGGCAACGCTGCTCGTGACAACAAGAAGGCGCGTATCGTGCCTCGTCATCTTCAGCTTGCTATAAAAAATGACGAAGAGTAAGTCGATTCTGGCTATGGTAGTCGTGGCCGTGTCTGATGATCTCGTGCCAAGGTTGAACAAGCTCCTGGGATCTGTCATCATCTCGCAAGGCGGTGTTGTGCCACACATCGCCCAGGAGCTTCTTCCGTCCAAGTCTAAGGTTTGTTCTTGGGTCATTGGACTAATGCTCTGTGTGCTGAGGGACTCATTTTCACAGAAACCAGGCGAAAGCCAGGAGATTTGATTACGTTCTGTTTTTATTGTCTGTGTATATGTTTTGTTTGTGTACCCGTATATTATTCGTTTGTTATAAGAGCTCTTTATTTTTTTCCCTTGTTCATTCTTGGTGAAGTGCTTCTACCATTCGAACTTAGCTAGGTTAAGTTTTCTGTTCGTGGTAAAGGATGTCGCAACGTAGTAAGTGGCGCAAGGAGCGTCAGGTATTGGTGGGTTTGATTATCAGTTCGGCTTACTTTCTCAACCAAGCTTGCTTGGGGTGGGCTGGGCAGGTTACCAGCCTCTTGGAATGGGATGGGCGCGTTGCAAAATCGGTGTGAATTCAGATTGCCCGGATGCAAATTCGGGTTGTCCATAAAAGTTTGTCTTCCAACAGGCGAGTCAACGTTCGATTTTCGACAGTTGAGCATTGTCCTGCACGCGTCTTCCAATAATCCCTTCTTGTTTCTATTTTCAGTACATTTCAGTCCGTCATGGAAGTAAGTAAATTTCTCTGCACACTCTCGATCGTCATTGCCAATGAGTTTGCAGCAAAATTATATTCAGCGCCTTCACGAACTTTTACGGCAATCCACAGCTCCAGACACAAATGCCATAAAAGCTGTACGTGATTGTAACCATTTTCTACATTCTTCCAGCTAATCAAGTCTTGCGTCGCCGCCAGGCTACTGCCACTCTGAACAAGGACTTCTATCGTAGCCCTGATTGCATACCTGGCCTTTTCGAAATTGTCGCGACTTCCCCGGAACAGAGCGTATGTACTTCGTACCTGACCATGTTGAGAAGCAAACAAACGTGATCACTATCGTAGATCCGTCAAATCGCGTCCGTCGAACTTCGCAAACGGGTGTCGCAAAAGGATGGTGCATTATGGCTGGCAGTTCCCCAAAATATCCGGCACACCATCAAGTCCAAGTCTCTTGAGATTGTAATAAATGAGCCTGTGTATGTCGTGCCATCCTACTGACTCGATTGGACCATTTTCCTGTCCTCATGGTTGTGGCCCACCCAACTGAATTGATTTTCTCTCACTCTTCTAGACCAATCGTTCGACATTCTTTCTCCCGCGTCATCTCTGTCATTGCGGAACTAGAGTTGGGGGTAAATCAATGGCCCGAATTGCTACCATGGCTTCAACAGACAACGAGCAGTCCAAGTGTTGTGCATCGTGAAGTTGGAATCTTCGTACTGTTTACGTCGCTTGAGACCATCGTTGATGCCAACCCCACAAGTCCCATGAGTTTCATCCAACACTTTACCACTCTCATCCAGGATCCCGAAAGCCTGGAAGTCAGAGTGACCACACTAAGGTTAGTTTTATCCACGTTTACGGCTTGCGTTACCGTTGACTCTGTTTTTTTGGCTTTAACAAGAGCCATGGGTATCCTTTCCCAGTATCTGGAGTCCACGAATAAGGCTGAAATCGTATGTTCAACTCGTTTGACTACTTTCTTCTACTTAAATTGTCACAGGCTCAATTCCAATCCCTCATTCCAGCCATGATGGCAGTCATTGGGGCGGCATTGGAGAAGGGTGACACAGACGGTGTGCGACATGGCGTCGATGTATTCGAGACTTTCCTCATCCTTGTCAGTCTTCACATGGTTAAATACACAAGTGGCTGACTCGGGTGCCTCAGGAAACGCCTTTATTATCGAAACATATTCCCCAATTGGTCGAGTTCTTCACGACTGTTGGTGCGAATACTACCTACGATGACGAGGCAAGAAACATGACTCTTAATGCTTTGACTTGGGTTATTCGATAGTAAGCGCCTGCGCAGGTTTGTGTTTCACGTCCTGACGCATCAAATAGCAAGAAGAGTAAGGTGCAAAGTCTCAATCTGGCAAGACCCATTCTTGAGGCACTTCTCCGAATTGGGTGTGAAGAGGAGCCAGAGGATCTGGAGGATGACTCTCCTGCTCGAGTATGCCACCGATCTCTTAGGAGGGACATTTCATGACCTTAATCCTATAGGTTGCCTACCGTGCCGTTGACTCGTTGGCCACGAATCTTCCTCCTTCCCAAGTTTTCCAGCCGCTGATGGATCTTGTCCATCAATACATCCAATCACAAGACCCTCGACTACGCAAGTCTGCGTTGACATGCTTTGGTCTTGCAGTTGAGGGGTGCTCTGAACACATGAGGCCCCATATTCAGAAGATCTGGCCTCTCATTGATGGTGGTTTTCAAGATCCCGTCCCGCTTGTGCGAAACGCTACATGTGTTGCGTTTGGGTGCCTTACGGAGTGGCTCGCTGAGGAATGTGCCGAACGCCATGCTGCTGTCATGCCCGTAAGCAGATCACGGCAGGATCGTTAAGAGTCAAAACACTCACGCTATCTTCTTTGGTTCAAAGGCCTTGATGAGTCTGATGGATAAGCCCGAATCACAAACTGCTGCTTGTACAGCGCTCGATGCCTACTTGGAAGTCTTGGGATCTAAGATTGTTTCAAATTACATTTCGCTAATCATGGAGCGCCTCTCTGGCCTCCTCAACACACCTCAAACAAGTCTTCGCGTCAAGTCCCTTGTCACAGGCGCCATCGGAAGTGCGGCTCATGCTGCCGGTGAGGAACTCTTCCGGCCATACTTCCAAAGTACCCTCCAGCGTCTCCAGCCTTTCTTCTCTCTTACCGCTGAGGGTGAAGAACAGGAACTCCGTGGCATTGCTATGGATGCTCTTGGAACTATGGCTGAGGCCATTGGCAAGGAGAATTTCCGACCGTATTTTGCCGACTCGATGGCCATTGCCATGAACGGGGTCACCCTTGGCAGCGCCAGACTCAAGGAATGCAGCTTTTTATTCTATGGTGTTATCGCTCGTGTTTTCGAGGTGGAGTTCACTCCATACCTCGAACATGTTGTACCAGCTTTGCTGGAAAGCTGTCGCCAAACTGAGAGTGGAGAAGACTTTGCCCTTTCGGAGCAATTGTGTGCGTAACCTTTTTTGGATTATCTGCCTTCATGAATCGACAAAAACCCTCCTCCCAGTGAACGCAATCAACGCCCCGAGCGCTGATGGATTCTCCACTGGGGACTCCGGCACACCTGGGGTTGAATCTACCATTGATGTAGATGATGATGACTTCGATGACGAGAAGGCACTCGCTGTTAACAGCGCTATTGCTGTCGAGAAGGAAATCGCTGCTGACACACTCGGAACAATCTTCACTTATACCAAGGAGGCGTTCCTTCCATACCTGGAGCCTGCGACGAAAGAGCTTCTCGAGCTGTTGGATCATTATTATGAGGGCATACGCAAATCAGCCACAACCTCCTTGATTGAGTTCATTGATGTATTTCAGAGTCTTGCTGGATTACCCCAATGGCAGTCGGGTCTTCCGCTTGTAAGTGGCATCCCACATGAACTCATGTTTGCCTCGCTGAATAGCTTCGCAGAAAGTCCCTCTCCCGGAGACCGTCAAGCAGCTTATCGATACCTCTATGAAAGCCTTTCTGGAAATGTGGGAGACTGAAGATGACAAGTTGAGTGACAAAACCGACTTTTCTATGCCATCCCCTCCTCTGTGATGATACTTCTCAGCTCACTTCGAAGCCTTAATGGCTCAGGAGATGAACCGTGTTCCAACGCAAAAATTCTCTGATCCTTTATTATCATCGGTTCTCCTCTTGTGCGCGGATGAACTAATCTGACGTTTTGTCAAGGTCCGTGGTGTCCATCTTGTGTAGTAACTTGGCGGAAACCTTGGTCAAAGTTGGGCCTGGTCTTATCGATGGATGTAGGTTGCTCAAATTATTCTTGTACTCCACTCACTTACTTGCCAATATACAGATGTGGATCAGGTCTGCATTCTCTTGGTCAAGATTCTAGAGCGCAAAGCATTGTGCCAGCAGGACCCTGACCAAGACGACGCTGACGAACCTGCAGATGAGGAGTCTGCCGAGTATGAGACTGTTCTCATCGGCGCGGCCTGTGATTTGGTCGGCGCAATCGCCGCTGTTCTTGGATCTGACTTCAGCCCAGCGTTTACGACTTTCTTACCACTAATGTTGAAATACTACGTAAGAATTGCTGAGCCAGGTTCAACGCCTAACTCTGATTATTATGACAGCATAAGAACAAATCGGTCGCTGAGCGGAGCGCAAGCATTGGCTCCATTGGCGAAGTCATTACTGGGCTCAAGGGCGGAGTGACCCCCCATACTCAGGTAGGTACCCGGATGTTTGTTCCTCGTTCCAACACGTGATATTCATCAATCACTAGGCCTTGCTAACGGGGATAGGCAAAGCTTTTGATGATACCGAATCCGAAGTCCGCAGCAACGCTGCCTTTGCTACAGGGGTTCTAATTGAGTTCACTGAGGCGGACTTGAGTGGCAGCTTCCTTCCGATCCTCAACAGCCTCCGTCCCATCTTTTCCATCCCTCCTGGTTCCCCAGACGCTGCGTTCAATGCTCGTGACAATGCCGCCGGAGCCGTTGCTCGGATGATTGTCAAAAATCATTCAGCTGTCCCTCTTGATCAAGCAAGTTACCTTTCAGAAACAATGAGCCGTTCTGATCACCTTCCCTTCAGGTCCTTCCTGTTCTTGTCGATTCCCTGCCTCTCCGCACCGACTTGATAGAGAATAAAGCGGTGTTCGCCGCTGTTTTCCATCTGTTCCGTGTCAATCCCAGTGCGATCAGCAATTTCCTCGACAAACTCTTCCCAGTCTTCCAATACGTCCTCGATCCTAGCTCAGGGGAGCAAATCGAGGAGAGCAGTAGAGCGGAACTTCTCCAACTAATCAGCGCTTTGAATCAAGAGATGCCGGATAGAGTCGCTGCGGCAGGGCTCCGACATTACATCTCTTGAGGGATTATCGCGAAATATTGAATGATTATGATTTAGATACCACCTTGTTTCTAACTTCCTACGGATCTGTCCTAATTTTCGCATGCTCGTAGCTGTTTACACCTCACATGATGTCAAGGCTGAAGGATGACAGAAAATCCCACAACCATGCGCGTTGCATTCAGAAAAGCGAATCAAACATTATGCTTGAGTTGTGCTTCCAAGTATCAAATGGAGCCGTCTATTGTCACAACGCGACGCTGTAATACAAGGGCACCAAGTCACAGAATAAATCTTCCACGGTCCAAGCCCGCTGTTCGTCGTCCTTAGATGCTTCCTTGAATGGGACCCAGGCAATTGGCCACATGCATCATAAACCCCCCGCTCGAATTTCTCCAATCGCCCCAGGAAGCGGGGAGATATCATTATACTTGTATGACAGTGCTGGGAAGTCTGGCTTGAGGATTAAGTCGGCACGATCGACTGCTTCGAAGGCCCGACAGCACTCAGTATCACACCTGCGAGCAAGGATTGCACCATGAGAAAACATCCACTTTGCCCGATGTCCACTATGCAATCTAGGACAACACTGTGAAACTCTAGTGCAGGTACGATCACGCTTTGTTGCAACGACTACGGTTGCCGAGCAGGGCCAGGTCAAACGTTCGCATCAAGGTCTTGAGTCACGTGACCTAGACATTTTTTGAGCTCACCACTACGCGTGTTTAACGGCTTCGGCGCTGTTAAAAACACAGTAGGCATCACATCAGACTCGTACCCAGTCGTTTTCACTCCGTGGACACGCGCACGACACTGCAATGTGGAAATGTGACTACGTGGCTTTTGGGTTCAATGTAAAGTCACGTTCTGCTTTCAATACAAAGAGTCACATGCTACTCCGACAATTTGCGCGCGAACACTTCGACTGGTACACATTGGTAGTAGCAGTACACTTAGGCATTTGACGCGATCTCAGAAAACAATTCTGATCCTCATGTGAAACGTGTCGCGCGCAAATTGTCGGAGTAGCATGTGACTCTTTGTATTGAAAGCAGAACGTGACTTTACATTGAATACAAAAGCCACGTAGTCACATTTCCACATTGCAGTGTCGTGCGCGTGTCCACGGAGTGAAAACGACCGGGTACGAGTCTGATGTGATTCCTACTGTGTTTTTAACAGCGCCGAAGCCGTTAAACACGCGTAGCGGTGAGCTCAAAATGTCTGGGTCACGTGACTTAAGACCTTGATGTGAACGTTGACCTGGCCCTGCTCGGCAACCGTAAACGACTCATCACTATGTGTCCCCCTGGGTCAACACTTGAGGCTTGAGGTTGTCTACATATGTGCTCGTCAACTCTCAAATCCTCAAAAGCTTTCCCACTTGCCCACTTGGGTCACACTCAAAACACATGGACTGTGATCCCTCCGAGTCCGACATGACTTCTGGACTGTGAGCTACTGTGGCTTCCATGGTGATTGCTTCATACGCCGAAATATGCATCTCGATCATCATCTGAGGCTCACCGGCTCAGGCCTAGTCTGACTTGGCTCCCGAGGAGACATGAACTGTACCTCCTTAGCCTTAGCTCTTTCCCCGCTATGCGACTCTGGAATTGCTTCCAGCGATGGGGCATCTACACGATGCATGGGCACTCCAGGCTCAACGCAAGCACTGCGATCTCGTCAATCGAACGGTTCTGGGTCATACCTCCACGTCGATTTTCAGTGTGCCCAACACTAAGAGCTTCTTCGACTGCGTGCAATCCCATACACCATAACCGTATCCGTTGCACATGAAGCATCGAGATCCACATGAAGGTTCATATCTGAACGTGTTTTCACTCATCACCGTATCAGATTCGTATCAGATTCGCGCACGTCGCTCTCGTCTTGATTGTCACGGTCTTTCCAGCCTCACGTCTTCCTCAGCATCCCTCCTTGCTCATCCCCTTGTTCCCTCGCTATTTCTCCTTCACCCTCATCTCCCATGGTGTCATCTACCGCCTGAACGACATGAGATGGTGAGTCCCTCACGGGACTTCAGGCATGATACAGTCTGATTCGGCAATCCGTCGAAGTGGATGTTGCAGGACTCGCGGATTCTATGAGCGTCAGGGTCATATATTGCAAGGGCTTTCATACCAACTCCGACACTTCCGATGGCAAGCGCTGTCACTATATTGTGTATAGTACAATGCTAAATAAATTAATGCGGGCTGCCCGTTAATACTTTCCAGGGGGGTGGAGAAGGCTGAATCCTAAGGCGGTTCGTCAGGACGACGATTCATAACGTTCCCTCTACCCTCCCGTGGTCGGCCCTCAAGTTTCCATTTCCTGCAGAAAACTCCACCCAACACGAAACGGTTTGGGAAGCCATGCCATTATCTATGCCCAGACTCGTTCATCATAGGACTTTTCAATAGCACAGAGCCAAATGTCTGGCTGACCATGAGAATGCATTTGAACGGCATTAATGTCATGAAGCAGAAAGATGACTGGATTTGAGCAGGGCCATTAGACGATTACACGTCATTAAAAACGATGCCCTGCAACAGTGCATCGTGCAAGATAACGAGCAAGAGCGAGTCTTACTATTTGCAACTGTCGAAGAGCATTTTCGGTAGATTCTTTTCGCCCCTCAGCATCTTTGGGTAGATTATGTTCCCCGTGCATGATTGATTCAAGCGCCCCAAGGTACTCGTGTCCAAGCCCTTGCTCTGCGTGAATGTAGATGTCTTCGAGATGCCGAAGCAGTTCATAAGCCTCGACCGTCGTCAAGAATAGATCCTCATCTGTCAGTTAGATGTGCCAGTGAGATTCGAAAACGAGAGGTGTAATTGCGGACTGACCATCAAGCATGCCACCCGCATCCAATAACACAACCCCCCACCAATACCTGGGAACTACCCCTCCAGACAACATGCCTACCAAGTACTTCAGTGCCTCTCTTCTTTCGCCCTCCGCAAAGAGTTGGTGGAAGTGGGCATATCGGGATATGAACTGAAGACGATTAGTGAAGACGTCGTTAGTGCGCCCATGGGATAGGTTCAGCGACGCTGTAGGGGAAGGAAGGTACTCTGATGGTATGTTCGCTACCTGGCTGCGGAATTCATCTGCGCCTAAGTAAAGAGTCAGGCGATGTGCTGCAGATAAATAACTACAACCTACCTTTGGTGATGTACTCGTGTAAAAGTAGGTCTGCTATACGACTTACGCCGCGGGCATCCTTCGCTAGCACTGAGTATTGCACAGCTCTCCCATACATCCCTTTCCGCATTAATGCATGAGATACAGACTGACGCAATCTTCGTGCTTAGCTGGTTCTGGGATAACGAACAATTCTAGGTGTCCTACCTTGCATATTGACAGAAGTAGCTCTTGAAGTCCATAATCAGTACAGACATTGATGATTTTGAGGATCTTGTCTTCCCACTTTGTCCACGCCTCCTTCTCAGCATCGGCAGTTCCACCATCGACTTCCATGCCCGAGCCCCAACATTCACATTTGGTTTTGACGGGGTTATTGGACCATTGGGTTGTTCCTTCTCTTTCCCCTTCGGTGAGGGCAGCTCGATGTCAACAGGAACACGTCGCAGCACTTCAGCAACCAGAGCTTTCCCTTCTGCACCACATGCAGCGAGGTATTCTAGTGTGACCCGCCAGAGCGTCGGGTCTGAATGAAGGCGCATCGCATATGCAACAAGCACAGACGTTCGTATTGACCATGAACTTCAACGTGGAGATCAGTGAACCGGTCAGTGAGGAGTCAAGAGGAGCTACGTACCCCGAATCTTGCGTTCCAGTCTCCATCTGACCATCCAACTCGCCTAGCTTGTCAAACATGTCAATAAGGTGAGCGGCAAGCCAAATGTCCCATTTGCGAACGCCCTCGACAACCTGGGATGGCCCAAGTCAACTCATACTCAATTGTCGTCCAACCGATGGCTTACACTAGTAATGTCATAAGAGGCCAGAGCAGTTTGGATCAATTCGTCAGGCTGGTCAGGATTAAGTGGCAGGTTCTCGATGATGTGAATGACGGTAGAACTGGTTGTCAAACATCAGGGGAAGTTGGTGAGCATGATCGGCGAACTTACGCCAAATCCTCTCTGGTAAACCGAGGATCGACCCAAACTCCCCAAACCCCAAGCGCTTCCCTCCATCCCCATTCTTGGTCCTTACAGATCTGAAATAATGTATTTTTGTCGCCTTCTAGGATAGAACAGATGATGTCAATCGCGCTCCTCCACTCCCCTTCATCTTTGGCCTCGCCATTCCCTTCATTTTCATCAAGCGCATCGACATGTCGTCTAAAGTTTTTCAGCATAGTATCCCTCCACCTTCGATGGGCAGTGAGAAACGCGTGCTCTGTATCGTAATTCAATGAACGAGGATGCTTCTGTAACAAAGGGACAAGCTCAGTAGCGAGTCGTCGGAGGATTCTTGATGGATGAGAATTCGAGAGTCGCTCAAGAAAATAGATGGCTGATTTAGAAAGACCACGGAGAATACATCTAACAGATGATGATGGGAGGTTAGCGAATCGAACCCAAGCGGTTAGTAGGAAATCTCGCGCCTTAGGACAAAAGTCCAGAACTCATCCGCAAGCCACGGCTTTTCGTACGAATTCAGAGTAGGCCCTTCCTCGTTACTTGGAGCTACGTAATTCATGTTAAGCCAAAGCAACAGTTCTTCACCAAACAATGCAGTAGTGGTGTTGCCTGATTCGGAGGTATACACGGACTGGAAGAGATCGACGGTTGATGAGAGGGCAGTGAAGTGAAGGTACCGAGACACATCAAACGTCTCAGCATTCTTTAAGACTAGCTTGAGTATGAATAAGGGACAAAAAGATGATGAACATACGTACAGCGAGACGCTCAACATGAGCCTGAAGATTGTCCACATACACTCTAAGCATTCTCCAACAGTTCGTTATATTCTGCGGGCTCCTTATCCTGTAAAAATAAACTGTTAAGGCGCATATTGGACCAAACGAGAACGTGTTACAAACGGTATGCCCTCATTCTCTTGTTGAACGAATGCTACCCGCTGAAGAGACTCGAATGTCACATATGAATCTGTGAAGAACTGGAAAAGTGATTAGAAGATCCTAGGTGAGTCCCAGAAAATACCTACTGGAACGTCATCCGGCCTTATACTGTCCCACTGTGCGAAATACAACACTGAACCAGAGGGCTTCTTCCCGACCTTCGCCGGGTTTTTCTGAGAATGACAAATTTAGGTACTAAACAAAGCGTCATAATATCCTGCATACGAGGGTTTCAAAGATGGCCAAGCCATTAGCCCTAGGCGAAAGGGCGAACGCAACGGTTCTTCCACTGCGTATAAACTCTGGTAGCTCAGCAGGCTTCCCGAGAGGTGGATAAAGAGGTATGAACGCGTCTGGTGACGTCTTCCCACCAGATGGTTCATCTTTTTTTGATGCAACAGCCATATTCTTCCAACAGCGCTTCAAAAACTCGAAACCACTCCGTGAAGGTCAGGTGATCGCATCCTGACTCAATTGAGCGCTTCACCGTGTTGTCTTTGTCCATCCTTCCAGATTACTAAGCAAAAAAGCAGCAATAATGGATAAGCGAAACAACAAGTCACATTCAATGTCGATAAAGGCACGTCAACGCATGTCTGCCACAGACATCATGCCACCTGAGTCTGAAATGTCCTATATCTGGGCAAGCAGTTCGTCAGGCCACAATCCACCTCCCGTGAGGGTCCCAGGGATAAATCTGCACTTTCTAAGGAAAAAGTGAGGGAAGATTTGCAGGTTCGTGCATATTGCGTGTATTTACACGCATTGCTCCAAGGCTCAAGGTACCATGCTAGACCTCGTTTCTAGAAAGAATTTTGCCCTGCAATCGATAGTGCACTCGTGGAAGCTCTTTTGATGGAAAGGGCCGAGCTTTCTGAGTCTTGGATTCTTGAGATGAAGTCTACCTTGCGGCAGCTGGCCGCAGGAGCTGGTGAGGCAACCACCGTTTCTCACACCACTTCTCAGGGGAAACACGTCAGGGGCGAGCCAGATGATTCAGCATCCCTTTCCGAATCGTTATCGACATCTCTATCCCTTCGGGACTCTTCGCTTTCTGGCCTCAGCTTGTTCTCGACTCCCCCCGAGTTCTTGAGATCAATTTTTCCGAATATTCCAAACCAATTGTTGGAACGAACGCTTGAGTCGCATGGATGGCCTCCAAAAGTCCTCCTCACTGAAGACATCTCTCCGGATATTGATATGGACGTCATCGTGAATTACCTTATAGGTGTGGAACGAGAGACCAATGGAATGGAGCACGATATGAGCGAAGATGACGTTCCCGACCTCCAGAATGGCAGCGGTATACCACGGGGGAGGGTCGAGAGTGGGAACGTGAACATGAATGGAAATGGATCACGCAGGGGGAAGGGACCTAAACCCAAGCCTATCCTCATTGTTGACACTCTTCAGCGGCAACATATGTCGACGCCCTCTGCAAACCGCCCTCAAAACTCTGATGCGCAAAATCCCTGGTCTCATGTGGACTCTTTGGCCACCTACTTAAGCACTTTACTTCCTCAGACAAGCTACTCCCAATTTTTGGGGCTTTTCCATGACCCTTCATATGCGACAACTGCTGATGCCCTCAGAGGTTATCTGAACACTGCACCTTCCACGTCCTCTGAAACACATGGACTCACTGGCAGGATCACCGAAAGGGACGCTAAGCACCTTGTCGAATTATTCTCTCCAGTAGCGTCGGAGGAAGCAGGAAACTTGTACCCTGATGCAAAGGCTTGCCTTAAAGCAGCAGGTGGTGACAAGGCCAAGGCATTTGATGTTTTGTCTTGTTTGCATGACTTGGGAAAAAGCGAGACTGTCATTCGGCGCTCAGTTGCTCACTCTGAGCAATCACCGTCTGAATCGCGTTTCAGCAGAGGGAAGCCTCCCCCCACATCAGCTGCAGGTACGTCATCACCATTTACAGCCGGGGAGACGTCCTCATGACTCCCAGGGTCAAATGTTGCTTCCATGTCGTCGACAGAATGGGTTGCAGTGCATAACAAACGTCATAAACTATCCGCACGCGAGGAGTCTCGGAATTCTGCCCTTCTGTGCGGGCCGGACGAGGGAGGTGATGGGACAAACAATTCGGAAACGGCAGAAGGGGTAATGGGGAAAGTCGAGACACTGCGAAGCAAGAGAAAAGAGGCTAGTGTTATCCGTCCATCATCGAGTACCTATTTTGTTCACTTTTGCTCCTCCGGGTAGGCTCTCCTGCAGGCTGCCGATCATTGGAAGAAGAGACATCGTTTAGGGGGTGGTGGGGCAGCCGAATACTATGCTAGCCGGGTAAGATAGCAACGAAAGTTCACTAAGAACAATCTCCTGAAAATTTCGTCCAAGGCGCGTGGATTGTATCAAGAAATTGAAGAAGTTGAATTATGCGCTGCCCGGATGCAAGTCGAGAGCGCACGTCAAAGGCGAGCCAACGTGGAAGCACCTACCAACAGTCAACAACTAAGTCCTCCACCCGCAGCGATGGAAAGACAGTAGATTTCCACGGACTGTCAGTCAAGCAGTGCAGCAAATTATCCAGAGAATTCGTTGAAGCTTGGTGGTCTTCCGCCAAACACGGTTAGTTTTTCGCCATCTTGATGTCTCCATGCGGTCTAACTGGCTCTGATGTAGATGTCAACCATGAACCCTTCACCATTATCACTGGATGGGGGAAACATTCTTCTGGGCATCGAGGTAAGCTTGGCCCAGCGGTGAACTCTACCCTAAAGAAGGCGGGGTGGGATGTCAGGATTGGACAGGGAAAGGTCATCGTTATGGGAAAACGGTGACTTGACATCTTATTGGAAGCATTAATTTGTTGGGCACAATATTAATCTGTAAATCATTCGTTCTTTTGTATAGTCACTGAAAGGCCGCCTTCTACGGCAATAATTCCCTAGCCTTTGCGTGTCAGATTGGCTTCGACCCTTTGACTTTCCGGGATCGCAGGTGGTGGCCTGGTGCAAATCTAATTAACGTTCCGCTAGTTGTAGAAGAAGCATGATAGGACACGCAGGCTCAAGATGAGCTTAGCGCCGCAACAGGAATATCGGGGGCGTGGTGATCGGCACCACCCCGCGTGTCGAGCATGCATATCCGCCGTAACGAGGGCAATGAACTAAAACAGGAACATTGTGCAATTGAAGCTTAAATAATGAGCAGACTGTGAAATAGGATATTCCAGAGCGCTTATATGAGCATCATGCGTTGCGAGATCCCAGATACCCTCAGGCATGGGAGACTTGTCCGTCACCACGACGCCGAGGTTGAAACCAAATGAGTTGAATCGTTGACACGAGAAGAATATCACCAAAAATGCTAGGAAAAATGTTGTGGACAACATTAGTGTAGCTTTGTGCAGGATCAGCCGTTGTTGTCAAGCCATCGACGAGAAATGCTTGCGAACGATGATTTTTGCATGTTATGGTGGCAGAGAAAAAATTCATTGCGATCGGTTGTTTGTCCCGAATCTCAAAAACAGTGGGGCCTTTCTCCATTCCATAACGACAGCGACAAGAGCATCTCAAGCATTCGGTAACGCAACACCAGCTCATTGAGATCCGAAAAAGAGCGCAGAGTGTAACTAACAAGAGTCAATTTATAAAAACCCACGTAAGTGTCGCGAGGTTGCTTGTTGTGGTCGTCAATCAACGCGGTTGCCTCCGCTTTCTCTCTTCCCTCTCTGTTTGTCTGCTCTCACAATCTACATCAACCTCGTGCTGCCTGTGGTCCGCTTGTTGCGTGCCTGCCACCATGTCCTCTGCATCTCGCACCCGTTCGCTGATCAGGCATCCCCACGAGCACTATAACGGCGCTGCTGTAGTAGACAGCGGATCGGATTCCAGGCATCAAGGCCCTTCCGCTTCATACTACACACAGAATACGACCAACCCCCCTCCTTCAGCTTTTCGTCCCGAGGATCGCACAGCTGACAGGTCTTCCTATCGCCGGCCCTCAGCCTCGCCTGGCAGACAGTCCTTTTTCAGATCAACGAGTCCTGCGCACGACGGACAGAGGGTTCGTAATTCGCTGCACAAGCCACCACCTGCGTCTCGCCGTCTCGCAAAGGACGCATTTGCAACATACATCGAAACCCCATCTGAATTTCAGGAAACCATGCAAGGATCAACCAGTGTGCCGCGCCGTCCCTCGAGGCAGAATACCGAGACACTCCAAGACCTCTACAACCCCGATGTTGCTGCTTACAGTGACGACAAATTCGGAAATCTTGATCGGAGATCATCGCTCCCGGCGCTCCCTCAAAGCTCCGATCAGCAATTCTTCGCTGATGCGAGTGAACCATTGCCGCCAATCGAGCATCCCCCGCCTGTGGCTCGTTCCCGGTCCCGTAGCGGGACCACCACTCAAAAACCAAAGAAAGGAGTTCTTTCATTCATGACCGGCAAGTCATCCATTGTGATCCTGCCTACCTCAGTCTCTTTCCATCTGACCGTCGTCCCACGCGTCTATTACTATTAGAGTTTTTGGGTACGGCGAAGAAACCCGAGATCAGTACCCCCTATGATCCTGTGCACCTTACTCATGTCGGCTTCAACTCGTCAACTGGAGAGTTCACTGGCCTGCCAAAGGAATGGCAACAACTTCTACAAGAGTCTGGTATTTCTCGTTTGGAGCAGGAACGTAACCCTCAAGCTGTGATGGAAATCGTCAAGTTCTATCAAGAAGGTCACGGAGAAGTCTGGGACAAAATGGGACATGTTCATGGTGAAGTCGACGAAGCTCTCGCCAGGAAGATGAATGAAGCGAAGTTGCCAATGCCTGATTTAGGCCAAGGCTTCGTAAATCCTGTCCGTGCCCACAATTGTCAAAGCTCTCCACATATATGACATTACTTACCTGTAATCCACTTTCACAGCGCCCACCTCCACCACCTCCAACGAAGAAAATATCTGTGCCACCACCAGTTTCAAAAGATACCCCATCCTCGGCGACGTCGCCATACCCTTCGCGCCCGGCCCCCGCTCCTCCTGCTTTAGATCGATCCACGTCCGCTCGTACACCCCAAACGCCTTCACGAAGTCGAGAAACGGGTGATGATATCACCCCATCCCGCTCCATCTCGCAACGCGACGCCTCTCGTCTATATCAAACCAAAAAATCCCCTTCTCCTGCCAGCTCTTCTCTCACTCTCGTTCAGACCGCACTCTCCCCAAATAACCCGTACGCGGCTCCAGGGGATAACATAGTTTCTGGTACTACAATTGCGTCTCCAAGCACCCCTGTCGGCAGCAAAGAACTGCTGGCGCGTGATCGCTCTGAGCGGCGTGCTCCAGCCCCCCCAGGTACTGCTGCTCAGCAACTTGCGAAGACGGCTGGCGCCGCTACTCCCAGAAGGCGGGAGAAGAAAGACAAAGCCAGCGAAATTGATATTGTCAAACGGCTCCAAGCAATATGCAGCGAGGGGGATCCTACAAGACAGTACCGCAATCTGGTGAAGATTGGCCAGGGGTGTGTATCTCATTGCGCTTTTCTCTTTTGAATCTCCTGGCTTTTTCTTAGCTTTACGGAAGTTGCCTTTATTTATTTGCATTGTGGCTTTTTGAGTCCTGACTAACCGTGGCGTTGCTTTCCTTTCCCATTTTCCCCGTGACAGGGCTTCAGGTGGCGTTTATACGGCGTATCAAGTTGGCACGAACCTTTCAGTTGCTATCAAGCAGATGGATTTGGACAAGCAACCGAAAAAGGATCTCATCATTAACGAAATCCTCGTCATGCGTTCAAGTCGTCATCCTAACATTGTCAATTATATCGATTCCTTCTTGTATAAGAACGACCTCTGGGTAATAATGGAGTACATGGAGGGAGGTAGTCTAACTGATGTCGTCACTGCGAACTTGATGACAGAGGGGCAGATTGCTGCTGTGTCGCGAGAGACGTGTCAAGGTCTCGAGCATCTCCATCGACATGGTGTCATTCATCGGGACATCAAGAGCGATAACGTCCTATTGAGCATGCAGGGAGATATTAAGCTCAGTGCGTGGATGTTATAGCCATGATCCGGCTCCCCTACTGATACCAGTGCTTAATTCCTCACATAGCCGATTTTGGGTTCTGTGCTCAAATTTCTGATCCTTTACATTCGAAGCGTACGACCATGGTTGGAACGCCATACTGGATGGCCCCCGAAGTCGTCACTCGTAAGGAATATGGTGCAAAGGTTGACATTTGGAGTTTAGGAATTATGGCCATAGGTATGTCTAGTCCTCAGCAAACTGCCCTCTGAACTCAGCCTTGTATCCCCAGAAATGGTTGAAGGGGAACCGCCGTATCTCAATCAGAACCCACTGAAGGCTTTATACCTGATTGCAACCAACGGGACACCAAAGATCAACAACCCGGAGGCATTGTCGGCTATTTTCAAGGACTATTTGGCAAAGACCCTTGAAGTCGATGTTGAAAAGCGACCAGATGCTGCTGCATTGCTTCAGGTGCGCATTCAATTGGTCACTCATTCATCTCCGAATCAACGCTGAAATTCTATTTCGTACAGCATCCGTTCTTCCAGAAGGCAGAGCCACTGCGGACGCTGTCGCCGCTAATCAAGGCTGCTCGCGAAATGGCGAAGAAATGAACGACCATTCTATCGCACTTTTCCCTCACCATTTATGTCCCTCTTTGTTGTTTCTGTTCCCCGCCCTTATATGCGTCAGGACTAATTCACTATTTTTACGTGATTCTCGGGGCGTTCGCTTTGTCGTTACCATTCATGTTTTTTTTTTTCTCAGCACTCGTTCTACCTGTCACAATGTTCACGCAGTTAGCCTTACTTACTTCAGCATTTCGTTGATTTTTTTTTACTTTTCTTTCTCTTCAACATTTTATGAAAATGCATCGGGATTGGTGTTTATAGAGATATAATATCCAGCATATTCAGCAAGTATTAGAAAGCGGAGGGAACGTGATGGACGTGATGGACGTGATGGGATAGTTTCAGGCCATGAGAGTATCTGATGCGTGCTAATAATAGACAGCGTACAACGCTAGCAATAAACGACTTGCCACATACGCCGGATCCGGTTGCACGCTCTGGAGACTTACCATGAATCAGCACTCGCATATGCATCAGAGAAGGACTTGGGCAAGAACTTGAGTGAGAAGGTGATGACATGACATAGTGGACCTATGCATGTCGTGTGCCCGAATCCAGCTGCATCGAGGGAAGTTACACCTGCGAGAAGCCAAATGTCGCGGACCAATGAGAAACCTTTGGTCGAGGGATTGGAGCTCGCAGCTTTGCATAATGGGGTCTCGGTGTTCGAAAAGTGTGCTTGTCAGCACAGCGGGGAGGGTGCCGATTAGTACAACGGCAGAGGGTTTGGTGTCCGAAGTCGATATTCGAGGTCCGCATGAGATCATGGTCTAGTTTCCGTACACCCATCTCGAATTCAAAACCGTTCAAAGGAAGGTCATGGTTGTACAAACCTGCATGACCGGTACGTATACGAATCCGCCATGGACGAAGTTACATCACCGATCGCACTTCATTCATTCTCGACATGGGCGGTGAAATAAGAGAGCGCAACCCAAACAGGTGAAGAAGTGAGCATCATCATCCAATGAGAGTGTGCGTCAATCCAGTCGCGGAGCGTGCCCGTGTTCTTTATATATACACAGGCCACCAATTTGAGAACGCTCTGTTTTATCTGCCGTTGACGAAATTCACAGTCGTGCTTTAGGAACGAGGGGAGTGGGAGAATTAAGAGCCAAGGAAAAAGCCAATAAAATAAAATAAAAACTGCGGCACTCAGGATCCATGTAGTCCCCTACCATGGTACTAACTAAGCGGTACTCGGCTTAACTTCGCAGATCGGACGGGATGCGGTGCTTCCCGAGTCCTGTGGCCGCAGATGCTAGGCTCGCGTTCCTACATCTGATGAATATCAATACCTCTAGGATTAACGGACATAGTCTTCTAGGGATCTGCACTGTTATGTGTTGTCACTTGAGATTGGCTATCCAGGGTCAAATGAAGAATTTGAACAAGGATTTAAGTTCTGAGCCATGAGGGAGAGAGAACGGTGTCGTGTTATCATTTTGCTTGCACAACCAGCAAGCATGCATTATATTGTAACTGAAGTTCGCAGTAATCTGCAGCTTTCAGTTCTCCGTGAATGCGTGAATGACTTAGTTGATTATCTTGACCACCTGAGTAGGATAGAAGAAACCAGTGAGTGGGAACAGAGACGAAATCAGTGAGAGCGTTTTGAGTGGGCGGTCAGATGGAGAACGTCCATCTATGATGGTGATGAGCCATTGTTATTCGAGTCAGCGAAACAGTTTCACCATGCAAAGTGGACTATTTAGTATTTCAGGATCCGGAGGGTGTTTAAGCAACGCACACTCGAGGGTCTTGAGAGACAGTCGTCGCAATACTTGGCCTCTTTCAGTGCTTAACCTTACGGGACTGTGATACCGTTGAGAAGAATACTGGTGCGAGGCTTGGGACATACATCCAAGGATCGAGTTACTGCCGTGAAAAATCGATCTCCGATCGCGGAGACCAGTGATGTCGAAATTCACATTCACTGGAGGCTGCATTGTGTCAGCGGAGTAAGCGGAGAGAGATGTAGATGCTCACGCAGGATGATGAGCAGATGTCCAAAGGAATTACAGCGTCAGAGATCGTCGGTGGTGCACTGCTATGCAGTGTGTGCACTATCGATCAGAATCGTTATGGCAATGAATCGTGAAACGAATGTGTGCGCAACTCCCACGTAAAGTAGTCGGTACGGAAAGACCATGGCTACATGTGTAGTTGCAAGAGCCATTGCTGACACTGATAGGAAAGTAATTCGCTCCCAGCTGTTATGTAGACAGAGGGTCGATTCAGCACACGGCCCCGAGGAGTCGAATATCGTTGATGACAGTGTTTCCATTTTAGGGATACAAAATAAAAGAAGTCTTATGTAGTGACGGTTAGAAGCACAGAACATGCGTGAGAACCAAGAAGAATTAGAGGTCCTAGGCTCCAAAAGGAATAGTAGTGCTTAGTATCCTCAGAAAAGGATGGCAGCGATCTTCTCTCCGAGGTTCCTCGGCGGTATTTCCTCCTCTTCCGTTTCCTGAATGGTCGGAATGCCAGTGACGAAATCCATCTCTTCGGGTGTCCACCAATGCGTGCGTTTGAACATTTTCCACCCAACAAAGAGTAAAATCACTAATGGAATGTTGATGTAAGCTGTTAAGAATCCGGAAACGCTGGGGGTCCAAAAAACGTCGAAACCATTGATCAAAATAAGGATCGTAAGCCAGAAGGTACCCCATATGGAAAGGTAGGGTTGTAAACTTGAGAAATAGGCAAATTTAGTGCGATCGATCCCATGCGCACGAAGTCCACGCCAGAATCCAATGTAGGTGGCGTTAATGGACAACGATCCGAAGAATCCTCCACCACTACTCAAGATGACGAACCAATTGAACACAGTGTTTGCGCCATGGCCAACGGTAAGGTAGGAGAGGAAGGCGAAAACCGATGAAACGACAACGGCACTGATCGGAAGGCCATTCGAAGCGGTGCGTATGAACACGCGGGGAGCCTGCCCCGGAGTGCAAGGCCGTATAGGATCCTTGAAGCTGTATACAATACGGAGGCACCAGCGGAGAAGGCAGAGGTAAAGACGCATGCGTTGATGATGTGTGGTAAGACTTTGACACCTGCTCGATTCATCACGATGACATACGGCGACTGAGCAGCGGTGCCAGAACCGGTAGGGTTCAACAAATTCGGATCATCATACGGGATAATCATACCCGTAATAAGGATGCCCAAGATATACAAGATGAGGACGCGGCTGAAAACTCGTCGTATCGCTCTGCCAACGTTTCGTCTTGGATTCCGTGCCTCGCAAGCACCAATAGCAACGACTTCCATTCCACCGTACGAGAAAGCAGCTTGAACGAGGACACCAATGGTGGCTAGGAATCGACCTAATCCGCCCGGTTCGAGATAAGTGTTCATAGCACCAGGATTCCTCCAGTATCGGAAACCAATTCGATCGTGGTTGGGCCACCGCCCAAATCAATAATCAAGCCAGCAATGATGAGACCAGTGATCAAGGAAAGTTTGATGATTGAGAAGAAGAACTCTGATTCACCAAACAGGCGAACGGCAAATAAGTTTGCCGCGATCATGCTGATGCAAATCACTGTAATGTAGATAGGGACATGTTTCGTGTTAGGATCCCAAAATGTGAGGATGATTTGCGCCGCGGATATTTGAACTGGTATGGACACTGCCTGGGTCTGTTGGAAGGGTGAGTGATCTGGCCCTGAACGCACTCATCGAAGGTATCGGGCTCACAAAATAATAATTCTTTTCATGATGAATGAAGTGTAAGTTATAAGCTTGTGTAAGGTAAATCGGTACGATTCCGCACCCAACCAGTAGCAAAACCGAAGGCAGGATCAACCCATCGTGCGGCTGAGCGAGGTTACAGAGAGGCATAACCGTTAATGAGTGATATCCAGTAGTGCACACATGACCCAGGGTATACTTAGACATACCAAAGTGAGGAAAAGAGCCAGATACAGGCGCGAAGGAGGTCATCTCCCCAACGCTACACATTGTGGCGTACGCGACTGTGCCGATGAAGAGGTATGCAATCAACGCGCCGAGAGGACCGGCGCGGGAAATGGCTTGTCCGGAACCCAGGAACAATCCAGTTCCAATGGTACCGGCAATAGCAATCCTGGAGATCCCAATGCGTGAGTGATCACGGCGAGCAGGCGAAAAGAATCAAGGGACAGATTGGCGTACATTTGCACGTGGCGCTGGTCAAGATGGCGTTGGATCCCATCCAAATCATGTTCATCAAAATCTATGGGCAAGAAAATTTCTCAGCTGCGTCCTGTATAGGATTCTTTGCGCAATAATAATAATAAAACAACTCACGGTACTTATTGACAACATCAGGACTGCTGGTGATGCAGAGACCATCGCCCCGTACCTTGGCTTCTTCAACGAACTTCTCGTTGACGTACTGGCTATGAGACATCTGTCTTGCTGTCTTGTGCTTCACACCTCACTTTAGTCAAGCAAAGGGGAAGAAGACGGTGCATGGTGGGAGCTTTATGGACTTCTTCTCAGAAGCCTCGCCAAACTATTCCGCAAAATCCCGGCCGCGTATAGACAGATGTAGACATCTGCAACAGACATCACCCCTTGATCTAGGAGTCAGTCAGGGTCTAGGAAGCACGTTTCCCACGAGAATGACGAGAACAGAGGAGAGTACAGAAATAGGGTCGCGGAGCCTGAGGACCGTGCATTAGCAAGGGCGTTTTGCGAGTTGTTGGTGGGTGATGGGGTATGGGGTATGGTTTCTCGGCCCAAGGTATCATGCGGTTCTAGGAAAAAATACATGTCGCAACTGGTGTTGAACCGATCAGCCCAATAGGCTTCGCATTACTAAGAGACTGCTTTAGCCTACATCACCTCCAGAAAGAGGACAGTATGATTTATAAAGAGCGGAGGGGGAAGCCGTCGCCGAGTGTGCAGCTTGCTTTCGTGGTAAACTAACCAATGTCAAATGAGCAAACAACGATTAGCGCTCCTGTTTTATTTATCGTCTTCCGGCGCTAATAAGGCGCCATCACAACCGAATACCGTGGACACTAGTTGTGACGAAATGCAAGTAATGCCAGTGCCGAAAGACCGATCACCGAGTGGCATGAGAAAAGTATTCCAAGTCAGACTCGCCCACAGGCAATTCAGCCAGGACATTAGAAAGAAAGCTGGGCTGTGCCCTCGTGGCTTGTCTTGCAGAGTATGGGAAAGGCTAGGCAGGACCTAGCTCTCTATTGGAAGATAGAGAAAAAGGCGCTCACTGGCCATAGTCCGTGACAACACCTTTTTCCGCTTACATACTTATAGCGTTTCAGAGTTACATAACTCCAAATACGGATAACGGCTTCTCCAAATGCCTGTGCTAACCTCTTCTCCTTCCAATCGAGAAAGCAGACGGGCCTAGCCAACCATAACAGTTTCAGAGTGCAATATCGATATATACATATAAGGGGAACGAGATTGTTATTTGAATAAACCACACATGCGCTGTCGGACGCACGTCTGACGAACGTTCCATGAGCAAGGGAGTACCGCCACTTATATAGTAGTTGAATTCAATTGTCAATTCATCGGGGGAACTCAACATCGGGGAACTCCGTAGGCAGACCAATCCAATTACACTTGTCCATCCTCCCCTCAAGATTTCGACAGCAATGGCTGACAGCAGACGGTGAGACCTGTCTCTTACGGCTCCTGGACGTATTCCGGCCATCTCTATCTTTGAATGGAGTGAATCGATGAAGATATGACTCTGGATGGTCAACCTCGTCTTTGGATGCAATCAAATCATGAACCGTCAAGTTCTAACATTTCTGCTATTGAAATCGTAGATTGTACGCAAGGGGCCGCATTCTTGGGCACAAGCGCGGGAAGCATAATGTCCGCCCCAACACTTCCCTCCTTCAAATCGAGGGTGTTATTTCCAAGGAGGATACCAAGTTTTACCTTGGAAAGGTAATGACATGACTTCTCCCCTCTTGCAAACAAGATTCACACCTTGTATTTTTCAGCGGGTTGCTTACGTTTATACTGCAAAGACTAAGATCGCCGGGTCACGACTCCGCGTTATCTGGGGGTGCGTGGCCCCTTAATGCATGACTGCAGATATTGACACGTATTTTCTGGATATAACAGGCGTATAACCAAAACACATGGTAATTCAGGCGTTGTAAAATCGAAATTCAGGCACAATCTGCCGCCGAACAGCTTTAACAGCAGCGTGCGTGTAGTACGTAGTCTCGATCCCATATCCTCAATCATTGCTGCTGCTGAGGAACGATTGCCCTACTTTAGATGCTCTATCCGTCATCCATTTGATTGTGGAATTGTTCGCAACACTCTCCTTTATGCACTCACCATCATGCTGTGCACCATACCGTGTGTTTTACGCATCCTAATCATATGTTCGACATGCCTACGACCCCGCACGATATCGCTTTCCCATTATAACTTATTGGGTTTGAAATACAAATAATGCTTAGAATCCTCGCAACAGTTTCTCGTGAAGCGTGCTGGTATCGTATTAAATGCAGATAAAGCAGCCATACAAGTGATCGAAAAGAAGGATGAACAAAATCCACAAGATAGCGCTGGCTTATTCCAGGCTATCACTTTCAAGTTTGACGCCAACAACGGCATGCAAAGTCCCGCCGGCGCACCGTTACTGCGTTTCATTAAATCGTCCCACATAGCATCCTTCTCGTCATCAGTCTTCTTGCGTCGTCTACCACCTGGCACATCACCAGTTGTGGGATCGACTTCCAAAAATGCAACATTTGTCAAGCTGGCAGTGAAGTCGAGATGTGGGGTAGCGTCGATGGATTTCGCACGCAGTCTCGAGGTGGATCTACGCAACGTGAAGCTCCGAGCACTGCCGCCCAACGTTTTGGTCCGTGGTAACCTTTCGCGGGATTTGCGATGGGTAAGAAAACTAAGACCTGGAGTCGAAGGAGGGGACGATGAAAGGTGTGGTGCATATTGATTCAGCTTTTGGGTATCGTCGGGGCTGGAAACCGCTCGCCTTCGAGGCGAGGGTAATTGTTTACGAAGGGAATTCCACCTCTTGGGAGCCACTTCTTGATCGCTTTTTGGGGGAGAAGTGAGGATTGAATCAATTGCTGTGCTAGCCTTGGGGGAGGGGCTTGGTTGGCTGGGTGCTGAAAGTGCTTGTGGACTTTGGACTAACGGTAAGCTCGCATGGGATGTAGCGAATTGCTGTAAAAGAGCGTTGGGGTCGTGATATGTAGTCATCACGCTGGAAGAGGGGACTGGATGGATATTACATAAAGAAAGTCGAGGAAGAGGGGGGACGGGCTCATTCGGTGTCATTAACAGTTCGTCAGGCTGTGATGAAGAACTTGAAAAACGCGATGATGACCAATGTGATGAGTTTGTGCTAATATGATCTCTTGGTAGAGATCCTGAAAAATTGGTCCATGCACCAAGATTGCCTATGTCCACCCCAGGCTTCATGTTACTGACCACAGATTTTGGAGACATGGAGGTAGGCCGGCGCTTGAAGATACGAGAAACTATACCCTCCGACGACTGTTCCTCCGAGGAATCATGTCCTTTATTCTGCAACAAAATGCCAAAATCGGTTGATGAGGACCGTCTGCGCACATGGCTACTCGCAGGGGTGGAGGAGGCCTCGGACGTAGGTAGGGGCGGAACAGGGGGCACATCACTGCCAGACATTTGACGTTTGCTAGCCTCTCGCATAGTGCTAGAGCTTAGTTTTCTAATCAATCGGCTGAAGGCTCCCCCAGGACGAGGACTGGGTGAGGCTACGACATCCGCACCGGATAACATCGGAGGTCGTCTCAAGACTTCGGAAGGTGAGTCCGCCCGATCCCGCCATTCTTCGTGTGAAGATGGGCACGGGGGTAGGGGTTTATCTTTCCAAAGCGAGTCGATATGACTGTAAGGAGACGAATCCTTATCTGACCGATCCGTGTGTGTGGGCTGATCACCATCACCCCCCATAGCCGCATGATTCCCATTGATTTGTGGGCGCTTCTTTGAAAGTTTACGTGTGACTTTACGAGCAAGCGCACCGCGCGATGGGCTGACATCGCCCTCCGTCATCCTCCTGAGAGGGAGGTGCAGACATCTAGGTCCTCCATTACCATCCTCGCTACCTTTAGCAAGAAGCTTCCCACCTATTCTTCGCTCCAGAAGTGTGCCTCGTGGGCTGTGTGAATGCGGAGACAATAAATCCCCCATTCCGCTTGCATCACCTTCGGAATGTTGGGGGGCGTTTGAAGGAGCGTATAATTGTTGAGAAAGTTGCCAATCATGAGCAACTTGGGAAGCGGGGGTCATCGGTGTCGAGCTCGGGCCAGACGACATGCGTGAAGCCTGAGATTTTTCTGCGACTGGAGAAGAATACTCTCTGGACAGGTGCCGTTTGGGATCGGGCATTGTGGGGCTTGATGGGACAGAGGAAGGCTGGGAAGGTACAATGGGAAAGCAAAATGTGTCCAGGCTAGACTCTGGGTTCTTGGTGGTACTGGGGATTGACTGGGGATTGTGACGGTGGATGACGTCCAAACGGGTCGCAGGAAGAGACGGCCTTTTTGGTGAATGATCTCCATTAGCTCTGCGACTACGTGGAAGGCTTGAGGAACGGGGCGCATAATAAATCGAGGGAGATGAGGAATGTGTCTTCCCAGGCTCGTCAGGTAGTTGAGGGGCCACTCGATGAGAAATCGGAGTCCTTGGGGTGTAGGAGGTAGAAGCGAACAGGTCAGCAACCGAGTACCCAAATTTCGCGTATGTCGAGGATAATGCGATTGCACCCGATCGAGTAGACCCGGCCGCTATGGTCTTCGTATAGGAATCATTCTGCGAAGCGGCGAGAGAGGCGACAGGTTTGCTCATGAGTCTTTTCATGTCAAACGAGGCTCTCGACCTGGGGAAGAACTCGAAAAACTCTGTTGATGGGAAGTGCTGCGACACTGGGGTGTGCCCATGGGGGCGAGAACTGGATGGTTCGCTCCTGGGCGAGCCGAAGTCAGTGACATCCGAAGTAAGAAACTCGCTCGGATGAGACGGCGGAGTTGATGAACGGGTCCTTTTAGACGGCCGCGAAGTTGGTCTTGGTCGATCCCCGACGACCTCCGAAGTTCCCGAAGAGCTCTGCGCCACACGGGAAGACAGAAGTATTCGACGTAAAGCCTGCTCTTTATCACTGATGGACATATGATCAGGGTAACTCTTATTGGCGAATGTGCTCGAAGTTGACAGGTTAAGGGTGCGGGTTGTAATTGGGGTCGCTATTACTGGTCAGGATGAAAAGCTGGTGCTGTTAGAACATGTCTATTCAATAAGCATGACAGTTAGCGATTTTGTGAAGCTCCCAGGCACGATGCCTACTTTGTCAAGTTTTTCCAAATCCCTTTTCACTAACCCCCACTAGTATGGCTTGATAAGGCAGAGGCGGGACGAATAGCAGAAAGCAAGTCGAAATACGGCAGTCGCAAAACGAATGGTGAGGAGTATGAACGAATTTAAGCTAGAGAGAGAGCGTGTAAAAGAGTGTGAAGTTTGAGAACAACGGTTGCATCTGGCAATGTCATTCAATTAGAATATTTCATATCAATTCAAGTAACATGACAAAGCATCCTCAATTGCGAGAATCGCAACCGCAGGGTCAACAAACTCATGGCTTCGACATTGTGTGCTAGTTGAACTACGAGCAAGAATAACATACAGCAATAATAATGATCAAAAGAGTGATGTGCGGAAACCCTTATGAAACAGTGGTAACGTCGTCTGCGCAGGAATCTACCAGAACGGTCAATTGACTGTCTCCAGCTTTTTACTCCACTCGATGACTTTAGGATGTGCAGACACCTGAGCAGCAAATTCATTAGCATGACTCACGTTTCCGTCCGTCACCATGCCTTCACCTTACTGGGGTCAAAACCCAACACTTGAAGCCCATCTAGAGACGTTGCTCGAGATAGAGCAACGTACGCTTGTCCTTATAAGGTGGTTCAACATGATACATTGTTGCCGGCAAACGGTGGGACGAACCTTTTTCAAACACGCGACGCAGATCCACCTTCACTCGTTCTAATGTCTGGCCTTGTGACTTATGAATAGACATCGCCCAAGCGAGTATCAATGGGAGCTTTGATGAATCATCGAGAAATAAGGCCGATTAGTTCGATATGTGCTATCACATCCGCTTAATACTTTACCTGGCTGCGGCTGGCCTGAACTTCTCCATCCGGATGTTCGACTTTCCAAATGTCAGGCTGCACTAACATTTCGCGATGCTGGGTGGTTCCGGGAATGGAGAATCGGACAAGTGGATACTCTGTCAGGTTTTTAATGGCATCGTCCTTCTTCTTTCCTTTCTTCTCCATGTTCTCGTCCACACCAGACGACTTATTCGCATAAGTAGGAAGATCCATGAAGTCAATTATCACGCCTGTAGTACCATTCACAAGCGTGTCATCCGTGTTCTTGCTGAGCATAACTTGGCTATTGAGCTTGAGATGAAGAACAGCAGGAGCCATCGTGCTCAGAAGCTTTTCCCGCTGGTGTTTATCGGTGACAGAGCCCCCATCCACCGCTTCGAACACCTTAATTTTCCCTTCGAGTTCTTTCATTCTGCGATTATTGGAGTTGTCCACTTCTTCGCGGCGTGGAAACCTACGAATGCGTTAGTCGATCCATTCCGCGCTGTCCCAGACGACATACTTACAATTCCGTCGGAACGATACCGTCGCTGTATTTGATCTCTCGCGAAAGCATTCGGAAGCGTTCGACTGATTTGAGGCTGAGTTTGCCAAACCGCATCTCATTCAGCATGTCAATGAATTCTAATCCTTTTGTCAGCAATTGATCGCAGACAGACTCACGATACACTAACCTTGATCCTTCTGACGGAAGACCTTAGTGAGGTTGAACGTCCTCTCCACGCAATCGCTCCATAATTTTGCCTCAAATGCGAATGTTGGTTGCCCCGTCCTTGTAACAGGCGGTAGCTGGAAGAAATCCCCGCATACAATAAGCTGGTAGGGTGTCAATGTAAGTATTCTGCAAAGCAATTATGCAAAAAAAAAACGGACCTGGATACCACCGAATGGCTTGGTAGTCTTCCGTATCAAACAAGCAACTCTAGCAAGTTTGTCAAAAAGATCGCCATCCATCATTGACACTAAGAGTTCTGGGTGAGGGATGGGCACGAAGGCAGCGGGGTGATGAGAAACCTTCATCAATAATGAGCACTTGCGTCCGCAGCCATCTCCCGGCAGATTTCTTGTTCTTCTTGATTTTATTCGCCAGGTTCTCAGCTGTCCCTTCTCCGAGTCCAATGCCAGCAAACGAGTGTATCGTAACACCACCTATGTTGCAGGCAGCAATTCCGGTCGGTGCGGTGATTGCTATAGAATCGAGAGAACGAAATCTTTTCCGCAGAGATTTCAAGATTTCCCTCAACAAGACGGACTTTCCAGTGCCTAAACGGGAATAAGTCGCGGCTAGAGCCAACAGAAATAACAAGGTACCTGCACTTCCGGTGAAAAAAATATTCTTCCCATCCATGGCGAGACGCAGAATTTCTTGTTGCTCAGAACTGAGAGCGATCTTTGCAGAGACTGAGATCGTAGCGGGGCGTTTGGAAGTCGCGTCACCTGTTTCGACGAACCCTTCGTCCAGCACCTTGCGTTTGGTGGGGCGTTCAAGTCCATTTTCTGGTGGAGACGAGCGTTTACTTGAAGAGGCAGGAGACGAATTGTCCGAATCTTGAGAGAGCAACAATCTGCGTGCAGCCAATCGAGCTGCTTTTTCTTCTTCCGAGAGGGGCTTTGGTTTGGGTCGCAGAAGCTTCTCCTGATCAGAGCACGTGTCTTGCGAATTCGACCAGTCTCTTTTGAGCGCACCGATAGACGGTAATGGCTGTGGACGCGTTTGGGACATGATAGACGCGTTGAGGACAAGCAACGCGTTTCGTCAACAACTCCAAATAAATAAGCTTGCCTTACTGAGGTCTGATCACCTGATCAGACCACTGACTGATCCAGCAATAGATACCCTCCCCTGATTTCCCGTGAGCGCTGTAACCTCGAGTTGCTCAAGTGCTGTGACAGTATTATTCAGATTACACCACATATCTCCCCTACATAGAATAATTAAAATGCTTTCACTAGACAGGTCTGCAATGCTCGCAGGGTTGTCACAGCTTTGACGTAGCGATACCTTCATCTTGAAACAACGCTCGTAGGTCTTCTGCAGCTCGATCGATTTCTTCCGTGAACCTGTGGTTCGGCATATCCTTCCTGGAGGTGACCGTGAACTGTAGGAACTCTGGCACAAACAAGATGAATGCATCACAATTGCACCCCTCCGGAATGACTGACCATCGAAACCAGCGACGTACGCCACACCAAACCCGTCCGGAACGACTTCTCCCCATCCGTACACACGGAAATTAGGATTGTAAATAGCTGATGTACTGAGGACCCAGTGTTTCGATCGTTGAAACAGATTGTCTGTAAATAACTCGGGTACTTCCTCACCAGGACGACGCATCTGCTGCATCCCTGCAGTAACGGGTGAGAAAGAAATCTGCAGGGGGAAAAATCTCCTGTCCTACCGAATATCACACGGTCAACGCCCTGGGCATTCCCAGCCTCACGAGCACAGGCCCTATGGGCATGGCAGGCTTCCTTGAAGAGCGCTTTCACCTCTTCCCTATCCACGCTCCCAGAATCTATGCTTTCGCACCACTTGACGGACTCCTCACTGACAACCCGAATTGTCTCCGTACGTCCGTGTTGGAATTTCCTCGTGGTGGCAGCCTCATACGTCCCACCATTCAGTTTCCCCGGCCACCGATGAGCCGATGGTATGCAAGCTGTATCATCATCTGTGTCCAACTGTCTGGTGAGAAGCCAAACACTTTGATTTGACGTTTTCCGTATGAAGTGCGCAGAAATGATAAGATGTGAGAGTTGATGAGCACCCTGGCTGCGTTGGTGGCAATTGTGATTGATGCGTCGATTTCTGTATCGACCTCAAAGTCAAGAGATTGTGGGAACGAGAGATTTGCTGAAATGGACGGGCTCCCGTGGTCGAAGTCCTGCTTCTTGATGGCAGCGACAACGCTACCGGACATTACGGCAGTAGGAGTGCCATCCATAACTAATGAACATAGTTCAGACCCCGGCGAATGTGAAGACAGTAAGTCGCAAGACTGCACCGGAGTGTTCGCCCATAATGCCTGCTTTCGCATTATCCCAGACAATGAACTGGACGGGTTTGTCGACCCTGCACGGGATGCACCAAAATAAGCAACAAGTGGTCAAATCCGTCGCGTGAAGCTGACCATCTGTTACCCAATTCACCACCCTCAACGCCACCGTGCCAATTAGCACGGGAAAATCAACGTCTGTTTCAGGTTTCTCACTGTCCAAACAGACAACGAAAGCGCTGGACTCGATTTCGTTCAAGATGCGCTTATTTCGTTCCGACGCGGAAAGTAAATCATAGTCCTAAATAACATGAGTGTGCAATCAGTATTGCCACTCCGGTGACGATCATAACAGCACACCTTGGCCCATGTATCCCGGTTGTTCGATGTCAAAATACCTACTGGAGGGTACTCAGTCATCGAGTTATCATAAATGTGCTGGATTTGCCTAAATAATGGGCCGGTGTTCACTGCGACCATTGGCGGAGACCAAAGGAAAGCCGAATTACCTCTCCCACTCAGCAGTGCTGAGCAAGCGATGATCAACTGAAGCATCGACTTTCCAGAATTTATTCTTCCGGATGAACACGACCGTTCCTGAATCCCCAAATCCCCTCCTTTGCAAATGTAACACTGAAGTCCTTTCCACCAAGTCCGGGGACGCGACAAGCATCGAACATCCACCTGATGCACATATGCAGTGGACGAAGCAATATCAACAGCCAAAGGAACCGCACAATTTGATCACCAACCTCCAAGAGTCCATACATAACACACCATCTTTCACAGCATCGGGCTCTATCTTACCCTGCTTGAAAGATTTTCTAAATAGGAGCGCAGAACGCGTCAATGCAGCCGCTAACTTAATTGGAGTTTGGGGTAGAGCCGGATGTGGTTCGAAACCATCTGTGCAAACCTATGAGTGTCGCAAAGTTGATTGTCAAAATGAACTTCTTACAAAAGTATGAAACATTCACAACGACTAGTGAAATAGATAGATATCTTATAAGCCGGAACCACATCGAAAGTTTAAGACACTTCACGCACCTGAGTCGCGATACTTCAAGTATGCAGCCTGCAGAAATAAGTATTCAATCCCTGCCACAATCTCAGGCCACATCTCCTACATCATCCCAAAGTTCCTCTAACCAGTTCACAATCGTTGGATCCTTTGCACGATCCTGGAGTCGTTCGTGTAAAGTCCTTCCAATACTACCAGGCTGAGCGAGAAGTTGTATCTTGACCCGGGTCGCCTCCAGTTCTTCTGTACTCTTAGCGAGAGGTATTAACGACTTTTCCAACTTAGCTAGCGTTGCATCAAGATCAGGGACTGGCAGTGTGGAAGCGAATCTTGCTTGGAGAAGGTGTTTGTCCTGGGCAGGGCCTAGGTGCCCTGCTTTTCCAGTCCGCCGGTGCGTGTACCATTGTGTATGGTGAGGTAAAGAATGACGGTGAGCAGAGTTTCGGGGGAACTACTTGCAGTCCTCGTCTGACGACCGCGAGGCTCATTGGCCGAGCTCGTGGAGTGGTTTAATTGTCGTGTGAATCGTTCCGGTAATTGCCCGCTTCCGGGGCATATAGATGATATAACCGGTGGGCCCATTCATTCTGCGGCGCGCCGATTTTTGTTGCATCATATACTCGCTTCAATCATCCGACAGATCGCGTTCCGGGACACACTCAAAGACTGACTTCACATTGCCTGTTCTACTTTCCGTCCTGACACTCTAGCTGAGAGCAAGCTGCACTAAGGGGCTGCTGTGCATGCACCTTAGAGAGGACGGCTATGTGGCTGACCGGTATATATATCTGTTTGCTATAACAATTCATGTAATTATGCGAGCAAAAAAGATGCAGTGGTAAACGAAATAAGCAATTGCGGAGGGCAATGAATGACCTCATGTAGCAATCTCCACAAGGCGAAGCTGCTTCAACTCTTTCAGCTCCTCGACACATGAGCCAACACGCGAGCCAACCTCCTTAGCGTATTCAAGCAAAGGTCGAATGTTCTCTGGAGTCAACGCGAGCTTGTAACCTTCGCCTAAACCTGGGATTTTTGGAGGTGCGCTGCGTACCGTTGGCGATTGCGCCGCGAACGCACGTAACCCTCCGGGATCGAAATCTCAGGAGTGGCTTGTCCCGGTGTAGAAGGACGAGTAGTCTCCCTGGAAGGTTTAACTGAAGAACGGTCCGCAAAAGAAACCTGTGAATCATTTTTGACAACGCGAGCCGGTATTGGTGTCCTGACATCCCGCCCAGACTCCTCGGCACGCGAAGGTGGTTGTACCCGTCCTTTCAGTGTCCCCAAAGTTGCGCGAGGAAGAGCTGATGACCGTGCTATCTCAAGATCTGAAGCGCTATCGATGCGATCCCAATCGGAATACTCTTCTTCCTCCGTTGTGATACTCTCTGCGAGCTGAGCAGAGGCATTATTCCCTTGATACGGCGGAGGATGAGGCAAAGAAGTAGCATCAGTAACAGCACGCCGTCGCCGCTCGAACTTCCGTCTTCGATTCTGACCTAACGGGGGCACTGGGTTGCTACCAACGTTCGCGTGGCTTTGACCGATACGGAAAATTGACGCCAGGGAGGGACGTCTAGGTGATTTTCGGTGCTCCTTAAAATTCAACGTGTTTTTCCCCTCGTCGTGGCATGGAGAGGCAATTCGGGGATGCTGTTTTGCTGAAGGCCCTACACTGTTCTGGGGCTCTGAGCTTTTTCGTTTGCGGTGCTGGAGCCGTCTAGAAGCGCTGAGGTCGACCTCGCTACGAGATGAACAGCTTGAAGGGGGTGCACCATTGGCACTTGGGAGAGGAGGTCTATTCGTGAGAAGCCGGAGAATGTCGCGAATGCCAACCAATCCAGTCTTGCGACTCTGATGGGACTTGCCTCTTCCACGATCAGTGACTGGCTTTTCATTGCGGTCTAAAGCAGACGAAGATCCTGACGCTAAAGAAGCTGCAGTGGCGGGTGCAGGTGAAGAGGGAATAGACGGGAGGGTAATTGCGGAAGCCGACGCCTGGTTAGGCTGGGAGGCAGATCTGAAGGCGCTGCTCGTTGGCGTGTGTAGTCTGTTGAATATTGCAGGATCGGGGGTTTCGAGCATGTCCCTGAGTAATGTCAGCTGTCGAGTGGAAAGATCGTGGCGGCCGGTGGACGCGCGCCACGCAGGAACATTGGGAGATAATGAAGGCTTCTCTGGAGATGGGGGCATGGATGAAGGGTCATGACCGCCGGTGAGCGTGATTGCACGCTCTCGATTATTTACCGTGACCACGGTAAGCGTATTGTCCTCATCCAAAACCGTCGGGTCATGTGTCAGAAGGGCAGGGGGCGCAGAGGTGGATGCCGAGGTAGTCGAATGGCCTTCTTGGTCCCTGCCCGCCCCCGTCCCCCCAAGATCCACCAGAAGTTCGGCGCACTCCCACCATAATGCATACTGCTCCTCGATTCTTTGAAGATCTGGATTGATCCACAGGAAACGTGGGCTAGATACCTTCAAAGTGTCATCGCTATGCTTTAGATCGATCAGGAGTTGTGCCCGCATGTCACATAGCTTTTGAAGCTCTGTTCGCACCCATCAATAATTAACTAGGTCAGATAGTCGACCTAATAAACATACCATCAATCTTATTTGCAAATTCGCGAACCATAACAAGATTGCTACGAAGACCAGTTTGAGCCATGCTTATTCTCGGAGGAATCTTCAGATCCCCTAGGCTGCTTCGTCGCAGATGCGTTGAACTAAAGGAATTAGGCAAACTTGCAGTAGAGCCCTCGACAGGTGCCCCATTTCCTTGAGCCGCAGAGGCAACGTCCATTAATAGCTGACCATGATTGTGCTGCATCGCCCGTCCTAGGGAGAAAGACTGACCAGGAGACGGAGGGGCGCTCCCTTTCTTACCGATAATCCTGTTGAGCAGGCTGGAGTTGGCAAGTGCTTGAATAGCAGCCTTGGGCGGAGTTGAAGGAGCCAACAACTCGTTACCCTGAGCTGCCCAAGGGCTCCACGATGGCTTCGAGGCATTACGGGGAGGAGAGGGTGGACTGAGATTGATGGGAGGGAGAAGCGATGGTTCGGTCATTGCAGTGACACTAGAAGGAAGAGGAGGAACGGGGGGTGGAGTTTCCAGAATGGAGGTTACCGCTGCGCGACCATAGCTGGGTTCATCTGGGTCAGAGGTAAGGGAAATACTTCGCTGGTGACCTGAATGCTTAAGGCTGTTGAAACTGGGCACGCGTTTCTTGGTTAAGTCCAGTGACTGCCTACCACCACTGGAGTGATCGCTGCCGGAATTCTCTTTTGAACCTGCTGTAACGAAGGGCTTTGACGAAGAGCGACCCACTGGGGCATTCCGAGCAGACAACCTTGGCTGAGCCTGTAGGGAAAGCGGCCTTCTCATTGAAAGATCACCATCAGTATGCCGAAGTGTCGTTCTACTCTGCTTTGGGGTAAGGTTCACGTCCGTCATTGTGTGGTTAGATATCCCAAGCACACGGGAAACGATACCGCTCGATCGCTTTTTCTTGCCCTTGAGGTCATGACCTTCCTGATCCTCGTGATACACAGCTCCGGCAGTGGTTGAGCTCCGCTTCCTGAAACGGGACGTGGGATACGCACTGTTGCTGTTGCTGAGATGGAGCCCAGGATCTGGCGTTGGCTTTGAGTTGGGGCTAGGAGTAGTCCTAAAAAGCCAATTTCGGCTCGTTGAAGGCGACGCTGGGGTGACAGCTCGCGAGAAAGACGGCTCTGGTGTTTTAGGTGGTTGGTAAGGGATGCTGGTACCGGAATCGACAGAAATGTCTCCAGCGAAATCTTTGCTGGTCTGAGAAGATCGGCGCGATCGCCAACGTTTCACGGAGCTGATACGGGAAAGCAATGGGGTTTTTGTCGGTGGAGATGATGGCATTGGAACCGGAAAAGTAGCAGGGGAATCGTTGGATATCAGTCGGGGACTCGGAGACTTTGTTCGCACCGGTAATGGAGTGATGGTACCCGATACACGCTCCTCCGGAATATCATCGAATAACGGTTGATCTTCATCTTCATCGACACAGCTGAAGGGAGTGTATGAGCGCAATCCCGACGAATCGCCAGAATAGGAATTCGCAGCATTGGGGTCGAAATCTTGTGGACGCGACTTCTTGCGCAACCGCCTACGAGGGCGAGGCGGAGACGTAGGGGGAGGGGTAATCAACGGGCGGGAGGAGGTTGCAAAGCTAACCGCCATGTGAGACGGACTTGAAAACGTCGACAAGGTGGGTGACGTGGCTAAGGGAAGAGGATCTGGGGTATGAGACCGGTTCCGCAACATAAAATGGCTAGTTAGGTTTAGCGATGAAGAGGACGGGGTCTGGTAGCCTTTCAAGTGGTGACGGGAGCTGGTCGATGCTACGGAGGATGAGCGGGCATGGGCTATTGATGAACCCGCCTGTGTGGCATCTCCGAACTCACGGCCATGAAGGCTATCGCCCATCCCATCAGTAGCACAGGGCCTGTGTGGTACATGATGTGAAATGGAGGATGATGGCTGAGGTGGTGTGGAGTTGTGGCTCCGGGATGTCCCTTTGTTTGTGACAGTTTGGTCTAAGTCGTCTCCGTGATTTGCAAGACCAAAATCATGATCATAGTTGTGTTGATGATCTGCCTCCTCAGACCATAGAGTAAGATTAGGCTGGTGGGCGCGTACGTCAGTGATGTGGGTCGACAAGCGCAGCTTGGAGGGACCAGGTTCAGGGTCATCCCAAGCAGCCGAGTTGATACTGAAGCGAGAGTGCGTTGTATTGTCAGAGTAATCGTTAGGCATCAAATAATTGTTCGTGGATCGTGAAGCTGTCGTTTCGCGGTGGTTTACGTTATGGGTGAAACGGGCGTTATCGTCAATGTAATCAGATCGTTGATGTTCGTTCGGTTGAAATTCAAAGTCATCATCCCAATTCTCAGAGGGCTCTACGCGTGTAAATTGCATAAGATCAGAGAAAACGCGCTATGTGCACGTACGCGTACCGTTAGACATGTCGGTGAAACGCAGGAAGAGGCCGTCAACGGATGCGCGTCTTGAGACAGAAAATGATCCCGGCCGAGTGAGCCTGTTCAAAGAGTCGGAGTCAGTAAATGGCAATCGTCTTACGCGCACACAGACCCGCCTTCCGTGGTGAGAAGGAATGATCCAGGCTTTGTTTACTTGTTTTGCAGTTGCCACAACAATCCACGTGCAACGTTCTGAGTGCCTTTCGGACAGATCCGTGCCTTTATGTATTTTCGCCTAACTGCAGGCTATATCATGCGGTAAACCCAAAGGTATCGTTCACCAACCACCTTGATGCATTTATGTGATACAAATGCTCTCGAATAGTCTGCTTCGAAACCAACCGTCGTGGGTTCTTCCATATCGATTTGTCGTATGGAATTGAATTTATCTACGGGAGCTGCTAAAGAACGAAGACCGTCCCATTCCAGACCAACCCGTCACTCGATGGGGATTGATCCGAATTCTGCTGGCGATTGCAATTTTCCCCTGGCGCTCCATCGCTAGAATTTAAAAGGCCACCCCACGTTTCTGCTGATTACTGATACGGGCGCTCGTGGCTAAGAATTCCCGGTTATATTGCATGCCTGCATAAACAAGCCCGGAAGATGAGAAGCTTGAGGCAACGCAAGATGTGGAAGGCGAGAAAAATAAATCCCTTTGGTGTGCACATCGACCACCTCCCCTATATCCCTACTAGAGACCTTAAACCCGTGGGGTGCTCGTTCCTCGCACACCCACGCGTTCTTCGGTCTCTAGCTCCTGCGGAGGGCATCGGGGCTGCGCCCCGAACCCCCCTGGGGCGTTGCCCCAGACCCCATTGGGGCTCCGCCCCATGCAACGACATCCTTGGTATTATTGTTCCCCATGTGCTAAAGAAATAATGAGATATATGGTGATTATTCATGAACCAAGGGGCCAGCCCCTTGAACCCCAGCTCCTGCGGAGAGCTATTGGGGCGTTGCCCCAAGCCCCACTCCTGCGGAGAGCCTGGGGCTGCGCCCCAAACCCCCCTGGATATATTTGATTATTTTTTACACCAAGGGGCCAGCCCCTTGAACCCCTGCTCCTGCGGAGGGCCATCAGGGCGTTGCCCCGAACCCCACTCCTGCGGAGAGCCTTGGGGCTGCGCCCCAAACCCCCCCCCATTAATCATGTACACAAATGAGAAATGCCTTTTCCCCTGTTGACAATGCACTGGAAGTGGGGCCTGCTACACACAAATTACATGGACCACATACCCACCTTACACCCTTGAGCACATTTGTGTATTTTTATTTGCTGTTTTTCTGGCTATTTCCACAAATTTACCATGAAATTTGTTCATTCTCTATCAGGTTTTTTGCTGTTATTTATAAAGCAGTGTTCCCCATGTTGCCATGATTTTTTTTGATTTTATTTTATAGAGAGCACCTTTTATTTTTCTATCTTTTTATTCTTTCCTGTCCCCTGTTGCCGTGAATTATCTGGATTTTAATTTGTATAGAATACCTTGGTATTATTTTTCTTGGTTTTCCCACATTGCCGCAATTTTTTCAGATTTTATTTTATATAGAATACCTTGGTTTTATTTTTGGATGTTTCTATTTCATGTTGTCCCATGTTGCCGTGAATTTTTCGAATTTTTACCTTATCTGGAACCTTAGTTCATTTGGTTCTGTTGTTGGAAACTCCGGATTTTAACTTACTTACTTCCTATTTATTTATCTATTTTACATGCTAATAGCGAAAATACAAAGAAAAAAACAATAACTTATACAACAAAAATACTACTACTACTATTACTATTACTATAATTATTTATTCACTATTTACTACTATTATTATTATTATTATTATTATTATTTACGACTATTATGACCTATTTATCTACCTATTTTATCTATTTATCTATCTATTTCATCTATTTATCTATCTATCTATTTCATCTATTTTACATGCCAAAGTCACATGGGAACAAAAAAGAATTGCTCCCATGGGGGGGTGTAAACCGGTTTTGAGTGGGGGTATTAGTACTTTTTCGCATATGTCTGTGCGTGGAAAAAGTTGTGGGAGGTTACGCTCAATTGCTCACATGAATTTCCTCTGGGACTGGGCAACTCAGGTTGTGTCCGTGTACCGCTTATGTAATCAGATTCGGCCAAAACATGGCCTCGCAAATGTTCCATCGATAACTCATGAAACTGTATTCCATGTCCCAACAAAAATCTAGAGAGTGTGAATATACAATGTAAAGTATGTACTGAGCACTCGATCGGAAAAATCGATGCATTATAAAATGAGTATGTAAACAGACCAGTTATGGTACCTCAGATCGCAGATCCTGGCGACTCTGCAGATTGTGCATTATAGTGTTTTATAATATTTTGGAGTAGTGCCTTCCGGGGCCCAACTCGTAGCTTATTGACTGCTGTTCGATTAGGAATAAAGGTGTCTTTAGGGGCCAGCCAACGGTGCTTGTTGATCTGTTCAATTAGCTTGTCCCCCGTCATTGCAGCAATCACTGTAGCATCCAACTGGAGTAAAGTACTCCCTAGTTTCTCCTCCTCCACTCTCTTCTTCTCATCTCGTGCCTTTTGGGCTTCACGGCTGGCAGCGGCTTTTGCTTCCTCAGCCTTGTTCAACTTTGTCCATAGTTTCCTCTCAAGATTCTGTGTGTCTCGATGCCGAGCTTCCTTCCTGAGGAATGCATGATGGGCTTCACTGAAATTTTCCCTTATGAAGCCCTCAGTGTTGTTACGGCTATACATCACCAATGAATTAAATCGATGCTGGCTTAGCGATGGAAACCGCCTTGCCCAAACCCTCCATGTCCCTAGCATCCCTTCATTCACATCATTTGTTGTTGGCATGAATGCCGATGCCTTCTCTGCTGGAGTTAGAGAGGCAATGACTCCGTCACTAGAGAATTCAAAAACAAAACTTTCCCACTTCTGCGCAGCACCTCGACAGAATTCTATGAGCATTTCATGGAGAAATGGGAGTGCTCCTCTTGCCTGCTCCCGCTTGAGAGCTTCAAACACTTTTGGCTCGTGCCATGTTCCTCCTGTCAAGTGGCCCAAAGTGCCGTGCTTTTCTGTATCCAGAAGTAAGTTGGAATCTAGTGCAAGGTCCGCGATATGCTGCTTGACCTGATCATGGAATGGACCCATATCTAGCATATTTTGAGATAGAAAGTCTCCTGCTCGCATTTTCTCCAAGTAAGGTATAGAGACCGCCAGGCCAAAGAGAGCCAGGACAGCAAGCTCAGTCACCGTTGGTGTGTCCTGAAGGCCTTTATAACAATTTTCCTCCATATGAGTAAACCCCGGCTGATTCTTCCTATCACGCCAGCTTTCCAGGAACTCAAGATATTCGTCGCGGAAAACAAATAGCTCAATTGCCGCATATAGATGTGAAGCAAAGCGGGTATTACTCGTATCGCCAAAGCGACGAGTTCTCCCATGCTTCTCATGGAACCAATGATAGTGTGCGTCCTGACATCCTTTTTTATCATCTTTGTTGTTGAATAATGAGCCACAGAGCGATGTAAGCTTGACTGCTCCGGCATCTAGTGTAGGCTCATCAGGCTTTTCGGAGTTTGTCGGGCTTGACTTAGCAAGTGCAGCCTTGGCTAGACTATGGAGGGGTATTGGCCCTGGTGTCTCCACAGTTTTCAGGTGGTTCCACGCCTCAGACATAGCTTTGGCCCCGGCTTTGACGGTATTAAGGTCCTTGTGCATAGCGCATCCACACCATACAATAGTGTCAACTTGACATTTTAAGTCATGGGGAAGTTGTTGATAGATGGTTTCGCCAAGCTCACAGAGTCTTTGAAGGGTACGAGTTCGAAATTGTGCCGTCTGCTCATTGTTGGTGAGATCCAACCAAGCTTCGGCACTCTCGGATTTAGCGATGAGACTTTTCATGGTGTTATGATTAAATTCCTGGCGAGCTTCATCAGACATTGTCTCACAATGCTGTACACCAAGGTGAAGCATCCATTCTTCGCGCCTCCAGTCTGATATTAGCCGAAATAGCTTCTTCTGATCTTCGGCATGATCAGAATTCATCCCAGTTAGTTTCCGAATTGCATTCCCAATGCCTAAACCCGGGTTGAAGTCGGTAAGCTCTGGACTTTTGTATGCAGTTTCGAAGAACTCGCTCATCGACCCTTTAATGTTCTGCAACTGATCAACACTGGAATGCGATGGCATAGCACGGACACCCCATGTCCGGACCTGCATCGCTTTCTTGGGTCCATTGTCTGAGTATGTAGGAAACAGCGCAAGACTATGGACTGCCTCATAGGTGATATGGTGATGTGTTGTTCCATCGCAGCTCACTGTGTGTGCTGAAGTTTTGATTAGTGTGAAGTTATTCAGGAGTAAGGCATCATAGACTTACTATCTATGTTCTGAAGCTCGGTTGCCATCTGGATCTCGGCTGCTATTCCTGCCTCGGTGACGGCACGCGATACCATCCTGCGACTTGGCCCCTTGCCAATGTCCACCTTAAATGCTTGTGCACAGGCAGAAAGAACATCCGCCACCTTTGATGCCGGTATACCACTTGAAACAAGCTTGCGGCTTAGTTCACGGATGGTGTTCGAAAAAACTCCCTTAGTTTTCAAAGAAAACTTCCGAGCCGCTTTTAAAGCAGCCTCATAGCGCGTTTTGGATGCTCTAGTGCTCAATTCCAGTCGTCGTCGAAGTCTAGTGACATTGGCACTTGCTTTTCTCCATCCAGTTTGAAATCTGGCGAGTCTTTTCTCCAGCGCGATGTTCCGAGCTTCTGGTAACTTCATAGTGGCATTTGCTTCTTTCAGCTGATTAGACCTTTCAAGAAGTAGATCTGTGGACTCTTTGAGCTTTTCAGCTGTCTTAGCTTTCGCATTTTCGGATCGAGTACAACGGCGCTTTAGATTTTGCATGGATTGTGCTTGTCTGGCAACTTGGGCCTTAGTTCGGCTGGCTCTTGTTTCTAGTTCAATGACTTTTCGCTTCAGTGCTCCGATCTTTCTGTTTGGATTGGCTGGGGTCTCTGGTATCTCGGACGCGTTGGATAGAACAGAATAGGAAGGTTGAGGGGCAGATGTAGATTGTGGGGAAATTTGATATAAGGCACCATCCCTGCTGGTCTGAGATTGCTCCGGAAGCATGGTTCCATAACCACGGATCCAGCGCATAGTACGGGCATGGTCAAATGCATTTTTTTGGGCAGTTGATTTTGATTGTTTTG